CTTGCTACTTTCCATACACGTGGTCATCGTCTCCACAAAGTGTGGTGGAAGTGAGGAGACATGCATGAAGTGACATTAAGTGACATGAGCGAGACCATCGTCCGTAGTCTAGGTAGGTTGTACACGATGACCATGGCTTCGATCTGGGTAAGTTGAATGATACACATACGTTTCGTCTACTTCACAACTCTAGCTCAATAAATCCAAACACGACATAATAATTTGGTGCTTATTGCAATGCTTACTATACTAATATGGCGAAGGAACGGTCTACCCGATCTTCTTCAATAAAAACTTGATGGTCGGTCCGGAGCTACCTGCCTACTACTAGGTAGTCCTAGTGTCCAGGGGGGCTTATAGCTCCAAGTTCCACGAGGCCGTTAACGAGCATCATGAGACATGTCTCACATACTACATATGTACCTACCTACCTACCTACCTACCTACCTAAGTACATAGTAGATGATGGCGAAGTGGCTTTTTTTCTACCTCCTCCTATCGCAAAGCAACATCCCAGCCAATCCACCTAGTAGTATTCTACGGTATGACGCACAGTCTCCTGGAGGCGCCAATGGGCAATGCATGCATGCATGTGTAGGTAGGTACTAGGTAGGTAGGTTGGTAAGTCCATTGGGTTAATCAGATGGCTTAAGAGTATTAGGTATGTATGTGAACGTCATCCAATCAATCGAGCTAAGCTATTATGAAGACTTCCAAGTTTAATCGAGTGATCCACTGACCACCTGGTAGGGTAGGTCAGTATCTACCTTACCTACGAATATCTCCTGGTAAACGCCTCATTGAGATCTCTGATACACTAATCTTTATCGGTCTGGCCAGCCTCCCTTTTCTCATCAGATTAGGGTATTCCAAATCAGAAGCCTCTGTGTGTGGGCTTGAAGGGGCATGCATAGTCTAGTCCGAGGTTCACTAACGTAGGTAGCTTAGTATGACCCGAAGTTATTTCTTATATGGAAGCCCATCAGCCTCAACTGGCCGAGGAAGCGAAGACGACGATATTGTGAGGGATAATTGGCGGGCCGCTCACCGATTTCCCGAAAATTTGGGAAGTAGCAGGTAGATGAGATTAAAAAGAGGCACTGAACATTTGTGACATTCTGGCTAAACGGAGATCAAACAGAAGGGCAAATGTCGAATATGCGGTTAGGTTAGTTGAGTTGGAAAAGGCCGAGGGAGACAGCTAATGCTAGCTAGTATGTCTCATCTAGAAAGACCTAACCTAAGGGCTTGAGCTGTCACTTGCTCCCAGAGGCTTATACATACAAGCCTACATGCCTACATACTTTACTTACCTTAGGTATGTAGGTAGACGGGTATGGCCATCCATCGACGCCCTTTTTCACGCATTAATGTTGAGGGGCTTGGAGGATTGCTTGATAATGCATATAGTATGTAAATACAAGCATACCTAGTTTCTTGGCTATGTGATAAGTTGTGAAGCTGCAGCAGAAAAGTACTTTTGATCACAGATGGAGGGGGGTGGATGGGACTGAGGCTAAACATGCGCAAGTCTCCTTTCTGTGCTTTCTGTGCTTTCTGTGCTGTTATTGTGTGCTGTTATGTGCAGTGTTGGAGCATGATAAGAGCAGCAGCGAAAGGCGGCGGGCGTTGTCTTGTGGTGAAACATGAGGAATCACAATGATGCTAGCGAAAGAAGAACATATAAGAGCCCGGTAAGTGGCGTAAGAGAGAGGCCCCATAATGTACCTGGTGCATTGGTTGCATTGGTGCATTGCATTGAGGAATTGTAGGGTGTTAAGACTTCTGTCTCGCATGAATTGATCATATTTCCTAATGTAGCTCCATGCGCAACTCCATGCGTAACTCCATGCGCATCTGTAGGTACCTACCTAAGGTCCGGTATCAGGCCTATCCATGGATGCCTACCTTGGTAATAGGTAAGTAGGTAGGTAGGTAGGTAGGTAGGTAGGTAGGTAGGTAGGTAGACATGTCCATGGATCTCTTGAATCGGCGAATATTGACAGGATCATTGCAAGACTCTTGGGCTTGGGGTCAGATTGCGGGCCGCTCCTAGATCAGATTCGTACCTAGCTACGTCCCATCTTGGTATACCGATATACATGCCTAGATGCACATGTGATTCTAACTACCTAGTACCTATGTAATGTTGCCTCGACCCTAAAGATTACCTAGGTAGGTATCTACTCAAAACCTTAGAGACTTTGGTGATGCCAAATACTTTGTAAAATCCTCATTCAAGAGTGAACCCCTCGACGCAATTTGAGGAGGGTATCGCCTAATAGTTGGTACAACACCTGGGCAATATTGGATGGTATAATAATAATAAAGTATCCCAATCCTAGTCGCACATCATTTTTGATCGACAGCTACCGTGAGGATACGCCGTTAGCCTAAGGCACAGAATGAAGCCGATATTCCATGAGTAGATCAGGTTCATCCTATCTTGTTCGGCTGAAAGGATTATGCTTAACTGCTATCTGATATTGCTGGCTTCGGTAAATAACATTGCGGTTCCGGCCGAATAGAACTGTACTAATAGAACAAAAGGACGCTCTTAAACGAGTCATATCCGCTTGAATCGTAGGACTGGGTCTTTCTACACATATAGTGCAGCGATAGCTGAGAAAGAAAGAAAGAAACGTGCAAAAGCCCAGACGACAAGAAAGGAATGCGATAGGGTGGGTAGAAATAAGATTAAATGAAAAAGAAAAAAAAATAAAGCTGCAGTCCTGACTAGATAGATATACCTACTTACCGAGTACTGTTGTATTTCGTAGCGTTGCATGATGCGAAAAGACTATCAGGATCTTCCCTTGCTTCCCCATCTTCACCCACCCATTTTACCGGGCTGCTGGAACTGCTGCCCAAAGCTGCTGTTGGTTCAAATACTCAGGGGCTCTCCACTAACACGGCTTGGTATATACTGGGTACTACCTGGGTATGTGTCTGCCTCGGTATGAGAGGGAAAGGTCCCCTAGAAAGTCAAGATAATTCAGACAATAAATAATTTAGATGGCTGTTTGGCTTTCTTCTTCTTGTCTTCAGATAGATGCCATCTAAACGTGGACGTGATTCTTTCAAAGTACCCAGGTAACATCATCATGAGCTTGATTGGTGACATCTGATACGACGTGAAATCCGGGTATATTTTTGCCGCAGAAGAAGCAAGTTAAAGGCAAGAGGCGAAGAGGGATAAGGAAAGAAAAAGGGTAACACGGACCTTAGCAAGGGAATATTAATAATTCCCCCCGTCGGGATCAGCCCTAACATCCCTAACACCTGGGGTTTGCCCCTTTCTATAATCCAGATCCATATTATCTATCATATTACTTATTCTCCTTACATTTTCCAAGATCCTGAACCCCCAATAAACCTCAGCTACCAACCTTGAAGGTAAAGTTGGTCGATATCGTAGTTGAAGGAGACACATAGCATTGGCCCCCTATTCAACAGGGGTGCGTCACTATTCATGCCCTGATGCCTTTCTGGCGCCGGGATCAACATGGATACAAGGTTGAAGCTGCAGACAAACTGTGGCAAGCCACGGACTATTTACCTACCTATGATCAAAATCTCTGAACTAGATGTCATCTGGTAAAATACCTAGGCATGTCTACTTACCTCACAGGTAGTTAGCAAGCCGGAGAACAGTGGCTGCTCTCCCGTTAATCCCTGCCATCTCATTCGTGTCACAGATTTTACCTAATAGGTACTTAGATAGCATCATTTACGCCTGCATAGTCCCAAGAAACTGGTTGAGCTGTTCCATCGCGAATTGAGCCTGCCTGCCTGCCTACCTAGTTATGTAGGGAGGTACCGAGATAGGTAGTTCTGCAACTCTGAGCCGTAGAGATAGATATCTGAGGTAAGAGACTTCTGCAGCAGGACTTTCTCGGGCACTGCGTATCCGCTTTCTTGACGTCCGAGTCCACTTCTTACACCTGCATTACCTACGTACCCCTTAACCTTTAGCTACAGCCTGTGCACTGACTGGCTATTTCGAGGATAATAGTAAGATAAAGATACCTAGTTTCTTAGACGGCGAGGACATCCTATGGCTCGTCGGGAGCGCATCTAGTGCATAATAAGTCGGTTAATCGTTCAACGTGAAGGATTGTAAATAGGTGGCTGAAGATAATTGGAGGAGGCATTGATAGATGACATCTACCTCATGCTCGACATCGAGGCAGAAGGGTAATAGGAATTTCAAAACTCAAGTTCCAAATAGCACGGCCTTTTGCCAGTTACAATTCCTTGTCCTTTTTAATTGTATGCCGGTTGAGACGGGCATACTGTGTTGACCATTTTCTTTTCCTGCGCCTGCCATCAATCTTCGCCTAGGAGGTGAGCTCGTCAAGTCAGTGCTTATTTATCAGTAGAAAAAGTAGCGAGATCGCCTACAATGTCGTAGAGATTCACCGGATACCCTTCTTCTACCTAGGTTAGTATGTAGATCATCTTGATCCTACGCCGCCACTCACCGACGGGTTCATAGTTCCTAGTATATACCTACTTACTCAAGAGTCAGCCTCCCAAGACACCCTTCTTCTACAGGTACTTATCATGCCGTGAAGAGATCTTCTACCTCTGAAGCTTCTACTGAACGTCGACAGATATAAACAATACATGGCCGTTCCTCAGTCTAATAAATTGGAAGATATCGACCTCCAACGCTATAGTTGACCCCCTGAGATTCGTGGACCGTGCTCAGATTCGACCATAGTTTCTAGCTTCTAGCTTCAAGGGTGGCGTTCAGCTATAACCATCCCTCTCCATTATTCGCTATCAAGTAATTCAAATCCCTTCCACTGCCCAAAATATCCTCTCTGAACCAAAATCCAAACATTGGTCAAAGTTTCACCCCCCTTTACCACAAATATACTAATCATCCCCTTTTCACTCTAGAGGAGGCAGAGCGTAATGACGTCGTGCGCTTCGAAGTTACCTATTAGGCTTGTATGTACATAAGCCTCAGACGCCAGGTCCGGGTCGGTATGCACCAAGCTTCATCAACCAAGATATCGGTTGGACCCTCAATTTCTAGTTGGGGAACTTTTAGACATACCTAGGGTTGGTTCGGTGTGGGCGTCCATATAGGCTCACCTACCGCGCGTTTACTGTATCCTCTTAAGCAGTCGTAACCCCGACATCCCTCAAATAGCAGCAAGGTCACTGCTGTGGTTGGACTGCATATTCCATTCTACGGACTCCATTGGCCCGCTCCCAGCTCCCTCTCCACTATCTCCTGCTACCTCCCCTCTGATCATTGTTACCACCTTTCGGTTTATAAAGGCCGCAGAGAGTGAGCATCGAGCTTGAACCAGACCCCTGATGAATACAGTCTCCTACTATACACCCTTAGGTACTCTAGCAGGCGTGGAGCCACGGCACGGAAGCTAGCCGCCCTCCCACCCCATTATAGGATAAGCAACTGAAAGAGGCTTACTCGCTAGCCGCCCTGCCCATCCCGTTAAAGATTCGTTGATGGTAGTTACGCCCCGACACACCTTGCCGAATATAGACAGATCTCAGGGGCTAGGTACCTAGCTACTCGAACATATACCCTCTGGAGTCGTTCAAGTCCGTGTTAAGTATAATGCCTTATCGGTACCCACCAAAAGGCGATCCTGAGATAGATCTATCGCAAACTGACTACATGCGTAGCCATCTATCACCAATCATTCCAATCATGGAGGTAAGACTTACCAATAACTCCACGCAGCACACCACAGAACACAGCACAACCTACGCCTTCACTATCCCTTCCGTCTTCAAGTCAACATCGTGTCCCAGGGCAACCCAATACTCCCTGCCCAAACGACGAGATCCCCTATTTTAGAAATGCCAAAGTTGAAAACAAAGACCCGTATCGACCCCTAACGTGAGACCGCAGGGGACCAACGAACCCGATTCCCATCTTCCCAGGGATAGGAAGAGGAATAGACTTGGCTATCACCGGACACCTGTCGCTTGTAGTAAGTGATCGCCGCGCCAGGTCACCTGTTATTGTTTGTGTTGGGAAAGACAAAAAAAATACGCATGGAGTACTGAAGCCTTAGTTTTTTTGGTGTAGAACACTGTCGACAGAGGAAAATACGGTGCAAGCAGCCGGAGATACCAGACCACTTGGGGCGGTGTGAGTCCTGCATTAACCTCGGTATAGAGTGTGTTTACACCGCCGTCGTGAACCAACCGCCGCCGCCGCCCCCGACGGCACGGAGGCAAGAGATCAGAGCGTCCGCGGGGCCTTGCCTTGGGTCGCCCACCACCACGTCCCCGACCATGTCGACGGGGTACCCGTCGGATATACAATCGAGCACGCCGTACCACCAGCTAGCCGCAATGCAGTCGATGCCGAATATGGGACAACAGCCATCGATGGAGCCAGAAGAGAGCGGGACTTATTCTCCCGAACACAGAGGTAGGTAGACGTAATTCGTAAATGCCTCCCTCCCCGCACCCACAGTTGCCGTGAAAGTTACCTACCTACCTACCTACCTACCTACCTAAAGGAAACATCTACTAAAGCGCGCGCCGAGTAAAAAAAGGCACACCGATCATGTCCGGCAGTCGACAGTTCAACGGCAACAACAACAACTACGGGCACCACAACGGGACAGACAACACCACCTGGATGTCACCGACCGGAACCGAGGCCAGCAGCAACGCCTCTGCAAGGTCACCGCCCAGCGACAACAACAACAACAGCAACACGACGAATAACACTACGTGGATGAGTTTCGCCCCCCCCAGCCTCAGCCTCGCAGACCAGCATCCGCACCCGCCAACCCTCTCCGCCTACCCGTCCCATGTATCCACGTCCTCGCTGTCGACATGGCCAACCACGACCTCCCCCGTCGTGCTCGGCGGCCTCGACACGCCCACGGGCGCGTACCCGCTCGTCGCGCGCTCCTGGTCCTACAGCGACGACCAATCGAGCCGGTTCGCCGCCGCGCGGCCCTACGAGAGAATCCACCCGCACCCGCACCCCGTGGCGATCGCGGCCAACGCTGCCGTAGTAGCAGAGCCGGGGTCCCTCTCAGCAGGCGCCGTCTCGCCGTACGACCCTTGGCAGCAGCAGCAGGCGGCGTACCAGCAGCAGTACGCGGGGTGGTACGAGGACCGCGACGAGAGGCTGACGGGGGGGGGAGGGCATTCGTCGTCGTCGGCGTCGGAGGACGCGCTGCATGCTGGAGGGGGGGAGTACTACGGGGTGAGGTGACGTGACAGGACGGGGCATCGCGTGGGGATGATTACCTACCTAGTCCCTACTACAACTACGTTTAAAGCCCCCCCCTCCCCCCCTTTCTCTTCTCCTTTCTACCATCCACATACCATAATTTTCACACGCGTCCATATTTCCCCCGAGGCTTGTAATGTTTGTGTTTTCTTGTTCTTGTTCTTGTTCTTCTTCTTCTCATGCTGGGCATCTAGAAAGAAGCATTGCTCTATGGGGAGGGGATTTTCTTTCTTTTTATATATCGAATAGTACCTACTTCCCTAGTAAAAAAAAAGGGGGGGGAAAGGAAAGTCGTGGGGACGAAGAAAAATAGCTAACCTGGACAATTCGAGTTGCTTGAGCGTAAGAGGAGGGAAGGGAGAAAGGAAAAGGGGGGGGGAGATCTGCGAGATATTGGAAAGCTTAAAAAACGGGTAGGCTAGTTTTGCGGGAGATCGACAAGGGCCATACGTACGATACGAGCCGCGATGCGACGGTACTCGGAAAGCCCGTGCTTCGGGGGTTTGAACGACATATACAATATACACATACCTTGTATACATACATCTAGGTCCATCCGGTGCCGATGCCTCTTCGGACCTTATTTGTCCCGCAAATCCAACGAGGGTCGCCTACCTAAATCAGTACAGCAGAGAAACCCCCCGAAAACTAAGAAACTGTGTACGTGTGTAAGAAGGGTGTGTTTATAAGAAGGTAATAGAATTTACTGCCACGGACAACGACGGGTTTGGCATTATTCTGGGTTACTGGAGTCGGTAAATTGGTGCTGGAAACATTCGCATTGCGGGTTAGGCGGCTTCCGTGTGTTGGGCGGATATCCGTTTTGTTATTTCCTTCGAACAGACCTGTTGATTGGGAGAAGGAGAAAAAAGCAAGGAGCACACATATAAGGCCGGTTGGTGCCTAGCTTTACCCCTGACGATGTCACTATCGCGGCGAGGACAGTTCCCTTATTCTCTATGGATTGGCTTTCATCTTGTTCAAGGTAGGTGTAGCGTTAGTTCTATGGTTTTTGTTATCAAAAATTTGTCCGAGTGGGATATGGGAATCTGAGAAGGGGCTCGAGGATTCAGGTACAGGTGTTTGTCCTGACTCGGACGTTTGAGCGGCAAGTGCTATCGACCTAATCCTAGGCAGGTAGTGTGTAAATGGTTTAATATTCAATGGCTATGGCCTTTCTGTAGATAAATGGCGAGGGACTTCTTTGAAGCAAACTCAGTATTTAACCTACCTTGTAGGTACCTATGATTCCAAAAGGTGTCTTTAAGGATGCCAGCAGGGTTTTTGTGATGCGCCGATGTTGCAAGGCGTATGTAGCGACTGAACCTATGTGTGTATTCGAGGTGATGAGGTAGCTCGTAAAGCGGACATTGATGCCATTGATATATATAGACCCTATTGAAGAGTTACACAATAACACCAAACAAGCGCCCCTCGGCACTCATATGCCGAAAATGTCTTGGATAGATGGTGATATCTCATTCAAACCGTCCAATAGCTTGTATCCTGTATATTGTCGTAACGCTGTGAAATTGGCCGTGACCCCTATTTGGGCACACCCATTTGATCCGGCACAGAGCCCCCCAAAGCGTTAGGCTTCACTAACTTCCAAGAAGAAGGTAGAAGGTCAAACCACAACGTTCTCTGTAGCGAGAACATCAAAACCATAACCCACTACGATACACAAAAGTCCCATTTCACAGCGCGGGACGTGTCTGGTATCTCGGCACTCTCCTTCACGCGTCCAATTGCCAAGTCAGAACGAATAAGCCAATATAGGCGCCGATGCTCAGAGCGGTAAGAAAAAGTACGCTGTTTCCGCTGGTGCGGAACACGTTTTTCAATTCACCATCGCGATCCGTCGTGGTAAAAAACTGTGTATTACCTTGATACCGGCGGTAGATGGCACATAGCAATACTGCGCAACCATAACAGGCGAAGAGGGCGCCGATGGCGTAGAACTCAGAGGTGAAAATCTTGAGGATGATAAGGGCGAAGCTGAACTGCGAGAGAGCTGTTCGCATATAGGCTCCCTCAAAGGTTCTCTGAGCTGCTCGAATCTCCACTAGTCTGCCGGGGGGTGAGGTGTCTACCGTTAGCGGTAATCACTACTGAGAACTGCTGCAGCTAGATAGGTAGATGTTCTAGCCAGCAGGCAATGAAATGGTGACCTACTCCTGTGATGTGAGAACTACCGAGCGAGCGCGGTGCATCCGGAGATGGAGACGGTCTTCGGGATTTGGCTAGAACATTGTGGATCAGCAGCTCGTCCATTTAGAATTGACAAGAAAGAGATCTGAATAACTTATATTGAATGGAAATGAGGAGAAGGGAACTAACCTGGAACATGTTTTCAATGGTATTCCAAAGTCACCAGACAAACAGGGGTCATACAAATGTATGCCACGACTAGGTACAATATAATGCCTAATCCATTCTTCGCGGTGTACTTGATATATGTGATGTTGATAACAAGAACCTTGGAGTCACATACTTGCATAGTGATATCCATGATAGAGATACTACTAGTAACCCCACACTATACAGCTGAACAACAGCTGGAGAAACCAATTCGCCAGTTACAAAGAATCTAAGTAGTCACGTGGCTATCCGTTCTTCAAATGCTTGCCATTTAACTATTAACCTAGTTAGTCATTGCTAGTTCCAGGCTTCCCCTCCCAAATTCCTCCACCAACATTGGAATTTCCAAAATCCAAAATCGCCAATTGTCTCCAATCGTTCTCAATTGGGAATTCAACCCAAAATCCCTACCATTTTGATACACTAATGATGTGATATTTGTGGCACCCGCATCATTCACCATCCTAGCGCGTCTAACAGTGAAGAGGCTACCCATCATCATTACGAACAGTTTCTGGAAACCCTGCTAATCTGCCAATGTCGTTTTTTACGGCCGGCCATGTTGTACTGTACCGGGCGGTTAAAGGTCAGATTGGCGCTGTGCCGCTCTTCAACCAACTAATTGCTATAACTAGCCCTGGAGAGCTGTTCCATTTCTGGCACAGTAGCCCTAGTTAGCCATTTCTTTGCAGCTCGTTACTAACTTAGGTAGTTACGCTTTAGCGCGCTTGTGATGGATCGTCGAGAATCGGGAGAAATATGGGTTCTATTCTATTTCTACCACAGAAATACCCCGATTTCCCCTCTTCCTCACTAAGGGCTTTATGGACAACTCGAATGCTCTCTACGATGGAGCAATTTACAAATTGCAAAAAATTACTAACTAACATGCAAAGTATATATTGATCGGTCACCTATAGGGACATATTAAGAATGCAGTACACAAGTACTTCGCAATTTGCTGTCACTTCTGCCTCATCTTGTTACACGGGCACTATCCTAATCTCCACAATGTGCTGCCGCAGTCATGGCTGTGTTCAACCCACGCTTCATGGATCCCTATAAGTCTTGGCTGCTGCTTAAGTACCTAGTAGGTACCTATTTACAGTTATACTGACGCGAGAGTCAATGCTGACCATCTCTAACTACTTACATATACCTACTACAATATCTACTGTCTTATGTATGAAGATATGAACTAATCTGGTGCAGCCTTTTCCCGTTTTTCTAAACGTACATTGCTACAGAAAAGGACAAGAATGCTCAGATGAGAGAATTCTTGCTTCAGCTGGCGGGCCATTTCATCAGCTCGTGCTACTGTAACATTTGCCGACTCCCGACTCTTCCAGTGGAAAGGAAAAGATGTCAATTGGAGACCATCCAGTTCCTATGCTACCTTGAGTTGTCAAGACATGTGGTGCGGCTGGCAACTTCAAGTTCTCTAACGGACTAACGGTCTAACATACATCCATGGATACTACCTAAGGTTAGGTAGATACTGGGGCTACCAGGCAGCCTGCCTAGAAAAGGTGGGCAGCCAGGCAGCCAGGCAGCCAGGCCGTCAGGTAGTATCCTGAACACTCTAAACAGACAGAGCGATGATATATGTTCATATTCTGCTCATCGAGACGAACATTGAAATGCGCCGTGTTTTAAAATTTTCGGCGCATCGTGGGTACTGCCTCCAAGCACCGCCACATGTTATGAAGGCTGTTGGCCTACTACAATATATTGTCATCATCTTCAACATGTCATCTGGGTTTCCTTACGATCGATCTCGGCCGGGATTGTGTGGGCTCAGCAGCGGGGTCTTCCGTGGCTGAGATGAAATCGAAGAATGCCTCACTAACCCCTGTTCCCCATGAACAGGACGCCCGTGGTCTGGCGACCCAATTAGATTCGTGAGGAGCAACTTGGAGGGGTGAGCCGCAGTAGCAGTCGCAGTAGTGCGCGAGCCCTATCATCAATGTACTGATTCGGTGAGATTTGCCTTACGGTGTACTGCCCTTTTTGGGTCTGTCTTTTCCATTGATGTTCACCACTTGTCTAGCCTAGTTCAATGATCTTATTCCTGTTCCTATTCCCATTTCTTTACCATCTTTCTACCTACATAGTACTAAGTATGTACGCTCTGTCAAGTGTCTAGTATCGTACAATACATGTATCTACCTACCTACTAGGTATATTTGCACGGCCTCTTTTGCCAGTTCATCGGCACAGGTTTCGGATCAGATTATCTTCGATAGACATCATCCATAGGCAGGTCGCACTACTGGCCTACCAACTTTCTACCTACATGTAAGTATTAGTAGTATTTCCATTTGGTCTCGCTCCTTGTTTGACTCCACCTCTTAAGCGCCGCAGGATCAAGGTACCCGCTCCCTCCCCCAGCATTACAACATCAAGACTCTATTATCTACATTATCTACCTTGGTAGCCTTTCTTCTACTTTTTGAACGTGGTCTTTTGATAATCTATCGAGAATCGTATCTACCATTCTTCGATCTTGCGCCTACATTGTATTCTTACCTAGTTCTAAGACAGGATTTTCGAAGAGAGTTGATCGTCGAAGGAATCAGTCGCATTCAGCTCGCGAGGCTCCGGCTTAATAATAACATGGTCATATTTTGCCGACGTTGACTGGGAGCTTTCCAATTCTAGTACAATACCAACACCATACATCCTCACCCACTTAATAATAGATACCTACCAACCCCGATTTCCCCTTGCTCAGCATATCTCAGCTATGAACATGAGTGCCGGATACACAGTCTCGCCCGCGTCGCTTGACCTTCGCGATCACCTAAACGACCAGTCGCAACAATCTCAGAACCAGAACCAGAACCTCAACAACAACTATAACTATAATTATACTCACAACTTCAAGACTCCCATTACCCCTGTTGAATCTCACCTATTATCGCCATTTTCCTCCCATATACAAAGCAATTCAGCCTCTCCTGCGAGCCATTTCACTCCTGCAGACTCTGTCTCCACAAACGATATCTACCAGTCGAGTGATCTCAGTAGTGACTTCGGTGACGCTTGGCTCGGTGTCAACTTCGACAACGTCGACGATAGTGGGGCCCCGTCTTTTCTCGGGGGGTTTGACGGCGCGCTAGAGCCCTCTGCTCAATCAACCCAAAATTATGGCTTTAAAGATGTTAAATACCCTTTGAGTCCTCATCAGACACCTTCCGTACCACCCACATCGGTATTCGCCTACACCAACAAGACTTCCACCGACGTTCGGCCCCTTGCGCACTCTATCACCTCGACCCAGTCTGCAGCTCAACTGACACCCAGCACTAATGGTGATAGTTTTTCCAGTGAAGATAATCCTGAACAGAGCATGCTTGCTATGGCTCCGCAAAGTCCCCGCGTGACGGTTTCTATGTGGAACCAGGACGACGATGCGCTAATACAAGGAATTGAGAGGTCTTTTATGGCCGGAGCGGAAAGTCCTCGACCCTCCCAGCCATCGGCTGGCGATTTGGCTGGTGAGCCCAGTCATGGAAGTACGGCAGCTACTGTGCGAGATACGGCAGGTAACTGGGTGCCACATTCTGCCACGGGAAATCGAGGACTCGCTCCCGGGGACCGGCCTCCTGACGAGGTGCCAAGTCTCAACCAACAGACTAACCGCCGACAGCGTCATGAAAAGAATAAGGAAGTTTATGAGTGGGTTTCTCGATCATCCAACGGTTTAGAAAGCACTTCCAATATATTAGCTGGCGGGCAAGATTCAGAAGAGGACAATATACCTACAGGCGAAATCCCGCTAGGAAATTCCACCGAAAATAAACATATTGAGGGCCAGGCATACTATAACGTCGATGGACCTGGTGGGCCCATCACGCAGACCGATTTTGACATAATGCGACAACTCAATACCTGGGCAGATGCGCCGGCCATCTACGCTATCCAATCTGGCCCCCATTACCAACCGGAATCATCGCAAGCTGCAATAGAGAAGTTTAACCGCCAATGTCAAGACAACGAGTCAATTGTCTCAAGGGCAGCTACTTGGGGAACGCGCAGACGGAGTTTGCCTAGTCTTGTAGATATGGAGGGTGTTGTCAGCGGTAACTTCCTCAAAAAACTGTCCATCAGTTCTCACTCTCGCCGGCCGAACTTCATCAAAAGGTTTCCCAGCTTGGTACGGAAACCCAGCGGCAGCCAAAATTTGAAGAGGAAAGGGAGCAATGCCAGCGAAGCCCCGCCACAAGATCCTGACGAACAAGAACGTCGGGAGTCCAAGGATACTCTGGCACCCCCATCGCGTACCACTAGTTGGGGGATAACCGGAATCACCAAGAAGCCCACGCCCAACTTGAACACTGCTTTAGTTGGAATGGCTACCGGTGCTGCATCCATTGGAACCACTCATGCTCGAAGCGGCTCAATTAGCACCCCTTCTATGACATCCCCCAAGAGCCCCTTCGGCTCCCTCAGCATTCCGCCTAACAAGAAGAGCCTGAGGAGGCCGAGAAGCAAGACGGAGCTTCCAAAGAGCTCCAATTCGGAACTCATCTCGCATCCCAATCTCGTCCAGATGTTGAAAAGACAAGGTGGACCGCCCGTTGCCTCGTTGGTAAGACATCATCAGCCAGCAGTGGAGCCGGAGGAGGATGAGGAGGATGATGATGATGAGTTTGACGACGGAGATGTAAAAGCTGAGCCAAGCAGTCTGAAGATCATCGAACCCACCTTTGCAGGTTTCCGGGAACACGTTCTAGCTTTGAACCCGGGACTTGTAGGTGAGAGTGGGTGGTTGGCCGACCGCATTGCGCATCAACTGGTCGTGCGCTACAAACATCTCCAGACTGCCAAGATCAAGCATCTGAATCAGGTCAACTTTCGCAAGTGCACCAGCGGAGCTCTGTGTCTTTCGCTGGGAGGATCTGCCGTTCCACTCGATGGCAAAAATAGCGAGCGTAGCATAGACCCCTTATCCACCCGACCAGACTCTTCTGATAGTAACACCACTCCCCTTGAGGGTGGCATCAACTCAGAAAGTTTCCCGCCGGGGATCCCCATGCCTCCCACTACAGCGCTGCCGGCGGAGTTCGAGTGCCAGCTTTGCTTCATGAGCAAGAGGTTCCTGAAGCCTTCGGATTGGACCAAGCACGTACACGAAGATGTCCAGCCATTCACGTGCACCTGGGAGAAGTGCCGCGAGCCCAAGATGTTTAAACGAAAGGCAGACTGGGTCCGACACGAGAACGAAGGTCATCGTCATCTGGAGTGGTGGACATGCGATGTCGACGATTGCCGACATATATGCTACCGACGCGACAACTTCCTGCAGCATCTGGTTCGCGAGCACAAGTTCACGGAGCCGAGGATCAAGACAAAAGCCGCGATTAAGAAAGCCGGTGGCGGTGACCACACGTGGCAAAAAGTCGAGCAGTGCCACGTCGAGACCCAGGCCAAGCCGTCGGACGAGCCATGTCGCTTCTGTCGGAAGACGTTCCCGACGTGGAAGAAGCTCACGGTCCACCTGGCGAAGCACATGGAGAACATCAGCCTCCCCGTGCTGAGCGTGGTCAACGCGAAGAAGCTCGAGGCCGATACCATCATCAGCCCCGTGCAGGACCCTCCTCGTCCCAGCTTTCCGGCGCCTCCGGTCAAGCAGGAACATCCGTCATCATCATTCGAGTCACGCAATAACCATAACACCATTCATACGACGACCACGCCCAACTCTGTTCCCACACAACAAAACTATCCACAGATGAGCAACACGAACTACAGCAACCCTAGCCAGATGCCCATGTCGAACGCGTACTACACCACGCAGCAGCGGTCGCCGTACCCCGAAATGCCCAACAACCAATACCCCAACATCATGATCCCGCAAAACTACACCAACCTCCAGCCTCTGCAGACGCAGTACCACAACCCGCTCGCTATCATCACCACCATGGGGCCTTCTTCCTCCTCCTCCCCTTATGGCCCTAGCACTCTCTCGTACAACACGAGTATGCAGCAGCAGCAGCAGCAGCAACAAGAAGGACTAGAGCCGTTCCCCGAGCTCGACCTCAATCCGCTGGGGATCCAAGATCCGTCCGGGTCGATGTGTTACGAGAACCTCGGGCACACTGGCGGCATGCAGCCGGTCGAGCAGCAGTATGCTAGCCACCCGGGCTCGGTGTCGCCGTACGGGCACTCGCCGCACCCGGGGCATAACGGCGGCGGCTTTTACAACGCTTGAATGTGAAAAATAAATAAAAAGTTCTTTGACCTAGATACCTGTTAGGTATCTAGGTATCTACGTTTTCTCTTATGCGATCTCATGCGATCTTACGCTATGTTTGCGATTCCCTTTTTATTGGCAGATATTATACCCATAGGTACTCCTTCTCACCCCCACACCGAGCTGGAGTTTGCAGGATGGCTCCCCACTGTTTCTCGATATGATTTTTCTTTTTCTTTTCTTTGCTTTTCCTTTTTTAACCACTTACGATATCCCGTGGCGTTATTTGGGTATGACGGAGATTTTTCAATCTATTCCAAACTTTTTTTTCATTCGATTTTCTTTTTTTTCTCCTTGCTACGTTTCGTTTCTAGATCTTACCCATGCTACGTTCAGCCACAATACGTAACTTGCTTGACGTCAGGTGTCTCTCCTACATCAAGTATCAAGTATCAAGTATCACGGGCACAAGTCTTCTTTTTTTTTTTCTTCCTTTCTTTCCCGCAACGTTATCTTTGGGGGGATGGGAGGCTATATATGTCTGGTGGCAATGAATGACTTTAAAGGGGTTCTTTCTTTCTCTATGCTATGAATGCCCTTCGAGGTAAGGGGATATGACTGGATTAGATACACAAATCAACCTCCTCTCTAAGGGGGGCTTGAAAAAGAAGCATCAAATGTAACGACAGGCAAATGAACACAAAACACACAGACACACGCACGCATGTACGCACGTATGCAAATAAAGAAACGAACATCTCTGAGCTATGCTTGGTTTGGTGGGAGGGAAGGAGGAGGAAAGGCGTCTTTTCTGTTTCGGTCGGTAGTTATTATCAATCATCTGTTTCGAGTCGGGGTTTCGAGGGTGGTTCCGGCTTTGCTTTCTTCTAGACTACCTACGGACGGTTATATATCTCAATAGACCTCTCTCGCTTGCTTGTTTACTTGCATTTTTCGGCGATACTTCAACGATGTTGATATTACTGGGAACATTCGATGTAGTTATGTAGGTGACTGACTGTCTTAGGCCAGCCTTGTTCTTATGTAGGTATGTGTGTGCATTTTCACAGGTGAGCAAAGTCTAGAGGCCTCCAGCTACACTACACTACACTACATATCTAACCTAGGTACTGCAACTAAGGTTGAGCTTGATAATAAACATCTCCACTCACTGCGTCAATCAACTCGGAACATATAAGCTTAACCTTGATCACGAACGATGATCAAACATTAAACTGCAAAGGGGGTACCTACCTACCTAACCTAGTAGGTTGTTTAGGTAGGTAGGTATGTATGTACATGCTCCCGGTGCCGACTTTGTGGGGGAAGAATAAAAGAAAAAAGGGGGTTGGTTGGGTTCATTCAAAGGTTTCCTTTTTATTGGTTTAACCTAGGTAACTAGTTAGTTGCTTCGAAGTTCACATGTTACCAAACCTGCCTTGCTTGCTGTCTAATAACTAGACACTGTCTGCAAGGACGAAGGGAATTTCTCAATTACCTTACATATAAATAGCTACCTAGTTATTGTAATTCGTTCGTTCGTTCGTTCTTGTTTTAGAAGAGCCCTTCATCCTCGTTGAACCCACATGTAATTACGGATTCATTCTAGAATAGATTTCCCAGGTAAGGTATGTATGTCTTGTACTGTACCTCGGTATGTAAGAACGTGCAGGTGTCAGAAATTCAAAATACCTAACCTAGTTAGTTATTGCCAGTTCACTATTTTTGGTAGCGAATTTGTTTGAATCGTCCGGGATCTCATCCCTCCCGGATTTGTCGTCTTGGATATACAGTTTATACGATGCACATTAGTTACCTAGATGTGTACTGTACTGTAGTTATGTGAATATAAGTTATACGATGCATCCCCATCTGAATAGCTACGTACCAAGCAAATGCCAATGCATAAGAGTGATTAAAATTATATAATATACATAGTAATGTCCCGGGATTTTTGGAAAAGGTTCGTCATATTATTAGATTGCTGGGGGGATCCGCTAATGAGATGAAAGTCAATTAGTGCTAGGTAGCAAGGATCACCTTGACTGCCATGTGGGGACGAGACTGCAAATCCTGGGTACCTGGTAAGTACCTACTTACATACATGTATGTACCTACATATGTATGTACCTACGTATCAAGTAAGGACATTGATGAAGGGAAGGAAAAGAAAAATAATACATATGATCGAGGATCTCCCTCGTTTCTGTTCATCTAATTGGAACACGAACGAAAGAAGAACTTCAATGGCGAGAACTTTCTCTTTACTTCTCTCTTTTCTTCGGTATTCAATCAATTTCAATGGAATCAATGGAATCAATGGCTGTATATATGGATCAATCTTGATACAGCCGTACCCAGTTATTATATATACCTAGATACCTAACAGGTACCTGCATATGTAAATTTGGCTACAAAAGCAACCCCTGGGGGGCCGCCGCCGCCCGCCCCTGACGCGGGATTCCCTTGGTAGCGATTTATAGCCAATCGCGCCAGTTCCTCTCCTTATTAGTTAGTTATTTGCTTCTTTTTCTTCATCTTCCTTTTCTATTTTCAAATAGTTAATCGAACCAACCCAAACAAAAGATGAAGATAAAGAAGAAGAAAAGAAGATAAAAATCTTCGAGCCCGATTCGCCTCCTTCTTGGTCCAGTAATGAGATTCATCATTAATGCTTACGTACTTGTCTAGGTTGATACGTAATATACGCAGTCAAGTGTGAATCTTGCAATATCAAGTACATAGTTATGGAAATGCCTACCTAGTTAGCTGATAACTAGGTAGGTAGGTTACGCATGTTGTGTAGTCAACTCCAGATGAGATCTTCAGGTAGCAATGAACATCCAACCAATTATTTACATGACGGATGACGTCGATGGGTGTTTGTATGTATGTATGACATTGTATGTAACCTGAGTTAGTTACCTGACTGGAGAGAATACCTACATACCTACCTGACGCTACTGACGGTAGTTCAACCACCATGTACCTATCATAGCATACACAGCTACACAGCTACACAGCTACACAGCTACACAGCTACACAGCTACACAGCTACACAGCTACACAGCTAGGTTAGTTACATATTAATAGTACATCATCTCTATGGATACATACTATGTAAAATGCAAATCCACCGTGTTTCGAAATGCCCCAAAGTGGCTGGCCACGCTTCTCCTAATTGCGGTTGGCTCGGCCGTGGCGTTTGCCGCTCCATCCAATGACCTGGCCAAAGGGCAGCACCAGCATCATACATACATACATACCTACATACATAACAACATTGATTGATTGATTGAACGTTGAAGGGGAAAAAAGGAACAGTTGAAGTGAAGGGATTGAAGAAGAAGAAGGGGGATGGGGCCCTTTGGTTTCATGTGGATTCGGGGTCTTGCGAGAGTAGTGTCTGTCGTCCGCAGCAGCAGCACAGCACCATCGTGGAGCGATTGATGGGGCTCTCCTCTTGCTACATACATGTATGTAGTAACTATGCCAGGTACATACATATTACTAGGATAAGGGGAACCGGGGTACCGGGCCTCTCGAACTTGTTCCTTGTGTTGTGGATACACTAGTTATCACTGGATAATAATTGCCCAGGTGGATTGGGGGACTTCAACTTAAACTAAAAAGAACCGAGCAAGGGAGCTCATCAAGCTTGGCTGCCTTTTTTTTCCCACACTATGTAACTACATAGGTATGTACCTACATACACTGTCATACAGAGAGAGGAACATGAGAGAGACATGAGTTGAGAGAGAGAGAGTAGAGAGAGATCTTAGTCAGGGGCAATCCTCGAGGTGCATCTACTGATCCCAGCTTAATTCTTTCCCTTCACCACAAACCTGCAAACCTGAATCTGCTTTGACCTTCACACTCATTTTTGTTTTTGGCAGTGGTTACTAACTTGTGAACCTACACTTTTTTTTTTCTCCCTCCTCGCCGCATTCTCTCATTCTGCATTGCATCTTGCGTCGTGATTCTTTTTTTTTGAGCTGACCTTTCTCTCGCACATTCGTTTATTCGCTACTCCAGAGTTAAAGGTTCGTTTCTCATCAAAATAACCTCCACCGCCCAAGACGAAAACGACAACGGCCTTTCTCTCTATCCATACAATACATACACCATCGTCGACCTTCTTGCCATCATTATCGACGAAGCTATTTACAACCAAGTCCACGTTACTGGACTATTAAACCGCTATAACAGCTACCTACCAACTTACCTACCTAAGGTACACACACCTATCCAGGAAAACCCAACCCACCACATTTACTGGTCGTTTCCCTCTTTTTTCAAGGAGGCAACTTGTTGCCAGTTTCTATTCTTTCCAAAGGTTGATCCTTAGGCCGATTTTCCATTCTCTCTATTTTTCTCTCTTTATTTGCATTTGCATAAGCCAAAGAATCCTTGCTATCAAATTCTGCCCTCCGAACCGAAGTCCTCTCTGCCGAACATTGAAAATTTCCAAGACAAATTTTATATTCGTCCTGGAGTTTTCATCATCGGCTGTCGTTGATACTGCACTTGGTAGTATCTTCGAGAGAGGACCTTCGTACACTCATTACAGATTTTTAATTAGCTCGGCAAATGTTGTATGGTACAACAAGGGCGTGTGATACAGCAAACAGCATCTAGCGATTGAATTTTCAAGCATACCTGAGGCGAGCATTTACTCGCACATATACCAAGACACATACGCAGTTAGATTCCGGACACCTCCACTTCCCAGTGGTTTTACGATTTCCTTGGTTCTTTCTCCGATATAGAAAAGCAGTTCGTTCAAGATGGCAATTCCGAGTTCGAGATGGAATATCCGGTGGGCAGCTATATTGGCGACGGCATTTGTTAGCGGAGTACTAGGTGATAGCCTCCTAGTCACGAGTGGATTCGCCAATTGCAAAACCAATAGCAACATCAACATACAACAGGTCGACTTTTCTTACAACAATGACGCACAGCTAATAAGCTTCGACATGTCGGGCGTGAGCGACAAGCAGTACAACGTATCCATAACGCTCGCCGTAACCGCATACGGACACGACGTCTATTCGAATACGTTCAACCCCTGCGAGTCCGCGACGTTTTTTGGCCAGCTGTGTCCTAGTATGTGAACCGGATCCTAAGTTACCCCTATTCAGAATTCGATGGTTAACAACAGCATAGTTCCGAAGGGAGTATTCAATTCTACCGGCAGCCAGTCAGTCCCTGCGCAGTATAGCAATGCTATTCCCGGTATTGCATTCCAGATGCCCGACATCGTAGCCCAAGCAACGCTCCAATTGAAGCCATTGGGCGAAACGAAGGATGCAGGCTGCATACACGCCCAGGTAACGAACAAAAAGACGGCTCACGTGGCCGCGGTCTCCTATGTGGCCGCCAGTGTAGCCGGAGTGGCTTTGTTAATGGGCAGCGCAGGAGCAGTGGGATCCGCCATGTCTGGAGGAGCCAGTGCGGCTGGTAGCGGCGCCGGCGCGGGTGGCTTCAGTCCAAGTTTTGTGGAGGTCTTCGGTGTATTCCAAGGATTTGCGGTAAACGGTTTGATGTCGGTTCAGTTACCGGAGGTCTACCAGAGTTTCACTCGAAACTTTGCTTTTTCCACGGGCCTGATTCCATGGACGCAGATGCAAATTTCCATCGACAACTTCAGAGCGATGACGGGCGGTAATCTAACCAATGACAGCGTCGAATATCTTCAAAAGTCTAAGCTTCTCGCCGCCAGTGGTTCGAGTGGGAATAGCACACTTGCTAGCCGTGCCATTCGAGACCTGGTTTACCTCGCAGCCCGCGACACAGAAGACGACGACTCATCAAGCCCCGAAGATGCGATCCATAATGCTTTGACCGGTATTCAGAGATACGTCCAACAGTTGACCGTACCGCAAGCCAATACCTTCATGACAGTTCTGCTAATCGTTGCCATCGTCATCGGCGTCATCGTGGTGGGCATTCTGCTAGTGAAGGTCATCCTAGAAGCTTGGTCTTTATACGGCAACTTCCCCGAATCGTTATCCGGCTTCCGCAAGCATTATTGGAACTCAATCGCCCGCGCCATCACGTCTCTTATCCTGGTACTCTACAGCATTTGGGTTTTGTACTGTGTATTCCAGTTCACACATGGAGATTCCTGGGGTGCCCAGACACTTGCGGGCGTCACGCTGGTCATTTTCACCGGTATCTTAGCCTTCTTCTCGTGGAAGATCTGGAGCATAGCAAATAGGCTCAAGAATGCCGAGGGTGATGTTGCCAGCTTATATGAGGACAAGAAGATCTGGGTGAAATACTCGATGTTCTATGAATCGTACAGGAAGGATTACTGGTGGATTTTCGTCCCGGTCATTCTCTACATGTTCGTTAAGGGGTTCGTTCTCGCCGCTACCGACGGTCATGGCATGGCGCAGTCAATCTGTCTGCTCTTGGTGGAAGGAGCCATGTTGGCGCTGTTGGCCTGGGCCAAGCCCTTTGAGCGCAAGTCGGGCAATGTTATCAACATCTCGATCCAGGCCGTCCGGTTCCTTTCCGTGGTCTGCGTCTTCATTTTTGTCGAGGAATTCGGCATTGCCCAGTCAACACAAACAGTAGCCGGCGTGGTTTTGATTGTTGTACAATCCATTCTAGCCGCATCCCTCGCGGTCCTCATCGGATGGAACGCCATCGTGGCTCTTTGCAAACAGAACCCGCACCGCAAGCGCAGAAAGGAGATGGGTAAGTGGCAAGAACATGGTTCTACCGCAAATATTCAAGTATAAAACAGCATGCTAACAGACTTTGCAGAGAAGATGAATCGTGATTTCGATTCACTTACACCCCTGGACGCGCGCAACTCGCTACTTTTGGAACGCATCAAGACCGGCCAGTCTGGCATCACCATTAGTTTCAGCGCCCCCGCCTCCGATGATAAGAAACCTATTGAACAGGATTCATCGGCTAGCAGATATACGGGTGTCACCGTAGAGTCGGCTGCCAGTCCCTACTCGCCCTTAGGCGATCCGTTCCAAAGATCGCTGACACCGACGATGTCAATAGGGGGAGCGAACCAGAGCCGCGAGAGCCTTGTCTCAGGCATGCCTAGTGCACGACAGTCGGGAACGCCGAGTTTAGGAGGGGCTAATGGTAGCCTTGGCCAGAAAAAATGAAAGTGAAATTCGGGTTATCGGGCACCCGGGGGTTCTTGAGGTTCTTGAAGGTTCTTGAGGTAGGGAGCAAAACAGGAGCAGAATGAACGTATGGGAGTAGTGGGTTGTTAAAAGAACTCACCGGAGTAATCGAGATGGTAGATGGGCTCGAGCAGGTGTAGCACGCGCTATCATGTATGTGGCCACGAACGCTGTATAAACACGACACACTTCTACCTTATATCTACCTACCTCTTTGAGCTCTCACCGGCAAATGGAGTTTTTGGAGGCTTACATAGACATCACATCATCCACCTTTTTATTTTATTATTTGTCGTTTTTGAAAGTAGAATTGAATTAGCCATCCCAACATTTCTCTGCGCAGTATATAGCTGAACCTGTAATTAAATTGTAGTATCGGGGATGGCGTTCATATGGGCGAGGGGGTTGAAGAAGTGAGGTTAGGTTAGCAACATTGAAGTGTGTAACAATTGTAGATGTCTTGAATTATGTACCTAGGTACTGATTATCTAATCAGATGTACGAATACTAAATAGTTAGCCCCCAGCATAAAAAAGGAGCTTGGACCATCTGCTGTCGGAGAGAGAGCAAGTAACGAACGCGTGCGGGCCAGCTGCCTTGAGTGAGCTTCGACCAAGCAAGAGTAACCAGCACAGTGAAGCCTCATCCAACCAAACGTCACTTCAACTTTCCTAGGTACGCTGCCACTTTTAACTTTACCATTTTACCATTCTCAACCACTTTCTACTATTGTTTTCCACTAACAACCACAAAACAGCAGCACTCCATTAACTATTCCTCATTTCCACCACACACACTCTTAATACAATAGTCATGGACACTCTCGTGGCCAGGTACAGCCGCCCGGCTGCGATGCACAAAGAGACCTATCCCGAGGACCAGGAAGACGATCTCCAGAATGACATGAGCTCCAGCCTATCCCTAAAGTTTGCCATGCCTCCAGTAGCCCAGGTATGTGTTCTTTCAATTTATACCTTTATCAAGGCAGGATCTAATCAAACCAACCTTAGCCCTCCGCCTGGCTCCGCGCAGCAACCGACGACCGTTCAAACCCCGAATGCCCCATCAAGATCGCCCACGGTACCACGACACTCGCCTTCCGATTCCAAGGCGGCATCATCGTAGCCACGGACTCCCGTGCCACCGCCGGTAACTGGATCGCCTCCCAGACTGTCAAGAAGGTCATCGAGATCAACAACTGCCTGCTGGGCACCATGGCCGGCGGCGCCGCCGACTGCCAGTACTGGCTCGCCTGGCTGGGCATGCAGTGCCGCCTGCACGAGCTGCGTCACAAGCGCCGCATCAGTGTCGCCGCCGCCTCCAAGATCCTCGCCAACCTCGTCTACCAGTACAAGGGAATGGGCCTGTCCATGGGCACCATGTGCGCCGGTGTCACCAAGGAGGAGGGACCCGCCCTCTACTACATCGACTCCGACGGCACCCGCCTGTCCGGAAACCTGTTCTGTGTCGGGTCCGGCCAGACCTTTGCGTACGGTGTGCTCGACGCCGAGTACAAGTACGACCTGACGGAGGAGGACGCCCTGGAGCTGGGCCGCCGGAGCATCCTCGCCGCCACCCACCGAGACGCCTACTCCGGTGGATACATCAACTTATACCACGTCAAGGAGGAGGGCTGGGTTAAGCATGGCTTCAACGACACGAACCCCATCTTCTGGAAGACGAAGCTCGAGAAGGGCGAGTTCACCAACGTCACCAGCTCTCTGGACTAAATATGACTTGCGCAAAAGAAAAGAAAATTCAAAATAGCAAGGCGACATATTACCGGTCTTCCGAAAAGAAGGAAGTTCACACTGGTCACAAGGGTCATATTACAATGAGGAGAAGGCGGGAAGGGGTGGGAAGAGAACGCAAAGCTGAGATAGCATATTATGATAGCTGTCTAGGCGCAAAATTCTCACGGGCCCTTTAATTCGGGGGCCTGCCCGCGCATATGAAATGTATAACAATGGAAACATTGAGATGTTCTCTTTCCACAATCCGTGCAATTTTCCGGTTTACTCGTCAAACCCTTAGTAACTCCATTATATCTACCTACATAGGCTAGGTTAGGTATGTAGATTGTTATGCTATGCTATCATAGCATGCCGCCCAATGCAATGCAATGAAGTGAAATCATATAGACGTGATCGTACAGCCATCTACTTCTCTTTTTTTTTTTTTTTTTTCATTTTCCTAATCCTTCTCTCCTTTACTAACACCATCCCTAGCCCAACCCCCCGCACCCAAGATCCCGCCACCCTCGGCTTCCGGGTCAAGCGACCACTTCCGAATGGCCAGGACATCCAGCTCGCTCCTCCACCCCGCCTCATACATCTCCATGCCCGTCCAGGCGATCATGGCCGCGTTGTCGGTGCACAGGGAAGCGGGCGGGCGCACAAGCGCGAGGTAGCCGTGCCCCCGGGCGTCGAGGACGGACCGCAGGATGTGCACGAGGTAGCGGTTGCTAGCGACGCCGCCGGCGAGGACGAGGGTGCGCGGGGAGGGTTCGTCGGCGGCGGCGGGGAGGTGCTTCTTCAGGGCGAGAAGGAGGCGGGAGGCGAGGTGTTCGAAGGCGAGGCGCATGGCGTGGCGGGCGAGCAGGCGGCGCTCGGGGAGGGGCATGTCGGGGCGGGCGAGCAGGAGCTTGAGGATCTGCCCGTTGATGCCGGCGAACTCGTAGGCCATCTGCGTCGTGCGGTGCAGTGGTGGCGTGAGGCCCCAGCCGAGGCCCGAGTCGTAGAGCTCGATCTCGTCGGCGCGCGTGGCGGGGGGCGTGTACTCGTAGTCGATGTCGAGGCCGGGGGGCTCGGGGAAGGCGAAGCGCTCGAGCACGGGGCCGTACATGACACTGTCGCCTGCGGCGATCTCGGAGGGCGGCACGATCTCCCGCGCGCACTTGTCGAGCATGTCGCCGATCGCGATGCTGTTCGCCTCGGCGAGGATGGTGTGGTGGTTGAGGGACCGCGAAAGCAGGAGCAGGGTGTGTCCGCCCGAGACGAGAAGGGAGAGGAAGGGGAACGACGGGGTTTCTGTATTTTCTTCCGTTGTATTCGCTAGCTCCATATCCTCATCTGCTGTTGTGGTTGGTGCTTCCCCTGGATTTTGTCGTTGCTCTTCGCCTCGCTGCAGAGCACTGACGAGTCTTGGCGTCAGAGCATGTGCTTGCATGTGGTTGACGCCGAGTAATGGCACATCCCAGGCGACGGCGAGCCCCTTGGCTGTGTTGAGCCCCGTCGAGAGATTCGACATCATGCCGGGCCCGCGGGTAACCGTCACGAAGTCCGGTTTTCGGCGGAGACGCCCGTCGACCCGCAGGACATCGTCCTTTGCGCTTTGTGCTCCGTCCTGGTTACCGTCTGTCCTTTCATGTTTCCCGGTAGGAGTTCCCTGCGCTTCGGGCAGCGTATGCAAAGCCTCCTTTATTAAATTCGCTAGGTGCTGTGTATGGGACGCCACAGCTGTCATGGGGTCGACACCGCGGAATTCACGATTGTCAGACGTGATCTTCTTGTTAAAGCGGAGATACGCTGCTCCTCCCGCACCCACATCCTTCTCCAGTACGGCGACACACGTGTCGTCGCATGATGTCTCGATAGCCAGGGTAAGAAAGCGCTGCGGCCTTCTAAAGGAAGATGAGAAGCATCGCGATGCGGCTGATGATATTCCTAAGAAATGGACGCTATAATAGCCCCGTGTCCGAGAACACGACCGTATTGGGGTCAACCATATCGGGCTCATAAGCGCGGTTGAACAGTATAAGAAAGATAAGATTGGTTGAGATTATTTTATTTTATTTTATTTTATATTCGAGTTGTACATGTATGTACCTAGGTACTTTTACGGATTTTCTTATCTTATCGATCACCTCGGTATTCGTACCTACTAACTATATAAGCGTCTTCGTCTCTTCCTCTTTTCCTTAACCAACAAACCACAAAACACAGACATTGAATTCATATATATGATAAATATATGATAATAGCCAAGCGAACGAAAGGAGTACACGCTTAACCTAACAACCATAGCTCATAATACAATTCAGCTACATAACTAGATCAGATTAACCCCTAAAAATATCTCACAGACATCCAAGTACCTAACCACCTAATTTACTCCCCCCCTCAACAGTCTTCACCCCCTTCACCCCACACCACCTCAAAGCACAAAGACACCCAAGAGCCCCGTCCCACACCCAACCGCCACCACAGCCAACACCCCAGCCGAAGCCCTCTCCCCCGCACTAACTTGAAACGGTGGCAGCGCGGTGCTGTTATTCGAAGCACTGCCAGCCACGGCCGTGGCGCTCGCCGCGGCGGCCGAAGACAGGGATGCGAGTGAGCCGGGGAGCTGCTGCAGACCGCTTGCTGTTGTTTCGGCCGGGAGCGCCTCGAGAGCCGTAGTTGTGGCAGTGGTATCGGAGCTGCCCTCGCCACCGGACGAAACCAACGAACCGCTTCCGTTACCTGCAGACCCGGACTCGGATCCGGATGATGATTCGGAGGATCCACTACCCGAGCTACCCGAAGTCGGCAGCGCCCGAAGAGACTCCGAGGCTGCAATGGCACCGGCGCCACCGGTAGGCAGCGCAACGAGCGCGGTAGACGCCCCAGTTCCCACGAGCCCTACCTCAGTGGCAGCAGTAGCCGTCTCATTAAAGAACCCCGTAAATCGCGCGGTAGAAACAGTAGTAGGAGCCACCACTCCCAGCGCGGCCGTCGTCGACGAGACGTGCACGATGGTCCCGGCGCCGATCGTCTGGAGGCCGAAAGCGGAGGTGCTGGGAGCTACCACTGCGGCCAAGGTCGAGTTTGCCGCAATGACGCCAATTTCAGCAGCCGCAGTTGCAGCGGCGGGAGGGATCTTCTGGAAGCTTTGTATGCTCTTGGTGGCGACGGCTAGTACGGAGCTGGTGGTGGGCGCCACAACGACCTTTGGGGGGGAAGTTAGTTAGGGGTTTGCGAACTAGGTAAGAAAGAACAGTAGAAGGGTGTAATATGTAGGTAGTTTGAAAGACTTACAGCTGATGTCTCGAGCATAACTGCCGTGCTCGACTTTTCGGCTACAGCAGTAGCAGCAGCAGCAGTGGAGGTCTTAACTGCGATAGCTGCGCTAGATGAAGACTTGACCCTCAAGGACTGCAGAACTGCACTACTAGTGCTGACCACGTAGCCAGTTGCCGCAGCAGCCTCGCTCTCCGTCACTGTCGCCGCAGCCTCGGTGGCAGCAGCATCACCCGTCGCTTCCCCGGGGAGAGCGACAAGTTGACCCTGGGTGACCGGTGCGCCGGGAAGCTGCTCAAGCTTGCCTTGCGCCTGGTCCTGGGCGCCGGATCCCTGGGCTCCCTTGGCGTTGGAGTTACCGTTGGCGTTATTGTTGGCGTTACCGTTGACGTTGGGCAATTGCTGAAGCTGATCCTGCTGGGGCAGCGGGGCCGGAACAGCACAGACGCCGCTGAAGGCGGCACCGAACATGACGGCCAGGGCCGTGATAACCTGTGATTGCTTCATCTTACTTTGACCTGACTTGTCTTGACTTCGACTACTAACTCCTACACGATTCTCGGCGCTTATGGCTCCTGATAACGAGGGGAAGGGGAAAAGGAAGGACCAGCCGGGATCTCGTTTAGAGACTAGGAGTTAAATATTATTGAAGATTAAAAGGAAGGAATAAAGATATAGAGAATGTGGAGAAACTGCTCAACAGTATGCGCTGACCAGCAGACAAAACGAACGAAGTAAAGATTGACTACGGAAGCGTAGGTAGAAGCAAAAAAAAGAAGGCGACAGGAATAAAGATAGACAGAAGAGCAAGAAAGGAAAAGAACTGCAGACACAGTTAGAGGGGGAGAATCGGATCTTAGGCAGGATCCCCCATACCTACCCAGTAGGAGATCAGGCCAGAGCAAAGTGCTACATGATCAGACTACGTGCCTAGATTAGGCTAAGGTATGTAGGGTAGGCAAGGTAAGGCACCCAGATGTACATGATGCCAACGATCGATCATGCGGTTTCCCGTGATCCGAGCCCGAGGGTTCATCGCATACCTAGTTTGACATCTCTTGGCTCTCCATCTACCGCACGAAGACTAGGTACTACTACCCATCGCGGCCGACTAGTTCAGTTCAAGCCGGGGTAGGTACGAATCGGTCTGGTGATGCTGATAGGTCTAGCTCGAGGCTTATGCAGAATCACCATACCCCCCCCCATATCCCTGGGAGATGTTATATATAAGCCAGTATACAAGATCAAGCTTTCAAGACCCATGGCATAAAGAAGAGAACAGTAGACGAGAAAGACACGAAAAAGCTCTAGGTTAGCAGGAAAAAAACTCGAGACGAAGTCTAACAAAGAACAGGGGGTAAGTTAGTGGGGTGAGCACTCTACACCTATGTACCTACACTAGTTACACACTTAACGATGTTGACCGTAAGAGCATAGTTACATAAAAAAGAGGCATTGCCAGAGGAGACAGAAAGAGCCAATCGAAGAGAGGCGATGCGATGCCAGGAAACGCGGCTCCAGGAGGAGCCGTGCTCAGGGGTTTGGGTATTTACCCCTGGGCCAGCCTTGGCATGGCATGGCGAATGACACCCACCGTTAACTATGTTATGTAACTAACTGTGCATTGCCGGAGGAGGAGGCAAACGTTGATTACCTAACTACTATGTACCCCCAAGGCTATCTACACAGTAACTACTAACCTACACTAATAAGTATGTAGGTAAAATGTTGACTGCGGGGAGGGGGGGGGGGTTAAAGGTTAGAGAGTAGTTATAGCGTGCCGTCTGTGCGGTTACAGATGATAGGCCGTTGCAGGGTCGAGTGTTTGTTTTACCTTAGCCTTTAGGTAGGTAGGTAAGGTTGCATCTGGAGATGCATACCACATACACTAACTACCTAGGTACCTAGGTTAGGTACCATACCTAAGTAGCAGTTACTTGAAGTTGGACGTTGTTATTTATATACATAACTTGAGATATGGACGAACAGGAAGAAATACAGACCAGTCCCAAGTCAGAATCACCCTTTCAAAGGCCTTCAGGTGTCTACCTAGTTAGAAACAAGGAAGCTTCACCATAACTATATCAATGGATAAAGCTCAATGCAGAGAGTAGGCAGGTAGTTTATACTTAAAAGCCTAGGCACCTAACCTAGGCAAGTCGTATTCTCATAGATACCTACCAAATGCTCACATACCTGGGCAAGGTAGGTTGTTTATCTAGGTACTGTAGCTCAGAGCGAAGACCTTAAGATCATATATCTCATTACTCATTTCTTTTTTTTAAAAAAAACTCACAATCCCACCTTCTTCATCGTACAAAACCACATAGGTACCAGCCCATCCCCTTCTTAACCTCTTAGCCCCCCCTAGCCATTAACAACCGTCCCCCCATTACAATGAATAGTCTGCCCGCTGATCGCCGAACTATCCGCCGCGGCCAAGAAAACCACACACGCCGCGATCTCGCTCGGCTGCGCGGGCCTCCCCATCGGGCTCGTGAACTCCCTCTGCGCCTCCTCGGTCATCGTGGCGGGGATGAGCGGGGTCCAGACGGGCCCGGGGGCGATGGCGTTGACGCGGATGCCCTTGGAGACGAACTGGTTGGATAGGCCGCGGGTGAAGGAGACGATGGCGCCCTTGGTGGAGGTGTAGTCGAGGAGGTCGGGGCGCCCGATGTAGGCGTTGATGCTGGCGTTGTTGATGATGGTGGAGCCGCGCTGCATGTGCGGGAGGCAGTACTTGGAGAGGAAGAAGAGGGGGTGGATGTTTGTGGCGAAGGTGTGGAGCCATTGGTCTCTGGAAAGGGGTATAGGCTGGTTAGAAAGGAGTAGTGTGAGACGGAGAGGAGGCAACGATCCGGACAAGTATAAAAGGGTCAAACTCACTCGCTAAGCTCAAGTATATCCTTCGTCATCATCTGGTACGCCGCATTATTAAACAGCACGTCAACTCCGCCCATCTTCCTTATCGCCTCCTCCACAACCCTCCTACAGTTCTCCCGGCTCGTCAGATCCGTGGCCAGCAGGTGACACTTACGACCAAGCGACTCGACCGCGCGCCTCGTCTCCTGCGCGTCCTTCTCCTCGTCGGGCAGGTACACGATGAAGGAGTCGGCGCCCTCCATGGCGAAGAGGATGGCGGTGGCGCGGCCGATCCCCGAGTCGCCGCCCGTGATGAGGGCCCGCTTGCCCTGCAGCTTGCCGGCGGCCCGGTACTTCTGGTGCCCGCCGTCGGCGGTGGGTAAGGTGTCGTATTGGGCTTGCACGGGCATCTTGTGCTCCTTGCCGGGGAACTCCTGGTGCGTGACGGGGACGGAGTGGCCTTTGTTCGTGTGTTAGCGAGGGATGTATTGTTTGAAAGGGGGGGATGGGATGGGATTTAGTTCTCACCCTCCTTGAATTGCGAGTCAGACATGTTGCAGTTTATTATCTAGAACGTCTTTTGAGATATAGTGAGGGGGGAGGTAAATATAAAAATATAGTCAGGAATATCTTAAGATGTCCATATACTTCAATGAGGAATACCTACTAGGTACCTAGGTAGGTAATATGTATATAATATGTATATAATATGTATATAAAGGTGCGTTGCCGCAACCTGGGAAACAATTGACATGAGTCATGACATCACTCTATGACGATGCGATGGGCAAGGATCATGCATCGCCAACTCACAAATACCTAAACAATCATTCATCCGTGATATCAGCAAAGTTTAAAACACCGCCATGCTTTGTCTCGCTTTCTACCTCAACCCACACACCCAAAGACCCAACGCCCCCCCTCGGGCCATGAAATAATTCTCTACACGGCCGCCACTCTATGTATTTGTACAATCAGGGAGGTGACACTACCCACCCGCGCCTCGGAACGGAACAGATTTTTCTTTTTTAAACGTTTCTAAACCCAAGCGAAACCCCAAACCCCGTCCATGCAATATGTCATATTATTGACATTCAAACACAACAAATCCTAAGTGGTGACAAGCCTTCGCATACACAAAACCTTTATCTGCGCTTGCCTGAGAAGCTCAAGCAGACTTGTCGCTATCCCTTTCCACTTTCTTCCCCTCGCGATACTTGTCCATCTTTTCACCAAGGTAACGGAAGCTTCGGCTAAAGCCAGAAGTCACTGCGCTCTTGATGCTTTGTGTAGTGCTTGGCCAACTGCTTGTCTTCTTGATCACATCGCGGATATTCGTTTGCAGCGATTCAGGATCATCCTGGGCGATGCGCTGTTCGAAACCACCACCCTGTTGCCTCTTGAATGAGCCAGCGTCTTCATCCTTACTTGCTTCCATCATCTTGTTAAACTCGAGCTGGGGAATCTGGAATTTCTTCTGATACTCGAAGTATAGCTTTGCGCGGAAAGTCTTGGGTAATCGGCGTACCATGTTGCCTCGTTTTATCGGGTCCATATCTTGCTGTAGTTTCAACACAGAATCTGTGTTGGTAATCCAATCGGAATTGCTGCAAGCTGGGTCGTCATAACGGACATTCGGGAGAGATTCAACAAGAGGCGCATAGAGTCGACGAAAGTTCAACATATTGTTATTCACAATATTGACAACCTTTTTCGGGTTCTCCATTGGAAACGCCATTCGTGGATCTCCCAAGTAGCTTAGTCCGGCAATCGTTGCATATAACTCCTGTTCGGTAAAAGTTGGAGGAAGCAGCAAGAGAGATGTTCGTAGTGCTGATAAAAGGTTGATCTGGTTCGCAAGACGGACCCTAGGATCGTCTCGAAGTATCTTGACCGGCTTGTGCAAGCGCCCAGCTAGGTACATCGTATCCCATTGGCTTAAATCGTTGCATAAAGTGTCGATATTGACAACCCCATACTTGATTAATATCCCATCAACGGTAACGTAAGGGTTGAAGTAGACTCCAGCACCCCATTTGTCTTGCACATAAGATACAGCAGCCGAACCCAACGAGCCAAGCATCGAATAATGGTCACGGTGTTGCATGAGATTTAAGGAGTGCCAATGTTGCGTATACGACACGCCAAAAATGAAATCAATCATCTTTGGGGAGCCATCTTGGGCTTTCTGGATGGCAGCTGGGGCCTTGGGATGGACGGCCTTGATTTCAGCCTGGGTTGCTGTATCCCCTTTGGATTGTGGGAAAACGCCTGAACCATATGCGAAGGCATATCGAATGGGAGCTCGGAATCTCCAGAGTAACTGACGTAGGGCCTCCTTGAACTCTCGGTCAATGATCATATGTTGGTTCACGCCAAAATTTGTGTAAGGAAGGTCAGTGAATTTTTCTATGTCGAAATTGGGCTTTTCCTCCCAATCCAAGTCTGATTCGGTTGAGCTAGAAGAGATGGTCGGAGAAGGAGAATGCTGTGAATGTGGTTCGTCTGGCGAATTAGCAGCGCTCGCGGCAGAATCGGTCTCAGACTCTATTTTGTGTGTTGCAGCCTTGGTTTCCTTGGAAGTCGAAGTAGATGTCTTTGGCGCATTAGATGCAAATGTACGCAAACTTGTTCTCGATGGTCTAAATACGGGTAGGGATCGAGAAGACTTGGATGAACTGTAAGATGATGATCGGTAGTGTAATCGAGTCGCGTTTCCGGAATAAAGCCTAGTGGCATGGACCGAAGTGGTCAACGGTCGTCGTAGGGCTGAGGTATATCTCCAAGTAGCCCAAACCCTCCCCGAAATGGGAGTTGAGGGGCACCAAACCATGGTGTTGTGATGTAAAGGAAGCTCACGGAGAAGAATTTGTAGATCGCGGGGTTGTGAATTCAAATTGCGTGAATTGCTTATATGCACTCGAAGTTAACAATTAGCAGCAAAAGCCGCAATGATATTATCGAGAGAAGTACTCCATATGCGCTGAAGCCTCAGGAGTTGAGGTATGTATTCTGAATGTAGTGGAGAGTAATTTGAGTGAGGGTTAGGGGAAACAAGTGAGAGAGATGAAGTGATTTGATGTTTGATGTTTTGGTTTGGTGTTATTACTGCAATGCCGGGTTTTGCAGCTGTTAAGCCTAACGAAGTAGGAAGTGAGGAAAGTAAGAAAGTACCTTATTACATCAGTGTAGAATGACATCGGAACATTGAAGTACTACAGCTACATTACGTTTAACCCGTTTAACAAGGCCCACCATAGCATCGTGGGAGCTTGGATTGGGTTCCGGCAATGAGATGGTGGGCTTAGTGGATAGGTTCGGGTAGGTAAGCTTCCTTCTGGATGGGCTGATAGAACCTTGGAAGCTTCTTGTTGACAGCCAAGCCAGGAACATTCAATAATTGGAACATTCAATAATTGAATGATCAATGATCAAGATGTTAGCTGCTTTCTTTATCTGCACGTGACGATAATATAATGTATGCACCTAGTTAATCGAAAGCAACTAACTAGTAGTTACCTACCTAGTACCTAGTAATAACCTAGCTTAAACTTAGTTACCTACATGTAGGTTAGGCGTTTAAACGTTTAAACGCATGCAATTTATTGCTAGGCCAGCCGGAAACAACAAAAACAATTGAACAGTTCATTGTTCTTCATCCTGCACAACTGGATTTCTGAACAATTAAGAATTAAGTATTAAGAATTACACACCGGGACTTTTCAAATATATCTACATTACTTATTTCGTTATACCTATTCTGCCACTTGGCGCGGCTCCATGGCAGGCCAATTCCGTCAAAGTCCTGGAGGCTCAGCGTTTTCGCGATCGAGGGTAAGTAAATAAATAAATGAACAAATGAGACCAGATTAAATTACTGGGCACTTTCACGAGTCAACGTGATCAAAAATCTAAATGGATACAGGTCACCTCGTTTCGTACCTCCGTCCAAAAAGCCACCCAACCCTCTTATAACTTCCTTACCGGCTCCGAAGATGTATCAGCCTCCCATCATGCCAGGCCTTCCTCGCGACACAGTCACGTTGGCGGTCAGTCGCAGCGCGCGTCGTCGCATGAAAGCTTTAAAGAGAATCTCGCGCCGCCTGATGCCGAAGAGTACGAGACACAACGAAAGCGAATAGAGGAACTCAAGGCCGAACTCGCCACTATGCGCTTCAAACTAGAGAACTACGAGCAGGAGAAGGAAATGTTTGCATTGCAACACGACTACGAACTACGAGATGTACGACGAAAAGCCGAGGACGACTTCAAACAAAAGCAAGCAGCCGAAGGCGATAAAAACAAAGCCCTGCGTCAATACGAAACCGTGCAAACCGAACTATCAGAGCTTAAGGAAAGCTCAGCAAGAGAAAAGCTCGAAGTAGAAAAGAAGGCCCGAGATGCAGAGGATGAGGTGCGTCTCCTGAGAGAACAACTGGAGGACTTATCGGCTGCCAAAGAGGAGGAAGACCGAATGGCCCAAAAGAGAGCAAGCGACATGGAAACACAGCTATCGAATCTGCGAGAAACTATCCAGGGACTGGAGCAGGATAGCCACGCACGAGAGTCTTCGATGCACGCCATTCAGCAGCAGCTTGTGGACAAAGACAAGCTTATTGGCGAATTAGAGGCAGATGTATTACGACTTAAAGCACAGACTGGCGACGCTGAGACTATTGCTATTATTCGTCGCGAACTCACCGAGCAGGTGCAACATATTCGGTCGCTGGAATCGAAGAACAGCAAACAACACACCGAACTGACCCATTTACGTCAAGTACATAAGGCTGTCGAGATTGTGGAAGAAGAGAAACGATCGCTACAGCGACGACTCGAAATCGCCGAAGCCCTGGAGCCTGAGCTAAATGAAGCTCGGCTGCAAAGACAACGACTAGAAGATGAAAAGCTGGCTTGGACTGCTTATCTACAGCGCGCCAGCACTGAAGGTGGACTGATGGAATTAGACACCCCGGAGGCTGTTGCGCGTGCGTTAGTCGAAGAGCGGTACAATTCGGCATCTCTTGTCGAGAGGTTGGGTGAAATACAGCCCCAGATTGCCGAGCGTGACGAAATCATCAAATCTTTAGAAAGTGAAAAGAAGAACCTATCTGCGCAGGTCGAAAAGTTGAAGATTACCGCAGCCCCTGCATCAGCAACCAAGGCAGTGGCACGAGTAGAACGTCAACGCACCCTTGCCGTCAAGGAAGTCGAGTATCTGCGCGCCCAGCTCAAAGCTTTCGATGCGGAGGACGAGACATTCAACAGCGTAAATTTCGATCAGAACAAGGTTGACCGCGTCACCGAGCTCGAGCAACTTGTTGATAATTACAAGGAAGAAATACAGGCCCTGCATAAGGAACTCTCCGCGTTAGAGTCATCTGTTGCCGCGGGAGAGCCTGTTGTTGGCTCTAAACGCAAAGCCGACGAGTCAGAAAGCGAGCAGCTGGGCGAACTGAACCGAAAACGCAGGAAGTTAGCCGACGAGCTCTCCAAGTTACAGACGCAGCATCAAGTCCTACAAAAGGAACACGAGGTTGTCCAGTCACGTCTCGCGGCCGCCGAGTCCGCCAACAAGACGCGCATCCTGTCCCTACGCTCAAACCCCACGTCCGACTTCGAAGCCATCAAGGTCGCCACCCTCGAGGCCCTCAAGCAAGAAAACAAGGACCTGCTGTCCCAGCTCCAAAAACAAGCCCGCCGCGCCCCGAACCCAAACACGCCCCTAATCCCCGCATCACAGCTCGCCGCCGCCCGCCGCGAGATCGAAGAAGCCCAGCGCGAAACCGCGTCCGCGCAAAAGACCACGCGGCGCCTGAAGGAAGTGTGGGCGGCGAAGTCGCAGGAGTTCAAGGAGGCCATCTTCAGCACGCTGGGGTGGACGGTGACGTTCATCCCGAACGGCAAGATGCGCGTCGAGTCGCTGTACTGCCCCTCCGCCACCGACGAGCAGGAGAACAGCATCGTCTTCGACGGCGAGCGCGGCACCATGAAGGTCGCCGGCGGCCCCCAGAGCCCCTTCGCTCGCCGCATCGCCGATCTCATACAGTTCTGGGTCCGGGATAAGGGGTGCATCCCCGGGTTTCTAGCGGCCCTGACGCTGGAGTTTTATGATGAGCAGACTAGGGCTGCGAGGTAGGGTGGATGTGTGCTGCTGCAGTTAGTACATGCTAGGATGCTGGTACTTTGATGAAACGCACGACTTTGAGTGACTAAGTCGGCTGGCTGATGGGGGGTTTTTTTTTTGGTTTGGGTAACGCTCGAAGAAGAAGAATCTCTTCTTCATGATGAAACTTGATTTTTTCTTCTCCCCCCTTTTCAAATATGATACCTACCTACCTACCTACCTACCTACCTACCTACCGAGAAGGGGGGGGAGGGGGGGGGTATTCTTTCCTTTGCTACAAAACGGCGTGTTGCGGGCGTTGAGGCTGGATGGATACCTACATACGATGGGAATTTGCTAGTTACATACATGTATGTTCAATGTTTTCTGCGCGGCGCAATCTACAGTACATACATACATATGGATACCTACCTCCAGGGCTACATAGTATCCCTACCTAGGTACATACCTATTATTAGGTAGCTTGGCCGGTTGGCCGGTTTAGATAGGATCTACTGTCTGCCGTCTGCTTGCTCGCGTGTCTGTCTGTATGTATACCTACCTAGAGCAAAAGAATAGAGCCAGTGAACAGACACCTATACCTACCTACCTTCATACAATGACATGCATACATACATATGTACTTAATTTACGCTCTCGGAAACAAACTCATCCTGATTGATTATCTCGCGATACTACATCTACATACATCATCACATTCATTCATTCATTCATTCGAACAAAAACATTTCAAAAGTGACATAGATTTGATTTGGATTTGTAAAAAAATCGATATTTTGACGGTTTCTTCCGATGCCACTACCTACATAAGGTACATAAGGTACTGGTAAAAAAAAAAAAGAGGCAGATACATAGTAGTAGGTATAATATCCCTACCTAACCTAGACAACGTTGAAGTTTCTTCAATGTTACCTATACATGATATCTGACCTACATAAGATAAGGTACCTAGGTGGTAGACATCATCAACAGACGTAGAAGATTTGTGTGGAACAAGATGAAACTACTCAAAAAAATAAAAGGGGGGATGGGGGGGAAAGAGAAGAAAGAAGAAGAAGAGGAAGGGAAAAAAAAGATGAGGTGTTATGCACAAATGGAACCCTCAATTTTGACAACCCGCTAATCGAATGTACAAAAGAGCATTCCCTCGTCGTGCAGACAATAATTTTCCTATTGTTTTCCCAAAAAAGAATATCTTCTCCCAATGCGTGGCGTGGCGTGGTATGGTGTACGCGCACCCCTAGGTAGGTGTGTATCCGGCCAAGGTCGGTTGTAGATGGATCTTATCTTGTCTCGTACTTCCCGCTCACTAGTTTCCGGATCGCGGGAACGTCGATCCACTTCCCGTCTTCCGAAGTCGCCGTGTCATCTGCGAATGGGTCGTCTGAGGTGAGCTCGATCTCTTTCCCCTTGCTCTCCTCAAACCTTGAGACCGAGATGGCACTCGGGCTTTCTATCGATGCCGGCTGGTTGATTTCCCATCGTGCCTCGATAGCACCTGGTTTAGGTTCCACGCCCTGGTCACCTATTATGCGGCACACGATTTTCTGCCAGTCTGCTGCTGGAGATAAGGTCACGTCGCCGAGACGCCAGTATACTATATGTTTCTCCTTGAGGTGCGTTCCAGAAGGTTTGGTCTGCGCGCCCGACGCCTTGCCTTCATACATGGCAGAGATTACCAAGTTATGGAATTGAACACTAGAGCCGGAACTGGAGAATTTGAAAGTTGGGTTGAGTTTATATTGAATCACGAGGCCCAATTTATCTCCCTGTGGCTTCCACGCAGTACTGAGAAGAACGGGGACTTGTTCTGTAGGGGGTATGTTTGAGTCAACATGAAGTCTGTAAGAAAATCCAATCGATGTCTTGTGAAGATGAGATAGATCTAACGTGAATTGATTTGGGTGGTCAGGGGTATCGTTCGTAACAAAAATACGGTTAGGGCCAATAACATCAAGGGCCGAAAAGTTGTTGATGCGAATAGGTAAGTGAGCTATTATACCATAAGTAACTGTCTCCTTTTTTCATGACGGTTGTAAGACTTACATGTGAAATTAGAAATATCAGAAGCATTGTATGAAAAGGCGATCTCGCCATTTATTTTCACCGTCTTGACTTCACCATTTTCGAACGTGGCTGAGACGGTCTCCATGATAGAAGAGTTAAGGCCGGGCTCGTGCATGTCGGGGTGCTTTGCGTGGACAATACTGCTCAGCGAATTGCCTGACCGAATTGACTGTGTATCCGAGGTGCCGGTAACGCTAGCCTCTGAAGCAATAGTAGTAAGGCCAGTAGGCTTAGATGACAGAGTGTGCAACGAAGGGGCAAAAGGAGCCGGGGTCTCTGTCATGGAGCCTTCAGAGACTGGGGCGGGAACGTAAATGGTATTTCGCACATCTCTTCGGCCCCTGACAGTGCCCACCCTTCGTGCAGGCACCCCCATAGCAGAGAGGCTGTTAGCAACGTTTGAAAGCGCAGCTTTCTTTTCCTCCGGGTCTTCCTCGGCAACCGGTTCTTTCTGGATGTTGAGTCTGAAGAGCTGTTCAGCTTCTTGCGCAGCGGCTTCCCTTTGCGCTTGAGAGATCGGGTCGTTAGAGGCAGGAGGCAAGCTGTACCCCTCTGCATCCTTCTCCGGTTCCTTTTGTGACGGCGGGGGTCCGGGTGGAGGTGGAACATCCGAGACGTCAATAGCAGCCGATGTGCCGTTAATTTGGGAATGTATCGATCTTGCTGTTGTTGGTGGTGCCAAATCATTAAAGCCGTCACGGCTTAATCCGTTCGTACCATCGTGACTAAGCTTCTCCCTCGCCTCCGACGCACGCGAAGGGGCGTCAATGGTATCCGGGTCTTCCACTAGCGACCCTAATCGATGCGATGAGTCACCGAGGTTGCTTGACGAGGCTCTAGGCGATATACCATGGCTACTTTTGATGTTCCTTCCAAACGGACCCTTTGTTTGAGGCAGTTGGCCGAAGCCACCATGTACGCTTTGTCGTCTTCGGCCTAGCATGGTTCCAATCCGACTCCGTAGCTTGTTTTCCGGCTGTCCCTCCTTATAGCCTGAGTGATCACTATGATCGTCGGGAGCTGGCGTGTGCAGACTAGAAGGAGGCGCTAACGAGGTGTTAGGTCCACTCACATTAGAAATTTGTCGTCCCATAGCCGTCCGCTTTTCGATCTTAGGTCGTCCGGCGATGGTCTTGGTTACGAAGTGTTGAATCTCGGCTGCAGTACTATATTCTAGCAAACTGTTGAGTACCTCTTCGGCTTCAGATTGATGCCGTTGCGCCTGTTCGGCCTCGTAGGTAACGTATTGGGTAAGGCGGTCGCGAAGCTGGTTCAGTCGAGTCTCATCAAGGGCTTGTAAAGATTCGAAAATAAATGGCGATTGCGATTCCCACTGTTGTGTGGCAGACTCTAGTTTTCCAGCTGCTAGGTCAACCTTTTGAGCGCTGGCTTTGCCACCCTTCTTACTGAGCTTATCGGACCGGTCTTGGGCATCCTCTAGCTCCTTAGCCATGTTTTGAAGGTTCCCTTGAATGGTCTGGATATTGAGCATCTCCTTCTTCTGGTGGAAGTTTCGCAGTGGTGTCTCAACATCTTTTTCGATCTTAGTAGCGAAGATGTGATGCGACATCGCAACAGAGTCGGCGGACTGGAGGATCTTGTCCCATTGTGCTTGAAATGTACTTTGAGGTACTATCATCAGTTTTATGGAATGGATGGATAAATATGCTGCGATATTAAATGATATAAAATAAGATCATGACTTACCCCAGTTCCGACTGCGGATTAGGTACGCGAAGCTGGGTCAGCCTCTTCAAACCTTGGACATATTGTTCCTCTACTTTCCGGCGCTCCTGTGTCGCAGTTTAGCTATATGACGATAGTTGAGGCGGACTGTGTATGGTACCTGTAACCAATCGGCGATCTCAGTGTTGACTTTGGATATGCGCTTGACTCGATCGTTAAGAGCATGGACAGCTTGGTTCGGCTGGAGGTTGGCCTGTTGGTTTTGATGCAAGAGTTAGCTATTTCCCACGTATGCGCATATCGGTATAACAGAGGAAGAGACAAATGAGTAGGCTTACCAGCATAGCCGGGTATTCAGCTCTTGAGAGGTCTTCCATTGCGATTAGGGATGAAGACGGAGATGGGGATAGGCGCGGTCATATGAAGGTGTGCGTATTCGCTCATACACGGACACGGGAGGGGCGATAAGAAGACATAAAAATACGAAAGAAAAAGGAGAGGAGCGAAAGGAAAATGGACGAATCAGCTATGAGTACATTGAGAGAAGAATAATTGGTAGAGAAGCAATGTAATTGACGAAGACGACCAGGTCGATGAAAGTTGGTGAACAATAATTGTAATGGTAAAAATGTATTTGTATATTGTATTTGCTAGTTACATCTAATATTTGATTATTTGTATTCGGTATGCATTTATTAATTTGACGCTAGTAGTTCGGTTTAGGTAAAAAAAGTAAAAAAAAGATGGATTTTTATGTACTATCTAATAGCATTAGTACTAGGTAGGTACTAAATTACTACTAATAAGGTGAGGCAAAGTCATGAATGAAGTCAGGTACTAGCTTCATTGCTTCATTGCACAACCTTGCTAACCTTGAAGTTACTAGGGCTTAGGTGCTACTGTACGTAGACCGATTTCCCCAGCCTTTTCCTGGGGGAAGGGAGGACCAGAACCTTGGGACGTACGTACATACTACATAAATTAAAATTACGGGCTAATGCATATTTTTGTAATACAGAAAAATATTCGGTACTATGTAGGTACCTTTTATCTGGTATGGTGATGTTATATCGGCTTATCAGCTTATAAATACAACCCAAGAATCCCGTTAAACTAGAAAGTGCACATAACCCGAATTCTTTCCACAAATGTCGTCATACTAAACCCATGAAGCCATGCCGAGTCTCTATTCGGAATAATACAACCTACCCTAGGTACCTACCTAACTCCATGTAGCAGTTGGCTTGATCGTTTAATCCACTGGTTTCGAAACGTCTTGTTACAGCCATTCGCTTTTTATAATTCAGCCATCTACCGAAAAGAAAAAAAAGCCGTTAGAGGTTGCGGCTCACCACGATGTCGGACTCCGACTGGACAGCCTCACTCAGCTCATCTGACCGCTACGACAACATTCAAGCCATGTAAGCTTAGTAGTTACCTGCCTAAGGTTACTGAATCCTTCGTCTGGCATTCACACTCACTCTAATCTATAGAAAGGCCATCCTCGATGAACTAAGCCTACAGGATTCATCCTTACAAAAAAGTGCATTTGCCCTGGAGAACGAAGCTTACAAAACTTCAACCTCACGTGTAAGCATTGTCATATCTAATACACCGTCAAATCCCACAGCACCCTCTTTAATGCTGCAAGATATTGATCTGGTAGCAGGCTCAGTATGATGAAGCATGTCGAAACGTACTAGCCCAAGCCTTGCCAGCTTCCACCAAGGCTTTGCCCCCTTCTACAGAGGAATCCATCCCAGAGTCGCCTGGTATCACTATAGGATCCTATCATAATTGCCATTATGTTGCTAGTGGTGTGACCGCCGAGGTTTACAGGGCTAAAACAGTAGCTTTGAAAGTGATTACCGAAGCCCATAATATGGAGCCACACAATCCTATCCGGGAAGCCAAGATCTTAAGCTCACTGAAAAAGCCTTGTATTCCTCTCCTAGAAACCTTCCGAGATCAGGAGCAACGATTCACTCTCGCATTCCCGTTCATGCCCATGAGCCTGGAAACCCTCATTGAGCATGGGCCTATACCAAGAAGTCGGATACAAAAACTCTTCAAAGATGTTTTTGGTGCTCTGGACTACATTCATCAACAGGGGATAATACATAGAGATATCAAACCCTCTGCCATTTTGCTCGAATCTGCCGAGGGCCCTGCCTATCTTTCAGATTTTGGAACGGCTTGGCATCCAACTTTGTCTGTCGTCACAGAACCTGCTCACAACAAAATCTTGGACATCGGTACCGGGCCGTATCGCGCGCCTGAGGCCCTTTTTGGTGATAAGTCATATGGAGCTTCGGTCGATATGTGGGGGGCAGGGGCTATGCTCGCAGAATGTTGTCGGGATCCTCCTCGAACACTTTTTGAGTCCCGCGCAGCCCACGAAGATGGCAATCAGCTTGGCCTCATTCTAAGTATCTTCAAGACAATTGGAAGTCCTACTCGGGAATCGTGGCCGGAGGCGGCAGGCTATAAAACGCCCCCATTCGACATGTATCAAGTGTTTGAAGGTCGGACCTGGGAAGATCTTTTATCAGGCGTGGACAACGATTTTCGGGAGCTTATTGCTACGTTAGTGGTATATAATACTACCATTAGGGCTACTGCTTCTCAAGTATGTGATCATATTAGAATCTATTTTCCTCTCGATACTAATACATCTTTCTAGGCATTGCAATCCAGATGCATGACAGCCTAATCTAGGTAGGCACCTAGCTATTCATGTACTCCTAAAATCCTTCCAGTTGAGCATTAAGTATTCATAGCTTACAAGCGATTAACCAAGCATCTCCTTCAGTCCACAGACTCAAAGGCACATCCAATCGATCCCTAAGCGAATGAAACCCCGCATTTTCTCAGGTACCACATACCTACACCAAGCATAGGGACTAGAACTGATGTCGCGCAGATTAACCCGTTTCTAAATGCGGCTTGGACTTTCGGTTTGATGATTTCATGGAATTCCTCCGGTTTGTTGAGCGAGGGCCATTCCATATCGGGTATTGGTACTCCAAGGTATGGGCATATTTCTTCCCAACCGAACCCGTCCTCTAGTTTACATACCTTTAACTGCTCAGGCGGAACGAGGCGCTTCACTTCGGCGATGCTGTTTACCGGCATGTTAGCAATCTCCTTATAAGGAAAGCTCGCACAACAACGTACTATTCCTTGTAGTTCTCAGCGAGGGCTTTGAGACCTTCCGGTGTAATACCGTAGCCATTGGTATACCAACCCAACAGCCCTGTGCTCATGCGGGACATGGTGTAGAGGAAGCCGTCAAAATATTTGACTACAGTCATTGGGAGGCATTTTATATTTGTGTCATTCTTGCCAATGGTGTTAGCTATCGACTTGGCCCATTTATCGGGGTCTCGCTCCGTCAGGAGGAATTTGGCGTTCGGGTAAGCTTTGAGTGTCGAGTGAAGCATGAAGAACGGCATTTCTATTATAATCTAATTGGTAGCAGCTAGTGTGAGCCTAGGCAGCCAGATTTAGTGGATGTATTAGGGGACTCTCACATCGTAGTTGGCAAACCATTTGTCAAACTCCGCACGTCCATCTTTGGGAACTTCGTTAGTTTCTCTCGACATTCATCTTATCGGAGGGCCTTGTGGGTTTACATACACTGCTTGCCAACGTGGTATCGCTCGGCGAAGAATCCGTCGTTCAAAATGCGCCCACTTGTTGTACCGGCCTTAATGATTTCGGCCATGTGGTAGGGCTTGAAGCCCAGCAGCTTCAAGGCTAGGTACAGGCCATGAGTGCCAGTTCTACGCCGGTTAGAATTCAGTTCGATTTGTATGATCGACAGCTCTCACCTTGGTGCGCTTAGCACTATAAGCTTTTTAGTCTCGACGTGGATTGGGGAAGGAATAGTGTCGATGGTACGAGGAGACATGGTTACTACGCTGCGTCTTGCGAATGATATTCGTTCTGTAGGATGATGTGATATTACGTGCTTGATCGGGCAGGGAGGTGCTCACGGCTATATAAAGAGCATCTATCTCCTTTAAAAAAATTTGACGACCAGCGATCCTCGGCCATTCACCTTCGCTTATACCCGCTATGCATTGACGAAAACTCCATCAAGCAGGCTCGATTCGCCGGCTCACTTTCAGCCCAGGCCCGATCACCGACTTTTGACTAATAAACTTCCCATTGAGAAGCCTCAGTTGGCTACTCCTGATTTCTAGCTTCCATTGCTCCCACGTCGCTTTGCTCATCAACAAGCTAGCCAAGGAACCAGGGGCTGCGATATGGGGCCATGAGTGGGCGTCTCTCTATGTCGGAGATCATCTATTGACCGAATTCGCGAGGACGCCCGGACTGTTACATCCCAAAGGGCCATCAGAGATTGAAACACTAACGGTCAAATATTGGCTGGTGACTTGACACCCAATAGACTTGGCCGACGATGTCGGATTCACGGACGAGTAACTGCACCGACGAGGAACCAGCTGATATAACTAATCAGATGTTTCCAGGTACTTGCCTACACTTCCCCGTGGAAGCGGTCAGATTCTCCACATTATACGGCATATGTATGAAAAGGAGGGTGGGTGCCCATATATTCAGAGCAGGCATTGAAAAAGTTAAATACGACGTTGCCTCTGGCAGTTTTGGTCTAGGGGAGAACCCGCACCGACAGCCGCGTAGCCGCAACTTATGCTAGCCGCACAGCCGCACAGCCGCAGTGGATCTCGATGTTTTGAAGAGCGGATATCACGAACACGGGGAGTTTACGATTTGCTCCCTATCTCTCCCTTCTCCACTGCCGGGGGGAGTGAATCATATGATTCCTGCCTCCATACTACACGTATGTATAGATGAAGTTTCTATAACTTACTATACCTACGCATCTCGAGCCTTCATGGCATCAGGAAAGGCTCTTTCTCTCATTGCAGTGCGGTAATTAAGGAGTAGTACATACGACTACTACGCCGTAAAAACTCTGGCCTGAGTGGATATCGCGATCGACATGCTTTAACCGTTCCCAGACCATCTAAACTACTGGAAACCGCAAGCAATGACACCCTGAAGGTGCTCCTATTTCGGCGCGCTGGGATGGAAATGCGACGGTTCGTACCGAGAGCCCATATTTTTACTCTCTCCCCCCCTGCAGATCAGATAAGATTATTTATTGCCCCAGAAGAGGTTTTTTCTTCTCCAATCGGTTATTGCCAACGGAGAGACTACTCCCTTCCTGTGCTTTTTGCTAAGAATATTGGATTTTGGGGAGGGGAGGAGGGGGGCATATCACAAAGGAATCCTCTCAGCCCTATAGCAGGATGATTGTGCTCTGGAGTTTATTTTGTGGTCTGGTCCATAGGTACATACAAACGTGTTTCCACACGAAAGTCTTACTGTAACCGATGAATTACTTGCATGAGTAATAATCCCTTACTGGATGTCGTAAATACCTAGTAGGTATATGGTCTTGTGCCACAATCGTGCCTACCTAGGTAAGTAGGCAGTTCTACCAACCAACTCTTTATCCGCTGATGATCGAAAAAGAAAATGCCCCCATAAAAATTGGGGGGATGAGAACGCTACCATGAAGCAGTATGCCCGCCGTCTATCACGAGATTGCTGCCCGCCATAAAGCTGCTCGCGTTGTTTAGAAGGAATAACGCCGCGCCCTTGAACTCAGTTGTCTGCGCCAGTCGGCCCATCATGTTCTCGCTCTCCCACTTCTCCTGGAGGCCTGGTACTTCTTCGAAGTTCTTGAGGACCATGGGGGTCCATTATAAGTAAAGGACGAGTTAGCAAATCATTCTCTCCCTTGCACGTGGAAGGTCAATGGTTCAAGAGTAGAAACTCTTGAGTCAAGCCATGCTAGGAAATAATTACTCCTGGGACGAACTAGAAAGGGGGGAGAGAACGAATAAAAGCTCATGCTCAAGTGTCCTGGGCTCAAGCAATTAACCCGTACCCCCGCCCCAAGAGGGAACGACGCGCTGGCGGGCTTTCGCCCAGGGTGCGTCCGGGTGGGGTTCCCGGTCGAGGCAGTATATGGGGGGGGCGTTGGTAGATGGGTATGGTAGGTATGTGTGTAACACGATAGATATAAGGGGTGAAATACTACCTACCTTTCCCGCCGGCCTCAACGAGACCCTCAGCAAGTGCTAGCCCCTGTACGGTGTTGTACTAGAAACGCCTCGCAAAGTGAGGAATCGAGATCGATGAGATGTATAAATTATATTTTCTATGATTATCCAAGTGAGATGGAGCGGCATGGTCGAGACACAGCAGATACACATGTAGGGTACTATGTACATGATGTATTCAAAGTCCGATGCAACATTGAATGATGTACATAACTACATGTACTACTAGTAGTAGATACCAGCATATTATTGGTACCGACTCCCGAGACCACATGACCAAATAGCAAACGCCATCTGTGACTTCCCGGATCTTGAAAAGATCCCTAAGGCTGCTGGCGCACTTTCCTACCCGTCTCCCGTCGACGTCACAGAGGTGGGTCTGCCAAACGGTGGGGGCTTTTGTATGACGTATGATCCAAGATAAGGGGCTCAGTATCAAGCTCTTGGTTCGATCCGATAAAAGCTTACATAAAGACCCTGGCCGCGAACCGGTTGCCCTGGAGACTGACGAATTCTTACTGTAAATATTTTCACTTGTTAAAGAGCATCAGATTCAGTGGTATCTTCAATGATATTGCAGCTCGTCGCACATTAGAATGATGCCTATATTTATAAATTCCACTTAGGCTACGAGCTTTAACACAAACTGTACCATTATATAATATAGTTCGTAGGTACCTGTCCCCCTATTTTCCTTATCATCAGCTACTTCGACTTGGTTATTAGAGCCGGGTCGTTACCAACTTCTGTGGCTCGGCGTGCAGAGTAATGAAATACCTATCTGGGCACCTATATTTTGCAGCTCTTGGTGGCCACGGATACTATGTAGAGTACATTAAAGTAATCAATTCTACCACAAATACAGAGGGTCAATATACTTAATAAGCCAAGGTTAGGTAGGTAGTTACTTGGAAGCTTAAAAAAAGGTGCACGAGAAGTTTTTTTTGTCTTTTACGACTCTTTGTTCTTGTTTGAAGCTGCAAAATGCATTGTACCAATCGTAGAAACAAGAGCTTTCTGCTAGCCTCTTGCGCCGTTCGCCTTTACAACTTCCTTCAAATTTCATATTGTTCTCATAGAAGATGATAGCGAGCATCACCGGTGGCTTTTTATTTAATCTCCAACATGCATCTCCTGATCGTCGGGAAAAAATAAATCTCTCGCTCACCAACAACTTTTCACCTTTGCAAACACAACCGTAGAAGTGCTCGGGAAACCTAGGTTACTTACGAAATCACCAAAACCCTTTCGAAAACCTGGACTCCGACGAACAAGATGGCTAGGAATAACAAGAGGCTGCGAGCTTCGGCAGCAAGAGCCAGGCCTAGCAAGCGACAGCGCAACAGAAGGCTCCCCGGGTCTGCGGCAGGAAGGCCGAATCGGTATATGATGACTTCCGCAATCACCCGTCAGTGGACGGCAGCAGAAGTAGCTGCCCACATGGTGGGTATACCTAACGGCGGCAACGCAGGGGCTTCTTCTGGCGCCGGGAACCAAGCAGCCGCCGACCCCCCTCGCACGCCAGCGAACCAGGACCTGCCGCCGCCGCCCTCGGCGGGGCCCAGCAACTGCGGGTCGATGACGTCGTCGCGGTTCCGGGACGTGATCATGACGCTGCTGAGCGGGGACCGCCGCGCCGGCGTCGACTGCCAGACGCGGCGCAACATCGTGGACGCCATCGTGCGCGGGAGGCGGCGGACGCAGCTGTTCCGGCAGAGGCGGGACGACGAGGAGGCGCGGCGCAGCGAGGAGAGGAGGGAGCGCAGGGAGAGGAGGGAGAGGAGGAGAGAGGAGTATCTGCGCCGGTGGCAGCTGCTAAGGGACCAGGCTGCTGCTGCTGCTGCTGCTGTTGCCGCTGGTGGTGGTGCTGAAGCTGGTGGTGCTGAAGCTGGTGGTGCTGAAGCTGGTGGTGCTGAAGCTGGTGGTGCTGGTGCTGGAGCTGGCCCTGGCCCTGCCGCTGACCCTGCTGTCAATGTCGCCGACGCTCAAGCCGCCAGCCAGGCTCTCAACCAGGCCATCAACAACCAAGGCCCTGCCCCGGCCCCCAGTGTCATCGCCGCCAGCCAGGCGGGCTCGGGGAATATCCTGCCCAGCCCGAGCCCGAGCGCCATCGAGTTCTACATGGACGGCTCGTCGTCGTCGAACGGCGATGGTTCTGACGATGGCTCTGATGATTCAAGGGTGAATCTGCTGCAGTTCAACATCTTCAATATCGAGCGTATTGAGACGTGCAATATTCGCGCTAAGTAGGTAGGTAGGTAGGTGAGCCTGTGGAGAGCAAGGTGAAGAGAAGCATTCAAGGCTTTTTTTGAATTTTTGAATTGGTTTTTTGTTTATAGTACATTGGTATGTATGATGGTCCTGCTTATGACGTTGGAAGTATTTGTGACTACATTACATACCCAATAGATACCTACCTACATGATAGTACTAGGTACTATGTAGGTATATAGGTACTGTAGGTAGGTAATTAGGTAATACCCCAGGTTAGTCAAAATTGTCAAATAAAGCCAACAAAAAAAAAAGAAATGAAATAATTTGAAAATGTGACGACTGTCACATAAATCACACAAGTGAATGTGACGCTGAATTAGGCTCTGATAAACTAGTAGGGGATGGGAGCTCGGTAGCTAGTGCAGATGCTTGGTCCCTATCAAAAGGCATGCCAAGACCTAAGAAAAGGGGGTGGAAAAAGGGGGTACATATCATGTATCCACCTCACTGCAACGCTGGGTAATTACCTAATATTCGTTATAGATACCGCTCGAGAAAGGATATGCAGTGTTTCCATCACGCAACACCGCTTCCTGTATCCTTGGCAGCTTTCGCGACATCGAACTTGCGTCCACGAACCTACACCATGGTCTCTTGTCGCCGAAGCGTTACCGTTCCATCGGCTAAGTAATAACGAAAGAACCGATCGTAGCCTTCCAGTACACCGAGCTTATCATCCCCAAGACCTCGATATATACTAGCAAGTTTCGCCTTGTAATGAGCCATGTCGCGCTAGAGATCTGGGGAAATAAGGCTGTCCAGGATGCGACCGGGTGCTAAGAGATCCCCCAGCAAAAAAAAGAAAAAGAAAAGAAAAAAAAACAGCTCTGGCTAGTTATCAGGCAGGGGCCGACAAATTTTTATAGCGACCAAAGTCACCTACGCGTTCTTTGTCCGAGTTAGAAGCCAGTGCCACCAGGAAAGTTTGGTCTACGCCCTGGAGGCTTCAACATATCCTTTGCGTCTTGCGTGGCCTAAGACACTTTTTGTTCAATTAACCCCAATGGGGGCGCCTGTGTGTGCTTTGAATGGGCTGCGGACCTCTACGCCGTATTGGTGTAGCATAGGTAAGATATGTACCTACACATTCAATCCAAACATACCCGAGTAGCTTGTGAGGAACCGAAAACTCCTTACTTTCGTGATATTATTTTATTGTATAGTACAGCGCGTACTACGTAGGCACCTCAGGTAGGCAAGTACTTGATTATAATGAACATTGCGTATGTATTCAACTTTTAAAATCCCTAGAATATCTCTCTCGATAACCTCATGCAAAACTACCTACCTATAGAGATCACAAAAATAGCCCCCCCCCCTCCTCCCCCTCCAAAAAAAAGCATCATCTAGGCGGGAACAAACAGGGCCAGCGTGTATAAACCCTCCACATTACGTGCCAATCCCCCAATATATCCATCCCTAATAGTTATCCCTTCATAAATTCTTTACTACCTAGGTGCTTATGTATTACTACTTATTATTATTATTATTGTTGTTGTTGCTACTCCAGCTTCCTCCTCAACTCGAGCCCCGACCCATTATCTTCCAGCGACACCGTCATGCCCCCGACCGCCTGCTGCAGGTATCCATTGCTGGCGGCGACCTTGAGCTGCGCGCGGGTGTCGTCATCGACTGAATGAGTGAGCACCGCAATCATGTCCGTCTTCCAGGGGTCCAGGTCCAAGCTGTGCGTCTCCTGGATCGACCAGAGGCTGAACGCGAGCCCCAGGAGGATTGTGAGCGCGGGGAGGGTCAGGTACGTCCACTTGACGGCGATGTGCGTGACCCACTCCTCGCCCATGCCGGTCTGCGTCTCGTTGGAGATGTCGCGCATCCAGTTCGTGACCGTCGAGCCGACGTTGGCGAAGGTCGTCGACAGGTTGTGGCTCTGGTAGAGGGCCTGCGCCGTGGAGCTGATGCCCGTGTCGTCGCCGACGCCCGCCGGCCACGTCATCTTCTTGCTGAGCAGCTGCTCGTTGACGAAGCGCGTCGTCGTGCCCACCGTGTTCTGCGTCAGCCGGAAGCGGCGCGTGACGTCCTGCGGCAGCGCGCTGAGCTTCACGTCCTCGTTCGTGATGAACAGCTCCAGGTCGGTCCGGGAGACGTCCCCGTACGCCGGGTACAGCGAGTAGTTGTTCCACTTGTCGTAGGCCTCGTACATGTCCTTGGAGTTGAGGCTCGGGTGGCCCGCGCTGTTGTCGGCCGCGGTGTAGGTCGCGAAGTCGCGCCGCGCCCACGTCGACACGATCCGGTCCGTGAGCACGCCGTTTATCACCTCCGAGTCGAACGCTTGCACGCAGAAGTACAGCGAGCACTCTGTCGCGGTCACGGGCGTGTCCTCCCACTTCAACTCCTCGGCTTCGAAACCGGGCGCGGCTTTCAGCATCTGCACCGTGGTGATCATGGTGGTTAAGTTCTGGAAGTTCAAGGTGAAGTGGGGGTCAGTGATGATCGTGGTAGCCATATAGGCATCGACAGTGCTTTTGCCAATCTTGGACATGTTGGCGGCGCCGTTGCTAAGATTGGTGAGATTAAGCCTAGGCAGAGACACGATCGTGAAATTGGAATCCTTAATATCAATTTCGGGATTGCGTAGTGACTGTAGGTTATCCCCTCGCTGCGCGTAACGCTGAATATGGCTCGAAATATCGGTGCATGCACTGCAGATTGCCAACGAGGTATATATCGGCCAGGTGCAGTTTCCATTGGGGCAGGAGAATGAGGCAGTCTTTTTGGTGCTGAACGAGGAATTGTAAATCCCGTCGTAAAACGAAGACCTCATGCCGGGATCTGGTAGAGAGTCGAAGCTTGTGAACGCTACGGATTCGTCAGAGGGTGCAAGCCTTACCCGTGTTAAAGCGCCACCGGCATTTTCGACGTATGAGCCCACATCTAGAAGATCGCTCCGACCGATTTGAGATTTTGTGGCCTCGATACTGGGATCCATCTGCCCAGGGAAAGAGATGACAGCCTGTAGGAACGGTTCGAACCCTATAAGTAAAATCGAGCTAAGTGCACCGAGAACAACCCAGTGACTATGAGTAGGCACATACTAGGTCAGTTTCCAAGAGCTGGGAATGGTGTTCTTCGTCTTCACTCACCGGGCTCTTAGCTTGATGATGAGCCAGAAACATCCCCACGGACCACGGCTAGCTTCGTCAAAGCTATCAAAAGTGGCGAGATTCCCCGGCCTCCTTCTAAAGTAGTTCCATTTGTCCTGGGCGAGACATGAACTGACGGCGAACCCTAGAGAAGTTCGGGATACGGATCCTAGGGCGGAAACGACAGTGTTGAGAGATAGAGTACCGCTCCATTCGCGTAACGGGCGGCCATCAGCGTATATGAGTAGAACCACCAGAGCTAGCAATGCAATGAAGCTTATAGCTATTGCTCCCACTTCCCAGTCCCAAGCGTTTCCACGTTTTGATATATTGACATTGAGGTGTTTGCCATTGGATGGCGGTGGTGGTGGTGGTGGTGGTGAGATATTTTCTTTGTCACTTGCCTCCTCTGAGATGTTGAGGATTGGGTTTGCGTTTGTGTTTGTGTTTGTGTCTGTAGGAAGTATTTTCATGGGAATGGTAAAGTCGGATTCGACATCTTTTTGGACACAAGGTGGTGGAGCCGATATGTGGCTTGCCTCGTTAGGGATATTAGCACGAGGGGAGCTCATATTAGTTGATAGGATATAGGGGGTTCGGCGTGACTAGGTAGGTAGACACGAGTTCAGATATTGAGAATTCATGAGCACAAGTTCATTCGGTGAGGATCCACGAGCACCAACTCGAATCGAATACACAAACCAGGAGGATCAAAACTGAAAGGTATGAATCTGAAGAAAAAAAAAAAGTGTAAAATATGTAAAGTAGTAGAAATAGCTGGGCCGAAATTGTAAGTTCTTTCGGTCGCCAGTGTCAGGTTACAGAGACTGGAGGACTGTGCTTAGACGTGGGACTGTGCTCTCAACTTGCGGATGAAAAGCCGTGGAACCAGGCGTGGCCAGTACCACCAAATTTGACACCTTTGCTGGCGAAGCTACCTGATTTGATACGTCGTATAATAGTTACATTAACTTCCGATGTGCAAGCCCTTGATTTGTTTATACTCGAGACATCTAGAAAGAAGAGTTGCCCCCAAGGGCCCTCTTTCTATCTCCCACGACCGCCCAGAAGCACAGAAGGTGATGGATCCTACCTAGCTTCGCTCGACGCATGCCCAGGTGTGGATATTAAAATATCTCCAGTTCCTAGTATGCAGTAGCGTAGCAAGACCCATAAAGCCTTAAATTCACCAGTGCCGGACTCTAGTTCGAGAAAACAGCCCTAACCTAGCTTGATCAATGGGGGAATTTACATACATTTATTTCTCAGAATCTCCAAATTAACACATGATGTCTTCCGCCGTTCCCAACAAACGTCCGCATTCTTTAGGGTACAGGAATAGAAGGCCACAGAATTACCATTACACGTAGGTTTCCAAACATAGCTGCTGGAGGCTTCTAGCCCTGAGGCGGTACCTGCTGGCAATCCGGTTAACGCCGTGAAACCGAACTCGGCCACCCTTGTGCAAGTACCTACCTAAATAATAATATATTCCAGTGTCATGATCACCGAATTCGCTCGCGTCATCCTATCAGCCCCCTCTCCTTGATTTCGTGTCACCGCCGAGATAGTCAATAGGGTTCCGACATAGAGGGCATGTGTTTTGGTTGCTGCTCTGAAACCACTTGTATAAACAAGTGCGGTGAAACAGATTCTTGCACGTTTGGCAACGCTTGTCTGGCATCCTCTTGTCAGTGCTGATAATGCTGTAGCAGATGGCGCATTCAGTCTGTCCCTTCATGGCGCCCACGATGTTGCGACGGAAAGTCGCTAGGCCGTCGATGATGCTCCCGCTCTACAGTATTATATGTTAGACATAAATCTCTTGGTATATAAAGCATGCAAACGATAAAACATACCGAAAAAGTAATGACGCCCTGCGTCGTCATGATCCAGCTTTGCCATTTCTTCTCGTTGACTACGACCCGATTGACACTCGTCACCGATACACCTTCGAGCGGATAGTTAGGCGGAACCCGTATCGCAATCAGGGCTTCTTGCTCGTCTACCTCGTAGCCGGCTGTTACCTCTTTAGCGGCGTGGCTTACTCTCACAACCAGCTCTTTCTCATCTTCCCCGGGAGCTTCCTGAGTCGTGCTCCATTCCAAAACATCATTTAGGGCCTCTGATATGATAATTGGCGAGAAGTGTTTGGTCATCCAGCTTGCGACCGCAATCTTTGTCTGCTTTGAGCGACACTCAATGTACCATGCCTTGAAAAGGCCAGGTACGTATTTGAGTACCAGATAATATAGATGAATCAGGAGCCACTGCATATCCCTTTCTTCAGTTTCTGCCCCAGCGAGCTTCACATCATACTCCCGAATCTGTTCCGCCGTGAAATTGGCCTTGTCTAGATTCAGGGGGTGGGCCGCTGAATGGCCAAGAACGTCGAAGGTGAATTCCATCAAAGGTCCAATATAATTGGCTGCCTTGATGTTCTCGGTATAGTCACTACGCACTCTGAAGGTGGCCGATCGAAAGGAGTCAAACACCAAGTGCCATGAGAGAAGATAAGAGCGGATGGGTGCAGGGAAATGAGTCAGGACTTCGTCGGGGTAAGTCTCAAGCGTTGGCGCATCGAGAAGAAGAGACAAAAGTTCATCAGGGAGCTGGGCATCCCTCTTTTCTAGTAGAATATCCAACGAAAGCTTCTCCTGAACAGCGGGGAGCGCCTTGTGAAGCATAGTAAATGCTGCTATTTGGATAGCCCGCGATTCGCTTGCCACTAGCCCGTACAACTCCGAGAGATCCCTTATATGCTCCAGAGGGACTTTTTCCAAATGACGACTGATGATGGAGTCTACAATCTCGAGAGGCTGGGTATTGTGCTCTCGAGGCACTTTGAGTAGTTCGATCAATGCAGTTGATCGCTTCTCCATAGAAGATTCTAGGACATCAACTAGATCATCGTTAGGGTCCTCGATTGACTGTAGCGTAGCAATCAGGCGAAGGGAGGAACAAATCGCCGGTAACCTGTGATCGAGGGACTTGGTCATCGATTTTGTCCAGATGTAAATGCAGAATTCCACAGCGCTCTCCCAATAAGATCCATATACATCCTTGATGCATGGAAGGAGGCGCTGAAGGCAACGGCATACCTCTGCTGCGAAGCGATAATCGAGGTCACTAGGGGTTTCAAGCCATGATGTAAGTTGTCTGACGGCGAAAACCAACCGGTTACTAGCAACTGGAAGCTCTCCAATGTCGTATATTTGCGTACAGGTGTTGAGGAGCACAAGGGATGTGAGCGTTTTCTCCTGGCCGACGTTCGCCCCTGCAATATCACTGATCAGGCGGTTGCAGAATTTGTTGACGATTTTCGAGGTCGACGCTGATTCGCCGAGACCGCTAAGGACTGCGACAGCCGGGAGAACCGACACGGTACTGGTCTTCAGAAAATCCAAGTTCTCCAACCATTGCTCTCCACTGGATGGTAAACCGTGGCTCTCTACCAATGCCTGAAGAAGATTACTAAGGACTCGCGCATAGTATAAGCCTTTGGATGTTAAATGCCTTGCTTCGTCGATTAATGTTCGGATAATGGCGTTTACTAGTTGTGACTTAGCTGTGCCAGCTCCATCTCTCCAACCTGCCGCGTCCTCACTAATGCCAAGCAAAAACCTTCGCGCAGATGATATCAAATTTTCAGCATCTGATAGAGCGGCTTCGGAAGATAATGACCTCCATATACTATCTTCACTCATCACTGTCAGTTGGTCCGTGACAAGTTCCGCAGTCAGCCCCAGCAGTATTACGGTCTCTACTCGTTTTTGCAGTGGTAACGAATCGAGCTCAAAATCTGCCAAGAGTAACCTGCTGCTGTATATTGCCATGCGCCCAGGAATGGAACATCCGTCTCGATCTCTCCGTATAGTTGGGGATGGCGAGTCTGTGGACGATGGAGTGAGAAAATAAGCGCCACCAAGACCATTCGTAAGGGCGAGAGATGGATTGGGTGCAACTTCCAAAAAGGGGGCCAGTTCCTGTTTCCATATGTCTGTGTCTGGTATTACGCATTCTAGTTGTTCGCTTCGATTTGTATCGGTCAAGGAAATTGTGATTGAGCTAAGGATTTGTGTGGCTTGCTGAACAAGCGTATCGACTCTGGAGGATAGTTAGTAACATTGAAAAGCAGACTTATAATGAAACTTACGCAAGCGAGTTCGAATCGGCGTTAGAAATGCCTTGCCGCACCAGCTCAAGTGACCGGGAACCACTGGTTGAAGGATGATCCATCAAAGACCTTAATGCGGTTATATCAGAAGTAGCATCAAATCGTTCAGACACAGCTAGTAAGCCAGTCATCAAATTCATATGAGCTTCCTCATCACGCAGTAAAATATCTGGTGTCCTTTCAGCTATAAGTCGCAACCCCTTAATCACCCCTTCGTTGGGCTGGCCTAAAGTATTCGTAATACGGCTCCCAAGCTCTCGGGCAAGTCGTGTTGCAGCCGTATTTGTTAGCGTATCAAATGTTAGTACAGCGTTGAAGAGTTCCCACCCTACGTCTGTTGCACCAACAGAGCACATCAGACACCGCTTAATCAGTTCTCTTTGCAAGTCCTGATTCTGTTGGGCGAGAACGACCGCATTCCGATTAGAAATGAGTGTAGTTAATGCCGGCAAAGCTCCTGAGCTCTCAACGTGCTCCAAAAGAGCTGTGATGTTCGCATTCCAAATTTTATGATATCCTTCCTGTTGTTCGGGAACTTGACCAAGTAGATTAATGGCTGAGAAGATGTAAGTTGCGGCGGGCATTGAAAGGATTTCTGCCCCATTCCTTGACAACAGACTCGTTAGGAGGCCTATCACTTCATTTATGCCATCCAAGGATTGACTAAAGAGTTTTGGAGACTGCTTGAAGGCTGACTCCAAGATTGCGGCTGCCCCAAATGGCTTCCAGTTTCTCGTTTCTAATACTCGGAAGATGTCCTGGAGTAGCTCCAGAGAATATTCAGCTGGTATATCTGGGATCGGACGGTCACCTCCAAGTGTCTGTCCATGGGCATTGGAAATCAGGCCTGTGAAAGTAAACCACCGGTGACCTTCATCGGCTACTGATTTTTGGGACTTTTCGTACTCCTTAGACGCCTCGGGCAGTGAGTTGCGAATGCGATCTTGGAGATCCTTTTTCCACTGGCACCATTCTGCCTTGGTTACCTTTACGACATCTTCAAACGGCGAGGTTGCGGTTAGAGTGTATGCTTTGATAAGAACAGGCTGTTGGGTTCCGGAGGCCCACGAATATGTTTCCGGGGTTGGATGCAGATAATGTGCGATGAGAGGGAATATGTTTTCCTGAACTAACTTCTCTCTGCCCTCACTAGATTTCATCGTTTCAGTAAAGCGTCTTGCGGTGCTAAGATAAGTTGACCAGCCATCAACGGCATTACTGCGCGCCTCATCTCTGCTCATGAGACCTAGTCTCATAGATTTGAGAAATTCCATAGAATCGGATAGATCTTCTGGAAGAATACCGGCAGGCAGAACATTCAATAATTGGTTGAGCGAAATCCAAAATCTAGAAGTACTACTCTGCGAGCCTTTCTCCAGGAATACTTTTAATCTTGATGTTGGTGACTTCTTTCCACGGTAGTCGGACGTCCACACAGATGGATGTTTTGCTGTCAAATCAGTCAAGGTACTGACATATTCTGATGCAGAACCGGCCTGGCTAGATCTTAGGCCTTCGACGATAAATGTCTTACTGAGTCTAGCGAGATCTGCTCCGATCTGGTCGTTCCGTTTTTCTAGGCATATTGACAAAAGCTGGCAGGATAGTCGCCTAACAACGGCATCGCTGGCAGCAATACTCGCCCAGACTTTATCCTGCTCAAAAAACTGATCGTACTCGTCTTGGCATTTCTCAAGATCTGAATTATCAAGCTTTTGTAAGAGATTTAGGACAAACGCAAGACTGCTGCCCAGAACTCGGTAGTACTTGGCCTGCGCATCGTCAGCGCTCGTGGATCGCTCATCGCTAAGAGTCTCGGGGGTCTCCTTTATCGCATTAGACGCATAGTCGATAATTTGCGATTGACAGCGCTTCCAAAATTGGACGACTTTCTCAGGGGTTGTGAGAAAAGAAGACAGTCCTTCTGTAGCTGCGCGTGAGACGGCCCTGTCCCGATCAAAAGTACCGGCAAGCCAAGAGCCTACGATTCGGGGAATGTGCTTCTCGGTGCGCTTGCGAGCGGATTTCATTAACTCGAATTGAAGGACATGGGAGAGTTCGCGGACGCGGCGGGAGTTATCTATTGATATACGAGGGTATAGTTGAACCTATGAATAGCAAGCATTAATTTTGTTAGAAAAAAGCGAGCGCAAACACAATATCAGATTTACATAGCTTGCACGTACCCAGGCTTCCAAGACAGGCTCCTCCGCACCTCCATCGCGTTCATGTGGATGCGCCTGAACATATGCTACTAGCTCCTCTAGTGCCTTAGCTTTGGTGGTGGCATCTTTCTTTTGTAGATTCTTAAGTGACACGACAACATTCGCATCCGAGATGGAGGAGAGGTCGGGTGGTTCGGTTAAGTAGGAGAGATCAGTTCCTTTGGATGTATTTGAGAAAGTGCTGAAGGTACTGGGACTGAGGGTATTGAATGCTTTGCCGCCAGTGATGCGCGGCTTTCCAAGTTTACGACTCATGGCGACGGCATAAAGCGGTGGTTTGGTAGTATAAGATGAAAAGGAAAGCGTCGCAATTGTCAGCGTATTTATATGAAATATTTTAAGAAATATTTCGACCCCACGGTGGGGTAATGATAAACATTGAAACTACAGCTTCCTAACGGTTAGTAGGTACCTAGCTATGTGATGTCATGTCAGCTATCTGCACGTGCCTCGAGTTTAATACATCGTTAGTGCTTAGGGACATAGGGTGAGTTAAGTTGCAGAATTCAATTTAAGGTTCCAGCTATTCCAACATTGAAGGTTTAAACCTTAAATAGTACTAGTTACAGGGATATATGTATACTAGGTCGATACTCACTATAAGGTAGATATACTAGGTATACATACCTAAAAAAAATAAAGGTATAAAACAAAACTGTGAACAAGGCAAAGTTATTCAGATTGGGTTAATTGACTAACCTAGCTACTTTATAAGCTGTAATAGCTTTTTATACTAAGCTTACTAATTAATCATATTATTATCTCAGCAAGCTCAAACTATAATTCAACCGACATGTACATGTAAGGCTATAATCATACTATGCTGTTTGAAGCTGCTACTACTGGTAACCTTAGGCTACCACTGCGAGCAAAAACAAACAAATTAACATAGGTTATAGATATATCCCTTTTTAGGGATATCTTACATAATTACATAACTAGCACCTACTATGTAGGTCGTTACTCAACGTTGAAGACTGCATATGATGTATGTAAGGGACGAATAAGATAGTGGCATTATAGTGCACTATTACCCCGCGAAGCGTCCCATAGTACTTCATCATAGTGTCTACTAGGCATTGTTAAAGGGCCCTGGATGCGTATTAGTGTGTATCCCCGCACTCTGCTTCATACCTAAGTAGGTACCTACATAGGCATTAGTCGCCGTGAAGATACAATACATCCATGGATATACCTATAAATTAAACTCTCCCCCAAATTCTTATCCGAGGATCCCTACCTACCTACCTACCTACCCAAAGCCCAACCCCGAACCGTACAGGGACGCCCACCATCTGCTTCCGTTTCTCCCCGCTTTAAGTCTAACCGCTTCACTCTTCATCTTCATATTCATGTTCATACCTATAAAACTGCCTACCTCCAGGGCTACCTACCAACCTACCTACCAATCTACATACTAGTACTAGATAATCTACTTTCACTTTTACTTGTGCCAGTTGAGACAGGCACATAAGTGTCAGGACTTTGTCTCTTGTCTCCCTAGTCCAACTATCTATCTGCTTTGTGTGAGTGCTATCTTTCTATGTACGGCGATCGTCTTTATTACATCAACAGACAACTTGGCTTCACAAACTTACATTATTTATTTCACAGTAGATGTTATAGGATGTGTTCGTCATCTATAACTCAGCCACCATGTTGACCCGCGTCATCTGTCAAACCATGCCTGGAGCGCGGCCTCTCCAAACCAGAACCTCGGCCTCAAACATCCTACACCCTACAAATGTTTCTTTGTTGACACTGGGCCATCGTCAACAGACCCGCGCCTTTCGTTTTGGCATGTGGCCTTCCCTTTTTAACCCCGAACCAGAAAAAGAACCCCGACACCGTCATCGAGTGCCCAAACGCGAGGATGTCGATGCTCTCAATAGGAGACTTTCGTGGGATCGACTCACAGTTGAAGAACATCCAAGAGTCATTTTGAAGCGTATGCTTCGCAGATATTACATTTCGCGCTTCATAAACTCTGATGAGTTTAATGGCCAACACCGACGCACTGGACCAGCTCCAGATGCCAGAGATGAGCGCATGAAGATGAAGATGAAGATGTCATGGGGTGATAACCCCTTTGGCTTTTGGGTTGGAAGTAGAAGCTTATGGTGGAAAGCCCAGCCGGAAGAACCAACGGATCATTGGGCTGAGAAGTCATCAGACCGCACAAGTCAAGTGGATCCTGAGAAATCACCTAAGACCTCATCAGTGCCCAACAAGAAATCCGAGTGGAGAGATCATGGCTATGAAGCCAATATATCTTTTGCAGAGGATTATGTGATTGACCCTATTACAAATCGTAAGGTCATAGCTCAGTCAAAGACCACGGGCTCCCCTTCAGATAGCCCGTTGAATGACCCTTTGGGTGATTCCAATAGGTCTTACGGGTCCCATCTCACGGCATCCAAACTTCCTAAGGATGATAGAAATCTGCCCCCTGTTTACTCGAATGGGCCACCACCTCCAGCAGAGCTCGAAAAATACGGCCAGGTCGATTTATACCCCGCATCATTAGATGGTGTCAATGATCACGGAATGCCACCTAGTGGCAGTACAGGCTCTCCACAACAACCTATCCTACAAAGCGAAGAATACGCCCTCAACCACCTTCCACCGGAGGAGTCAGTCGAACGATACGATGACCTTCACAAATACAAGCCGGATAAATACGACGAATTTCACCAACAGGTTCCAGGGCCAGAAGACAAGAAATACGCTGATCTCGATAAGTACGATACCTATGGAGCTAGGGAGGCCGCGAACGCTGGTACGGAAATGCCCCAGAACGGCGATGAATTGCCCAAGTACAAACCGTATATGTACAATGAAAATTTACATGCTGAAAATCAGAGAACACAATATGAAGACCTGGACCAGTACGGGCCATACAAATATCAAGAAGACGTGAAAAAGAAGGACGACTCCTGTCCAGAATATGATGACCTTGACAAATATGAACATTATGACGACAATGGCAAGCCTGCGGATGATTCGGTGCAAAAATACCAAGACTTGGACAACTATAGTCCGGATAGCTTTCAAGACTCCATTAAGGAGGAGCTGCCTTCTCAACAATATGAAGATCTTGACAAGTATGGAGCTTTCGAAGACCAAGAACTTGATGACAAACCTACTCTTGAGCGAGATATTGTCGCGGAGTCTCTAAGAGAGTTCGATATCAAAGAGCATGAATCAAATGAAGATGGCGACCCGAGGCCAAGCATCACTGATAGAAGGCAAAACTTGAATCGCAACGAGACACATATTTCTCATACCAGCACGCCCCACTTATCCCCGTTCTCTTGCCGAACCCCCTCGGTCCCAGATACCACGGAATTTCGAGAGAAATTAGAACATTCTTTTGCTGAGATTAGTGAGGCGTCTGACGAAGTAGATCGGATAGCCAAGGCCCACGTCAAGAGCTTTCGCATAAATTCCCAGGACGAGAACCAAGCGAATCAATCTACTTTAGCTGGTAGTCATATTAAAGGAGATAAGGGACAAACCAAACCAAAGCTGGAACCAGCCCTCGATCGGCAAGGTACAAGATCTAAGAGTACGTGCAACAATCTCTCTAACACGCAGGCCGAGATCGACCCGTACTCCAAAGAGCCACAGGGATTAGAGACGTCGTATGCTAAAGAAAATGATGGGGAGCATACGCCACTAACATTCACTAAGATGTATAGCGGTAAACCGAGTGAAGAGGCTTCCAACTCCCAATTAGCGAAGGAAGATAATAGTCCCACCACCCCTCCATTTAAGTTACTGTATCATAGGGACCCAGAGGTTGATGGACCACCAGCAGTCTCCCCGTTCCCCTCAGACACCAAGGCTGAGCAAAGCCAGACTTTGTACAAGATCTTAGCCTACAACCGGACCTTGGAAAAGGTTGACACTGTCGAGACTACGTCGGTCGTACCCGATCATGCTTCTCCGTTGACACCAGCTGAAGTATTGCTCCGGCTATCAAACCCAACAAAATTCTTCCCCTATTTCGCCTCCTTACAGGCCGAAGGTTTTGAAATCGTGTCGGGTGGCGGAGATGTATTAGTTTTCCGACAGATTCGGACCGGGAAAGCTGGGAATCAAGAGAGTGCAAGGCCGATAAATCCTATCGATATGATGGGTAAACCGACAGCATTGCCAAATGCAGCAGCGTTCGTTTCGCCAACGGGATTTGTCAATTATGACATGCCGCGGGTGGAAGAAGAAGTGCAGGCGCCTCCTTTCCGCTCCAACATCGATGTCAGAAGAGAGGAGCCCGTTTTCAGCGGGCCTAAGTCAACGTCCCGCGAGGGAAAGAAAGGCGGTAAGGAAAAGAGCGTCGGGAAACGAGTTCTAGTTGGCGGCGTATGGGTTGCTGGTATCTCATATGCCCTTGGCGTTGTCAGCGAGTACTTCATAACAGGTGGTGCTGATGGTCAAGGCCCGAAGGGATTTTGATGCGCGCTGTTTTATCTAAGTGCTTAAGTTTTGCGCGATGAGACTTTTCAGACACGGTTCGGAATTGCGTGACATTGTAAGGATGCTGGGATATTGGGACTTTATATGGTAGGGATTATTATAACGGGAGGTGTGGCGTTTGCTTCGTCGGCGGATTTTGGGGGTTTGGAGGGTTGGAAATGGATCACTCAATAGGTTTACTGGAAGACATCCCCAATCGTTCATCTTGGTAATTCATCAATACTTTGTACAGTATCTTTCCACCATCCTCTTATTTACTAGGTATGGTTACCGAGGTTCAGTATTCGATCGTTGGCATCTATGGGAATGTTCTATTTAGTCTTGGCCTTTGAAGCTATGTCGACTGAAAGGAGTTTAGGTAACATGGTACCTAGGTCAACTGGTACTGAACAATTACATAAAAACATGGCGTTTTATAAAAGTATATAAAGCAACGATAGCTCCAAAGTTCCCTAGTTGCTAATATGTTTACTCAACTGAATTACCTAGGTATACACGGATGTAATTACGAACTATTTACCTAGTCTTCTTAGGTAACTACCTACATATAACTATGTAGGTACTTCGTAGGTAGGCGTGTTTAATGTGATAAGAATCATACTAACGTAGCCTACCCAGGCGCGTTACGAGATATCATCCACGCACGTTACTAGAGGCGAGCCACCTAGTCTTTTTGTCTACCTTAGGTAGGTAGGTGTTAAGCACCATTCGCATTGCGTATTACTAATACAATAATACAAGTAAGCCTTTTCGAGTTGTTCGACGTTCATGGATGGTAACTATGTACAAATAAGACGCAAATCCCTTTCCAGGCTCGGGTCTAGGTTACTGTACTCTGGGCAGTGGGCACTGCTCACGGCTCATACTGCGTGTAGGTAGAACGGTATATTTCCGCAAATCTTCAAGAAAGATCCTTGACCTTTTTTTCTTCTTCTGATATGGACTGGACTCACTGGAGAATCATATGCAGATACCAAGCCGTGGATAACTCTACGACTACAACTACCTAATTTAGGATATACTTGGCGGTGTACGCTAGATCGATCTAGTCGTGCCGCACAGTAAACGGAGCTGAAATACATACAGTTGCAGTAGTCTGCGACTGAGGACGACAAGCAGCCAATGACGACCCCCTTTTCTCCTCCTTGCTCCCCGCCTTTTTTTGACGAACGCCCTGCTCGTCAACCCAAGGGCGCGCACTCCACATTCATTACAAGTTTGACATGGGGGTTCGGCGCCGTCAGCAGAGACCGGAGCTCGTTTTTTTGTATGTGGTCGCGATACAATGACGGACGGTTCTTAAGCGATGACTCTTGTTTTTTCCCCCGGTGCCTAGGTGATCATTATCTATTTGTTCCCAGCTTCAGCGACAAGCGGACCAAAGACAAGAGAATATTATTCATTACCGTGACTTTTTTGCAGATCCAGCGCACGAAGAAAAGTGTCTGTCGTGTGCTTTAGTTTCCCTTGTTCCCCCATCCATCCATCCATCCATCCATCCACAATAGCTGTGCTTACCTGCTCCCTAAAAAGTTTAGTCGAGGTGTGGTCTCGTCGTATTCTTCCCCAGACTTATTTTTCCCGTTCTTAACAGGACCGGACCTCCCTTTTGACTGATTGACCTGTCTTCTCTTGTTTAATTTATACTTTCCCATCTCATCCGGAATCGTCCATACCAAGGCGGATGTCATTGACCTTTACACATACGCCCTTGTCCTTCTCACTCAACTGCTACGCCCTGTTTAGCTGAAACATCTCTTGGTGCTACGCCCTTCATGACGACCATCAACGAGCTAGCGGAGATGGATTTTGTCAACTGGGATGCCACCTCGGCCGGCCCCAGCTTTGATCCCGTCATGGCATCGGAGGGCGCAGCCGATCCCCTCGATGCCGGCGGTGGCACATTGTTAGACCAGCCCAATATGGATCTGGTCTTTGGGGACATCGACGGCGATGATTGGTCGTACTGGGCTCTTGAGCACTTTGATTCCACTCAAATGCCACAGGATGTTGACCTCTCGGAGCCTGTAGCCAATTCGATGCTGTATTGGGAGACTCCCGAGGCCCCCTGTACTCACTGCGCCTTGGGTGGTTACCAGTGCAAGCGAATCAGAGAAGGTAAATATAGAGGTTATTGCACGAGCTGCGTTGCACTCCGGTGTGAGTGTAGCTTCGGCCCCCTGGAAAACAACCTGGCCGCTGAAGCCGGTGCGACCTTTCCGGCGAACCCCTGGCCAACGATGGGCGATAGACCCGAAACGTCTATTCTACACGAAGATGACTTCGCCACCATCATGACTTCAGCTCCGCCTGTATCATCAGGGCTTGCTGCCGCATCTGCCGCTATCATGGAAGATCAGCAGTTATCATCAAAGCCTCCCACCATAACTAAGAGTGGTGCACGATTTTCTCGCGAATCTGTCAAGATTCTGAAGAACTGGGTCTCGACGCATAGCAGACACCCGTATCCCACCGAGGAGGAAAAGGAGGGCCTGCAGAAGATCACCGGTCTCACCAAGACTCAGATCACCAATTGGCTTGCCAACGCTCGCCGGCGTGGCAAGATCCAACCTACCAGAGCCACTTCTCCTCACATCGGCCGCGGATATGCCCAAGCCATCGATATCCCCCAGCGGAGAGGCACGCCAGCACTATTTGAGAGCATGAACCCGTTGCAGAGATGGGCCAACTCTCCCCCCGAGAACGAACCTGCGTCCGTCGCAGCTATCGCCAGAGCCGTGTCGGCCTCCTCTAACTCGTACTCGCAGACGTCGGGATCTGGCCGTAACAGTCCTTACGTCTCCAACTGGTCAGACGATGGGTCTAGCAGGTCGCTGTGCAATGTATCGTCTGCCAGCAGTTTGGGTACATCTCATTCCAGCGGCGGCTCTTTTGCGTCGGCCTATTCCAGCAAATCCCGCGGCTCCTTTGGCTCGCTACCCTCATTTGTCCGGACCCGCGGCCGACGCCGTCGCCGACGCGCCCCGCCCAAGCGAGCCGAGGAGGGTCTCAGCCAGCCACTGAAGACATTCGAGTGCACGTTCTGTACCGAAACTTTCAGGACTAAGCACGACTGGCAACGGCACGAGAAATCGTTGCATTTGTCTCTCGAGCGATGGATCTGTTCTCCCGACGGGCCTCGATACATCAACCCCGAAAACGGAATGATGAGCTGCGTCTTCTGCGGCGAGGTGAACCCCAACGACGCCCACATCGAAGCCCACAACTTCTCCAGCTGCACCGAGCGGACGCAAGAAGAACGGACATTCTACCGGAAGGATCATCTCCGCCAGCACCTCAAGCTCGTGCACAACGTCAGCTTCCTCCCCTGGGCGATGGACAGGTGGCGGGTGAACTTCCCAGAGATCCGGTCGCGGTGCGGTTTCTGCGGCATCGTGCTCGACAGCTGGACGATCCGTGTGGACCACCTCGCCGAGCATTTCAAGACCGGTAACACTATGGCTGACTGGAAGGGTGACTGGGGTTTTGAAGCGCCCGTGCTGGAGATGGTCGAGAACTCTATCCCGCCTTGTGAGAGAGAATCTAACACACCCTTTTCCCCGTACAGTAATCTAACCAGTGCGTGCAGATCTGATTCACGACGAGAGAAATACGCCGCTGCCGTATAAGGCCAGCAGCAACCCGCCCACAACGCCGACTAATGCTTACGAGCTTCTCAAATGGGAGCTCTACCACTGGATGTCCCAATTCACGGCAGACACGGCGAGGCCACCAACCGATGCTGAGATACAATTAGAGGCATGCTGCATCCTTTTCGGTGCCGACGCGCAATCACAGCCTCACCGCCGGGGCGCAACATCATGGCTCCGCGACCTCATCGTCTCGTCCGAGGAGCAAGCCCGGAACGCCGCCTTCCGCCCCATCCGAGGGCAGCTAGACTGCCGCCTGACCTCGCTGCGCATCAACGGCAAGGGCGAGATCTTCGAGGGCTGCGAGTTCGAACGGCAGCTGCGGGACTTCGTCGACAACAGACAGCTACTGGGGTTAACGGCGATGGACCATGAGCTGCAGGTCGAAGCGTGCCGCATCATCGGACGAGTCGAAGAAAAGTCCGGCAACCCGATGGACGACATCGCCAACTGGTTCATCCGCGTGATCAACAGCTCGCCCAAGTGGCTCGAGAACTTTCGGCAGCGGGCGCATCTCCCGCGCAGCGAGGACGTCGGAGACACGTATCTGCGGTCCAAGGACCCCAAGACCATCGACTCGACCATCTACAACTACACCCGATTAGAGCGGGAGCTTGGCGACTACTTATTGGGCAGGAGGACGACAGGCGTCGAGCCCGACGACGGCGACTTACAGCACCGGGCGCGCATCATTATCTACGACAGCGACGACGAGTGGAACCAGACGGCCGCCGACGACAAGGAGTGGCTGCAGCGCTTCCGGAACAGACACCCGGTCAGCGGAGGAGGAGGAGGAGGCAGCGCGATGTCCATGTCCGCGTCGGACGACTCCCCCATCCTCCTCGACCACGCCCCCTGTCGATCATCGCCAACCCAAAACCAGCACCCCGCTGCTACTGCCGCTGCCCCAAGCGACTCGCAGTACCTGGGGCCTCTATTCAAAGACCTGCCGCCCCAATCCCAATCGCAACCCCAGGCCACCAACTCAGCAGCAGCAGCAGCAGCCGCCGATGGCGATTTCAACAGCTCTATCAAAATAGGCCCTTTCTTCCTAAACGACACCAACTGCTATCGCCGCCTGGCGCGCGGACTGAGTCGCTTCGTGGCGTCGACGATGTCCGCGAATAACCCCAACCGACACGTGCCGACTGACGAGGAGCTGCAGTACCAGGCAAGGTGGCTGATATATGACGAGTAAGTTGCATATCTATTTTCATTCATTCATTTCTTTCTTCTCTCTATCTTAACACCCACCCCTTTTTTTTACCAAACCCCCAACTAACCCCTCCCCCCCTCAGCGACGACCCCTGGAACCAAACCGCGGCCGACAACTTCGAATGGCTGCAGCGCTTCAAGCGGGACGTGGGGATCCTCGCGCCGTCGTCGGGGCCTGGCCTCGGCAACTCCAACGACGTGGCGTGGGCGGCCTCCGAAGGCGGCACGGGCTTCGCGCCGCCGTACGTGCTGCCGAACCCCGCGCTGGCCATCGAGCCGCTGTCCGCGGACCCCACCGTCTTCATCCGCGAGGGCGCGAGGCCGTTCGCGCCCGCCGCGGGCACGGCCAACCGCTTCCTGCGCCGCCTCGCCCGCCGCTTCCCCGCGCCCGCCAAGGTCTTCTGCAGCCGCGAGCTCGAGTCCGGGCTCGCGGCGTACGTGCGCAGGCACGTGGCGGCGGCGGCGGACGGCGCGAGCTTCCCGAGCGACGAGCAGCTGCGCGCGCGCGCGCGCCAGATCCTGGCGATGGAGCGGACGAGCTGCGACGACCCGGTGCTGCTCGAGCGGTTCAAGAAGGCGGTGCGGGATCCGGGGGGGTTGCTGGGTGGGCAGGGGCAAGGGCAAGGGCAAGGGCAAGGGCAAGGGCATCGCCACCGCTCTTCTTCGTCGGGTACCGTGGACGTGTTTGAAGGAGAAGGAGGAGAGGGGGGAGGAGCGCCGCTGACGCCGAATATCGCGGCGGATATCGCGGCTGTGACGGCGGGCGCGAGCGACGATAATAATGATAACGATAACTATAATACTAATAACCACAACTACAACCACAGCACGGACGACGCAGCAGCACTCGCAACGCTCCCGTCGGAGATGGAGATGGAGATGGATCTGGATCTGGACTTCCACTTCACGGAGCAGGAGATGCAGGATCTGCTGGGGGACGTGGGCAACGAATTCGGCGCCGGCGGTGACGGGGGCGCGTCGTTGCATTAAGGTGGTTTGCTGTGGAACGACAACAGCACTTCAGCATCAGCATCATCATCATCATCATCATCTCTTATCAACGACAACATCATCATCAACTACAACACCATCGCCAACAACAACAACAACAAACAACGAAAAGTAAAGAAGGACCGGCACCGGCGGATACTTGCGTCTCCGTCAGCTTCTGCCAGCATGCTAGATACCATATGGGAAGGCGAGGAGTATGCAGGCGAACTGTAGCATTTTTAGTACCTACCTAGCTATTTTTCATTTTATTCTAACTTGTAAGCTACCATACCATACCTACCTACCTACCTACCTACATAAACAGGCAAATAGGCAGAAATGGATATATATATATAGGGTAGCTAAGTAGTAAGTAAGTAGGTAGGTAACGAGGGATATTAGGTACCTAACGGGCATGTAGCGAGGTGTTATGTTTTACGAAAGAATGAGAATAAATGAACATGAATATGATCATCTAAACTTCCAGTCTATCTATTTAGGTATGTAGGTAGGTACCTACGTGATGGGCAACCTATCTAGTATCTAGGTACTTATTGATTCGATGACTTTTACGTGATATGAAGAGGCAGGCCTACCTGCTATTGAAATAGGGGAAGTTAGCATAGCTTAGCTAGCCTGCTACAAATAAGTTGGTAAGAACCTAGGTAGTGCAATGCATAGCATTCAATAACACCACGGGATAAGTCAACCTGCTAGGAACCTACCTAGGTAGGTATGTAGGTAGATACACGTAATGTCTTTCGACCGACTGACGAGACTCAACAATCACCCAGAGCCACATATTATTCCTGCTTCACGGAGAACGAAAAACTAAAGGACACACATCCATTATCACGACACGACAAACCAATACCAATCAAGCGAAGACTTTCAAGGCAACGAACGAACGATTTTGTCCATATCAAGGCACCGACTAATCCCCCCTCTGCATCATTAACTATACCGCCCTATTCCCTCCTCCCTCTTCCTATTACGACAAAAGGAAAACCAAGTAGGCTGGTAGGTACGTACGTAGGAAAATGATATTAGACGACGAGAACCTTCAAAAAGCTCGGTACGCACGTTTCTCTCTCCGTGCGCAAACAGTTTTTTGTTTGAAAGATCCTGCGTCTGCAACGGGCCAAAAATCGGCAGTACAAAAAGGGTATCGTAATGAAATAAGCCGTGAGGCAACAAATAGCCACTCCTCTCCACCCCTAGGCTATTCAAATCACTTGTCGAGCAAGTCTATTATTTGACCTTCCGGAAAACGCCTTCTCCCCTCATCATGCGTGAAATTTTTTCGTCGTTGGGGTGCTTTTGCTTAATGAAATCTTTCAATAGACTGATAGATTAGAACCCCAAACAGGAATCTTCTTTCAATAAACCGATATAATAAAACCCTAAAAGGGAATCAGCCATGTCGTGGCGTTTCTGGTATCTCCTAGACCCCTCCATTTGCTTTCTCAATCTTACGCGGCGACTGAAGTTCTTCGTGAGGTGCAAAAGGGATGCTGGACGTAGGGGTAAAACTGTGGCCACCTTGTCGGCTTGGGCTTGACATAACTGATGATACATTGAATGTTGGAATCTGCTGGGTCTGTCTCAGCATAGCTTGCGCGCTAGTGATTGGCTCAGTAAATTGTATCGGGCTAGAAATAGGGCTTGAGACTATTGAGGATGGCCCTGTGGGCTGATAGTGCACGAACGTGCTATCGACTTGACCCGCCCCTGGAACAGGCTGTGCTGACGAGCTAGGATAGGGTGGGAGTGATGGGTAAGCAGATTTGGGAGCTGCTGCTGCTGCTGCCTTCGAGCGCTCTGCTTCACTTGGGACTGGAAATCCGGGCATTAGCTCAACAGGAAGACTAGGAGTTCTGGTCTTCTCCTCTGCTGCCTTTTTCTCAGCTTGAGCCTTCTGTTGTCTGGCTTCCTTCATCTCCTTGGTGAGGACATTGATCTTAATTTTCTTCATGCCATTGGTGATGTCCTTAACGTCACTTCCGGCATCTGTCGCAGTCGGTGCAGATTCTGCAGCTGAATTGATTGGCAATTCAGTTTGCGCGGGCAAATTGGTGTTCTCGAACTTGGATGTAGCAGCTTGAGTCTTTTTTGCCGGTCGAGTGCTTTCCCTTCTCGCGGGTACTGCAGGACGAGTCTTTTTAACATGCAATGAGAGAGATGACTGGCTTCGTATACCCATAGTTGTCTCGGGGCGGAAGCTTTGAGAAGTCATCGGCCTTGCCATCGGAACAGGTGGTGCATCTAGTGGAAGAGTCGATGCACCGCTATATTGTCGGCTTGGCCCGGAGCCATGCTGTACAGGAATACCTCGAGCGAGCGCCTGTGAATCATTAGATTAGTGTTTCATATAGGCCTGGAATATCTTGACTTACCTTCTCTGTGGCAACTGTGGACCCTCCGACAGTCTTCCTACGCGTTCTGGTCGAGTCATCGTTCTCAGCCTGACCCGGAGGCCGAACTGGCTTCTTCTCTCGCGTAGACTTCCTTACTGGGGCAGCTGCCAGAACAGGGTCAGCATGGCCATTAGTTGCACCATCTTCGGCACCTTGATCACTTTGAGAAAGCATGCTCTGACGGTCGGTTTTAGCATGAAGCTCCTTGTACGTATGACTGGAAACTGGGCGATCCTTAGGGATAAGCAATTTGCTGAGCTCGTGGGCAGCATCAGTCCAGGTTACCTCTGCGGGGGGAGGAGTTGGGGCTCGCGCAGGAGGCGCCGCGACACTTGACAGCGTACGCCGAACCTTAGTCGGGTCTACAGCTTTTGCGCACGATGCATGGGTTGGGGATGAATAATTCCCGGGAACGAGGCGCGGAACCTTCTTCGGCGGCTCCGGGGGTGGCGGTGCTGCCAAGGTAGCATCAAGTCGGTCAAGCTCAGCAGTTGACCACCAAGCTGGGTCATACGGGAACCCCGGGACCCTGAGTTTCATCCCATCATCAGTCAGCGTATTTCGCCTGTTGAGTGATCCAATCCTAGTGCTCATCTCATAGGTGCTCGCACTTCCACCGGGGACCTCTTCCTTCGGCGTCAAAGGTGCATTGCCGGCTAAACCAGTAAGATGGCTGAGAACGCCCGAATACAGAGCTCGGTCACTGTAGCCGCCCTCAAGAACACTAATGATCCGACCATCGACGCTCAGTCCTTCTTCGGCCGCAAGCTTGACCACATCACGGGAAAGACGAGCATAAAACTCAGTCGGGACATTAACCGAGTGGCGTTGCATATTCGGGTTTTCCCATTGACTTGCGTCGAATCCGGCAGAGAAGAATATTGCAGCTTTAGGCACCTGACCAGAAGCGCGATATTTCTCAGTCTGCGTTCGTAGATAAGTTCGAGCTTTCTCTAGGAGAATAGAGTATTTGGATTGGTATAGCTTCCAAAATTCAACTTCTGATTTCCACTCTTGGAGGTGGACGTTCCACATATTTTGACCATGGGCGTTTTCTATGCAAACGCTTGCATTCGTAATCTTCTCATCCGGGCCATCTTCACAAGGGTAGGAATTGATATCGTGGAGACTGAAATATCCAATAGAGGTTTTCTTCCAGGCCGCCACATTCTTTGATGTGTTGCCACGTTTGTTGTGTTCCCATGCAATGGCTTGAGAGCCGTCTCCATGATGTAGATCAAAATCGATGATTGCAACATGCGTCAATCCGTGGTTGAGAAATCCATGCATGATGCCGACATGCACATTGTTGACCCAGCAGAATCCTTGGGGATTCTGTGCAGAACAATGATGACCCGGAGGACGCACTGCTACAAAGGCACGCTTGTAAGGCGAATTGCCGAAGACCGCATCCACAGCATCGCAGACAGCGCCAAGTGCTCCCTCAAATGCGTTCAAGGACTCTGCACATAAATAGAGGTCTCCTTTGTGGAGTACGTTGCCGGCCTTGATATCTGCTTCTGTATCATCCGGTCGAAGTACTTCATTCATCCTGTCGGCCAGTTTTGTCTCCGTAGCGTCACACATATATTTTAGATCGTCCATCCACTTGGTTCCGTGAACGTTGGTGACAGTTGGAGAATTGATCGCCAGTGTACGTGTAGTCTTCTGAATACGAAAAGGAATGTTTGGGAGCGTTGTGGGATCAAGGTGGAGGTCAACAGGGTGTTTTCCGTCACAGTGACGCTCACCAAGCCGGACATATGCTGTCGATACACCAAGTACAACGGCTTGAATTCGCTCGGGGCGTTCAACAATAGTATTAAAAGATAGCTTGGTGGGTCGGGGTCGCGAAAAGCGATGGCCGTAGCAGGCATCATGGAGAATGACAACGGTCTCGGGATGATGAATTGATGAATCTCCATGAAGCAACTTCAACTCTTTCTCCATGTAGATTCTTGCTACCGCACCGGCAGACCAAAATGGTCTTGGTTTGGGTTCCTCCATCGTGCGTGGGGATTCGTTTGAAGGTGGTTTAGTAGTAGATGGCGAACGAAGGTTGCTAGAACTACCTTTACGTGAAGGGGCGCGGTTCGGGGCAACTCCACTAGACGAGTGTAGCGAGTTCATAGAAGTTTTACGTAGCAAGGTTGGCGTTCCCGATCGAGATTGCGAGGTTAAACCACTTGAACCAGTCCGGGGGTTAGGGCTCCGGGAAGGTGGTCTACCGCTAGGAGAGGCTGGCGAGAAAGGACCAGGTGGGAACCTCTGTGTGTTCGAGTGGGGTGTTATAGACAAGTGTGATGGCGGAGTGAAAGTGTGGTTGGTGGGAGAAGTAGCAAGAGAGAGCTTGTTTAAAGACCGTAGGAGTTCAAGATCCTCGCTAGAGGGAATTGTTGATTCTGCCATCTTGGGCTGGGGAGCTCTACCATTCATTGGGGAAGCCATGACTTTCGACTTTCCAAGACAGGTTTCGAGTTCGAGTTCGAGTTGGATTTCGACTTAGTTCTTATACTTCAAAAAGGATAGCTCAGATACAAGAATCGACGAACTACGGTATCGTCGATTTTTGTAAGAGATTTGCGCATACGGTTGTTTAAAGAAGAGAAGAAAGTCAAAGTCAAAGTCTTGGATTTGAACGGAGTCGGAGTTGGATTTAATAGTTGAGGTCGGAAGTTGAATTCGTCAAATCAAAAAACGGGCCTCGTCGATTTGATGTTATAGGTGTAATTTTCCTGTTCCATTTTCCTGTTCCACCCGCTGCAGAATTGCCGGCGCGTCGCGTTTCGATCCTTGACATAGCGCTAGAAATCACGTGGGTATCCTTTCTTTAGCAATGTCTCACCAGCAACAACCCGCCATTTGTTATGTACAATGTAGTACATGCAATATGTACTGATCACTACCCCTCTACTCTGACGTAGCACTATTCACATGCAAAAGACGTAAATATTTATACTTTTATACATACTCAATGGCATTAATCCGCCAGTATTATGCACAAACTATGTATAGTCCTATGCATGCATCCCACAGATTACATGTAACTAATTATAACTTCAAATGTTGTATCGATGAAAAGATGGAAAATTCAATGTTATTGTGTAAGTATCATTGAAGACCTCTTCAACAATGTGCTTTAAGTGTGTGCTTCTGTGATAAACACAATGGAATTGTTCTTTGAATCCCTGTTTCTGAACTACTAGAGATCTCGCATGTATGCCCCACCAAGTGGCATAAGACCGTTACATTTTAATACGCAACTTAGAGTTATCGATAAGTTATACCCACCTCCACCTTTCGATAATGAACCATTCAGAACTAACTAACTAACTTCCCAGATTTCTAAGCAAGAACTTTGAAGCCTCCATCAAATTCCAGTCATCAATTTTCAACTATCAATTCTTCAATATCCTTAGATTTTTTGGTCTTTTTTTTCATTCCAAAATAGATTGCATTGCAGGCCCTGATTCTTGATTCCTTCCCTATATTCCATCTTTCAACAAACCTGTGCACAACCCACATATCCATTCATACATAATGGCCCCCTCCCTAGAAGAGCCCGAGCCCGTCCAAGACGTCCTCGACAACCCCCTCAAAGCACGCCCCCAACTCGTCGCCCCCGAGCCCGAACACTGCCCCGGTCCCGAGTCCGAACGAGCAGGCACCGCCGACTCCTGCGCGGGGTGTCCGAACCAAGCCATCTGCGCGTCCGCGCCCAAGGGCCCGGACCCAGACATCCCGCTGATCGCGGAGCGGCTGTCGGGGGTGAAGCACAAGATCCTGGTGCTGTCGGGCAAGGGCGGCGTGGGGAAGAGCACGTTCACGAGCCTGCTCGCGCACGCATTCGCGACCAACGAGGACACGACCGTCGGCATCATGGACACCGACATCTGCGGGCCCAGCATCCCCAAGATGATGGGCGTCGAGTCCGAGACCATACACATCAGCAACACCGGCTGGTCGCCCGTCTGGGTCGCCGATAACCTGGGTGTCATGAGCATACAGTTTATGCTGCCGAATCGCGACGACGCTGTGATATGGCGTGGGCCCAAGAAGAATGGGCTGATCAAGCAGTTCCTCAAAGAGGTCGAATGGGGCAGTATGGATTTCCTGCTAGTCGACACCCCGCCGGGTACGAGCGATGAACATTTAAGTGTCAATAGTTTTCTAAAGGAGAGTGGAATAGACGGCGCCGTCATGGTCACAACACCACAAGAGGTGGCGCTGCTCGATGTGAGAAAAGAGATCGATTTCTGCCGAAAAGCAGGGATACGGGTGCTGGGTTTAGTGGAAAATATGAGCGGATTCGTGTGTCCGAATTGCACGCATGAGAGCCAAATATTCAAGGCTACTACTGGAGGTGGCGCAGCTCTGGCCAAGGAGATGGATATCCCGTTCCTTGGGGAAGTACCACTAGACCCAAGGATCGGAATGGCTTGTGACTACGGAGAGAGTTTCTTCGATCACTATCCCGACAGCCCAGCATGCAAAGCACTCAAGAAAGTTGTGAAGGGGGTCGCGGCCGAGATAGGTCTCGATGCACAACAAGTCCTACCCGATGACTGATCAAAAGATAAAAAATAGTAAAGTGAAAGCTAGCAAAATCTCGCTATCTGCAGCATAGAGCAAGTCAGCCAAGCCAGTCTTTGCTCCCTTATATACCTATATATATATCCATATATCCGCGCCAACAAGTATATCAGAAGCAGCCCTTACTCGGTGCTTAGCTTCTTGGGAATATCCTCCAGGTCCTCGGCACTCTCGATGTCGAATATCTTGCCCACCTCGGCCGTATTCCTCATCAGCTCTTTCGCGCCCGCGTACATCATGCGGCTCGCGGCATTGCACGAGCTGGGGAGGTAGTATATGAGGACGTAGGGTACTGACATACGTCCTGAAGGCTGCAGATGAGGTTGTCAGCATGGGTTGGTTGGTTGGTTGGCTATGCATGGGGACGAGAAAGAAAGTATCTAGGTTAGTAGGAACGTACAAGAGTTATCGGGTAGCTTAGAAGAATATACCGCGGCGAGTTGTCGGGCAGGTCGTCGCCGATCTCGCCGAGCGATTTGTAGACTACTTTGTCATCGTCTTGCCTGATCTCGTACGTCTTCTTATCGATATAGTCTGTTCGAACGTGATCGTGTATTAGCTATCTAAATATATATATATATATACGTGTGTGTATGTTTATAAATAGTCTCACAAGACCCGCCACAAAGCAAAGTGATCATTAAATACGGCGACTCCCATTGGAGCTAGACCGAGTAAAGGGAGAGAGGGGAGTTAGGTAGGTAGGTAGGTAACATACAAATGACAGCCTGCGGTCCGCTAGCTCTCGACGTGGTCAAGCGGAACTTGCGTAGGTGGTCCTTCGTCCCTTGCGAAAAGGAATACAGTCTAGCCTCGGAGCTCTGGTAGATAGATGATGGATATGCGTTAGATACATGTAGGGAGGGAGGCAGATAGATAGGTAACATATCAAGACGCTGCAATAGGGGCACGAGTATATGTATGTACGTACCATTGTTGGCGCCCTTTAGCTTCTTCTGTGCTCGGGAAATATGTATGTGAACAAGTGCGTAGTAGATACCTCCAGCTAGTACTCAATAAATAAATATAAGTATGTAGGTAGGTAGGTAGGTAAGCAGGGCGGTTTCAAAATCGATCAGTTTTCAATCGGCTGGTTAGTTCAAGTTGGTTGTATTAGGTCGGTCGTGCTACAAAAGGCCTGACAATGTTACAGTACATACCTCGTATGTATGTAGCATGAGGACATCAATTTATCGAGACTCGCTGCAAGGTGTCAGTCGATATACGTACTTGTACAACAGGAGGACCCCGCCCCCACCATGACGAACGAAAAGTCCAACAACATTGAATGTTATGGAGTCCCAGTTTGATAGGTAGGTATGTACATGTTAGCTAAGCCTCCAGTACTGCAATTTGGTTGCCTAACTACATACATAGTAGCTGGAGTACTCTAGGGTTAGTTCGTGCTAAATCCTGTTGGCGTAAATTAATTAATATTTCATTACGGCGCCAACCAAAGAAAAGGGGCAAGTCACTTTCTATTCGCAATCTTATGACAAGAATTCATTGTTATTATCCGCGACTAACGTGGACGGTAAACCCGTTAAGGGTCTCTAGGTGAATATGTAGAGTTTATACATAGAGCTTTTAGTACGGCATACCTAGACACATACTACATAGGTTTACATTTTCAAGTAAGATACAGTATCAACGAGATTTACATATGTACCTAGGCTAGTATCATATAGCTTTTGATATAGATTTCATTCCAATCGTAAATAGAAATACTTGTGAGGAGTAGTTTTCTATAGTGCCTAAGGCTAGAGTAAGTGTAATGGGTATCTCGAGGCAAAACTCCAGGGAACCTCCGAGACGCCAGTTGGATAACCTTCTGCCCATCCCGTTGCATCTAACGGTTCATTTATATGCTGCATCTTTTTTTCGAGCCATCCAAAGACTCATGCTCAACGTTCCCAACGCCAGCCCTTCTAGAAGCAAATCCCATTTCTTATCATGGCATATTACTCCGATATCTCTTCAAATATCTGTAATAGACTCTTGACGCCCTTGAGCACATTCTCGTCCGGTCCCTGGCCGGGTGTCCATTTGGCATGTGCAAAATCAATCAGCTTTAACGAGTAGAGGCGAGGAAAGCTTGATAAATCCTCCTCATCCGACTCCTCATCTTCCTCCTCCAGATCGTCAAAGACTTCTGCTATTGTTGGCTCGCAAGTATCTTCTTCGTTCATGCCAATACCACTATCCAGCCTAAGGTTAGTGGTGGGAGCACGTGTGGTGCCTCTTTTATGTTCCTGTTCCGGTTCCGGTACCGAGACGGCTTTGGCTTCTTCCATGGCCGCTCGGAGAGCTTCCCCATCGCCCTCGAAGACAAAAAGGAGGCTAGCAGAATACATTCGGCTTTCTTCCTTCTCGAGTATTTCTTGCACTCTTCGAAGATCTTGTACGAATAGCCCAGCAATAGTCTTTCCCAAGTTTTTGTCAATGCCCGCTGCCTCGTTGAAGAGAAACTTTTTGATCGAATCAACCAAGTTGGTATCGTTTACGGTATATCTTCCCCAATCCTTGTCATAGATTCGAAACCCTTCTTCGTCCAACTCCGCTTCATCGGAAGATCCTTTATATACTCTCATTCCAGCGACGCGAAAGCCATATTTTTTGTGAGTGGTGTTCTCGCTGATCTTGTTAAAGCGTTCCTTCTTCTCTGGAGGTGCATCATCAGCCCATAGCCGGATGCCTAGTTTTGCGTCCATAATGTTTGGCTTCTTGTAACCAAACGAAGCATTTTCCAGCACTACCGCACGGTCCGTCGTAATCTTTCTCGCTTTGTTAGGGGTCCATTTGACATTGTCAGAGATGATCTCCTTTTCTACCGGCGCTTCGACTACGGGTGTCCGGTCATCAATATGAAGATGTGACTGAATTTCCTCTTTGACAGAGTCAGGAATATCTGCATGCTCAACAAGCCCGGGTATTTGCGCATGTATCGAGGCCTGGTCAGTAGACTCGTTCAGAGACAAAGTACCTATATATAGGGGCATAAGGTCTGAAAAGTCGACATGGAGCGCATGCGCGGATTCGTAAAATTCGACCTCGGATTGGGTGCATGGCTTGATGAATAATTCGCCATCCGCATCACACATAGTTCCCGCACTGCCAACATAACTCAGTTAGTATTTGAATTTTGCGGGACCGTTCGCAAAGGCCACAAGGTGAAACTTACTGTCCAGCAACTGCATAATTATAGTTTTTCAAGTCATCCCGATGAGGCATTCCTTTTTCTCTGCTCCCGACAGTCTTGCCGCTATCTCGAGAAGCCACGGACATCTTCTTAGGTTAACAATGATGGAGGTGGTGATATTTAGTCAGTGGACAGTTTACTCGTCCCTCATGTTACCACAGTCCGGTGATTTCAGGGTTGAGACGGGTTTTGGTACTCTGGGTACTGAATAAGCTAAACACTTATATGTACGTAGTTGAGTATTATGAGGTATTAGTACCCTCGTAGAATGAAGGCAGAAATCGGAAACGATCTGGTGGTTGTAACGTGTGTAGGTAGATTTAAGAGCAAATAAGTAAGTGACCTTGAAGTAATGGAAATATTGTAAAGCTCCAATCTTTTAAGCTGAGGTTTTATGTTAATTACTTATGATCGCATAAAGTCGCATAAAGCGCTTGTGTGTATTCAACGTTGTTGAAAGTTAATTCACGAGGTCACAGGAGAAAGAAAGATTCGGGAAGGTTAATGGGTTAATAACCAAGTGGGACAAAGGAGTTGGAAGGATCAGAAAGCCCAAATGGTAGTACATACGTACATAACATAGAATTGGAGCCTTGGAAATTTCAATGTATCAAGGGTCTCTCCAGGAGGTATTGTTCAAACATGCGCCTGCGCACATCAGCTGTACTGTCCGTATGTACCTGCGCTAAGTGGTTAATCATATACAAACGTGTTAAGTTGTGACGAGGTACCCAGTACGGATACCTAGCAATACCCAGTTCAAAATGATGTTAGACCCGGAAGGCATAACATGTAACGCGACATCATCACAACATTTGAGCAGTCGCGCCATTGCGCAAGCCTTGCCCCAACCCAACCGCAGCAATCATTACAGGCTAGGGCTGTTAGGTGAGTGAGTTAGCACAGCTACAAGTACCCTACCTACCTAGGTACCTAAGTGGGCTAGATTCCCGACGGCCCTGGCCCGTTAAACAAGGCAATGGGCTATGTACAATAGTTAGTGTATGTAACCAACGCAACGCCCGAAAAGAACAGCATTAGAGCATGTAGTGGATAAGATTGTTGTAACCGGTTAGAAGGTAAGGAACATAACTCAATGGTCCAATCGAAACTTTAGAGTCTGTCATTTTTATACTTCTCGATGTGTAAATACTGGGGATCTATCCATGGCACCTGCCTCCAGTCACATAACGGCCGCGGTTGCGGTTACAAACCTTGAAGACATTTAGGCGTGGGCTCCAGGGCTAGTGCATGCATGATAAAAGGCTAGTACCTACTAGGCAGTACAATACATTACAGTATGCAGTAGTCAGGGAAAGCGCTAATTATCAGCTCTACACTAAACGGATGACACGGCATACAAGCATTTTTAGCCTCTCGCCCACTTTTGCTGTGGCGGAAACTCGTAAGGGATTATGCGTTAATATTTATCAGTCAACGGTTAACATTGAATGATGTTAGTCGATTTCCAGATAGCTGGCCGGCTCAGCCACTTCATTAAAAAAAAGTATTATTGAGGTCTTACCCAATCTGAGTTCATTCAGCCTTTATTTTCATATGCATCCATGTTTGCCGCATGGCTTGACTCATCTAATGTGGTGGTACTACAGTATCTGAAAATTCCACACTCAGCTGTCCAGGTGGCCGCAGCTAGAAGATCACCTGCATACTATCCATGAATCCCAGCAGGGCGGTGCTGATGACCAGAGATTAATCAGATTCGGTTCCGATATCACCGTGTTTATGAGGCATGTTAGCCTTTTCGGTTCTGTCAGGTCCTGCCTCGGAGATATGAGACGGGCTGCTGCATATGTTCTGCAGCATGAGAGATCATCTAGCTCACATCATCTATACCACTACTATGTAGTATTTGCGTTACACATATATAGTAGATATATTGAGTGAACATTGAATCTCATGATGCTTGCCTAGGTAGGCAGATACATATTGTAACAAGACAACAAGACAACATTGAATTGAATGTAATGATTGATTGCCGGGTGATATATAAATGTTTGGTAAGTATTACATTAACCTAGGTACCTAGTAGAGATTCTGAGATTCAAAGTTTTCAAACATCAAGCTTGCTACATGTACAAGTACAATACTCACATAGCACCTTCCTGTGGCACTTGAGGTATGAATATATCCATATGTATATCATAGTAGATATACATATGTATGTCCAAATTCACCTAGACAACAACTACATAGTAGGACGATTTCCAGGCAATACCATATGCAGATACATAGGTAATTTTGCACTCAGTGAAATATAGCCCAGAGGTTAGAAGTAAGTAACATCAAGTTTGTCTAGAACCCAAGTCATTTTCTTTCCAACCTTTCATGCTATTTCTCGGCCCATCTTCAGCTCTTACTTCCCAATCTTATCGTATTTCTACTTTTCTGTGCCTAGGTACCCATTACACAGCGTTATGTACCTACCACTGCATCTGTGAACACTTAGGGCACCTACCTAACCTAGTAGACAGATACAGCAAATAGTAGTAACAACCTTATATCTCAGGCAAACAACCTTATAACCTTGGAACACAGGCAAGTAACCTTGGGTGCTACTTGTGTAGGCTCAGCTGCGTTAGCAGGTACGCCTTACGCCCTGATATGTGCTATTTCTTTCCCCACGCCAGTTGTGAGACCCGCGAATCTTACACTTACGCACCTCAGCCTCACATGCCATACCACTGCCCTGTTTCTCTTGCATCTCTTGCATTCCTAGAACGCCAGACCCTGCAAGAACTAACACATATTTGGTGATAGATCATCGGTTATCATTCGGCGTTCAATATGACAGACTTCTCTTCATCTTCGCCTATCAAGGTGGCAGAAGAACCAATGGCAGATGTCGCTGCTACTATTACTGCGAGCACGTCAGTGGGCGGTCAGTGTGAACCACAAGTTGGTAACCAAACAACCATTGAAATTGAAAGAAGGACCTCAAATCTTGCTGATCCGGACCACGCCAAATTAGGCGGTAATGATGTAGCCAATGGTGCTTCTACCACCGAAGGCGCGGATCCAGCCAACACCACCCAGGCTATCGGATCGATCGAAGTTGGCGTAGACACAGAAAAGAAATCGAAGAAGAAGAGAAAGCCAGCTAAGAAAAAGATTGGAAAGAATGTTACCGGCTTTGAAGGTTAGTTGGTTCCATGCACAGCTGTATAGGCATCGTGGTTGGCCTCGACTGACATTTACGCAGAGTTTTATGCAGATGCTCCCATAACCCCTGAAGAGGCCAGAAAAGAGAAGAAAGAGCTCTATGATACGTAAGTCTTCACATGCTACCTCGCAGCCAACCAAACTAACGTTCAAGATAGGTCCCGTGGGTTTCCTGAGTATGATACCCAATCACCCACACGAGTGATAGAGCTTTAAATGACTAACCAGCACAGTCGCATTGAGGAATGCCTTCAACGTTACCGAGCCAACCGCCGGATGGACGTAGAACGTACCATGATGTTCAACAAGTACTTGTGGCTTGGCGGCATTGACTCATCTCAACGCCAATTCACTGGATTTGCCGAGGACCGCGAAGCTCTGGCCAAGGCAGACGCTGTGGAGATTCGCCAGATGACCGCAACCGACTTTGTTGGCGGTAGTGGCAGCCGATTTTATGATCTTCGAGGTTCTGAGAATTGGTTCGTTGACTTTACGGGAATTGTCAAGGGGTTTTTGTAAGTTGACGTGAGAGAACTGGACTCGTTATCCAATCTAACACACTATAGGTCTCGAACGATCCCATCAATCTACCTATATGACGAGGCAGCTAACCAACTGGCTGCTGGAACCATCAAGAACTTTCTGAATTACGTCTTGATGCACGATGTCTGCCCTGAATACGAAGATGACATTCAGGCCGCCAGGGCGATTTGCGACATTGCCCCCCTCGAATTACGCATGACGCATGACCTGCTCAACGAACTACCTGGTAACTTCAATGCTATTGCGAACTCGCTCTTTACTGACCGACTAGTCGACAAGCTTGACATTACTGAGAATTTTGACAAACTGCTCATGTTCCGCTTCGCCGTCCTGCTTTCACCCTTATCCGGCGACGTAAAAAAGAAGTTCTTGAGTTTCAAAGATCCCAGTACGAACAAAGTCGTCAATACGAAAGAAGAAACATACCAAGTGATTGAAAAAATCAAGTTGAGCCGGGCAAAGGTCAAGGAGAACCAGCAAGAGCTTGAGAAGGCTGGCCATTCGGGCAAGTGGAATCCGACTGGCGTCATCAAGGTCAAGCCTTCTATTATCGAATTCGGCTACGATAACTTGCCTCGTGCCGATGAGGTTGACCTAAGCAATGCGTTGCCGGAAGATTATCTGGTTGAGGAAGAATTGCTTGTCAAGTTTGAGAAAGGGATGAAAATCAAGGCCGTCGTATGCGAACTCGACTTCGGCATCCGCTTCATCAAGGAGATCAAGGATGTGCGGGTTTCATTTGACTTGTTTCTACCGCAGATGTTGATGGAGAATTGGAAGGATCCTGTCCCTAACGACCGACCCCCTCCGTCGGTCTCCAACCCGAACGTCGAAGAGAATGCCATGGACGACGATGAATAGGCGAGCTGAGGTACAATGCTGAGCTTGCCGGGCTGGCAGTGAAGATGAAAAGACTTGGTAAGGCTCAAAGTCTTAGCCTTTTATGCGACCAAGCTTGCTGAAAACTTTGCGATGGCTCTCCGGGTTTTGCTCAGAAGGAATGGAAATCCGGACTAGGAGCATGTTGCTAGATACTGATACCCTTTGCTAATAACCAAGAAAAGACAGCCTCGGGGCTAATTGATGCGATAAGTCTTGATCTGATTGATTATCGTTTTTTTCCTTAGTGACCTAGGTACCCTAGGTAGGTAACATATTGAAACTACAAATAATGACGATAGGAAGTGTCAAGCCAAGATAGGCCCTGATGCATCATCCACTCCAACCTATAGGCGCTTTCGTACAACGAGGTGGACTGGTGTTGGCGAGCCATCCGGGGATTACCTACCAACGACATTTGTTAGCGGTGATGAGGAGGAGGATCAAACAAAAGTCCTAGACTAGATTTTCTTGAAGGTCTTAGTTCTTGGCGTCGTTGACCTTACTGGCCGGAGAAGCCATGGCATTAGAAAATTTGGACCGAACCGCTTCTTGGCGCGCGAGCTCGCGCCGCGGATTCTCTACCTGGCTATTTCTTGGCTATGCTATCTCCTTTCCTTTCTTCTTCTGCGCAAAGCTGGGCATACAATATTTTACTGCCACGCCGCTTGACACCCCCCCTGTCAGTAGCTGAGTCGATATAGCATGGCATAGGTAGCATTCGCCCACGCAATGCCTCCGTTGAAGGTAGGAGACGGTGTAGAAATACACCCGACGAATTTTAACTACGTGAACTGGAATATGGCATTTGGCATATTGAATATGGAACATGTACGTAGGTGTAAATATTGATTACATGCCCACACTACTTACATAACGTGCCTGCTTAGAGCCAACGACCCCAAAAAAATATTACCAAGGCAATCTATAGTAGCACATGAGATCTAGGGTGAGCATCCTACCCAAGACCTTGGCGGGTTTGGCAGAGGTCATTAACAGAAGCGAATAGCTAGGCATTGGTCTTAGCTGGTTTCTCGGCGCGGACCGAAAAAAGGATAGATCGAGGATACCAATGTTGTGTGTGTGTGTGTGTGTGTCGTGTGTGCTGTGTTTGCCTGACATACATACATTAGTTAATACCACGGCGCCGAGAACTTTGTTGGTCTTGTCTTTGTCTTGTGTCTCTTTTCTAAATAATATTTTCTCTACACGATTTGACTTGACCGAGCCCTTGGTATTTTTTTTGGAGGGGGGTAGTACTCCTTTTTGGTGGTTTTTTTTTTCTCGTTACATATCAAAAACCCCTTTCGCTCCTTGGGTTGCCTCTTCATCATTCTTGCTACTCGTTCTTCTTCTCTCATCTAATTATTTCCTGTTCGTCTTGCTCTCGGCCCTTTTCTTGTTTCTGCTTCCCAGGCGAGGATTCTTCTTATCTCCGGGTAATCGCCTAACTATTGGTTAATTACCTATTAACGAAAACGGGAAGGAGAAGAACCAAACGTTTTGATAGATTTTTAGTCGAATCAGGGATTAGTTACCGTGTAGTTACCCGCGTGGCCAAAAAAACAAAAAACAAAAAACAGACCCGAATGGAGCCCCCCCGGCCCCGACGATCCCGACCCCGGCGGCCGGCGAACAGCCGGTGCTGGCAGGTGGCGAAGCTCGCGCTGCAGACGACGTCGCTCGCGAGCTGCGCCATCGTCGTCGGGCTCAGCGCCGCCACCACCTTCGGCGCCGGCTCCGGCCAGGGGTACCTGACGATCCCGATCGCCGTCGGCACCGCGCTGTGGACGGTCGCGGAGCTCGTCGCGCTCTGCGTGCGCCGGAAGACGAGCCCGGGGCGCGGCATACACCCCGGCGCGCACGTCGGCGTGCAGCTGGTCATCTTTCTGGCAATGATCCTGGCGCTGTTCTACTCGTGCACGCTGTGGAGGAGTGTGCAGCGTAGTATTGTGCCGTGTAATGAGTGGCTGCCCGAGCCGGGGAATGCGGGGTGGGTGACGCCGAATGGGACGGCGTATGAGGGTGGTGGATACGATGGGGATGATGATGACGGTGATGATGATGATGGTGGCGATGATGAGGATGGCTGGTATAATGGCCGGTATAATGGCCGCTCGTTTTACTGCCCTGATAGCTACCGCGCGGTAGTCAACGACCCGGCGTACCGCGGGGCTGTGCAGGCTATCATTGCGTTTTGCGCTTTGTTGTGGTGAGTACTTACTTACCTGCAAGATTCGATATCTGCCTACCTAGTAGTAAACTGCTGACGAAGTATCCCAGGGTCATCCATTTCTCGCTCTTCGTGCGCGCGTGCGTCGAGACGCAACGGCGGAACAATGACGAGCCCCCGCCTGTTATCATATACCCCCAGTCCGCGTGGCCGCCGCAGTACATGTATGATGACGGTCGGTCTGCTGAGGCGCAACATCAACATCAACATCAACACGATGGCCCCCAACAGGGGGTCCCGATACATATGAAGCACGCGCATTATGGATAACACCGCGCCATCCATCATCACCTCCCGTCCGATTCTATGGTGTTCCGGCCGTTTGATTTTTTTTGGGAAGGGGAGGGTTCTGGGTATCGAGGTAGGCAAGGGGCTTGCTGGTTAATGGGTAGCGTTGGAACACGCTAGCTTTCTCGTATTTGAGCTGTTGTTATCGGCCCTCAGCTGGGGATTTTGAGGGCAAGAGAGACAGAGGCATGAAGGGTAATGAACAGAACCAGTCTTGGATGGATACCCAGGAGCTATAGAGCCAGCCTACACAAGTAGATATTAATACCCAGTGTCATGTTGCTTAGTATTGTTAGGGATGCGTCGTAGAGTGGGAATACAGCAATGATGATAATGGTTGAGTAGGGCGTTGGATGAACCGTTTTTAGGCCCCTTGTGATACTATGCCTTGAGGAGCTGGGAGGGTAGCTTGAAGTCTAGACGCGATTAATGCTAAATCTAAACCCGTGCCTATGACTAAATACCTAGTGTTGTAGGCATGTTTTTTGTTAAAACATCTTTGAAAACATCAATATCATATATACCCATCTATACCTACCTCACCTGACTTTATATAGCTGGTACATAGTAGTTACTAGGCACTTAAAATACTGTACCGGGAATCCCTACTCACGAGAATCATTCTAAACTTCATCAAATGAATACATGCATAAGATCGATAGGAACTGGGAGATATTATTCCAACTTGAAGAATCATTCCTAATCTTGTAATGATTTCTCTCAATAACGGGGGTCTTACTGCTCACCAACCAAGGAGAGGGAGTCGGCGTAACAGCCGTGCGTCTCTCTTAGATCAGACATTCAAGTCTAAGATGGAACGGATTGGGAGTATGGGAGTTGGAAATAGCTTTTTGGTAAGAGAAGGGGAACCTGCGGTTAAAGCGCCGAGAAGGCTTTAAGCAATCGCATAACCTGTCGGAGGACACTTGACAGGACTTTGAGTCTCTGACAATGACTCTTTACCTATTCGGTCCAAAAGACAGGGAGAGAGAGAGAGCCTTGCAAAGAGCCCCGAAATGAACCGGACTATTTACCCAGGCTTCTCCCAAGGGGAAGAAGGAGGCCATCTCTAGCGTTTCTTGGTTTGCTGTTGCTGATTAAGGCCACGTTTCCCCTATTAGTCTCTATGAGGCTGATGAGGATGCATTGACTAAACCAACATCCAAACAATGGAAGGTTAGTAGCAAACAACTCCCTTCAGCGGGATGTGGAATGGATGGAGGCCGCGAATCGGGGGATAAGCTCCTTTCTGGTAAGAGTGCTTTAGAGCAGGGTGATTGCGTTTGGTATATGTATATAGGGCTCGAATTCCATGTTCGGTGGTCGCTTTACATATTTCTGGATGGTCTCTTTTGTAACCTTATATAGATAGAGCTTGCTGTAGGTAGACTAAGGGAATTCGAATTCGATCTATTCGTTTCGAATATTCCACTACACTTTTATTACATTTCCATCCCTTAGGTCTCTTGATAACTCCATTTCTGTCGAATATCCAATAATATTTATCGTAGCCTCAAAAACAAAGCCTAAGGCCTTTGGTTGAGTTGAGTTGGAGCCAGTTATGGCGCGACATCTTTCTCGTGCGGTGGCAATCGGGGTTTGTAGAGTCCACAACCCCCTTTGAGATGAGGGTTAATAGGTAGTCAAAGAGCTTGTTGGGATTTTCAGAAGCTCTCGTTACCTTATGACGAAAGATTCCCAATGGTGAGTGGTGCGCGAGTATGAGTTTGTTCACAACTAGCAGTAGTGGTGAGCATAGAGGATGAAGAAGGTTCCAAGGCTTGGAACACATGGCATCCATGGATTACCTAGGTTAGGGTACTAGGTACCTAGTACTGTAGGTAGTAACTAACCCCGCGCTCTTTCTTTTTAATGTTCAAATGTAGGTATCTAGGTACCTACATGTGGTTCCTGCATTAGAATCTTAGGGCTGCTGGGGGGAAGAGATCCACTGATATATGCACCATCAAATTGTGCCTAGGGTAACCTTAGGTACCTACCCAGTACCTACTAGCGTCGATAGCTGGACGCGACGGGCTAACTAAAGTTTAATGTTCAATACTCCAGGGCTACGTATTTTCAAGAGTCAACCTTCAACCTTACAACATTGAACCTACAAAAATACTACCTCCTACCTAAACCTGAGCACACTTTAGTCAATCCAACAAAATGTCGATACCAGGACTAGGCGAAATACCAACAGCTGTTTGTTCAATTGCCCTCCGCATCCAATACAATTGCATAGCTAACATTGAATCTTTTTAAAGGTCGCATCAGCTACAGCAGCTTCTTCAGCTGCAACATTGACAACCACAGAAAACCTCGATCCATTTTGGGAATATCGCTTCGAAGTCCCCCATGGCTCGACTTTAGAAATCAAGCTCACCTCAGGCACTGCTGAGAAAGATGGCACCGAGCTTGCTCCAAACACTCTTTACACATTTACCGCCACCAAATCGAAGATAAATACTTGGCACGGATGCACTCTCGAGATAACCTCTCCTACCGGCATATACGATGCTTACATATCGGAACCTACCGCCGACGAGACCCCCATGGTCAGCTATTTAAATCTTCACTTTAAGCTCGAAGCATTCCGCGCCACCGCCCAGAAATTAGACCAGATGGGACCGCGAGTGTTGGTGGTAGGACCGCCTGATTCCGGAAAGACTAGCTTGGTTAGGATGCTCACCGGATGGGCCACGCGCATGGGACGACAGCCTCTCGTGGTAAATACAGATTGTCGTGAGGGCATGCTAGCTCTACCTGGATCGCTCAGTGCAGCTGTATTCGCCACGATCATCGACATCACAACCGATTGGGGCAGTATACCGAGTAGCGGGCCAAGTGCCATACCAGTAAAGCTGCCCCTCGTGTACAACTATGGCCTGGGACAACCCGAAGATAATATACGGCTCTACAAGCAGACGTTGAGTAGGCTTGCGGTCGCAGTAACTTCGCGACTTTCGGAGGATCCTAACGTAAAGACGTCGGGGCTATTGATCGATACAGGAGGTGTCAGCACTTCGAAGGGTGGTTACGACCATCTGGCACATATAGTTGCTGAATTTTCGATCAATATCGTACTCGTGATCGGTTCAGAGCGTATGAGTAGCGATATGCAGAAGAGACTGGCGGGACAAAAAACTAGTCTTGATGAACCAATAACTGTCGTTAGTTTGGACAAGTCCGGTGGCGTCGTGGAAAGGGATGCAGGATTCCTTCAACAAGTTCGCGAGGCTGCTATCAAGGAATACTTCTTTGGAGGTGCGAGCACAACGTTAAGCCCTTTCACGCAGCAAGTTGACTTTGCAGCACTATCGATTTGGAGGGTTACTGAATGTAAGGGATTCCTTTTGTCTACTCACTCATCCTCTTCATCTTATCAAGCAAATTATACTAACCGAAGTTTAGCTTCGACTCCAACGGCAGCCGAGGATGAAATTTATTCTGCAGACACGATGCTCGAGAGGATTGATCCGTCTCTCATGATGCAGAACTGCATTTTAGCTGTTATGTACGCATCAATCCATGATTCAGCTGATACAATACGTAACTCGAACGTCATGGGCTACGTGTATGTCGCCGACGTCGATGAGAAGCGGCGAAAGCTAAAAGTTCTCGCCCCTGTCAGCGCTCGCTTGGGCGATAGACCGCTGGTTTGGGGAAGCTGGCCGGAGCCAATGGTCAGCTTGCTAGGTTAAACCATGAGCTATGGTTTATACTACAAGACACCTGTACAGCAACTTCAATATACCTCTTATACCTCCTTATTGCTTGGCAGCCTGAGTATACGGATTCTCGAAGTTCGAAATTGGCTAGTCACGGTGCAGGAAAGGAGTAAGGAAGAGCATAACCAGCAGCCCAAGATTCCTGGCTACGAGAGCGCGACGATTGTACACACAATTACTCGGGCCACCATCGCAGTATGCCGTATATCTTCCCCCCTGGGATCGAGACTTAGGAATGGACTTCAGGAAGAAGCTTGATGGGCTAGGAAAGCTCGCACAGAGCTGCATGAAGCAGACCATAAGAAGGAAGACGAAGCTTCGCATTGAAAAGCTTTTTGGCCGTCACATAACGTACGCCGGCACTAGCATGGCTCGCCACTATAGGGTTTCTACGACTGCCCTGCCAAAATTTCTCTCTATGCTGTAGAGAAGCGTTCAAAAACACCTCGGCACGACGACTTCAATGTTCATGTGGATACCAGACGCTAGGTGGGATTTTACTGATGACAGCCTCAACTTTGCCTACGGGTCTTTGGCTGAGCGAACGGACTATTAGAAAGGAGTCGGGAGTGTCTAGGGATGAATCTACGATACCTGGTAGCATATCACATTCACATTCAGGTCTGACAAAGGTTTGATTTCTATCGTCGCTGACGATGCTATCTTACCAGAATTCTCGAGAGTCCTGTTGGAAAATATATTGCATTAGGCAGCACCATCTAACCGGATAGTCGTGTTGAATTGATAACATTCATATCTACTCGTGTAGGGATATACGCTTCCCATCTTTCCCGACATCTTTCTCTATTCATGATTTCTGAACGTGATAGGCTAAACTGATTTTCATTTCATTCCTGCGTAGGTAGGTAGGTACTTGGACAGGCCTCAGGCTTCTTCGACACTCTATCCGTGGCCTCGAATATTGGCAGTGTCAGTCATGCACTTGTTGGTACTTAACTTCGGCATTAGAAAGTAGGCCCGGTTCCAAATCAACTTCCGAATTAGCATGGTTTGGACAGCTGTCAAAATGTCATGTCACCGTTTGATCTGCGGTCACTAGAGTGTCTTCGGATGAGGCTCCTTTAACCGCGTTTAGCCCCCTCCCCTTTTTTTTCTCCTCCCTTTTTTTCATTCTTTTTTTTTTTCAACCACGAGGTGAGGTAACACTGTCACTGTCCCTAATTTGGAGATCTATATAATACAAGTTCCATCCTTGTGGTATCTACCCCCTAGCAGCGCAGTGATCTCCATGCACTGGTCACGACATACAATTCCAGAAGAGCAATATAGCAACGCACCCAAATCTTCTACAGACTACGTAGTACATGAGTGCAATATAGATCCCTAATCGGCGTGTAGATATTACACAAATACAGAGCATATATGAGAAGGTTTTGCGTTGAGATTTGCTGATGGTCGTGTGAACTTATCTGTTGCGTACCTACCTATCTACCTCCTAGATAAACACTCCCTCCCCCCAAATCTTCACTGCTCTATCATCGTGTTCGACATATCTACGTAGCAAGGTTGCGTACCTACTTGCCTAAGTATTTTCTCTTTTAGGCACGGCATCTAAATACTTCGGGTTAGCTGGGCGCTTGGCACGCTTTAATATCCATGAATGGATTCAAGTAAGAAGGGCCACACTATCATGGCTCCCGTAAAACTAGGCCATATGATAAGCTTGATATATAGGATCGTTGCTCATGCCACCGTCCGATGCTTCAAAGTTTACCTAACACCAACGGCAATGAAGGTAGCAGTGAGAAGCCGACTTCCGGATCGACTTTGGACTTTGAGGTGTGATGATACACTGCAAGATCCTTGGGGGCTGTTCAGGACAAAGATGCGCATCAATCACAAGACTAGGGTGAAGGAAGAATAACATAATCTACCTACCAGCCTACCGACCTACTCACATGCACACAGGGGTCTACTTGTCCATGTAGGTAGTTGGGACCTTGTCCTACACACACATGCAAGCAACAACCTTTAATAAATGTTACTTTCGACCATATTCAGCACTTGGGCATAAACCTTTTTGGTTCTCCAATTACCAAGTCGGGGCATTGATGAATGGTAAGGGCCGTTCCCGTCTTTTACTGCTACTCTGAGTTGCAGTTGTCACTTATGCCGACTAGGTAGGTTGTTATTGTGCAGTAGTTAGCTTTCTCCTGAGAGGTAGGTATCTCTGAGGGTAACATAAGAGAGACACAAGAGTAGTATAGACCTCCAGGGCTATGCAGACTGACGAGCGTGTCTACCTAGGTAACAAACTATGTGGGACGGTATCATAAATGATACTTGAAAGATGGGCATGGCATGGCATGCATTGATTTTACATTTTTACTTTTCATCCACTCGCGGGATACCAAACGTAGTACAAGACATCAAGTCAAAGTACCCTGGAGTGGACATCAGTGCATCCTGATTCGATCTCAGCGTCACATCATGAACAGCTCAAGTGATCTCCGCGTTCGGGACTTAGCGATACGACACGATTAATTGACTTTCAGGGCGATACTACCCTCCCCTTCCAAGCCTTTAGTTCTCGGTGCCTCCCCACTCCGGACACCCTCAATTATAGGAGTATTATTATTTTCTTTTCCGTTCTCTCTCTTTTGGTGTTTTTTTTCCTTCTTCTTTTTTCTTACATAATGAAACATGTCTTACAAGAGACATAGTCTCCACTAACGAATGCATAATGGATATCATGAATACCTTTAATCTCGATAAGTCGTTCCTGAGGTGTAAGTACCCGCGTAGATCGTTATAGCTAACTAGTTAGGTCTTAAAGAAGAATCAAAAGTTGAGACGAAGAGGGTTTCTGGATCGACCTCGGCGTGAAAAACCCCCTACCCCGGGCTACTAGAACCAGTATAGGATAGTGTATAACACATGCTTACCAGAAATCTTGAAATTCAACTAATGAGCTGTCCCGCCGCCTTCTCCACCCCCCTCTTCTCCGCATTGCTACACCATCTCCCGGTATCACCAGCCTAGATTCGTGCTGTAGCCCGTCTAACCTTGCCCATTGGGCTCAACATGAAGACCTGTTTTTTTTGGAGCTTTTTTTTTTCTTCTCTCACCTCCTTTACCTCCAACTTTTGGACCCATACCCCCCGCCCTTGCCCCCTACAGCGGATTAAAAATCGTCATTCCCACGGTAACCAAAGAAGAACAATGAACGGATCTCTAATGTGGTGCTGTTCCACTTCAACTAGGTTAGGTAGCCCCGATCCATGTTTGGGTACCTCTCACAATTCGACCGGCTGGTGTATTCTCCCGAGTACGTTGCAGTACCGAACTAGGGTAGATCGTAGGGTCCCTCCGGGTAAACCCCAATATAGCAAGGAGAGGGCAAGGATATCGACGATATAGTTGAGATTACCAGATCTTGGATTACCTCCGACTTGAGGAGAAGGGCGCTAGCTACCTAGGTACTAGGTAGTAGTCCTTGAATGTGATGACACACTCGGGGCGTTTTGCGGGAGGAGGAGCTCGTGGTGGTGTTGTTGTTGGCTTAATAGCCACATCTGGAGGAACTTTTTTACTCCTGCTACCACTGCTACTGCTACTATTACTCGCCTTCTTTCTCCTCACCCGTCATTTGACTCTGCTCAGTCAGTCGATCGACCAGTTGAAGTCTCCAACCATGTGGAAAGGTGCAGTGCCCGCAGGATTGCTACCCCTTGGATTAGCTGCCGCTGCCGCTTCTTCGGCATCCGCTACCCTCCTTTACGTCTCTTCATATGCCGGCACCGTCACGACCTTGAGTCTAAGCCTACCACCTGAGGACCCCACCACCGCTGCTGCTGGTGCTGGTGCGACCCTTGATGCCATCTACAACTCGACGGGCTGTGGACCAAGTCCGTCCTGGCTCACGCTCGACTACTCCAAAAATCTCCTCTTCTGTCTCGACGAGGGTTTGACTGGTCCCAATGGAGGTATGACCTCCTTCGTCACGAACGATGACGGAACTCTCGTCACTGCAAACACGCTCGACATCATCCAGGGACCTGTCAGTATAGCTGAGTTTGGTGTTGGTGGGCAGGGGCTCGCCATAGCACACTAGTAAGCCAACCAACCCTCCCTCTCATCCAACACACTCCCGTGTGCGGCGAAGTTCACAGTCCACTCATTTTGTCCCCCTTTGTCTTGGCTTGGCTTCCGCTGTCCAATGCCAAATCATATTATGAGCAGTAGTAGTACCCATTATACCTAGACAGTAGTGTAACAAAAACGTTCCGTCATCTCTGACCAATCTACCAGTTCCGGCTCTAGCGTCAGCTCCGTCGGCTTCACTCCCGACGGCACCCTTTCTCTAGTACAGAACGAAACCTTCGCGCTCGCGTCCCCAGGCCCCAACCCTGAGCGCCAGGACGCGCCGCACCCGCACGAGGCCCTGCTCGACCCCACCGCATCCTTCGTGCTCGTGCCCGACCTGGGCGCCGACCTCGTGCGCGTCTTCCAGGCCGACCCGGCCACCCTCGCGCTGACGCCCCTCGCGCCCCTCGCCGTGCGCCCCGGCTCGGGCCCCCGTCACGGCGCCTTCGCCGTCACCCCCGAGAAGACGTACTTCTACCTCGTCGCGGAGCTGGCGAACACGATCACGGGGTACGAGGTTGTGTATCACGAGAACAAGACGCTGGGTTTTAATGAGCTGTTCGATATCCCGACGCATGGCGAGGAGAGGGCGTTGCCCGAGAAGACGGGCGCGGCGGAGATCCTTGTTTCTGTGAGTGATGTGCAATCTTTTTTTAATGGCTTGATATCTAAAGCTGGGGGGGTTTTTTACTCGAGAAGATCTAAATAGGTGCTAATACTACAGCAGCCCGACGCGAAATATCTCATCGTGTCATCGCGCTGGGAGGACTCGTTCAACATCACGAACTTCGACCCGAATAACAGCACTACCATAATCCCCTCTGATCCACTCATTACTGTATGTATTTATATGCCTACCTAACTTTCCAATCTTCCCATTTTCCCATTCTCTCTTTCTTTTTTTTTTCCTTTTTTTTTTCAAGAAAACGTCTACTTTTCCCTTAACCCCAACCCTCTCTACCTACCCAATCTCATATAAAACCCTCGCATCCTACCCATCCTACCTAGCATTTGATCAAAGCCACACCAACCTAACTAACCTACCTTCCCTCACCCACAGTTCTCCATCGACCACACCTGCGGCTCCCTAACCAAGGTGCAAGAATACCCCGCCGGCGGCCGCGTGCCGCGCCACTTCTCCATCAACGGCGACGGCAACCTGGTGGCGGTCGCGCTGCAGGGGGACGGTCGCGTCGTCGTCATCGGGCGCGATGTGCGGACTGGCCTGTTCACGGACTTTGTCGCGCACGCGGACGTGGCGGGGGAGGTGTCGGCGGTTGTGTGGAGGGAGGATTGGCATTCTTAGGTAGGTACTTACCTACCTAGGTTAGCCCGTCTATCTGTCCTGTTTGCTCATGGATGTGTACAAAAAAAAAAGAGAAAGAAGGAAGAACTGTAAATAGACGAGAGGTCTAGACTTCCCCGCTCGGCGGAGACGTGTATACTAGGTATCTACTACATACATCACATCGTACGACAAAAAATAGAGTAGGTACTTCCTCCTCCATTTCCCTGTAGAGAAGAGTTCCGGACCCTGCTGTATGTATGTACGTACGCATGAATACGACAAGTGCTATTACGAATAACTTCACTACCCGAAAGAAAGCGGACCGTATCCTCTCCTGGAATTACCAACATGGGCAGGGTAATAAAGAACGTAGGTACTAGGACGAGGTCATGTGGCATGTGCTGGCCCTTCTCCATCTCGACACGTCTTAATATAGACATCGTCAGAGCCTCATCTACTAACGCGACGGGAGCGGGGCTTAAGCATGTGCTATGGACATGGACATGGACATGGGACTCCTCCTCCTCCTCCTCCTCCTGTGCGGGGATCATCTAAACAGCAGTGACAGATGCGGGGGGGGGGGGGGCAAGTCTAGTCATATGTGATGTAGGTAGATAGGTATATAGGTACGCAAGTAAGTAAGTGAGCTCTTGCAAAAAAATAAAAATCTATCAAACCGGGATCTGGAGATTGTTGGTTGCGTAGGTCAATATAAGACATCGCCACTGAGGGGAGATATTACACACATATCCATCCCTAGGCACATACATACATACATACATATGTGTCTAGGGTAGGTGCTGGGCCATGTAAGTAGGTATGTAAGTATGCACATAGGTACACTGCTGCCACGAACAAAAATAGCAGCACACACACACACACACGCACAGCGCTGCCGCTTCCGGGATTTGCAAAAGAGGTACCTAAAGTAAGGGTTTGGTCTTTTCCCTTTCCCTTTCCCTTTCCCAGGGGCGGGGACGTACATCCATCCATATGTAGGTATTGCCTACTTGGGTACCCTAGAAGAATTGTTGCCTCCCTCCCTCCCTCCCTCCCCCCTTGTTCATCCCATTCCCCTATTCGGCACCCGCTCGTGGGAAAGTTGTTGATTAGGTATTACTAGCGGCGAAGCTGTCTACTAGGTAGGTTAGGTAGAGAGGTGCATATCCCGCAATGGGGTTCATGACTCATGTCGTTCATATACTATGGTAGGTAGGTAGGTGGACAAGGATGAAACCTACAACTGATATTTTTTTTCTGGAAACTGGACGGCAGAGATGGGGTCTTGGCGATGACTGTGTTGGGGGGAAGTTTGGAGTATGTAGTTAGTTATAAATTAAATAAGGGACGGGGGGTGGTGGTTAGGTGTATGTAATATAGGTAAGTAAGTACCTAGTAGATGTGTAAGTAGGTAGACAGGTAGGTAGGTAGGTAGGCTAGCCACGTCGTGAACATGGACGGCACTAACTACCTACATTATTTGGTAACTACATACATAGGAGGTAGAGATGAGATGTTGTAGAGGAGAGTGCTACATATAGTTGGTAGGTAATATCAACATCACCACGAACGCACGTACGCACGCACCTACATACATACATTCATACATCTAAAGGTGTGTAGATGTGTGCGTACTGTACCTACGTTCCTACGGTAATGTGCAGCGCATCCCAGACATTTCAGATGATGTACATACAGCTTCGATGATTCGCATTTTGGGCATGGTATGTTGGTGGTGGTGGTGGTGGTGGTGGTGGCCTGGTAACACACACACACACACACACCTACCTCTCTGCGGCGCTCGGTAACAGGATGTAGGTATTACCAAAAAAGCTTGGTATGTATATGTGTATAATTATATATGTAGGTAGGTAGGTAGGTAGGTAGGTAGGTAGGTAGGTAGGTAGGTCTGGGGGCGGGCCGCTACGACGCAGACGGCAAACCTCCTCTGGGACTGGAGGGCAACGGCGAGATAGGAAAATGAAAGAGAGATTACCTATCAACTTACCTACCTACCAACATACCCACGTAACTGCTATGCTATGGTGCTCGATGCCTCGGTACATGGCATGCGGATAACTACTTCGGGAGTCGATAGTCAAAGCGAACGCTGTCATGGTTCTTGGGACTCTGGGTTTTCCTTTCGATCATGTGGCTTTCTCTTTTCTTTCTCCTTTTCTCGCAGAAAGAAGAGAGTGGCTCTCGTTTTAATATGGAGTATCTGATAACTAAACACTGCCTAGTAGGTACTGTATGAATGAATTATGATGCCGATGTTGCACTCGTCTAATTTTACCTTGTTAGTTGTATTTATTGTAACCTCTTCTTTGACTTTTTGGAACTTAGTCATTGCCTTGCCGCGAAGCTCTTTTGTGCGTATGGTTTCATAGAGCCGCGGATGGGACCTGTGACGTATGGCACCTTTTTTCTCACCCCTTTTACCTAACCTAGGTAGTTAGTTACTGGCTAACTTGGCTTGTTTATCTTCAAAGTTAGGTAGGTGGTTGGCGAAGCTGATGAAGCCGTGCTCGTAATAAATACTTAGCCTCATCGGCAGGCGGACTAAGAGAAGACCTGCTCCCCTTTCCCTTACTAGATATAGTCCACTTCTCAAGTAATACCTAGTACACTGTGGAGTAGCTAGCAAACGGCAGCCAAGGGCGAGCGAACGGCCAAGGCAGGCTGAACCGACGCACGGAAGATCCAGGCGATCTTCAAAGGACCCTACAGCTGACGTTGTATATATGACTGCTTTACGATGTCATGATATCTGCGGTGGGTAAAAGATTAAAAAGAAATACAGGTTATATCGCCTAACGGGAGTTGCCCGGTGACGTAGATTTCGGCGTAGGGACAAAAGGTGTCCTTTCTTGAAACTCGCTGCACGAGCTCGTATGGTAGGTATGAGGTAGGTGTGTATCTTGATGAACTCACGATAGCGGAGAAAGGTTGATGGCCATACGGAGAAGCAACGCCTAGGAGTTCCGTAATATGTCAGCAGTGTCGTGGGGATGTAACCAAACGGCATACTTTGAGGTTAGTCTGGATCTTGGCGTTAAGTCGAGGATGTCGAGTTGATATAGGGTTGCCAGTAAATACATGGGGAGTAAAGGGCACTAGCGGGATGGGATGGGATGGGGCCACGAGCAGTAAGGTAACTACTACGCCGTAAGGTAAAAAGGACTGGTAGAGTGGAACTTTGTGGAGGACGGTTTCGGATCTTCTCTCTGGTTTGATTAATATATCATGTTACTCGGGGTTGGTCGAGCAAGTTGAGCATTAGTCTGTTCTAGAACTCTTCATATAAAAATCCCAAAAGTGGCCGTTCTGGTTGGCCGTCTTGGGGCTGTCATATGTGACCCCATATGATCTGCCCAAGGCACTCAATCAAGAGATTCCCGGATGACACCACGATAAGGTTCGAGAGCTCACTCAGCATTGATCATGTCGAAGAAAATGGTATGGGCCATTCATGCAAGAGGAATTATCTGTAACTTCAGTACCATCACCGTGGGGCTCTCCGTCGTCTGATGTTCTTGATGTTCTTGATGTAGGTGATGTAGACTAGTTACTTAAGATATATACTAAGTTAGGAAAGGGATAGGGATATGGATTAGGGATACCCATCGTCCAAAGGTGATCTTAGGTAATTCTGAACCGCCTTTTTCAGCCCACGGGGAAAGCCGCTTGTTGGAGAAAAAACTATTCCCCCGCAGAAATGATCTACAGGCAACTTATAAGACGAAGCTAAACCTGGTCCGAACTGATAAGTAAAGATATTAAGTGTAGGGATTTCATGTCCTGGTTGGCACGTTTTCATCACTATCACCCAGCATTCGGCCCGTTGAAAGGACTCTAAAGTCATCTATCTAAGGTTGCTGAACTGTCCAAGCCAACAGTTGATAGAAATACATTGTTATTAAGCCTCCCACGGACCAAGCTTTATGAGTAAGTAGGTAGGTGTTATGGGAAGAATAAGTCTAGATACTGCGGGTGTGGGCAGACGGACATTTGATAAGTTTGAAGTTGATCAATTATTTGCATTGGTAAAACCTGGTCTTAATTTGGTGATCCCAGATCGCCGCATCTGCTGTAGTAATCGACGGTCTGCCTGAACAGCAGCGGCCCACTGTTTAGATGAACTTTTTCTTCTCCCCCGTGTAAGCCCTAAAACGGCAATTCTGGGGTTTCTTTTCTCGGTTCAGCTTTAGTCAATACAGCCTTTCGCCTTTGGGAGGGCAAAGAGGGCCAGGAGTTTGGGTATGGTAGCGAGATGCGATCGTCTGGTTCCTCCCAACGCTAGTGTACGGACAGCGAACAAGCACAGGACCAGGTAGCGCAGACCGGGTGTAGAAGAATTAAGGGAGGAGAGATCTCTAGAAAGGAAGGTCAGTCACCTTTGGTTAGATGGATATATAGTCATTCGCCTCTACATAAGTATATTGATGTCGCAGAAAAGCTGCGGCAAAGAGGTTCTCGTGACTGAAGCGAGACGTTGTAAGCAAATCGGCTTGGCTCGCCAAATGAGGACCAAGACTCTAAGTTAAGTTATCATATACAAGTTGGAGCATCCATCATGTATCTGTTCATGTATCTGTTGAGGAGTGTCATATTTAGTGCACCGAGAATCTGATGGATCGTTTGGCCACCTCATCTATAGCCAATGATCGATCACGCATTGGGTTGAAGAGGTAGGTATGGCCATTTCGGCGTTCAACTTGTTCTTGGAGGATAACTCTGGGGAATTTGGTAAATTGAACGTGTAGCATACACAGTACCGGACTGGGTCTAGCCTGGTATAGTAGATATAGCAGCCTGTCATTTCTTTTCAGGAACATGTCCTGGCGTTGTGGAACTCCTGAAGGAGGTGGGGGATATCATAATATCATCTTCTGCGGCCTCTCGGCCGAGGGAATGTTGTAGCAGTCATTTCTGGATTAGGCATGTATCTACCGTGCTAATAGAACTTTTTAGCGCCAACCATTTGCAATACCATGTAGTATGGAATACTGTATAGACAGTATAGTAAACTGAAGAACGGCATTTGGCAAAAGTGTTATAGTTGTAGCAACTTGTAGCTATCATGGGAATGCTATACGAGAATACGAATCGTGTAGTTCATCATTAGTGTCGGCATCTACCTCAGGTAGGTTAAGATGCCTACATACTCTTAACTACTAGGTAGAATACATATAGGTTCTGAGACGTTCTAGCTTGAACGTGGAATGGGGTTGAGAATAGTATCTGTGTAGTCACTGTAGTGTAGGTAGTTACAAGGTACGGTATTACACTAGGGAGTTTATAATGGCTTACATGTACATTCAGACGGGCAACAATCTCACACTACATGTATGTAAGACCTTGCCGGGTATATGCCGTTAGTTGCCGGCTTGTCACTTGTCACTATGCGGATGTATGATTACTCCCGCTCGAGCCTCTTATGTAGGGCTGGCTAGCAATGCTTACGAGACAAGTTCGGACAACCAGACCGATTCAGGTGGATGTGGATATGGATGTGAATATGAATACTAGGAGTTAGGTATCAGGTATGGATTGATGGAAGCTCTTAAATGTTAAGCTGTAATCATAATTCCTTGTTCCTTGTTAACTTGTGTCCTGTTGTCAGTGTGTTAATCACCGTGGAGGATCCTACCCGGAGTGCGGAAATTTTCATATTCCCTTTCATCCGAGCCCTTGTCGCACCTTGCAGGACCCCAGATCTCATCTCTAGTGCCGCATCCAACATAGCATTTACAGGTACCCTAGCAGCCTATCTACATACTTCGTAGGTAGGTTAGGTGAGTAAAGTGTTCTGGTGTACAATACAATACCACATCTTCCATCTTGGAAGTGGCTAGGTACTCATCGTTATCTCTATCGGGATATCTGCCTGTACAGTACCTCGCCCTCGAATCTCAGTCCGGCAAGTACGAAGTAATGAAGAATTAAAGGTCGAACGGGACTGTACAATACGATGCCGTCCATTCCTGGACCGTCCCATGTGTTTTAGACAACCCACCTAACCTAGGTAGGCAGATAGTGGCCTTGTAGGCATCAAAAGCCCCGACCTACATATGTACTAGCTAATGCGCCGGACTAATTTGGTACGAGGTCGTAGAAGATTTTGTGGATGGGATGCTTGAGAAATCTCCTAATTAGCGGTTTTAAATCCCCGTTGGTTCTATGTAAGTAGCGCTAGGTATTCAGGTGTCACCTGCAGTAAGGAAACTGGGAGGCTCCATATCCATCATCATTTTTAGGTACAGGGCATATGCGCGATGCATCATGCCTACCAGCATGCATCGCTAATACTTCAATGTTTCTTTTACTTCAAGTTCACGTAGAACTTATGACTTACGTATGTACCTAGAGTACCTAGGGATGTACAGTAGACCAGTTAGTATCACGAGTATCTCCTTCGTGCGCACGGATGAGGGAAATTTGCAAGTTCCAACCATGGATGCCAGCTAACTACCTATGTACCTATTTCCAAACAGTCAATTGCTAACTATTATGCAATTATTCATCTCTCGAGCTTCCAGAAGATGGATCTCCAATCAAGAGGGAGCCTGCTGGACAAGGATAGGTACATGATGTGTAGGTATTGTACCTAGTGTAGAGATTCTACTAGAGAACCCCTTACCCTATTTAGTACGTACCGCACTCTAACAACGCAGCGCCTAATCCGCGACGGGAAGCAATTTTCTGGGGATTCTAGCAGGGTGGTCGGCCAATACTGGACCCTCTCTCCCCCCTATGCGAGCTGGGGTACATGTAGGTAGGCTGGTAAGTACCTACCTGTGGTATTTACTGGGCACTCTAAGGAACTGGAGACTGCACATGGGACTGGGGGGGGGGGGGGGGGGGGAGGGAACTGGAGGAGGGGGGTGCCACTCAACGGTTCTACGCCGCTTCTGCAGGTGGTGCTAGGTACCCTGTGGAGGAGAGCTACCGTCAAAAATCCTTACATCTATCTCCTCTTTAACGGCGTCCCGTCTTAAAATACGATAAGCTCGCTGCCGTGCCTTGCAGACCGGATACCCTCTCTCGTCACTTTTTGTTCCGAAAACTCGTTCCCATGTACGGGCGGCCTGGGTAAATACCTACATACACTGTTCTCGCCGAAAAGTTGTATACTTCCCTACTGGATCTGGTTACACGGCTTTCCTAGGCACTGCACATAACCTACCTATACATACCTACCTTACTAAAGCATAGATAAGTTTAGTATATCGACTAGTACTTAGACGAGACCCGCCTATACTTGTCTTCGCTGTAGAGAGGTGTGTGTGTGTGTGTGCGTGTGTGTGGGCGGCCCTGTTGGAACTTGGAAGAGATGTCGCCGTCGTCGACAGGTGACTCGCCTCTCTCCGCCGGCGCAGCAAGCAACTCGGGACGGCCCTACCCTCTACCCTCCAGGGACACGTTCTCAATTGAGATACCGTCGCCGCAGCTGAACCCGGCGACCAACGGCGGCTCGTCAGCGCTCAAGTCCCCGACGGCCCTGAAGGCCCAGCGCACCAGTTTCAGCCGCGAAGGAATATTGGGCTCGGCGCAGAAGGCGCGGAATCTCTCGCAGACTTCCGAGTTTCGATCCGACCAGATCACCAATGGTATGCAGAAGGCGTCGAGCGACGAGGGAGCGAACCCACTCAAGAGGAGGAATACGGACGCAACGATTGATTACCCCCGAAGGCGAGCCACGATAGCGGTAGGTTTTTGTTTTCTGGTTTTCTGGTTTTCTTTTTTTTTTTTGGTGTGGCAAGTTATAGGCTCTTAGAAGTGAGACATGAATTTCTGATTTAAGATGTGCTTCGTAGTGCGAGGTCTGCCGTTCTCGGAAATCGAGATGTGACGGCACCAAACCGAAGTGCAAGCTCTGCACAGAACTAGGCGCCGAGTGCATATACCGCGAGCCCGGGATCAAGCTTGATGCTGGCGACAAGCTTATCCTAGAGAGGCTGAACCGCATCGAGAGTCTTCTGCAGATCAACCTGGCGAACGGCCACCCGAATGCCATACAAATTGCGCACGACTCCCCTCCCATAAGCAACGGGACCGCGCTTAGCGGCGATAATGTGATGATCCAGAACTCATCCGGAAGCTTCGTCTCGATAATACCGAGCGGCGGTCTAGGGACATGGACGAGCCACACCCAGGGAACTAACATTTCGACGATGCCCAAGGTGCACACGAACGCCGCATTACATCTACTCCAATGGCCGCTGATCCGCGACTTGATCGGTCGCCCCTACGACCCGCAGATTATCCTTCAGCTCGAGATGGCGCGGGAGCCGCTTCACTCCTTGGCCAAGACCCCTTGTGTCGATCTGTCGAATACTAACGCTTACATCGAGGCTTACTTCGATAGGGTGAACGTGTGGTACGCCTGCGTCAACCCCTTTACGTGGCGGAGCCACTACCGCATGGCGCTCTCCACCGGCTTTCGCGAAGGCCCGGAAAGCTGCATCGTGCTACTAGTGCTGGCGCTGGGACAGGCAAGCCTGCGCGGCAGTATATCGCGGATCGTGCCCCAGGAAGACCCCCCGGGCTTGCAGTACTTTACGGCGGCGTGGTCACTCTTACCGGGGATGATGACTGCCAACAGCGTGCTGGCCGCCCAATGCCACTTACTAGCTGCCGCCTATCTATTCTACCTAGTGCGGCCGCTCGAGGCCTGGAACTTGCTCTGCACCGTGAGCAGCAAGCTGCAGCTCCTGCTCATGACGCCGACGCGCGTGCCCGAGGACCAGCGCGAACTACTAGAGCGCATCTACTGGAACGCTCTTCTGTTCGAGAGCGACCTCCTCGCGGAACTCGACCTGCCCCATTCCGGCGTCGTGCAATTTGAGGAGAACGTCGGCCTGCCGGGCGGCTTCCAGGGCGAGGAGTCCGAAGCGGTGGGCCGGGACGACCTCTGGTACTTCCTCGCGGAGATCGCGCTCAGACGGCTGCTGAACCGCGTGAGCCAGCTGATCTACTCGAAGGACTCGATGGCGTCGACGACGAGCCTGGAGCCGGTGGTGGCGGAGCTGGACTTCCAGCTGACGCAGTGGTACGAGAGCCTCCCGCTGGCGCTGCAGTTCCCGTTCACCCGCTCGACGCTGCCGGATCCGGTGCAAACGGTGCTGCGGTTACGGTTCTTCGCGTGCCGCACCATCATCTACCGTCCGTACATCTTGGCGGTGCTCGACAACGAGCAGGCCGTTTTGGACCCCTCGGTGCGGGAGAGCTGCCACAAGTGCCTCGAGGCCTCAATCAGGCAATTGGAGCATATAGCTGCACAGTAAGTACCTACCTATAATAATCCCCCCATCATGATTGGACATATTATCCCTTACCCTCATGCTCCTTTTTTCCCTTTTCCTTTTTCCTTTTTTTTTTTTTTTTGTTTTCCAATTTCCCCGGCTCTTGAAATTTACTTGACCCAATCTAACCATTTGGCCGCAGTCACGCCGGCCACATGCCGTACCTCTGGCAAGGTGCTCTCTCTATCGTGTCACAGACGTTATTAGTCATGGGGGCTACCATGTCACCATCGCTATCTAACATCCTGTTGACGCTGGTCCCTCACCGCGAAGTCATCGACCAGATCATCAATGATGTAATAATGGACATCGAGAAGATGGCCATACTGGCGCCCAGTCTTAGCCTGGCTGCCGAGATCATCAAGGAAGCCGAGGTCCGCAGGAGAACATTTCTAAACGGTTGATGATGAGCTTCACTGGAAATAAAAAGAATGACGCATTTCTCTCAACTACTACCTAGGTATAGGTATGATGCACTATACTATACTATACTATGTGGACTGGACGGGCATCACATCACCGGTCCGAATGCTTCAAAAGGACCCCCCTTCCCAACGATGTTCGGATGCCCGTATTCCTAACCCGAAAAGAAAGAAAGAAAAATAACGTCATGCGACTCAACTAACCTACCTACATGGGGGAACTGCTAGCCTTTGTAACGATGTCATATCTACCCGTTTGTCTGGGCCAGCCTGTTCGCGTATCTAGGAACGGGTTGCAGGGAAAGGCAACTTGCTTGCAGGAAAAAAAAAAAGATTGCACCCGCTTTCTTTCTACCTACTCACTCAACCAACTTCTCGGCTATGCTTAAAAAAATGAATGGCGGCGTCTCTTTATTTGCACGAAGGGACTTCTCCCGGACCCTACCTTGCAGCGCATGCGATACTACGCTCTCGCTTCTCAATCGGGAGAGGGAGGAAAAAAAAAGGGGGGAAGTGAGTGAGTTGAAGAGAGAGGGAGGGTTTTTTTTTTTTTTTTTTTTTTTCATGACAAACGAAGCTTTTGGGCGCGAAACTACCGTAACCACCGGGTTCCTTTTCAGCCTTGTCGGGTCTCTAGGGATCAAGTCCTTCCGTGGCTGATTTCTTGGAATGATTGGCATCAAGAGAGAGAAAGAATGACAGAAAAAAACCAACCCCAAAAAATAAGGCCGTCGAAAAGGCCTGGGAACATGTCAAAGTAGCAACGCTTCTGTGCGTGTGCGCCTGTGCGCCCTTTGGCAAGCACCGCGAACCCCTGGGGTAGCATTCTGGGGGCGAACCGTCTCTCGTGGTTGGCGGGGGAAAGTCTTGGTCTGGGGGGGCACGCTCAGGGTGCGCGGTCCGCGTTCCCGATAACCCTAGTCTCCCCAGGAAATGCTTCTTATACCTCATCACCGTTCAACCAACCCCCCTTTTTTTCATTTTCGTGTTGAACAAAGAAGAAGTTGGAGAAAGAGTCTTATTTGACCTTCTCTATACGTTACACCACTACCCTAAATCATGCACGGCTAATTCTCAAGTTCCTACACTACCTGTATACACACTTGCCTCCTTACTACTTACCTACCTACGCGCTTACCCAATCCTCACTCAACTCAACATCATCATCCATCATTAGCCTCGATGAGGTCACAGACAAGGAGCATCATGGACCAAGGGAGATGAACTAGCAGGCTGGCTTCCCTGAATATTCCCCCCAAAAAGAAAAGAAGAAAAAAAACAAGAAAAAATGCGCGTCGATATATCGCTGTACACTAACCCTATTCCTTGATACGGTTGAACGGATATCTCTTGGTTACCTGCACACTCTGATCTCGGTTTCCCAGTTCGGCGCTACTGGCGTTTCTGCTCTGCAGAACCTGCATCACCTTCGTCATCTTTCTTGGTGGCTCGGCTGGCTTCATTCTTCATTTAGGTTGCCTAGGTTGGGTTCGGGCTTGGAAATTACTATATGTAGGTGTTACAGTAAGTAGGCATTTATAGCTGAAGACTACATACATACATCATCACGGGAGATTGGCTTGACAGCAACCGAACGGAAAGAGGGATATATCCTATCTCTCTCATTGCTCTGTGTATTCTCTTTTATTTCTTATTTCTGTTACGAAGGCAAATGACAAAGAATGTTCATGAGAGTCGGGATAAACTTCCCCATCGTATACCCCCCCAAATCGTCTTTTTTTTTTTCTGTTATATTTTGAGCCTTTATATATATATAAATCATATATAATACCCAACGCATCTATTTATATATCGCGCCGATTCGCTAAGTGCTCTTTAATGAAAAATATGCTATTTTTGGGCAATGTAGGTAATGCCCGCTTTCCCCAGATCGCGACTAAATATGTAATACCCGTCATATCACACGTGGAAACTGGGTAGTTAGGTAATATTTACACACACATAGGACGCGAGACTGTAAAGAGTTGACGCTTTATGCACGTAGTCTAGACCTGGCCTAAGACAGTATTCGAACTATCTGTTCACTACTTATACCTAGACCTTAGTACCTGCCTCCTACCAGGTAGTTACCGAGCCCACTAACCTAAACATAGTCAGTCCCTTGGATACCCTCCTGTCTCATCTGCCTGCACACTCCCAGTAGGCTTTGATCCCGCCCACGAGAAGTGCCTATTTGCAAAAAGGAGCTAATGGGGAAGGAGCTAGAATGCCTACCAACCAACCCAGCACCCAAGAAAAAAAGACACACCCAATCCTACAGTGAAGCAACTACCTACATACCTTAAGCTAGCGCCTGTTTCGTATTGTACAATACACTACGTGCATGCATAGGTAGGTACCTACCCACCTACATGATGTATGTAATGCTTAAGCACTCACCACCTTTTCCCCCTTCCTTTGCGGGGGGAGCACACGCTTGCATTTCGCGCCGAGCGAGCAAAGCACCACAGAAACACCCCTTCCCTTCCCTTCCCTCTTCCCCAGCTTCTTCCTTCTCCCTCCCCTCCCCTCCCCCACCACACCCGGGAACCCGTCCAATTCGCTGCGGCACTTCGAATGCCAGCAAATGAGCCGGGGGGGCAGAGCCAGCGCGTTGGCTCGCGGATTAATAGGTACCTAGGTAAGGTTAGTTAGTTAGTTAGTGGTTAGTTCCTTCACTTGATTTCGCTAACTAGTTAAACCCCAGAAGCTTTCTTGTTCCTTCCTTCCTTACCTAGACTTGTATGTACATATGTGTGTATGTAACTACTTCGTACCTAGCTTCCAACCCTAAGCGACGAATAATAATAAGAGGTTTCCCCCAAGAGAGAATCCAGGCACCTACCTAGGACTATCAGATTATACCGCTTGCGCTAGAAGGTGGTGAATGGTCTATCTCTTGGACGTAATTGTCTTTACTTTACGTACGTCACTTCATCTAGCACATACTTGTTCAGCGTTGTCGTACATATGGTGATGAGCGTATCTACCTCCCTACCTAGGTACCCAGCAAGTGGCAGTAACTAGTTAGTAGGTATGTAAGTAAGTAGAAAGGGGATAAGTAAAAAAAAAAGGGGGGGGCAAGAACAAACAAATCCCACCAGCAAAAGCCACAGCACATATATCCCTTGACATCCCAAATGTGTGTGGTGCATTTCTACATCACGACACGACGTTGAAAGCCTTCAAGCACAAACCTACCTAGGTAGGTAGGTATCGTAAGTCATCGGCGCGCGTATTTATTTACCCCCCCTTTCCGTTTTTCGATGCGCTTTCAAACCTAGACAAATGAACCGTACCTGACTGACAAACATAGACTACTCCATTGCTCCTCAGCTCAGGGAGTGATAAAGGGGTGATAAGAAGGCCCAACTATAACAGTCTCGTGATCAATCTGCTCGTAAGGAGTTGTACTGTAACCTGAATACCTAATCACTTATACCACCTTTAGACCAGCTACTACCAGTACCTACGTAGATCCAGACGTGAACCTACAACATAATCATTAGTTACCTAGGTAAAATTCAAGGATTTAAACGGCCGATTCTCAAATGCCCATGTTCTAAAGCAACTGCTCGTATTGATATTACTATCGCTCCCGTTACGCTACCAACACCTGCTATTCTAACAATCTTTGAAAGAAAAAACCCCTAACCCCTAGAATAATAATTCATAAAATTGAAAGGGCCAAACCCCCGTGTATTAAGCACCCACGCCTATACTCTAAGATCACCAACAAACATCGTGCGCTGACAAGCATTCCAAACTTCTCCCTCGCAGCCGATTTACTCCCTCCCAAAACAAAGACGGCAATATCACATCAGGTGCTAAGTACCTAGGCAATGAAGGATCTCTCAAGGCGGAACACAGTAAACATCGCAGAAATCATCAGGCTGATATGAGAAAGTGAGCTCGTTGTACCCGAACATCCCATGGATCTCGGAGAGGGCTGTAGGGGGGGTGGAAGTATTGACCGGGCGATATCTGTAGCGGAGATGCTGCAACCTCCTCAGCTGCGACGAAGGCATGAAGGCAAATTGTACCAGCAATTTGTTGATCAGATAGTTCAGGTGCAGATCGAGGCCTCGGTCATACCCCATATTCTGGTATTCTTCCACCAGGTGTAGCCAGACCAGGTTCGGGGGCAGGCACGCCAAAATTTCAGACTCGGTTGGTTCTGCGATCAGATCGAATATGATTGGCAGCTCGATCGTGAGATTCTGGAGGTTTTCAAGCATGGGTAGGCACTCTAAGCGTCCATTGACCCCAAGTTGGCTTAGGTATAGGTGATACTTGTAGATTCTCAACTCGAGCTCTTTTAGGGTATCGGCTCGCCGGGCTAGTGCATGGTTTAGGTCGTATTCCTCTGGTGGGATATCGAGCTCGAGGTCGCCAGGTTCCGAGATGATTAATGTCAAGTCCCTCAATATGGGTGCCCTTTGGCAGATTTTGAACACGTCTCTGGCGTTGACTGTTGCAATGAGGGTTAGGACTTATAATTACCCACTATATTGACTGTAGATAAAGCACTTGGAGAGCAGGGAGAACAAAGTGTGGAATTCACAGCCCAGTAAGTACGTAAGAGATAGCAATCGGAGAAGGTGGCAGAAGGGGAGAAGGCATAATCAAAAAAGCTGACACTCACCATAGCCCACCAGTCTCAGTTCTTGGAGATTATGCACGAATTCCATGCCATCTCGAAAGACATGTCTACCCATGTTTCGCCAGACACGAAGTGAAGAGATTTTGGACCCTAAATAGAATAATTCCGTGTTTTGCCTGGCTCCGCCGACCGAGAACCCACAGTCTCGGTGAAGGCTCACAGCCGAAAGTCGATCAAAGGTCGGTGTTCCCGAATAGTCCTCATATGTCGTTATGATTTCGAATAGCAGTGTATAACCATAGCCGTCGGTTAGGTGCAGGTGGAGATACTCGATATTGACAGCTAAGCAGAGCAGCATGGCCATTAATCGTTGAGCGTTGAAAAATCCAAACCACCCCAGTTCAGTGTCCATGCCTGGTATGTCTGGCTCATCACGCGCAGTATCGAACAAGACTTGATGGTCCTTAGAAATATCCTTCTAAGGTGGGTAATCATACAGAGGGAAAGGCCACTTTCTACAGCAGTGTATTAGGTACCAGAGATCAAGCTTCAATTCTTAGTGCAAGTTAGAAGGCTTCTACTTACCGTAGATCCTCTAGTGAATCTGGCTCAGAAGGCCACGGTACAGACCCAAAAATCTCCACCGGGCAAATGATATTCTTGATTAAGCCGGGGGAATAGGGATTCGTTATTAGAGTGCGGATCAGGAGAACAAGATTGACGATATTCCCATAAGCGTTTCCGAGTTGTACATCAATTGGGCCGAGGCCGAAGTAGAAAATGACTGTCTCGTACAAGAGTGGTTTGGCGCAACTGCAGAAGCGTACAGAGGAAAGACAAAGGTTGCGAAGAGTGGTGCGAAGTATCAAGTAATCCGCTGGAGGGACCTTGTGACCGTACGCAAGCACTGGAAGCCGGAAATGATCAACAATGTCAATTATAATCTCGGTTGGTAGGAAAGGTATATAGGTCAAATCAGTAGAGGAAGATGTGGAGTTAAAAGAACAAGATGAGCGTCTGGAGTCGAAAGAACGAGAAGGAGACGAGCGTCTGGAGCTCAAATAATCATCATTGTCTAACATCTGGTCAGACTGCGCGACAGACTCCGCGACAGATTGCACGCTCATCTTAATCTGATCTGGTAACTGCTCCATCTTTGCTAGATATTATAGGTAGCAATGTTGATAGAGATGGATGTTGTTTACCTATTGAGGTGGCTTTTCCTCTGCTGGCTTAGAAGAAGTTGGCGAAGTTCAATGTTTGGTGTGTGAGTAGGTACATAGTAACATAACCTAGATAAGTCTCAGTGCTGGTACACACATGATTGATCATGATTGATATCATTGATCCACGGATGCGCTTGCAAAATTCCAGTAAGGTATCTACTTCCTAGATAGAGAGTAGATACTAGGGTAGGTAGGTACTATGTAGGCAGCGAAGAGCAAGAGCCACCATGGCTAAAACATCGTGTAATGATTAGGTAATTTAAACAACCTTGAAGTTTATAAAGTGTAAAGTAAAGTGCAGAGCATAAATTACCTACTAACCTAGTGGTGTCTTTCTGGTACCTAATCGTACAGCCACCCAAGAGCGCAACGCTGCTTTGGGTATGCTGTGGGGAAGACAACGAGCTATAGGTCTCGATATGACAATCAAGATACCTACGCCCGCCTAGGCACACATATACCTTAAGTTGAGCCATAAATCTTCCGTTTCAAAAACAGCCTCCTGAGTCCGCCGCTAGACTTGGAGTTCTTCGGTTTCACGCCCTTTTCCGTGTGAACGACCTGAATCGGGGCAGGGAGCGGAGGTATGAGTGGTTGACTATTGTCAGTCTGCTTGGCCATCCTCCTCTCTTCCCTTCGTCGCTTCGGTCCCGGTTCTGGCACCCGACCCGGAGCAAGGAATTCAGGTAATCGGAATTCGAACCCATTTTCCACAATTCCGCGCAGCGAATAGCGCGATGACCGTTGTTCCCGGTCTTGAAGTTTCGTCCTGTCTCTCACTCCCTCGCCTTCTTCTTCATCGATTTCCACTCTACCATGGTCGTCGCGCTCTTCATCGCCGCAGACTACGACGTACCACCGAATGCTCTCGCTTCTTTGTAACTGATCCCGCAGTTTCTCAAACCAGCCCACCCTCTTGTTGCTAATGGTGCTTACCCTGCGACCCGACTCTTCGCTAATACCACTCATTGGTCTGTAAAGTTCCGCCTTCATTCGGGCCTCGTAGAGATTTATCTGTTCCGCGACCGAGGCTGATGTGTCTATTCGCACCACATGATCTGCCACATAGGCCCATGGCCCGCTGACAACGGATAGATCCGACGGGTCGAACTCTTCCAAGAACTTCACCACGGACCAATCGTTAAACGGGACGCTCGGATCGGGCTCCATTAGCCTTGCGCCCTGTGCCGAGGAATTGCTGGGATTAGATAGCCCATTTGGAAGACCGTTGTTGTTTCTCTTCGTTCCATTTTCGAGCTTGGGAAGCTTCCCTTTGTTATCTTGGTCTGCGTGTGAATGTATACGGGGGTATGTGTAACCGTTGCTCGTCGAGTTAGGATCTTGGGCGTGAGGGTATGGAGAGTTTAGATTGCGCGCTGGGCGAGTGCAGGGAGGTAGGAAGTCGAATAACTCGTAGAATTGGTCAAGGAGGGCGATGGGGCTTTGGCGGGCGACGATCCATTCGGGAGCAGCGTCGTCGACGTTTTGAATAACCACGAAATATCGAATGCTTGGGCGATGCCAGCGAAAGCCGTGACAGAGATAGGTGGGCATTATGTGGTCGATCGGTACCCAAGGTCTCTCAAGCTTGTGTGGATCGAGCGCGGCGCGGCGTACAGTTACTAGGTAACTAACCTAAGGTAGTGGCGCGTATTCTAGGCGGAGCGCTGCTACCCGAGATCCTGGTTTGTGGGGGAGCAAGACAGGGGAGGATAGGGGCAAACAGGGGGGGGATAATGTTGGGGGAATCCGAAGGGTTACAACTCTTGGGATGTTCAACATACAACTCGTCGCAAAAAGGAAGGTCGTCGCATCAGAAAATAAAATCAGAACGACATCGACTTTAAGACTTATCGAACTTCGGTTATCTCGGCCCAGGAGAAATGTTAATGACGATGGAAGATTTGGTAAGTAAAAGTAAGCATGGAAGGCAGTGCTCGAACGATCATCTAGACGCAAACCGTCACAACTGGATAATAGCCTGTCAGACGGGACTTACTGCTAGCCTAGGTTTCTAGGTAGGGATTCAGGGTAAAAGCGAACAACGTAGTAAAACCCTCACTTACGTTAATATATATGCTCCAAAAGCGTCCAGGGGGATATCGGCTGTTGATACAAGCAGAAGATGGGTAGTTGATGGAAAAGGCTCGTTTGAATACTTGGGGAGATAGGTAGGTAGGTAGGTTAGTAAGTAGCTAACCTAACTACATGCCAACTTACCTACCTCCCTAAGTAGATATGTAGGTAGATAGGTACCCAGTAGATAAAATTCAATGTTCTCCAAGTGAACGTACCATTGAAGAATTGTTCCGGGCTTCCACGATAAAAAGTTTGATATAGCGCTCATATAGGTAGGCTACGAGTTGGTGTCTAGCCATCGACTTGTTATGCACTTTTGAGCCTCAAACGCTTCCAGCGTCGTACGAATGGTTTGATGTCTTGAATCTGGCAACTAGATAGGTAGCTTCTAGATTGCTATTTTTAGAACATAGCAATTCAACCACACGGCTTCACCAGCCCCCTACTGTCTGAACAAGCTACTCATTATTTTCTCCTTTTTACTACATATCAAGATTTTCTCTTCAATCAACAAGTACCTTCAACCAAGGACACCCCCGTGGTAATCTAAACTTCGGCCCAATGGTGTTGTGATTATGGACGTGGCAGAGAGTTTCAGAAGGATGTCCGGCATCGTAGCGGCAACTTTGATACCTAGGGCATGTATGTGCAAACGGAGGAGGGAACGTGCATGAGCGATAAATCACATGCATTAGGTGCTCGACGTATGCGCTAATATATATCAGATTTATCTAGTGAGGAGAAATGAAGGAATCTAAACATATGTTTCTCGTTCATGGATTACGAAGTTGTAGTGATCGGTATTCAGCCCCTGAGTGTTGATCGGGCTCAATAATAATTAATCAACATAAAGCTTACTATGATGCTAGAAGGCTACGAATTAATTGGAAAAGGGGTATCAAATATATTATAACAACCACCGCCCCAGTTTTCTTCGATGAACGCCGGTGGGAGGTTAGGTCAACGTCCGGACGTCTGAATGTATGCCATGATCTACTCTAGGGCATGTTTCTATCCATTGTTGGGGGTTTAGAGGACTGCGCCCTTGTACAGGAAAGAAGTGAAAAAAAAAGAGCCAGGGTACCGATTCTTCATACGAGAATGCCCCTGTCCTCACAACTACTGCGTATCAAAACCATACCTACATAAGGTATCCCACGCGTCATCTCACCTCCCCCATCTCCCAAACCACCCGCCTAATCGCCGCCGGAACCTCCGCCACAACCGCCCACCTCGCGCTCGGGAACCTCTCCAACGGCTCGGACGTATTGATCACCCCCGCGTGCCTCCTCAGCGCATTCAAGCAATCCAGCGGCACGTCCTCCCTGGGCCCCCTAACCCAGACCATCAGCCTCCCGTTCGGCACCACGAGCACCTCCCGCCCGTCCTTGACATACACGCGCGTGATCCGCGGCTCGTCGAACGCCAGGGACGACGACGTGCGGTCGTCGCCGTCCCACACCGGCAGGTTCCGCGGTATGTACGAGAACATCGGCGTCTCGCACCCCGCCGCGCCGGACACGGTGGGCCCCAGGGCGTCGCCGTCGCTGTTGAGGAAGCGCGGGGTGCGCCGCGTTGCGGAGCCGAACTTCACGAAATCCGGCGAGGAAGGGTACCAGCGCATGCCGTCGAGGTAGACGAGCCAGAAGCCTTCGGGCGGCGCGAGGTACCCGCCGGAGAGATATCGCCGCTTGGTGTCGTCGGGGACGTCGCGGGCTTCGGCTTGGGATGACGGGGTGGTGGCTAGGAGTCCGCGGCCTGAGGGGAGCGAGGTCCAGGTGAGTTGCTGAGGCTTCAAGGGGGGCGCGGGGCTGGTGGTGTTGCATTCGCCGGTTGAGAGGACGTCTAGGCGCCATAGGGACCCGGGCCGGGGGGGCTGGCGTGGGAGATGTTTAGAGGTGGGAGAGGACATGGCTTATACGTCTCCTATATATAGAGGTGGCGTTGAGGATTGTGTATAGTCTGTGAAATTGCAAGGGGCTGTAGTAGGTCTTGAGCTGAGTGCTTATTATACCGCCCGTGATTGAGTTTAGAGATGGTGGCATGCGGTATATTGATTTATTATGGCGTTTGTCTATATACAATTGATTGCAGCAGTACCATGGAGATCTATTGTATTCAATATGGCTATAAACACCGTGCCGTAGATTAACCAAGCCAGTGCGCATTGCGTAGAAAGTCGTATTAATCGTGAACGGACCAACCGTCACAGTGAATATAAAACGAAACGGGCACTCAAATCAGAGTTTAGGTGAGAATCACTCAGATTGTTTCCCTTTCAGCGTGTGTTATTCGCATTGTTATGTGTTGTGAGGTCGTGATTGAGCGGGAATGGGTAGGGGTGCAAATATTAGGCTATGAACATACCGACCTACACTTCCGTATATCACGAGTTGTGAGGCATACTCATTCAAAGGTCTCAAATAACATCCATGCTGCAACTCGACCAGAAGCCATATTTTTACTATAGACCTCAGTAGGTACTTGAGCTTCTGTCGTGTTCGTTTCCAATGCGTTATACTTGACGCGGTAGAGCTTCATCCCTTTTGGCCATTCGTAAGGAGCTGTGCTGTAAGAAACCCAAGTGTATGTAAAATGATACTAATTCATATAAATATCATGAGCATAAGCATGCTTGGGTACATCGTATGTGTTTTCGGAAGTATTTATTGTCCATAGATGCTTGAATATCACCGGATTGGTTATGGCCCCCTAACAACAAGCTAAATTCAAAGACTGCTGCTACTACAGTAATAGTTCAGGGGGGAAGTAGAGCTGGCACATATATTAGCCAATAACATCAAAGGAGCCGTCCTGATGTGGTCGTATATTGACGGTTACAAGGAAAGGGGGCTGTAGGATTATCAATGAAGTACGTACAAGTTTATGTGTCTACAAGTTGACTACCAGGTACCTGGGTAGGCACGTAGCCTAGATTCTCAGGTGGTCCCTCGTATAAGGCTCGATGGACTCAAGGGTTCACACCAGCACAGCACAGCTAGCAAAGCTCAGGACGGGCGCCATCCCAAATAGTAAAAGGGAAGCGTCCGGCCCCGCTGTATCTGCATGAACCAAGCTTAAGTCGGTGTTTAGTAGAGATAAGTAGCACAAGCTAACGTCATGGTGCGATAGCTAGAATCATTCCATGCTTCCTTCTTCCTTTGTTCGGAGCTAATTTGTTCGAAATGTCGGCGGGGAAGACGTTAAAGTGGGTTCAGATGGTGAATCCTACATAGATAAATAGTCAGGAACCTGCTGATTCTCCCCTCCCATAAGAGCTTTCACTCTACTGCTCATCTCAAATTCTGTTCATTCACAAGATTTATTTCACAAGATGGCGACCAAGACACCCACTGTAAAGTTGGCCTCTGGCTATGTATGTAACCCCCGCTTGGTGATTATATGACGTGAGCTAATAACAACAGGAAATGCCCATTGTTGGCTTTGGAATTTGGAAAGTGCCCAAGGACACCTGTGCTGACCAAGGTATGCTCAATTCAAGTCAAGTCTTGATATTCTACTCATGACATTCTGACCTGCTTCTTGATAGTGTACAATGCCATCAAGTTGGGTTACAGACACATTGACGGTGCTTGGGATTATACAAACAGCGCTGAGGCCGGCCAAGGTGTACGACGTGCCATCGAAGAGGGCATTGTGAAGCGTGAAGAGGTGTTCATCACCTCGAAGTTGTGGAACAACTACCATGCTCGTGAGCATGCCCTCGAAATGGCCAAGTTAGAAAACGAGGCCTGGGGATTGGGATACCTGGACTTGTTCCTGATCCATTTCCCCATCGCGCTCGAGTTTATTCCATTTGACAAGATTCGATACCCTTGCTTCTGGACTGATAAGGAGCAGACTCAGGTTACTCCTCTTGCAAAGGTACCAATCTCGGAGACCTGGGGGGCCTTGGAGGAACTGGTGCAAACCAAGGAGAACCCGAACGGCTTTGTCAAGAGTATCGGCATATCCAACTTTCACACACAACTAATATACGACCTACTGTCGTATGCAAAGATTCAGCCATCTGTCCTACAGGTTGAGCATCACCCTTACCTGACTCAGCCTGACCTGATCGACATGGCGCAGGAAAACAACATTGCTGTTACTGGCTACTCGACATTCGGACCCCTAAGCTTTATAGAAATGGGCCATGCGAAAGCCAAGCAGGTCAAGCCTCTGTTCGAGACGGATGTGGTGAAGAGCATCGCAGCAAAGCATGGCAAGTCACCAGGCCAAGTTCTTCTTCGGTGGTGTACCCAGCGTGGCATTATCGTCATTCCCAAGTCAAATAGTGTTGAGCGACTGAAGCAGAACCTCGATAGTGTTTCATTTGATCTCAGCGAGGATGAACTCAAGCAAATCTCGTCTTTGAACATCAATCTGCGCTTTAACAACCCTACAACTCTGGGGAGACCCATTCGAATCTTCCCTTAAGGGGGGTGGTATTCAAGGCGCTTGAGTTACTCAATATAGACTAAATAGACACTGAGAATTGCATCTCAAAATTTGCAATAAAAATCAAGAACTTTTATTAAAAGAGATGAACGATACGATGAATGATAAAGGAAGTGTTTCTTTGTTAAATATTTTACTGAAGACAAAATAAATACCTAGGTAGATAAATGGATTGATAACTACTCGGCAACATAACGCCATTCTAACTAACCCCTCTAGGTTAGTCGGCATTTAGGAAAGTACTTGGGTACCCATGTACTAGGTAGTGGGGTAACCTTAGTACCTAACTTCGACTTACCCCACATGTTCCAGCTACCACAGTTTTACACCTCGGCGCGTCATTCTTCAAGTAATAATTTACATAACTTATTAGTACTACTAGTAGTACCTGAGATACTTCAACCCGTCGCGCTTTTCTTTGGAGCTTCACTTTTTGGGCGCAAAACCGTTAATTCTTTAATTGAACATCGACAATGGCTCTTCCCCTACAGCCAGGCCTTGTGCCTACCGAGGTAGCTTTTCTATGTGAAATGGAAATGGTTACAATCGTTCCTCGTCAAAGACTCGAGTCAATTCCTCTTCTCAGTGTAAAGCCCAGACCCTGACCCCTCCAACCCACCCCGCCATTCCATCATCGTCAATCAAGCCGTCGCTTGTCGATGAATATCGATGGATATCGCTAGAAACCCTTCATCAAGTTCCAGGGCTAACAATGAATCTGGCGATCCAGGGGAAAACTCCAGCTCTGCGCCCACCGCACCGCGCCCAAGTCCCATTTTGGCTTGCCCTCCTTCTGAAAAAGCAACGCCGCGCAAATATCGTCTCTCCCCCCTGGCTTCACGCCGACTCGCTTCAGGATATCCTCAACCAAGAAACCAACATCAATCAAAAAGGGTTCTCCCCCCATCCTCCACCGCCGATGAGGTCCGACGGCAGGGGCGGTTCTAGGCCTTTTGGGCAATCCTCATCGGAGCTGAAGCCGGGAGAAACAGTCTTATCTCCCCCCTTTCTTCCGTCGTGCACGCAAAATGCGCCCTCGGGGTACCTGCCATATCACTGGTTGGAGTTTTCGGAGACGCTGCTGGCTCACGCCGCAGACGATATACCTAACGCTGCCGAGGTTCGGGCGTTGCTGCGAGATCTGCAAGAGGTGCGCGCCGCCAAAATGCGCGGCAGTACAAAAGAGGTTAATGGCGAAGGCGGCTTCCTGGCCTTACCTGGTGCAGGGGCTATGGAGTTGGCTGAGAGCAGAGGGTTCTTTTTGGGTGTCGTCGACGGGGTCAGGAAGCTTGGTACAAGCGCCGAAGCGAGTAGGAGGGAAGAAGAGGAGGAGGAAGAAGAGAGGAGGAATGGCAGGAGAGATGACGATGGCGACGAGGAGATGGAGTTTTGAAAAGGGGAACTCAACAATACACATAATACATGAGTGGTTGGTACAGCATCGCTTTCGGCTCGAGAAGTATAGGGAGATAGCATGTCATCGGTCGGCGTTTCCGTCACTTTGGTAAGCATGGCGTTGCATCTTTGCATAGGTATGGACAAAACGTATATTTCTTCAAAACAAATTCGGTATATTTTCACGTATCTATTTACCTAGGTGCTTGGACACCAGTATATATACCCCTGGTTTCTATCCTACCTAACCAAAACAAGATTCTAAACAGCTTCTAGACCGCATACCCCTATGTGCTTTTTCTAAACAAGAAACAAGTCGATGTCTCCATTGCCATTCCAACACATAAACCTCACTACTTCTCCACCAGCCGTGTGTCTCCATCGGACTCTATCTACCGATGCCGCCACGCGAAAGAGATGGCCCACGACATACTCCTCATCCCAGGTTAGCGGCCCGGGCTGTAGGTTGTGTACGAGATCTCGTTTGATGTCTCCGTCGACCAAATAGAACATCCACACGCTCAAAAACGCGCAGTTTAGAACGAGCATAAACACACCGACTATGATCGGAACGCTCCGTGCCAATCTCCTGTCCACCCAACGCGTCGCCGTGATGAACACATCGCGCACAGTTGAGTATATGACCCCCCAGTTCAGAAGAACTACGGTCGCCAGCAGCTTCCCTAGCAGCTCCAGACCCAATGCAACGATGTCGAAGACATGGAACGCGAATATTGTCCAGGGGTTTATTATGTGGAGTCGTAGGCTGGACCACAGGATCCGCAGGAATGTCCAGTAGTACGCCCATACTAGGATCCAGGGGACCACGAAGATAAGGTAGAGGTAGATGCGTATTTCCACTGCGACGGGGCGAAGTACCCCTAGAGCTTGTGCGAGGATCTGCCGCGCCGCCTCCATGGTGCGGGATGTTGCGTTGGTGGAGTGGTTGTAAGGGTTCTCGGATACTGCCTACCTGTTTGTGTGCTCTTACACTTTCCGCTTCGATGTCTCTGAAGACGATCTCTTTCCATAGGTACACTATTCCTCTGGCTTGAATAATGCCCCTTACGGGTTTTTTTTTTGGGTTCTAGAGCATCGTTTATCTATCTGAGAAAGACAGTCATTGTTTGGGAATGGTCGTTGCTTTTTTGTCTGATGTGTGTTGGGTATATTGTTACAGCACTACTTTCTACGTCCCCCTCTCGAAGAACAGCCCTCGGTTTCATAACAGTCGACACTGTGCCGTATCAAGCTTACTCACTCAGACTGTCAATCGTCATGCCGGCTAACCTAGTTCGTCTGTGATGTAAGTAACTGTCTGAGCGAACATCCACAGCCGTCATAATCCAAGCCGAGAAATAGAAATATCTCCCACGCTACTCATTAGCACGCGCATCGTCATAATAGTGAATCTACCACTCCGTCAGCGTCTCAGTGGTGGGCTAAGGAAAAAAAGAAAAGGGGGCACAACTCACAGTCTGATCCGCACACACCCCGCCGGCGTCTGATACGCATAGTCACGCCCCCCGTATTCACTCGCAAGCAGCGCTTGGCCCTCGCACATGCCAGCCACGCCGCCACACTCTGCCTCTTCAACCCCACGTCAGCGCATCGTCCCGGAACTCAAACGCCCCGAACCTGTTGAGCCACGTCGCTAGCGTGCGCGGCGCTTCGCGACACGTTGAGGTAGAGTGGCGGGGAGGTGTTCGCGACGAGCTGTCCCGAGGAGGGGGGGATGGAGAAGTGGCCGGCGGTTTGGTGGGTTGAGAGGATCGCGGTGCCGGGGGTGGGGGGGAGGGGTTTGCAGGTAGTTGGGCGCGGCGACGGCGCGGATCCAGTACCAGCCTATTGTAGGGTGTCGCCGGGTCCGGAGGTTTGGCGGGGGGGTAGAGGATGAGGGAGATTGAGAGGGGTGGTGGAGGTGAGGGCAATTAGGAGGGGGAGGGTGAGGGTGAGGGTGAGGGTGGAGGGGAGCATCGTGAGGGTTTTTAGGGGGTTGTAATGTCTGTACCTGAGTTATGAATAGGGGCTATTGGTATATATGGGTGGGACGTGGAAAGGAAGCTCGAGATCTACGCAGGCACACGTTGAACGCCTGTTGATGATCGTGACTTGTTCGGCGTATATCAGTGTGGAATCCATAGTATGGAGATGGGCTGGAATGGCATAGGGGATGTGAGTATATGGACATTTAGCCTAAGATCGAACCCGACAAATATACCGCCACACCGCAGAAGAGAAGAGAAGAGATCTGGACCGCTTTATGGAACAGTCGTTTTGTCCAAGATGTAATCAAACCCATTGTTAACTAGGTAGATACCTACCTACTTAAGTACTGCTACCATTTATAGATGTTACATATAGAGAATTCAGACGAGGACAGTATAGGAGACTAGTGGGATGTCCCACATCTGTCCAAATGGATGCGTTACTCCATGGAGGCTGTCCAGGTCAAGTATAGACAGCTAATGCACAACTTCATAAAAGTACCTCTTTACCGTGCTAGTTAGGTAAAGACAGCTTGTAGCAAGTCTTTTCGAGTATAAACCACGAGCTACTTAGTATATCCACCCTTTACATAGGTAGGTAGAGCTGGGATAGCTTTCCCTGACTATACCCTCATATACCTAGGCACATAAACCTTAACTATCTAGGTACCTAGGTCAACTGATATATAATTTAACTGTAAAGTACCTACCTAGTATAAGGATGGAAATGAATTCATAGATGAAGTGTATTTCGCTCCCCTGACTCCCCCAAGTCAGCCCCGTAGCCTTACAGCACCCACTTAGCAGGCAGAGAAAAGGGGGGGGGGGGGGGCTTTTGCGGTGAAATTCTATCCCATATCTAGCGACCACCTTAGTTACCTACCACGTTACTTGACCTAGTTGTATAACCAGGAAGTAGGAATTATGTACCTGATTAGGAGAAAATCCCAAGTCTTTTAGGCTACCAAAGACGTGGATTCACCATCATGTCTATCTCAACGTGGGAGGCGTGTTCAGCTCTGTTTAAACTCGAACGCACGTAATGACTCAACCCCTGATCCATTTCATAGTCTGTATTCTTGATTTCCATGATCATGGAAGGGAGGGTAGGCAGGTATCATTGTCATGTTGCACGACTGCTAGTTCATCGGACGACCTGACAACAGAATTTTCACTGGGTTGAAATCTTCATCTGACACCTGCTACAATGAAAACTCAACAATGTAGGTCTGGTGATTCATGAGAGGCATTTACACCTCCTCAGATAGGTAACCATCATCTGTCACCCTGATACGAAAAGCATCATAGCACAGATTGTACCGCGGCAGCCAGCGGATCGGATGAGCTGTAAACAATGCCAGACCTCGTGCTCTGCAAATATGTGTGCAAGTACGACCTCAGTAGCACATGTATTTAAAGAGCCAACCTCGAAAGCTCTTCAGACCTCTACCCAGAGACCAGCAGTGCAAGAGCCAAGATTACATATCAACTGGACCATCCTTCACAACAAGCAGTTGGGCGACACTGACGCAACAAATTCTCTCCGAACCACCACCGCCATCACTGTATGGTAATAGCCATAACCGTCACACACAAGACACAAGATCTCCCTCAGCACCACACACCATGTGCCGGCTCGTGGACCACTACTGCAAGACGTGCAGAACCTGGGTTTGGGGCCCGGAATACGCCGAGCCCTGCGCCAACTTCGCGAAATGCATGAGCATACCGTCGCGGAAGTACGACTCGCGATGTCCGGCCCACACGAAGAAGGTTCAACCGACACCGCCGCCGCCGCCGCCACCACCACCAAAGCCGGTAGACGATAAGAATAAAGGAAAGGAGAAGGAAAAAGCGAAGAAATAGGTTCGATTGTCTTCGCAAAGGGTAGTCTTATTGGGGTGTAGAGAGAGGTATGGCGTGATGGCAACACACTCAGAGGAGACGAAAATATCTATGTGGGTATAGCGTGGAAGCGTTTGATTTTGGGGGATGACTACCCGGGTAGAAAAGGGTGACTATGAAGGGGTATGTACTGAGAGCGGCATGGACGACACTACCTGAGTAAACTACCATGTAGTGAACAAGCAGACATAGAGAGTACTTTTCCCCAAGATCCGTTCTTTGACTTTGTAAGCATCGGAAATACTTTCAAGTCAAGTAAACATATGATAAAGCTACCTACCTAGGACCTTAAATAAGTGGAATTCGAGTGAGCCACGAGAGATGTTTGATCAAGAATCCGGTGTTTGTTGTATACAGGGTAAGTTGTCTCCTCGGTATAACCTAATACAATACAGCTGGAGGTCATCTTTTAGGGGCAAAATCAAATATATGATTGCTGGGTATTGTACAATAGGGGCCAAAAGGCGCTTTCACTCTTCCGTATTAGTGGCCGTAATGTGCTGCGATTGACGTCACTAGCGACTCGTTTTTCGATGCTCCCTTATTAATGTCTCAGCAGTATAGCAAACATCAGCGACAGTGATGAATCAACATCGCCTCAGATCGCATTGTTAACGTTTCCCCAGCCTCATGAAACCAAACATTAGCCATGCCAGTCTATCACAGGCATTCTGCACCTTTACCCGTCGGAGCGGCAGAAATATTGGTAGTAGAGAGATAGCTGGAGTGTTCCCTGGTCCCATCTCTGGTCTCTTCATCTGCAATGCGCAGCGACCACCAATCGCGTTTAAAGCGACGAGAAAGACGACTTATCGCATAGAAATGAAGCGTAGCGCATCAACATCACCAACCTCAAAGACAAGCCCAAAAGCCAAGAAGCCCCGATCAGAAGTACCGGAGTACCACCTGACGCCGTCGGTCCAAGATGAATCGGGGAACATCATATGGCCAGCTCCTGCAGCGCAAATCGAGCGCGCGCGCAATTTCCTCCTAGAGTGGCACGTTCTATGATACATGCACATTTCAACCTAACTAGCGCCCCTAAAACTAACCTTTCTACCCATGTATACAGCGCCTCGGCGAAGAAAAAGACACTGATCGTGCCGGACAAAGACGCCGACGGGCTGACCTCGGGCGCGATCCTGCAAAAGACCCTCGCCCTGCTCGGGCTCAGCCCCGATCTGATGGCGGTGCACCTGCTCCAGAAAGGCAGCAACATCCACGACGAGAAAGAGCGCGCCGCCATGGCCGCCCACAAACCCGCGTACATCATCGTGCTAGACCAAGGCTCCCGCAAATCGCCCCCCATCATCGACGGCCCGCACAAAGCCCTCGTCATCGACCACCACTGGGCATCAGGCGACGACGACTTCCCCGAAGGCGCAGCGCACGTCACGGCGTGCCACTCGCCGCCGATCGCCACGAGCGCGCTGCTGACCTACCACATCTGCGGCGCCCTGCACGACGGCGTGCAGCGCAGCTGCGACTGGCTATGCGCGATGGGGACGCACGGGGACCTGGGCAACACTTTGAAGTGGCAGCCGCCGTTCCCGGACATGAAGGCGACGTTCAAGGCGCACACGAAGAAGGCGATCAACGACGCCGTCTCGCTGATCAACGCGCCGCGCCGCACCGCCACCTACGACGTGCCCGGCGCCTGGGCCGCGCTGACCTCCGCGGCCGCGCCGGCCGATCTGCTCACGAACACCAGCTTGCTCGCCGCGAGAGCCGAGGTCAACGCCGAGGTCCTGCGCTGCACGCGCGCGGCGCCCAGGTTCTCGCGCGACGGGAAGATCGCCGTCTTCCGCATCAGCTCCGCGGCGCAGGTGCACCCCGTGATCGCGACGCGGTGGGCGGGGCACCTGCAGTCGGCCAAGCTCGAGGTCGTCCTCGTCGCGAACGAGGGATACCTGCCCGGCCGCGTCAACTTCTCGTGCCGGGTCCCCCGGAGCGCGAGGGCGCGCGAGCCGCCGGTCAATATTATTGAGGTGCTGAACGGGGTTGCGGCGCGGGCGGCGGATCCGACGTTGCGGGAACGGCTGGGGGAGAACTTTGCGAGGGGGCATAGGGAGGCGAGTGGGGGGATTGTGGAGACGGCGCTGTTCGAGGAGTTTGTGGAGGTTTTGGAGGTTGGGGGGAAGGGGAAGGGGGAGGGGAAGGGGGAGGGGGAGGGGGAGGGTGGGAGTTCGAAGAAGGGTAAGAAGGCCATGAAAGAGTCGGCCCCGACGCAGTCGAATACTTTGATGAACTATTTTGGTAAGGAGGAAGCTGTTGAGGGAAAGACATAGTAAAGGCACTTTCATCCTACCCAGGCAGGTATTTAATAGTACAGTACCTTGGCACCTAAGTACATGATGTAAATCACAGATAAAACGAATAAAAATGAAACTTGACTTTAAGTCATCTGAGGATACAATAAAAATAAAAATAGAAGATAATCTATAATCTAAAACAAACCAACCCACCTCTCTTGTACACGTTACTGCCCGATCGATCCCAATAACAGCTTCACATCATCAAACACACTTTTCCCATAAACTGTCCCACCCCAACCCCGGGCTCCTTCCTAACGATTTAGCCCTCTGCTATATCACATGTTGTATGTATGTATGAAACTGAGGTATAAAAGGAAAAAAAAAAGAGAAAAAAAAGAGGAAGTATATGTGTGCGTGTGTGTGCATATATATGTATGTGTTTGTGTAGATAGGCAGCACACACACTGATATATGTCAAGACTCACAGTTTGCCCGCGGCGCGGAGGCCCTTCTCGCCATCGACAAGGACGCACCAGCCGCCGTGGCCGTTCCCGCCATCGCCCGCGACGACCGCGCCCTCGTACCTGTCCTCCCCCTCCCCCTCCCCCTTACCACCAACGTACTCCAGCACGGCGTCGTCCCACGTGCCGGGCTGCAGCCACACGGCGGGGATGCCGAGCTTCTTCGCCTCCTTCAGCACGGCGAGGGTCACGGGCGCCGGCGTGATCACCGACAGCGACGTGTGCTCCGGGTCCGGGAGGTCGGCGAGAGACTTCACGGTGGGGTGCGCGCCGAAGGGCGTGGAGATGCTGGCGCTCGAGGGGTTGATTGGCGTTACGGGGAGGGAGTGCGCGTGGTACCAGGTAAAGACTTTTGGGGGGGGAGGGGGGTTAGTTGATTATTAAGCATTAATCGGTTCTTCATGCACGGGTCTGAAAGAAGGAAGAATTGATGGCCTTTGTTTGTTTGGTTGGTTGGGAGGTAGGTATGAAATGAAACCATCATCCACTTGGTGCTTACGGGTAATATATAGTTAGGTAGTTATGTTCCCTCGTTTGGCCCGCTTGAGCCGGAACTGAGGAGTGGGATTGAACGAATAGAAGGGACCTTTTGACTTACCCTTGTGGCCGAATTTGGCGGGGTTCGTGCTCGCGCCGACGACGGCGAATTGAGGGGAGTTGAAGAATGTTTTGACGGTTGATTCGGTAGCCATTTTGAACATCAGATTGTGAATTCAATTCAAGTAGGTAGGTAATAGGTTAGGTAGGTAAGGTAAGGTATAGGTAAGGTATAGGTAAGGTATAGGTAAGCTTGGAAATAAAATGTGGTCTGATATATGGTAGGCAATGATTCGGGAAACAAAGAATAAGAAGAGAAGTTAAATGAGTTTGCTTGTGTTTTGCTTGTGTTCTGTTTTAAACCAAAGCAACCTGCCAGTCTAGGTAAGCTGAGTTGAAGATAGCTGAAGATAGCTTATTTCAATTGTTGTTTCAATTGTTGAGCCAGTTGACGTAAATAAATATGGAAGTATCCAATGTTTACTATGTAGAGTTTCGATCTGAGACCGACTGGAGTTCCCTGACACTTTTATCGTGGGCCTTGGCATTTACCAGCTCCGATTTATTGCCTCTTCAACTTCGCCGTTCCCATCAAATGTGACGTGATAACCACGGCTGAGTGTGTTGTGCCTACTTTGAGCTTGACTTGTACGTCGCCCTGTTTTATCTCCCACCTGACCTTTTAGCGTGCTGCCGTGATCCCTGACAACAATGGGACTTGCCGATACATCTCGATGACATTCAGTGACATTCAGTGACATTCATTTCGCTTCTTCTTTCGAGACATTCCAAATCCCACATTGCAAGCTAATCCCCAGACGGCTGGTAGGGTACCTACCTACACTAACGCATCCAGAAACTCAACTTATTTCTTGTTAGTTAGTTGAGAGTTATAATACGCAAGATGGCGACATTCGCGTCAGTTGCGACCTTCCCTTTCCGAGAGATAACATCGCTCACAGAACTACAGCCGGCCAGCATTTTCCGCAAAGACCTACGCAGCCTTTCGGCCCGCTTACCCACCCTCACTGTTCCGCACCGTTCTGCAGTACCATCAGGCGAACGGGAGTGCTAGTACTAGTAGTAGTAACAAGCAGCAGCAGCTGCTGCTGGATCTCGGGTGCGGCCATGGCCTCATCGCGCGCGCTCTCAAGCCGCATTTCCAATCCGTCCTCGCCATCGACCCGTCGGCCGGGATGATCGCCCAGGCGCAGCAGACCACCACCGACCCCAGTATCGAGTTCCGCCAAGGGAGCGCCGAGGACCTCGGCTTCTTGTCAGACGCATCCGTGGACCTGGCCGTCGCGGGCCAAGCCGCGCACTGGTTCGACTACAGCAAGGTGTGGCCGAACCTCGCGCGCGTCGTCCGGACGGGCGGAACCATCGCGTTCTGGGGCTACAAGGACAACGTGATGATGGGCGCCGAGCAGGCGACCGCGATCATGGAGGACCTCGTCTACGGGTTCGGCGAGGCGGCGCCGGGGATACAGAAGATGGGGCCGTACTGGGAGCAGCCCGGGCGCAACATCCTGCGGGACCTGCTACGCAGCGTGCAGCCGCCCGCACAAGACTGGCGCGACGTCGCGAAGCACGAGCACGAGCCGGGGGAGGACGGGCCCGAGGAGGACGTCTGGCTGCGGAAGAAGATGAAGCTCGGCGAGGTCGAGGGGTATCTGAGGACGTTTAGCTGCTACAGCAGCTGGCGCGAAGCACATCCGCAGGTGAAGAGCAGGGCGGATGGGGGGGATGGGGATGGGGATATCCTCGATGTCATGTGGGACCGCATGATTGACTCGGTGCCGGAGTGGAAAGCCGCGGGGGACCGGTGGCGAGAGGTGGAGGTTGTGAATGACTGGGGCACGTATATATTGCTGGCTAGGCGTAAGTAGTTAAACGTTTGTTAAAGAGGTGATTATGAGGAGTGCTTAGGTGTAAATGCCCAATGTTACATAGATGTATTAGCAGCTTAAACATAGATGTCATAGAATGTTTAGGAGGAACTTGAGGGGAAAGTGTTGACACTGAACATTTGTAAAAATTGAGACGAGTTACACGGCATCGGTACCGGGCCAGTCTATCGTGTACAGTGGCTTGGCAATCAGGGGTGGAGGCGCACGCCTCTCCTTGTAAGACCTGCACCAGAGCTGCCCACATACATACCTCTACTTACTGAGATAAGGTGGATTGGACCTACAGAGTATCTCTCGAATTTCAAAAGCACGTCACGTACATATACAACAGTATAATCGGTAGCAAAGCCATAACATACTGAAAATGGCTGGGCCGTGTATCATAGCGCAGCGAGTAGATCATTGATGTACCTAACCTAGTCTAATATAGTATCTACAGCGAATAACCTAATGGCTTCTTGCCCTTTAGCTGGCAATGTAGGTACTGTAAGTTGATCGTACCCAGTCAAGCTCTGGCCTTTCTCTTCGACGCCTCCCTCTCCCAGCGCCGCCCCGCCTCCTCGTGTCTTCAACGTGCACCAGGGCTCACCACCTTGGCATATACCTACCTACCCTTTTGCGCGATGCTTTCAGTCGAGCGGCTCGGGAGCCCAGTGCTGCACTGCAGCTCTCGAAGGTTCTGATCTCTTGGACTGCTGACGTGGTCCGGAAACGGTACCTACTCGATGGCGAGAACCACCGTTCCTTGCCCGTCGTTTGTCTCGTGGCCCCCCTTCCGTCTCTTCCTGATTCCTTTCCCTAGGCCGTGACGCCTTCCGTTGTTGTGTCTCCAAGCTCGTTCTCCTCCGAGGCTGTCCTCTTCTGTCGGGGGCTTGCGCTTCTTGCTCTGTGTTTTTTTTTTTTTTTTTTGCTGCTCGGGTTTGCTGCTCCTGTCAGCTAGGTATCATTATCTATTGGAGCTGGTACGCATGATGCTGTGCAGCCTCGTGGAACGAGATGCCAGATTCGAGAGAATTGGATCGGAGGACATCATGGCCGATGGCCACTCCACCGATCAAGCCTGCGATAGACCTTGCTATCGTGCTCTTCCCAGAACCTACTGCACCAGACAGTTGGATAAAGAGCTTGAGTGAAGTTCTCTGCCTGGACATCTTGCTGTGACTTGGACCATGTACTTCGTACCTCCAGTGGCGAATTGGTGAACTCTATACGCCAAGTAGTATGCTTGAGATAACCGATGCTAGGAATGACGAGAAGAGAAAGATGGGGGATAAGGGGGGGAAGGGAAAGTCTATGCCCAGTAGTCTACACGACAGGTAATCACGCACATACGTACCCTGGAGAGAGTAGGGAACTTGATATATGATTTCTACTTAGCCGATAGAGGTATTTCTGTGCAATGGATATCTCACGCTAGATTCAACCCTCGATTCCTGTACTAAAATAAGCTTCACGCTTGCGAGAGACGTTCTCATCTCCATTTTTCTTTTTCGAATATAACATTGTTCACTACCAAAACCACCAGGCCTGCCTTCATGCGGCCCACGAAATCTAGAAAAAATGGTAACGAAGCGAACAGGGGGCAGTCAGCTATGCACCAGATGTCAGGTCGAGATCGAGAGTCAGAAAGGCTGAAGGCGACGAGATTCCCCACCTAACTACCATCATCGACCTCGTGTAGACTGTCTCCTCTTAACTTTATCCCTCGTGGCTCGTTCGCTCTTCACCCCCTCCCTCCATCCTCTATCGCCACCGAAACAATGACAGTCAGGAGCGTTGTTACGCCTTCAGAGTCGGTGCTGGCGCCGCGCTTGACGGCTGCCTTACCACTGCCTTCCGTAACTTCTTCATGAGTCACTCGACAGATATGTGTGCCAACAATTACATGCCGGAGCGCATCCGTGAATATCTCATCAGGTACCGTTTCGGGGCGGTTGCTGGAGCAAACAATCCGTTGTTCGACCTTCTCCGGGATCTGACTATGCAGAACGACTCTGGCGCCCCCATTGACCCTACCCAGCGTCTATATAGGTACCCTTGTGGTGGTTGATAACTGCAAAAAGTATTTCGCGGAGACTGCTAAGGTCTGCCGGAGCCTCGACAGGGAGAACATTGAAGGTTTGGGGCAGTGGGGCGAATCGGGGCGATACTCCCCAACTTTCAAATTCTCAGCGAAAGCAACGCGCTAAGCCCCCTTCAGCAGTACCTGGTGTACATGTTTCGGCGGTGTGTTACGAATGCCCCGCCTTTGAATTAACCAACATTGAAGACTGATGACTGGCTACGCGGTTGCCCCGTCAATGCCAAAACCCAACATGTATCCACAGTACGCACGCATACAATAGTACATAGTGGACGAGCAAAGACTGCGCTAGCTAGGGGGGCAACCCAATTTCTCTTGTTTCATTTCCATAATCAACTTACATACTTATTCGACTGTTGTCCTTACTCCTCCAGAAAACATCTTCACAAACATTGACTCTTCCTTCTTTGACCTTTTCTACGTTTTTACGTTTTTTGGTTCAGCCCTACATTCCACCCCAACCAACAAATCTTCTTAAAAATGGTGAGTCGATCTTATCTCTTTGTATTCCTTACTATGTACATTTAGTTTGAAGTAAACAGAGGGTTCGCTCCAGTACCCCTCGTAACCCCCAAATCCTGGTTTAGTGCCGGTGTTACGCGATCAGGAAACAGCCAGTCAGCATTTTTTCGCACGCAGTTTGCAACAGCCTTTGCACTGCAGACCGGCAGTAACGGGCGCATTAGAGCGTTACCATCGGCCTTCTTTGGCGTCTTCTCCGAGATGATACAATTCCCTAGAAACAAAACAAAAACCAAGAAAAAAAAACAGCCGTCAAAGACGAATCACTCATCTCAGCCACGGACTCGATTGTTTTATTTCTTTTTAACATTCATCAATTCCTTCGTACTGGGCATAATTTACTCGGAACAATTAGACATACGATAAATCATCAATATGGCCACTAACGATAATCAGGCTTCTACCAACTACAAGGAGGCTTTCTCATTGTTCGACAAGCGAGGCAATGGCCGTGTTACCCTCGAGAGTCTCGGCGATCTCTTGCGTGCTTGTGGACAGAACCCAACCCTAGCCGAGATTCGAGACCTGGAGCGAAATGTTGATGGAGACTGTGAGTAGCCCATTTTGTTCATATTCCAGGTTCTAGAGTTGCTCTCTATGAACAATTGCTTCTTGAGAAGACCAAGCAAGCAAAACGTGGGAAGCATGCGCGATGTACAGAATTGATTATTAACACAATTGGCATTCTAGTCGACTTTGAGACCTTTTCGAAAATCCTAAACCGACCTGGCGGCTTCCGCGACCCCGGCGAGCCGGACGAGTACTGCCGCGGCTTCCAAGTCTTTGATAAGGACATGACGGGCTTTATTGGAGTCGGACAGCTGAAGTACATCCTGACGAACCTGGGCGAGAAGATGACAGATGAAGAGGTGGATGAGCTGCTCAAGGCTGTTGATACCAGTTCAGGACAAGTCAACTATACTGGTGAGTACTGGTTTATTTGACATGATTCAACTCGGTTTAGAAAAGGAGCAATAAGCCACTAACACATTATAGAACTCGTCCGTATTATTCTTGCCAACTAGATATTCCCCCCTTGCGCGTCAACGGAAGCCGGAGTTTAGTGGATTAGAGGTTCATCAGTATACGCACCCGCAAAAGAAGGAAGGGTATAACGCATCGTATCACACCGCATGACATGGCTGGGAGATGATACTGGCGTTTGCTCATTGATATTGATGGGCGGGACTATACGAAATAGGGTGGGCTAGGGTTGGTCTCTTACGATAATCTTTGTACTAGTCCTCAGTGACATGAAAGATACACGACCAAGAAATACATGACTTTGGCGTTCTACGACAGATCAATATTAATAAACCAAAAAGTGCTTCTAAAAATTTATTGCCAGCAGACAAATGCTATAAATGCGTCTCAAGAAATGTGCATGTGCATCTAGCTACGTATCCGGGTACCCTAGCTTCCTAGAAACATTTCCAATACATGATGCTATCACGTAAGTACGAATTGCCAACATATAAATCGAACAGCTCTTCAGTCCTAGCATCTCAATTTCAAATGTTTCTACAAGTGATACGGGATCTGTTTTGAGGAATGTACTACAATTCAGTACTATGTAGGTAGCTACGAAGCACCAGACCACTAATTCTTCACTTTCCAGGTTGTGAATTAGGTACCTACCCTGGTACGTAATCCCCCGCAATCAAGAAAAGGGCTTAGCGGGTCAAGTTTGTGTGGGCTGTCTTGGCTTCGTCACGATCAGCATCAATTTGGTAGGTGCTGTTGGCAACTTACCTTAGGGTACCTAAAGTCACCAGGTAGAACAACGTTTGATATTACCTCTGATTCCGAAACGCGCACCTGCATTTGCCTGCACCTGCATTAGACAAGCAAAGGTGCCTAATACCTTCCTCATATCTACATACGCTAGTAGCAATACCTAAAGAAACTCCGCTGGGCTCATTCCTTTCCTTTAATATTCTTACATACTACCTAACCCTAGGTACCCCTCAGTCGTGATCCAAACCTTTCTTTTGACAGAAAGGTCAAGATAGGAAAAGCAGTCTCTGACGGATCAAGGTGGCTACTCCTATAAGAAGGCGTAACATATCCTTCCCCCTTCTTATACCTGCCTTTCTTGTCCTCTTCCTCGCTATTATTACCTTCAATCTGGCTACCACACGGGCGCTCTCTCGCTTGACATTATATCTGAATCAATTACGTCCCAAGTATTCTCCCCCATCAACTTCTTTTCCTGCCACTGTCTCTCTCACTTCTCGTCGATCCATTATAAACGCCAGCATGGCTCCCGACAAGTACAAGAACCCTCCCCAGGCTCCACCAGCCTTCATAGGGACCAAAGATTCGATTATTGGCGATGCGAAGGCTATTTGCGAAACTACACGGTCTCTACTCGACAAAATTGTCGCAGATATCCCTGCCGACAAAGCGACCTTCACCTCTGTCCTAGCACCAACTGCCGAAGACGAGAATGAGACACAACTGAAGAATCGTATCCTCACATTCTATCAATACGTTTCTGGTAACGCCGATCTTCGTAACGCTTCCACCGAAGCCGATAAAATACTTGAAAACTTCGCTATCGAGTGTAATACGCGTGAAGATGTTTTTCAACTCGTTGATGCTGTCTTTAAGGCCCAAAAGAGCAAGGAACCCAATCTCGACGCTGAGAGCCTCCTATTTCTTGAGAAGGAACACAAAGGCTATATCAGGAGTGGACTAGGGCTGCCCAAAGGCCAACCAAGAGATCGCTTCACAGAGATCAAACAGCGACTCAGTCAGATCTCCATTGAGTTCTCCAAGAATCTCAACGAGGAGAAAGGTGGTATATGGCTCACTAGGGAAGAATTGGATGGTGTTCACAGTGACGTGCTTGACGGCCTGGAAAAGGGTACTGGAGAGAACGAAGGAAAGCTTAAGCTCAGCTTCAAGTATCCCGATATTTTCCCTACCCTAAAATTTGCCAAAAACCCGGAGACGAGGAAGAAAGTCTTCATAGCTAATGAAAATAAGGTTCTTATTTCCCCTTACTTACGTTGGAAAGCACCTAAAGGGGCAGACTGAGCTAACTATGTTCAACAGACAAACCAAAACGCGCCTCTGTTTAGGGAAACTATCCTACTACGTGACGAGGCTGCGAGGATCTTGGGCTACCCAAACCATGCTGCTTTCCGCATAGAAGATAAGATGGCCAAGTTGCCAGAAACGGTAAATGTTTTCTTGGCAGACCTTCGAAAACGCCTTGCACCTGGTGGCGAGAAGGAAAAGGCACACCTCCTGGAGCTGAAGAAGAAGGATGAGGAATCAAGAGGTCTGAAACCAGATGGCAATTACTACCTCTGGGATCATCGATTCTACGATCGGATGATGGTAGAACAAGAATATAGCATCGACGAGGTCAAGATTGCCGAATACTTCCCACTGCAAAGTACTGTGCGGGGGATGTTACACATCTTCGAAGAACTATTCGGCCTGGCATTTGTCGAATTAGATGCTGATGAGCGGAAAAGACTGTCGCCGACTGGTAAAGCCGAGGATATTACATGGCATGAGGACGTTATTGTCTTCTCTGTTTGGGATGACAGTTCTGAGGGGGATGGCTTCAGTGGCTATCTCTATCTCGATTTACACCCGAGGGAAGGCAAGTATGGTCACGCTGCTAACTTCAATTTACAGCCTGGCTTCGTCAGGAAGGATGGCACACGCAGATATCCTGCCACGGCTCTAGTGTGCAATTTCTCCAAGCCCACGGAGAAGAAACCCTCGTTGCTGAAACACGACGAAGTGGTTACGCTGTTCCACGAGCTCGGGCACGGTATCCATGACCTGTCTGGCCGATGCACCTACAGCAGATTCCACGGAACATCGACAGTTAGAGATTTCGTCGAAGCTCCTAGTCAGATGCTTGAGAACTGGTGTTGGACACCTAGTCAGTTGAAAGCACTCTCAAGTCACTACGAGACCGGCGAGAAGATTCCCGATGAATTGATCGAAAAGCAAATATCTACCAAACATGTAAACGACGCGCTATTTAACCTAAGACAATTGCATTTTGGTATCTATGACATGCAAATACACTCACCTGCTACGCACGAGGAACTCGAAGCGGTCGATTTCGGCGCATTATATAATGAACTTCGCAGCGAGATCGCTAGTCTCAAGGGTCCCGAAGCTTTGGGGGAACCGAGGTATGGATGTCTTCTATTTAGTCTCAATACTGGAGTTTACATTACTGACATGTCTAATAATAGCACCTGGGGTAATGGTCAAGCTACCTTCGGTCACCTCATGGGAGGTTATGATGCAGGTTACTACGGCTACCTGTCTTCACAAGTCTACAGTACAGACATGTTTTACTCGGTCTTCAAGAAAGACCCAATGAACGGAAAGGAAGGTCGCAGGTATCGGCATACCGTTCTTGAGCGCGGTGGTAGTCAAGACGAGATGACCACGCTTGAGCAGTTCTTGGGCAGGAAACCTAGTAGCGATGCATTCTACGCAGACCTGGGCCTCACTGCTGCAACAGTTGCTTCTACCGCATAAGGTAGGATAGTATATACTACTAGGTACCTAAGGATCGAGGTTATTAAGGCCTATTTCAAAGGCCTATGATAAATTCCCTGAAACATCGATCGAGTATCCCAATTCTCTTGGTAGCCATCTCCCCTATCAACCTCTAAACTATGAATACCTAGTTAGTTTATGAGATAATAAATGCCATGATAACTGATGAACGGGAGAGCCCATCAAAAATTTGCAGCTAGTAGCACAAGTCCCAAAGCTAGGTAAGTTGTGACTTTTCTTACCGTGTTGGCCCCTTTTTGGAGCAGGTGGGGATTTGGAACGTGATCTATACCCAACATGACTTTTTAAGCCTCCGTAGCACCTATTTCAATCCACCAATTATCAGCCAATATTACTTCTGGTATCATAAATCATATCTAATATGAAGCTCAGCTTTAATTGTATCTACTATTATTTTACAGCTCTCTGAAGTGGGATGTGGTGAAGATGCCTAGGTACTCAAATTTCAAAAGGTGATGATTTAGGTAGGTTAGATAGATGTAAATCACGTTCCGAATCCCTACCTACCCATTCTTCCAAAAAAAAAGGGGGGCCGACACGGTCACCACAAGAGGAGGTTAATAGGTAGTCGAGGGGTCGGATTTTTTCCCAAGCTTATAAAAACTCTCGTATTCACCGAAATAATAACCTATATGACAATCTAATGAAGAATACCTAATATCTCTCTACCACATCTTTTGCCTGATACCTAAAACGAGCGTGTTCCGAACCAGTTCTTTGTACAATGGGATTCTAGTACATCCAAAATCTCTGGCTGCTACTTTTTATCTCTCGCTCCTTCTTTCTTTCTTTCCCTTATCCTTCTCCTCGTGTTTTTGTTTCCCCCTTTCCCTCACATTTGCTTAAGTACCTACCTTGGTTTAGGTAAGGGTTTAGGCAACATTTTGGTTTTGAAAAGAGGGAAGCAAGAAGCGGGGAGAAGAAGGAAGTAAGGTGGTGGGGAAAGGGGAAAGGGGGAAAGGGGGAAAAAAGCTTTTTTTTTTAGTTGGTGCGGCCGAGAAGACGGTTGGCGACGTCGGAGACGTAGGCGGGGGTGGCGCCGCGGCCGTCGCTGAGGTCGTGCTCGTTGACGGAGCCGGAGTTGTACTCGCGCAGGGCCTTGTAGATGCACTCGGCGGTGTCGGTGTTGCCGAAGTCCTTCAGGTTGCCCTTGAAGTGGTTGGTGCCTGCGCGCACCATCGAGGTGATTTCGTCCTGTTTTTTTTGGGGGGGAGGGAGTTGGTTAGTTTGGTTGGTTGGTTGGGAAAAGGGGTGAGTTGGAAGAGGGATGGGAGTGGGATGTGGGAGGGGGAGTGGGAGTGGGAGATATATACCTGGGATAGACCGTGGCGGCCGGGGAAGCCGGGGCTGCCGTCACACTGCATGAGCCCGGCGGTGCCGTGGCCGTCGGCGTTGACGGTGGTGCGGACACCGACGTTGCCGGTGCTCTCCTGCATGATGATGGCGAAGATGACGCTGATGTTGATTAGCCGTGGCTTCCTTTCTTTGTTTTTTTTTCTTTTTTCTTTTCTTTTTTTTTCTTTTTTTTTCTATGGGGGTGGTTTCTCTGGGGCTGCTTACCGCTCCTCAACACCGATCTTGGCGCATTCCTTGACGGCGGCGTAGATGTGGTCGATGTCGCTGGGGGTGTCACCGGTCTTGCCCATCTCGGCCTTGTTGGCGCTGAAGATCTCGTCGAAGGACTTCCATTGGTTCTTGGGGGGGAACTTGGAGGCGTCGCCGGCGTAGTGAGTGAAGCCCATTTTGACTGATTTGTTTGTTGAAGTAAGGTAGATTGTGTGTTAAAAGATGCTGTTTGAGCTGTAGAGTGTAGTTTGTTTGAAGCTGGTTGTTGATCGTGGATGCTGCGAGTGATTATTTCTTCTTCGCTGCTGGTTGGAGACTGCCCCCTTTATACCCTTTTTTTCTTCATGTCGTCTATCCATGAGCCATCGCCGACAAAGGCCGGGTTGGGCAATACCCAGACGGCGTATCATAGGTACCTGGTGGTTGTCATCGCCAGTCTTACCCTCGGTGAGAGCTAATATTGATTTTTCTGGTGGTGTAGAGGCGGGCGGGAGAACCTCGTGGCCATGTTGATGAGACATCCTCGCCACGTACTGTCCAGGGCTTTCTTTCGGTATAAGCTCTCCCTTGTTTTGTTGCTGTGGTACTAACCGACCTATGGTCAGGGGGTCTACTCTCTGGTCCTTCGACATTTGCTCTGTGGAAGATCTATCAAAATATTGCTGACTCATTGGGGTTATTGGGGCCATATGATCTCTCATTGTCGACCTTCGCCGGCGCAGCCTTGCTACACTTACCTAGGACGGATCTCACCTTTGGGAGCTTCAATATATTGGATTGCTTTGAGTGAAATCATTGAATGTTACGTTATTGGATGATTAGATATTAGGTCATCCTTGAGGCTCATCCCGACAGCTGATAGTTACCTAATAGAATCCTTCATGATGCTGTTTGCCCTGCATCTTAGGTGAGCTATCGCTTATTTTGGTAGGTACTAGGTAGGTAGATGAGGGAGGGAGGTACCTGTCTATGAATTCATGTGTATCTGGTAGGATACAGGTTGTACTCGTTGAGAATAGAATCAAATCATAACTTAATCCTTACTACCTCTGAAGGGACATATATCACTTTGAAATTTTATTGTTCGGTGTAGGTAAAAACTTAACCTAGGGGGTCCCTATTCTGGATTCGATATTATAGCTGATCCTCTTTCATACATCTAGGTGTAAGTCGTACCTAGCTAGGTACGTATCACTTGATAACTGCCCAGGCATACTGTCTCGCCTCCCAGTTAGTTACGGCGCAAGTGTTCATGGTGTGCAATTGAAGGATCATAGTAGGTCAGCCTCAATCAATACCGAACGTGCATGTAAGCAATGATGCTTATTTTCCTTTTTAATGTGATAAATACGTGCAATGAAGCTCAACCCAGCCCCGCTGCTTACCTAGGTGTATATGACATCCCCAGGCTGGTGAGAGTTGTACCTGCATGTCACTTGACGGAGAAAAGGGGATAGCCGGGTACAGTAAGGATTTTACGACAGTACTAACTGAGAGACATGATCTCATGTGACTACATATATGTACTAGTACTGAAGTACTATCGTTAGGTAATTGACAGGATCGCCTCTCAGACTGATTAGGTAGTTGGTAGGAGTACGGAGCAAGGCTGTCGTAGTTATTTCCGAATGACTTCTTGAGGAGCTGAGGGTTTGGGTTCTGACTATGTGGTTACTAGGTAGATACGTACAATACAAGGTAGGTAATCAAGGGGCTATTTATATGTCTGACCCCTCCATCAATTGATAAACGCCCGACTTACACCATTTTCCTGATTAGAGCATTGGAGATGTAATGCCTACCTCGGCAATGAGTTGGATCACTAATTGTATTGTAGAAAAGGCGAAGATGGCGATGTTGATGCCATAGGACAACTAGTAAATATGACTGCATTAAAGTATGAGGTAGGCATGTGTAAATGCAAATGTAGGTATCGAGGCAGCAATGCAATCTTTTCATCCAACTTCAGGTATGTAGTAGTATTAAATATAACAATGCTTTGCTACAGTATGTAGATTCATTGTTGATTGTTGCTAGGGGCAGGATCAATTATTGGTGTGATTGCCTAAATTATGTAGCTCCGGAAGCGAGCCAATATTGCACATTTTTATATAATATTTTGCGTTTTATCATTCAAGTTTGTACAACATTGATGGTTGATTGATCACCAACATTTGAAGTTATGAGTTAACTACGGCTGTTCAATTGTCCCTAGGTGCATAGTACGTAGGAATAACTATGGCACTGTGCAAGCTGCTTAGTGGGTTGTTGTACACGGGTGTGGGGCCGATTACAAGGGTGGGTCCGTATCTGAAATCTGAAAGTAAACAAGAACGCGATCTGACAGCCAATTAAGAATTCAACAACCAAATTTTGCAACTTCGTCCGACTTGACTCGACTTGTCTTGTATCCAACCTGATCATTTAGCAATTGCAACTCGACCATAACTCGAGTAATATACGGCACTTTCTAACCATTATCCCTTTAATTTTTCTCCACGATTTACAGTATCGAATAGCTTTTACGTGTATGCGACAATAACGTATCCCCCACCATCAAAACACATCTCGTCCATAACGCGCTGCTACTGGCATATTGCGCCGAACCTAGACATTTTCCCCCGGCTAATATAAGCTTGCGATTGCTGTTTATACAATGGAGGAGGACGATACACAGGATATCTACTTTACCTATGAAGGTAGATTAGCCTCGTTTAAGTCGTCGCACCCCGCCGGGCGACGACCCTCGAATGCCAAAGGCAAGGCCTCAAAAGCGACTGGTTGGCCACATAAAGAATTGGACCCAAAGAACGTGAGTAATCGTCCACCTATCAAGGAATGAATCCCCAATTCCTAACGAATGGATCCCGAGCAGTTTGCTTCAGCCGGATTCTACTTCGAACCTACGCCTCAAGCCCCAGACAACACCATATGCTTTCTCTGCCTTAAGTCCATCGCAGGATGGGAAGAGAACGATAGCCCTGTGGAAGAACATCTGCGTTTATCACCTCATTGTGGCTGGGCTATTGTAGCAGCCATCGATGCAAGCCTTGGAGATTATGCATTGGATGACCCGTGCGAGCGTGGGATGGTCGAAGCACGGAAAGCTACTTTTGGTGGACGATGGCCACACGAAGGAAAGAGGGGTTGGAAATGCAAGACTAAACAGGTAAATATTTGCTCATTAACCCCTACCTGAAGCAAAATTTTTACTGACTTAAAATAGCTCGTTGATGCAGGTTGGAAGTACACACCAACGGCGGAGTCTGACGACATGGCCACTTGTACCTATTGCTCACTTGCTCTTGATGGCTGGGAACCAAAAGATAATCCATTGTAAGTAAACCTACCTTCCTAATCGGACATATATTTCACTAATGCACTGCAATAGCGATGAACACTATAGGCGATCTCCAGGCTGTCACTTCTTCGAGTTGATGAACCATTACAAATCAGGCCCGGGAAAGAAGAAGGGTAAAGGTAAGGGAGCCAGAGCCTCTCAGTCATCCAGACTCTCTGCCCAATCAATCGCCACCACAGCAGCATCGGATGCAACATCTTTTTTGGAACACCATGGTGATTACGACGACAGCATTATGACAACTACGTCTGTCATGACCCAAGGTGGCACGAAACGCCCTAGGGCAAAGAAAGGCACCACTGCCAAAGGCAAGAAAGCTAGAGCCAAGAAGGAAGAAGCCGTTGAGGTGCTTGAAGACGAACCTGAAGTGCCAGAAGAACAGCTACCTCCGGCGCTGCCAAAACCCACTCGCGGACGCAAACGAGCCAGCGATACTATCGATGATTCGGTGCTAACCGCAACGGAGGCCCCAGCGGCCAAGAAGAGAGCTACACGCACTCGCAAAACGGACAATGTCGAATCATCTATGGTCCAAGAACTGGACCAGGACATGGATGATGTCAAACCTGCACCTAAGTCGAAAACCAAGGCCAAGAAGGGCCGAGCTACTACCACTCGCGGCAAGAGAAAGGGCTCAACAGCATCAACTGTATCAAATACCTCGTTTCACGACGAAGATGCTGCTGCCATGGTTGACGACGAGGAGCTTAACCGACAATTAGAAGCTGATCTTGATCGACCCTTATCAGATGACGAAAACATCGCGGCTGATTCAGATTCAGACCGTAAGAAAATCCCAGCGAAATCAAAGGGCAAGAAAGTAGCTACAAAGAAGGCGGTTGATGTGGATGATGATCAGCAAAACGATGATCGAGCAATGTTCGATCCTGCTCCTCCCAAGATTGACGAGGATGCCGTCAATGCCGAGTTGACAGCTTTAGAGATTGAGATGGAAGTTGAGCGAGCTGAGATTCAAGCTGAGACCCATCCAGCTCCCAAGAAGGGTCGCAAAGCCGGTACCAAAAAAGCTCCGAAACAGACCAAGAAGGTCAAGGAGCCTGAACCTGTTCAACCAGAACCAGAACCGGAGTCAGAAGCTCAGCCAAATATCGAGACAGCAGCTTTCGATGAACTGGCTGAGGGCCATGACATGAGTATTATCAGTAACGGAACCTTGGTCCGAGCTAGCTTGTCATCCAACGCCGCCCCTAAGAAGCGCGGTCGACCCAGTAAGAAGGCCACTATGGTAAACTCCGATACACACTCGGATGAGCTCGCCGATTCCGATACTAGAGCGCAGCCCACGTCCCAGATAAAGCGCGCCAGCCTTGGCGAAACCGGGAAGAAAATGGTTGTAAAGATGACGGCACGGCCTCCGCCTGCAGCTCCATCTTCACCAGCAACAGATAACCCAATACCTGCGGCTTTAGATGAGCTAGATCAATCCCAGCCTCCTTCAACCCCTCCCAGGGCTGCAATATCCCCGGCGCCAGCCGCGAAGCAGGCTGCAATATCACCGTCACCAACGCCACAGTCATCTGACGCTGAGAATGAACCTCCTTCTTCAAAGCCATCCACCACTACCACCAGCAGCCGAGTCGCCTTAGCTCCAGTTGCTGTAACTCCCGTGCGAACCTCACCATCGAAGCGCAATATACTGGCAGGTTTACAAAGTAGTGTCCCCTGGGCTGCCGTTGACGTTGACATGATTTTTGAGAATCTCGACAAGGAGAACTCCCTGGCTCCTGCAAAGTCTCTAAGAGGTGGAGCAGACCTCACCAGCCCCGAAAAAGTGATGACCGTCGAGGAGTGGATCTACTACAATGCTGAAGACGCTGAGAAGAAGCTCAAGCATGAGTGTGAGGCTATGGTGACGACTTTTGAAAGAGAAGGAACTAAGGCTATGCAAGCATTAGAAGGTCTGCTGCTTGAGTAAGCAGGGCTACTTTTTCATTACGAGTTTCTCTTGGCTTTGAATACTTTCTTTTCGCCTGGTTATCATTTGTTGGAGTAATCATAACTCAACAAGGAAAACAAAATAGGACTGGCTGGGCGCTTAGCGACGAGATTATGTCGGCGTTTAATGGTTTGGCTTCGGATGGCAAGATTGTACATAGTATGGAACTGGTGGGGTACTGCTCATCATTACTGTTTGTCTGTCAGTAGATGCATAATATGAAGAAATGCACATAATGAGGCTTAGGTACGTGAGCAAATAAAACTCTTAATGCATAGATAACTATCTGTTAAAGAGTAGTTATAATGTGTTGGGCCTTCTGTTCTCAATTCATTTCGAGATTTTAATGCGAGTAACGAAAAGTCATGGTTATCAATCATGAGTCTCAGTTGCTTTAATGAAGAAAAGCACGCAGTAAAAGCTCATGCCATAACCCATAACGTTGGCCATGTCGATAACAAGCCTTTGTTAATCGGGACGCTAAGGCTAGCAACTCCAGGGGTTAACATCAAAGCAGCCAATAGGAGGCTAGCGTGCTGCCCTATTCGGCAATTTGGTCATTGCGCCATACTACAGTGGGGTGTTACGATCAGTAGACTTCAGCCTCCATCTACACTACAGCAAGGTTATAGGCTGTGATCTCTAACTCAACGTCCCATTAAATTGCGCTGCCCTAGTGGTGCGGCTTTAGATATTGACATCCCATCATTTATGTTTACTTACTAGGTGGGTTTTAAGTGGTATCTACCTAGGTATGGATGATATACGTAGAACGTGCAATAAGACCGATACGATTCATTGATCACCTCTCAACCTCTCAAAACTAACGATGTTATAAAATAGTGTCACGTAAAGAAAAGAATAGAACAGTAAAGAAAGACACGGCATAAATTGGGGAACGTATCACAATGCCTTCAAGACCAAAAAACTATTACCTACACATCATGAGAATTCTTCTTGTGTCCTTGAATCATGCCCTCCCGTGCCACTATTAACCTTTCAACTTCCAACTTTCTGGCCTCTGATATTCAATAAAGCCAAGGAGACATGGCGGATGTCTTGGTCTTGTGCATCGGGCTGTACATACCTAGTCACACGGCGTGGCAGATATGGGCGCAGTCCGATGGGGTTGAGTCCGCCGCACTTGTAGCAGAAGCTCCGGCCGCAGGGGTGCATCTGTAGAAGAGGGCTGGTTAGCTGGCTTTCCTTTTGAATCCCGTCGTGAGATAGAGTGGATGAATGAGTAGGTTCGTAATTGAACAAATCCAAAAACAGCCCCGGAACTGAAAAGAAAAAACCCCCCACCCACATCATGTGGCTACAACCCCGCCCCCCCTCTCAACCAAGCTCCGCCAACCCGCACAGCGCCCCCTCCAGCACCCCCCTCCTCCTCCTCCTCCCTCAAACACCTCCTCGTCGCAGCCGCCCCAGTGCGCCTTCCGCCCGCACACCCTGCACGTTTTTCCTTCTGCAACTCGCGCAATCAGCACAGTCAGCGGGTCGGCGTGGTGATTTCTTCAAGCTTGAGGAAGGCGGAGAGGGTGGATTTTTTGTTTTTCGAGGAGGTAGCGGCATTTGGCGGGGACGGAGGCGTGGCAGGGGAGGACGGAGAGGGAGCGAGGAGAGGCAGGTTGCGCAGGGGGGAGCGGCTGGTTTGGCGGCGGCTTCGGGTGGTGCAGTGGGCGCCGCGGTGGCCGGGAGGCGGGGATTCGGATGCCATTTTTTCGAGATTTTTTTTTTCTTTTCGGTGGGATTTATTTAAAGAGTGATGGTTTGTCAGGTTGTGTGGAAAGAGCGGTGGTGATTAATTAACTAACACGAGGCCGGAGCGGGTTTGTGTGGGAATGGCGTCGTAGATAGATCGGCTTGAAGAAGAGCGTGGTGATGTTTTTTTTTTTCTTTTCTTGCAACTCGTGCGTATAGAATTAGCAAAGATGTGCGCGGGGGGAGATCAGAAAATAGGTATGTGAGAAGAAAATCAATGTGTGGAATGGTCTGATGGTTGAAAGGTATTCGGAGCGATGCTGGCGGCGGTTGATACCCCTATCCAGACCCAGAAGGGAAGAGCCGCACTAAAATCGAACGATGGGTGGGATGTGCATCTTGTACCTTCCTACGCAGGCCTTTTTTGCGAGCAGATTCATAGATCCCTTCTAGGTACCTTACATAAAGGTCCTACGGAGGTAAGTACCTGCCTTCTACTTCTAATGATCTGATATCACTCTGGATAAGTTTATTGCCTCTATTGTATTGCATTCAACCTCGGCTCCGTAAAGTCGAGGGAAGCGATTTGTATAAAATTTCCTTTTATCATATGAGGTCTTTCTGACATCAAATAGGCGCTCATAACCTGTTGCAGCATAACTGCAACTAAGACGAAGGACAAAGGAAGGAAGTCATATGGCCTAGTGGAGCCTATGGTGCCTCGGGCACCTGCAACATCCAAGTACCTACCTAACTGGAGGTTTGAGGGTCGTGTCCATAGGGAAAGGGACTTCTGTGGCCGGAATTTCCTCAGTGTGCCTCTTGTAAAAGCTATTCATGTTTAGAAATAAAAGTGTATGAGCGTCATATGTAGGGAGGCATAGATATATATATATGTATGTACTCTCATTCAAGCTTACCTGCCTAGGTAGGTAGGTACCTACTAGGTAGTAGGTATACCTAGTATATAGCTGAGATACATATCGAACCAAAAGGAATAACAGTACTTTCAGCTACATTTCTTCATATACCTATGTAGGGCTCAACATACTAAAAAGGCCGCTTGCCCCTGTTTCTCTGGGTACCTAGGTAGGTACGAAAATACGCGTTCCTTCCTTACCATCTAGGTAGATAAGAGTGCCTACACCTGCCTTCATAAGTGAGTCAGCATATGGTAATTATTTGCTAAGTATAACCTGTTATATTTAGATAGTATGATCATTACTTCAATGCCATTTTTGACAGCAATAGGTAGTATATTACAGCATACTCTACTAGTTATGCGGAAGATTGTTTATAAAATTAAGTACCTACTAGACGAGAGTATATCATCGATACCAGACCTAGGTACTATTAGTTCAGTTTCGTTGGCTATGAGATGATTTACATTCAAAATAGATTAACCGTCTCTTATTAAGAAATGTAGGTAATGCTTTGAGCTGTGTTATATACCCAGTAAGAAATAGGGCTATTTGCAGAGCGCTCAATTAGTGATTTTCTTTTAGTACTTAGTCAAAAGAATAGCAACACCTCTTGTCCTTGTTGTAGTGGTGGGTTCAGTTACGAAAGCAGCGAGATAAATGTCCAAGCCTTGCAGCTATCAGGCAAATAGATCTCTACCTCGATCAGTGTTCCCTCTTGTCCCTCCTCTCCTTGCAAATCTCTGGACCTATCGTAGCACCTCCATTATCATCCATCCTAGCACTGAAATCGTGACTGGGTAACCCAATTGCACATTTGTGTGCCGACACAGCTACAACACTTGCACGCCTATACCAATTCGTTAGCATATACGCCACACAAAAGCCTCAGTTGTGCGCAGATCTTGCCTTCAAGGCCCTCTCGTCATTTGTCGTGCCGCCAATACATGAGAGTGTCTGATTGTTCCTGAAGCGGAACTGGTTGTAGCAGGCGTTGGCGTTGATAACGTCAGCACAGTCGTCGGTCGCTGCGAGCTCTCGAGTACATTCAGGGAATTGTTGGCCGAGAACTAAAGCGAGCCAGAGAGATACAACTGTTGAGGATAGCTTCATGTTGAGTGCTAGTGAGTGCTTCTTCACCGAAGGTGTTGAAAGTGGCCTAGGTAAGCACGACTGTTAGGTTAGGTATTATAGAAATAGGTTGATAGACATCAATTTTAGATATACCAGTTCGATCTAGCTAGCACATAGTGCCCACGGTTTATCAAGCTCTTGGTGTCCTTAAATTGTTGATTTTAGCCGCTCAAGTCAACCACAGCACGGACACACCTGCTTCTAGATATGTGTAAGTGATAACTAAGAATATATCCTCCGTCCTCATTCGCCAGAAATAGTAGATTTTTGATTTGACTTGGCCGTTATATTGCGGGGCTAGCAAATAGGGGGTCCGGGGTAGGTCGTTCCGCAACTAACCTGCCAGGAGGTATTGTGGTTGATTCATTCCAGATTTTGCAGGGACTTTATCTACTTGGTACGGGAGTTGACATTGTATGTAAATCTGCATAATCTTATACTATTCCCTGAATACCTAGTACCTACGTAGTAGACAACTACCACATGTGGTCCAGCAGATTTTAGCCGGGGAGGATAGTGCTGACGGGAGGCTGATTCTTCAAAGTGCCTACATCCGTACTAACTACGACACCGTCTTATTCGCGTAAATTACTACATCTAGCTTAAAATATATAAGGCCGGATTGCCCGTATCGACGAGATGTTTATGCCTCACCGTCTCATATCACGTGTGATCCCTGATGTGGGAGCTCTTTGGACCCTCTCCTGATTGACTTGACGCGACCTTGAACTAAACCAACTGCAACCAAGTTACAACCAACCAACGGATATGAATTACTGTCGTCTTCAAAAACTTTACACTGTACTAAGAAAATGATTTATTGTTATTGAAAGAAATTCTGGGTTTTCTACCCAGCATATTATGTTGCAAAATAGTCATTGTAAAGTATATCAAGTACAAGGCACCTGCTGCCAGATGGAATCGCACAAAGCTGGCCGACCTTTCTCATGCCATCCAACAACATCCCAAAGACTCAAACCGGCGTGATGTTAGGATTGAGTGTTGGGTTAGACCTTTGCACGGCACGGCACGACACTAGGTCCCGCCATTAGATAGAAATAACACGTAGAGCTGTTGGCGCTGGTAAGAAATGATGTTCGTTAAAACATTAAATTTTAGTGTCCTTCAAAGTGGAAAAACAGAGGGGGATTTTGCCGCTAACATCTATCTTGCAAGTCCAGTCTCTCTAGATGTTATTACAAAGATGGTCACCAGCACTTCCAACTGTCTTTTTCAATACCTTTTTAATGCTTGTTGGCGCCACCGACAATGACACAAGCAGGGGCTGCTATGAGGCGGGACTTAGAAGATATAGAACAGCATCATTGCTACATGGGGAGCTCTAACCTAACATCTGCCTGGGGACTACGGAGGCCCCATATATAGGTACCTACCGAGTACCTAGGACATACAGCTACATGTATCACTGCCTTAGCTAGCCTGCGGGTAGACTCTTGGCAGTGGTTCACAGTCACAAACTTCGGCCATGATGGCTTATCTTTATTGTCACGTGCCATGAATTAAAGGAGAAGAAGCGGTTGTATGGATGAAGTTGTTCGTAGGGGGTCAACTTTCAGGAATCACAGGGAAGAATTATCATTAGACTCTGCCTGAGTAGCTGCTGGGCAGTTGAGCATACGAGATTGGTGGTATCGGCATTGTAACAGATACAATAAAATACAACGAAAGGACAAGAAAGATAGAAGGGCTTTTCTTGTACCATTACAATATCTTGGAACTCAATCCAAATTCATAGCCGGAAAGACAAAAACAAGAAACAAATGCTTTGTTTAAATATAATATGTCCTCAGAGTTGCCGCATAGTGTTCTCATCATTAGGTAAACAAAAGACAAGGGGAAAATTGTAATGTTAGATAGATTTCATTAATAGTATTTTTTTTTAACTTTATCGCTTTATGGAAATGTGAAAATAAAGAGTGCCGCCTTTGGAAATGCCTAGCCCGATTCAACAACAGCGTTCAGTCTTGGTAAGGTAGGTGCCAAAGCAAAATGAGAGTAACCAAATAGAAGGAGAGACTATACAACCCCATTCAGTGTTCAAGTGTCAACCCAGAAGCAATTCATGCAACATCCGTTACGTCAACTAGATCCGCATAACAACTTCCGTGAACAATTTATTCTGCACCCTACCTAAGCCTCAGAATCATGACTGTCATGAGAAACCCCATCAAAGAGAACTCCATGGAGCTACTTTCCTTCAGCAGTGGTATTTGAAGGATCGTTTCACCTCTGGAGACGATTGGATATGTCTGTAGCTGCTAGAAGCGCAGTGTCTGCTGCCTCCCGTGTTAAGAGCGAGTTTTGCATGAGGGTGTCCAAAATCGCCACGACGTATGACTTGTACTCCAATTCCCGTTTACCTACTACTGGAGGGGGGGGAATAGGGTTGATTGCAGCTTTAACGTCGTCATAAAAAGTCTGAGGGACAGACCCCACCCATGCGAAGTTGTCACGCCGATTAGAATCTAGTGAATCAACTTCCATGGAATATATGCGGTATCGTCCAGTCCCTGAATCTAGGTAGATTTCCCAAATCTTCCACTTTGAAACTGACCGAAGATACATAGAAAAGGCCCATTTGACCACATCATTCTCTGGTTTCCAAAGCAAAATTTGGAAATCTATAGTATCCCCTTCTGGCTGAGGTGGGGCATTTGACACCCCAGAAGATGACTTTCTTATATCAAGCGATCCCATATTTCGTTGCAAGATACGAGATGATAAAAGTTTTGCTGCCCACTAGGAACCGTCTCTCGTAGTAGGTCTTGATGATGCCCCTTGGTAATGGTGGGTAATATGAATAGGCACCTAGTTGACCGGATTTTAGCTCAAGCTTTGGCTTAGATGCTGCACAACTATCTCTCAAAGGATATTCGAGTGAGGTAGTAGGTGGTTTGATGTTTTATGATACTGGGAAAAGTTCAAAAAATCTTTCATCAGAGGTGAAGCAGCCACTTTTATAAGTTTTTTCTCGTGGTAATGTTCATGAACATACACACCTGAGAACTTTGTTTTTCCACATTGTTTAACAAGTTGATTGATCAGTGCCTAATAAGCCGGGATCTACTTTTATTCTGTTGCAGTACAACTGCAACCAAGAAGAAGGAAGAGGAAAGGAAGAAAGCTTGCTTTATTCCTAACTACAATGGTGGAGTGCCAATATATGGCCATAAGGGCCATATGGCTCTAGTGGAGCCTAAAGGTGCTTGAGGCACCTGCAACATATTCCATTTTCATGAGACGATTAGATCTGGAGAGATACAGCTAACCTAGGTAACTACTAGGTGCTTAAACAAATGACTTTGTATATCATTCAGGGGATGCTGGATTACATAATCATGGAAGCTTTGTACCCAGTCTCGTGACTATACCATGGTCATGTGACCACCTTGTTCCTACATCCTGATAATGATAAATAACAGATGGACCGTTTTCTAGGTAAAATGAGTTACTTACCCGTTTGTAAGTTCACCTCTTGGCAATCCACGAATCCACGGAACAGTACTACGAAGTTATGTAAGCTACCTGTCTTACCTAGCACTTAAATAGACACCTTTCCCACAAGAGATGCTTGGCAGCCATGCTTGAACATCATGACAGAAACTCATCTACCGGTCAGAAGTCAAGATCAGGTTCATTGATACCTCACAATCATCAACTGTTCGGGCGGGGCTACCATCAGCGTCTTTTCCCCAAACGGCGGCGCGCCTCGATACCCATTCGCGTGCAAGTCCCGAAGCAGTAAATCTTTTCCACATTACCCGGAATCAGGGAGAGCCCGCTCGCCAATGGAAATTCCATCTGAAATTAACAACCAATCTTTTCTGACACTGAAAGTGCGCTAGCTGCTTCCATCAGGTATGAGGGAGACGGCAGTGGTGTACCAAGAGGTCGGCCGTCATCATGGATAAGATCACGACTATCGCCGACCCTTAGGTACCGCTCCCCGTTTCCGCTTCAAATCCAAGGATATCATCTAATTGGTAAACCAGGTAATAGTTATGCCAAACATGCAGTTGAACGCCTTCATCGCTGCCCTAGGGCTATTCGCGCCCGCGAGCGCGCTGCTTCGATTTGGCTGCTCAGGCTTGACGGTGCAGCGTCTGGACCCCTTGGTCAATCCAGGAATGAACCCATCGGCCCATCTTCATCAGATCATTGGAGGCGTACGTTTTCTATATCTTGTTGCATCTCAAGATTCAATGGTCCTGTCTAATGCCTAGCAAATAGAATTCATTCAACGCGTCGATGCCCGCGGAGTCGCATGATCTTGCAAAGCTTTCCACTTGCACGAGTTGTCAGTTCACAGAAGACTTCTCCAACTATTGGACTGCTGTCATATTCTACCGTTCCAAGAATGGCACGTTCAAAAGGGTCCCGCAGATGGCCCAGGCTGGTATGGAGGGGACACAAGGTGGCATGGTAAGAAAACAGTTCACCTACCTAGGTGTTAAACTTGTATAAGCGCTTACCATGGCCCCAAGGTCGTTTACTACATGTCAGACGCTCTCTTCGACACCGCGCAAAAGTCCACCGTCACAGCCTTCAAGCCCGGGTTCCGGATGCTCGTCGGCGACGCGACCTACCACGACCGCGAGGAAGCGCGGAAGTTCCGGCAGCTGACCTACATCTGCATGGAGAACCAGGGCACGCGCGCGCCGGAGTCCATCAGCTTCCCGACGAAGCCGTGCCCCGGCGGCATCATGGCGAACCACCGGTTCCCGACGTGCTGGGACGGCAAGAACCTCGACTCGCCCAACCACCAGGACCACGTCGCGTACCCGGAGTCGGGCACCTTCGAGTCCGGCGGCCCCTGCCCGGCGACGCACCCCGTGCGGCTCCCGCAGATCCTGCTCGAGACTATGTGGGACACGCGCGCGTTCAACGGCGACGCGGCGGACTTCGCCGACGGCAAGCAGCCGTTCGTGTGGGCCACGGGCGACTCGACCGGCTACGCTAGCCACGCCGATTATACGTTCGGCTGGAAGGACGACAGTCTCCAGAAGGCGATGGATGGCCACACGTACGTCTCGGCGCCGATGCTCAAGACGCAGACGATCGCGCAGCAGAACCAGTGCAAGGTTCCCGATATGGTTGGCGAGGATATTGATGGTTGTAAGTTATAAGTTTCCCCCCCCACCTTTGCTGAGGTAGATGTCACGGAGCTAATTACTAATTTTTTTTCCTGCAGGGCTGCAAACCCTTCCGGGAGAGAACCCAGTTGTTTAAGGTGACGCGTGTGGGGAGGGATGGTGAGAATGCCTTCAAGGGAACCACAACGTTGTAGTAAGAGTGGCAGATTATTTTGTACCTACTAGGTACCTAGGTATCCAATCCAATGCTCTACTTCATAACATGTGAAATCCATAATACTAGAGTGCTAATCCTGTCCCCTACCCTCTCCCTCATATACATCTGTGCATGCTGGTTAGTCGCAAATCATATACTATTGAGGCTAAAGGGATACCATACGTACTTTAGCAACGAGAAACGTACGCTTGCAATTCTCAATCAAGCACTGTTTTGGTCATAGTGTAGTCCTACCTACACAACCGTGAGAAGTGGATGAATAGGGGCCTTGAACGATCTGTATTATTCAACAGGAGTGTATTCGGGGTCACAAGTGCAGTGGACCGATCTAAGTATCGAGCTTCAGTAATTTAAGGTAGTCCTCATTATATGCAAGTGTCCCGCCAACGCCGAGTGAGGCTGTACTCATGTGGGCTATGAGGCGTGCAGGGTTATCAGATGTGAAAGACTCCGGTTTTTATAGGGGCCCTTACCCTAGCGCAGGAATAGCACCCAGCGAATTCAATTTAGTTCCATCATTTCAGAGAATCATGAACTTCAGTAACGTGAAGAACTAGGAAACTTTGCTCGGTTTCTTTCTTTTGCCCCTTTATCTTTGAGTTTTGTATGAAAATGAAGACGGCACAGTCGCTCGGCCCCACTATAAGCCGGAGGACAGGTCGGGAAACGGTCGGGAGTACGGCTGTTACTCCGAGGTTCATCGCTCGCTCCGATGTCACGATTTCCCGTACCGCATGTTTGGTTTCACTTTGAGTGTCTATACATACCTCCCAACCTACGAAGTTGCAGTTCTTGACTACTTGGAGATAGTTTTTTCACGAAATAAAGCAAATAGGTCCCGCTGCTTCCATATCATCGACATCTTATTTTTAGCTCAGGCTAGCCAGTACTGGGTAGGTAGGTGCATTAAAACTTATTTTGATGTATCTCGGATTCCTCGGAACAGCTTTCTTTTGCCATTCTGTTGATTCCCTATGTGTATTCTCTCCTCGAACCACCACCCGAAAGCGAACCTGTAGGGGTGGAGCCACCGTGGAGGTACCAGGTGTAGGCCTGCCCTCCCGCGCGAGCCGGATACTTATAGCCACGCTTTCATAGGCCTCCGTTGCGACTGCACCTTACATGGATGAACTGCTCTGTTGGCAGATCCCAATTACCTCCAGCATTTAGCTTCTATTTACCAGGTACGCCAGTCTCGACAGCAACCCTGCAAACATTCAGAACTCTGTGATAGGTAGCTTCAGGTCTCGGCGCTGCTCAAGGGTTTTTTCTAGTGAGCGAGGGCGAGGTGCGGTAGTTTGGTTCCGTTCCTACATTCTATTCTCCCGGGACCTTCTTGCGGCTCGGCTGCAAAAGTTTGCTGCTACTCGCATTGTAACGATCGGGGGAGGGGTGGTTGCGCGTGGGGATCAGCGTCGGTAGAGTCTTGGCTATAGGGAGCTTATACCAAGATTGGCAGTAGGGTTCGGATTTAAGCATGATCTGACATGGATAAAATAAATATGGAACCTCGCCCTCGGTGGGATGTTATGTATATCTTCCCTACTACGGTTCTAGTCTTGTCTCATCAACTCGTGTAGTTTTCCGAGAGGGAGCGAAGGTAGGTAGGTACCTAGGTATGCAGGCACCTTATGGACTACACCTTGATAATGCAACTGCAACGCTGTTGAATGCCTGAGGTTGATCTTGTTGCTAAGCAAGACCGATAGCACTCACTACCTTCCTAGCAAGTCAGTATAGTGTTACGACATGGCTATACACGTTCAACAACATCACTCATCAGCATCCACTAGGCGGGCAAAGCAAAAGTAACAGTTAGGGCGAGCGCTGGAGTCGTATTATATATAACGAATTTAATCGGTTGTAGATATTTCGGATGTGAAAGACAGTTATAAGCCTATTAGAAATGTACCTTGCGCTGCGCTCTCTCTCAACTTTGACGTGGCGACCAACCAAACCAACTCAACTCAAACTCAACTCGCCCGTTTCTATCTTGTTAATAAATAGCCGAAAAAAATAGCTAGCCATTAAGTGAAGAATAGCCTAGGTTGAGCATGTTCATTCCCTTCCCTCCCTTCCATTGTCCCTCCCTGAGACGTAACAAAAAAAAACAAGAAGCCCGCCGGAAAATGGGGTTCTCCCTAGCGGTCGTGAAATAGTCTATTGGGGGGTGGTGAATTCAAAAAAAAATAGTAATAGCCGTGTCCCGTTTTTCCTTATCCGTGGGGTGAGTCTAGATGAGGTTTCTGGTTCTGGGATTCTCGTTTCGGAACACAGCAAAATGCGCCGTCGTCCGTGTGAGGATGGCGAGCGAGGAATCTGACTCGGCGCATTTTGCCTAGTGGCTTTGTCGTCGCCCACTGGGCCTCCTCAATCTAAAGCCACCCACTTCTTAAAAAGGTTGCCTACTTGCTTGCCATCAGTCTTCTCATCATCCATGACGGCATCTCGGAGAAGAGGTGGTGCCCACATCCACTTAAGGTCGGACAAGGGCGATGGGGAAGTCTCGGAGCCGGCGCTTGAGAACCTGGGGGGACACAGCGGTGGTGTTTGTGATACCCCTGACACCGTGGATAGCAGGCGCGGTCCCGTTGGTGAACGGGAAGGGGACGGCAGAGCCAACCTGGAGCATGGCGGCAGCGGCCAGCAGAGCAGCGAAGAAGTTAGCCATTTTTTTTTTCGAATTTGATGGAGAACGATAGTGAACGATGGTAGGTCGGCAGAAAAGAGTTGAGAGGCTGCGAGGACGTGTCTGACGAGGAATGCTGCAGAAGCTGTGCGTGAGGTTATTTCTCAAACCAGCTTGGGGAGAGAAGATGGTTCTCCTTATATGGCTATGGCCTGACCCACAAGACCGAGGAGAAGGATCGGCATTTGCGCTGCTCTTTTCACTGCAAAGTACGGATGTTTGCTGTGAGCTTCAGATTAACCTCTTAGCTACATCTGTAGTAAATTGTTTCATTATCTCATAGGCCTACCTGGGCAATCATCTCTGTCGACCAATCCCACCGGGGTGTGGCTATCTCGACAGGGCAGCCCACGAAGCAGATCCAGGGGCTAAAGGCGGGTGAGTGGCAGTCTGCGCAACAAGTAGATCGACAGCCGGCGCTACTCTTGCAGCCGCATTGCCTATGACTTCAGATGTTGGTGACAAGGGGGATGTTCCGGTGAATATTAACCACCTTTCATAGTCATCGTTCCTATCAAGGAGCTGTTAATATGCTGATGTAGCCATCGATGTGGCGCGAATCGTGCGATTTGGGCTCAGTACGGAAGAAGTAAATGGCGTTGCAGTGCTACTCGCTCGCTTACTTTAAGCGATCAACGGTAGGGATATTATTCCAAGCCAAGATTGTAATAATCATTCGTCATGGTGGTTGGTATACGTGTTGGCATTCTTCCTCCGGCTTCATTGCTGGAAGATAATTTCTGAAACAATTGTTTATCCTTTGCTTTCTTTGTCATGATATTGGTAATTCTTCCTATCGCGATATGTGATATCTATGAACTTGATCCTCACCATCCTTCTCTCCTATCTTCATTCTCATACGCGCATGCGCGACTGATAATCCAAGTTCCCAGTCGATTGACTAACAAAACAGTCATGATTCGATGGCGTTTGCGGTTGAATTCACTGTGCTATTCTGCGAATGAACACATGGGATGGCTCATTGGCCCATCAGTTATAGCCCCTTGTCTAGTTTAAAGACGACGTGCATATATGAAAAGATGAATCGAGAGGGATCGCTGCAAGTGGGGTGATGTGACGTTCCGAACTTGCTGGCCCTATTTTGTACATTTTCTACATAATAGCCCAGCCAATGTCCATTTGTTTAAAAGAAAAAGCCGATGACGGGTTTAAGAATTCCACCAAAGGAATGTGGAACCCCTGAGTCAGTGCACATCTCAGAAGCCCTGGAGGCCTTCTAGATTTCTTCATCATTACCTACTTTGGGATGTATTCCCCAGAGAACTTTATAGTACCTAGTTAGGTGTCTAGATAGGTGTCTAGAGATAAGAAGTCCAGCCTTCAATATGCGGAGGATGAGACCTGACGTAGTTGTATCCCTTTCGCACGAAATACCCAACTTGAACTACAAATCGCAATGATAAACCTAAGATGAAATGATCTCGGCGTATTCGTAGACTACCTACCTAATACCTACCTAGGAAGGAAACTCCTAATTACTAGTTGTTTCTATCGTGCAGCCTATCCGAGATCTTTCGCTACCCCAGTCTCCCACGCGAAAACCTGTCAAGTATGTTTCTCGGATTTTCGTCAAACATCTAGCTTACATAGCTGCATAAAAAATGGGAATCCAAGTGCCGATCATAGCGCCTTTAGTCCCCATTCGGGCCTGGCCAAAGATAGGCACGGTGGACGGAAAGGATGTAAGGTTCGCTACCAGTGAGGATGCCATATATAGGCCTTGGCGCTGTCCATCTGCCAGGTACTCAGGCACGGGAAAACTCAATTGAGGCTGATCTTCGCCTGTAACGGTAGGCGGTATACAACCTGCGTGAGGCACACCTCCGTTATCTTTATAGGAAAAGACTATTCTTCTTCTCTCCCCCTTTTATTAAACATGGAAAAAAAGTTTGGTGGGTCAACAGTCCCGGAGCTTTGGGGAAGGAAACTGCCTTATACGGAATTCCGAGCGTATGAGAAGATCTTATAGTATTGAGGTTAAGAACCCCTTGGGATCTTCGATGAATACCGTGGTAGGCAGGAGTTTTTGCTACTTAGCATGAAGCGTTTTACCCGAGGGAAAAGATGATAGCAAAAGCATAGCACGGCAACATCGGCAAGCATTGTCTCGAAACCCCTTCAGAGCATACTATCTAGGTGGAAACCATCAACTCACAGAGGCCGATTCATCGGACTAGATGCATCGCGACATGGTATGGCAATATCTCCTGCTGGGCGAGTTCTCCCCACAGATGCTAGCCGAAGGGGTGAGGAGCTTGCACTTGGTATCTCGTCTCGGTTCTAGATCTGCAACTCTAAAGCCCATATATTAACACACCCAATCAAAGAAGCCTTCTTTAGATTGGAAGAACCTGGAACACTCTGGTCGGAAAGCTTAGGTGGCTACTGTCACTATAAAATCTCTTAGTGAGTTCCTCCCTATATTGAGGGCTCGAGAAACGACAGAGGGCGAGAAACCTTGGCGCAATACATTGTCACCTCGCGGTGCTGTATTTAGCACTATTTAATATCGATAATTCTTGTCGAATGTCACCCTATCTGCCATCAGCTTTTCGTGTAACTTACCAACTGTGTCCGTAGCCAGTGGGTATTGCGCGTCAATGGCTGCAGAGGATTTCTGCTCAACTATTAGCCGCTTCAAAGTGAACACAATGAGAGGAGGAATTATCGGTGTCGACGTCTACTTGGACGAGGATAAGTACTGTCAAGTTTCATTGGATATATAATATTTACACCAATGGCGATCCTAAGCGATACTTATCCTATCCATTTTCTCAGGCTGATTCTAACGTTTCGTTTCCCCCCTTGCAATCGCCGATGATGAGTCCAGCGTCTATCTGGCATTGAAGATATCCAGCCTGGAAGCTTGGCAACTACCGTGGTGTGAATTCTGTTCCAGAGACTTGATCTAGCCCTCCGTAGCTGTCCGGGTAAAGAATTGAATAATCACATTTGATGTCGACTACCTGATCGAGTAAGCAGGTATACACAGATTTTTAATCAATCTACCTAGTACTATATGGTCTGCTGCAAGGACCGATTGATCTAGGCTGATGTAAATGAGATGTGACTAGTATCAATCTTTACCTAAGTACCTAGTAGAACCTATTCACCATTTGATGCCAAGCCGACAGACTTGAACCATCTTGTACTCAACGAAGCTTTCACGGAATGTAGCCCACGGTACAGCACTGCTCCCTCCTGGCTCTTAACGCGGGCCAGAGAAACTCATAGACACAAGCCCCCAAATGAAAATCCTTCCAAACATATCAACGCAACCCCCGATTCCGTGAATCAGCGTCTGCTCTCGAGGCTAAAAAAAGGATCAACCTCGTGTATATTCGCTTACCAAGGAAGGTATTCTGAGAACTGATCCCTCGTATCCATCACTGCATGTCAATATCGCTATCAAGGAGTTCATCGACAATGGACCGATAAAGCCCGACGATAATCAGGTGGCTATATAAAAAATAATGGAAAATCAGCTCTGTCACTTTCCCTTGACGTTCTCATGATGTTGATATCTCGCGTATTGATCATCTGAGAAGACGATTATTTCACAACATGGTGTCATACTATAGACCTTGTTATTAAAACGCAATCAGCGTATATCGGTGTGAATGGGTGATGGTGATGGCATCTCGATCATCGGAGTGTTGTTACGTCGAGTTGACATCGAGACAGGATACGTACCCAATTAACAATTTATCTGCATACTTCTATGTTATATACACCTTGAGCCCCTGCCCCCTCCCCCTTTTTAGGTTCCAAGATTGGCTTCGGCGTGACCAAATTGATTGACTCCGGATCACCCCCTTTTCTGGGCGCCCGGCTTCCGTTTTATAGTGGGGACTTGATGACCGTTTCCTTTATTGACCCCGATGAGTACCATACCATGCCTTCTCTGCTTTTGCCTTCGCACCTCTTTTACTGTCGTATCTCTTTTTCGGTGTCTGTCAATCCCTTTTCTTCTCTTATTGGAAGTGAACTATCAAGCCTCTATTTAATTAATGTATTCCATGAGGATGACTGCGAGTTAATCCCTTCTTCTCCCCAGTCAGTTTTCTTTTTCATCTCTCAGAGGCGAGTGACAGCTCCTGTGAAGGACAAACTAGCCCTATATGTCTCCATTTATTCTCTAGCGACCCATCCGACGACCAATTAGGTCATGTAGGTAGGATGAATCTCGCTCTTGCCCTTCAGTTGGAATACTACAGGAACTGTTTGCGCAAATGACGACTTCTCACATCTAGAGGTTTTACATAACCAAACCAAAAGGCATGGAAACAACGAAAATCCTACGTGAATAACTACTAGGTATAGACCTATTCGCTGGAAGGTTACCTAGGTCCCTACTATATTCAAAGCCAAAGCCCCTTCTTTGTTCTCAGTGGCCCATCTCTCCATGATACATCTACCAGACGATTAACAACCCAAGACAGCGCGATCACCATTGCAACCATCAAAATATCCTATCCAGACAATCTCCACCAATAAAGACCAACTAGGCCATCAGTTCCAGTATGATCTAATCTAGAGACTATCACCATCACCATCTCCATCTCCCTAGCCCTACCCCTTATGAAGTATCAAGAAAACCCCCCCCAGCCCACTCTCTACTCTCTTGGCCTAGTATTTCCTTTTTTTATTGCTCTGATATTTATTGTCTCCCCGCCTCGATTAACTAGTACATAGCCATAGTCCGACGTGCCCAACTCTACCTATCATCCCTCACTGGAGGGACTCTAGAAATACTGGTAGATACTTACCTAGTTATCTAGTATCCAGCAACATCCCATCCCCTTTTTTCCAAGTTCACGATGTACTTACCTAATCATCATTTGCACGAGCCACGTAAAATTATTCACAACCAACAAACTACACCTGCACACCTATTATACAACAAACTTCACGAAAAGCGTGTCTGTATTCGCAAAGGCACCCTCATGTTTGACGGACTTTTCGTCTAACCCGCCACCTAGCAAAGCGGTAACACCGATGCCCTCCTTTCCACGGCCGCCTGAAAAATTACCTAGGTAGTGTACACTATATGCTTTGGTTCCGCCCAACATGATTTGTATGCATGCTATGCCCCTTCCCTTTCCCTCGTGTTATCTAAGAAATGCCCCAGTCTTCACCGGCCTCATAATCCATGTCATGCTGGTCCCTACCCTGTGTATCATCAACTTCACCTTCCTCGAGCCCTACGGTGACACTGCTTCCTTCAGCGCTAGCCTTCTCCCTAGTCGCCTGCTCTTCTTCTACAACATCCACAACATTGGTCATTTGTACATCAGCGTCAGTAGCTGGTTTGGCTTCCGATTGAGGCGCAGAGTTCGTCCATGTAGCTTCAATCTTGTCCTCGAGCCCCGGGATAGAGTTATTAGCGGAAACACCAAACATGAACTGTTCCGCAGTCTTGCGGTCTTTAAAAGTAATATGTGTGGTAGCTGGATCGGCGTGTATCTCTTTAAATTCGCCAATACCCTATTATGTGTATATTAGCCATGCCCATATAGGAAGTCAATAATGCAAGACTTACAAAAAGATATTCCCGGAGCGCTTCGTCCTTCTCCGGGCTGGTGAAATCTACTCCTGATAGGGCAATGATCCTTGGTCTGTTGTCCAAGGAATACGCGGCATAGGCAGCGTGTCTTGCGTCTAAACCACCTCTACCCTGATACCCATACCCACCTCTCAGAGCTCTAGGGGGATAACGGCCACGACCACGATATCCCCGATTACCCCTACCCCGACCTCTAGTTGTCCAAGATGAGTCATCCTGAATGGCATCGGGATCAATGCCTAGGACGTTTGCCTCTTCTTCTAGCGCAGCTAATTGGGCTCGTAGAGCTTCTGTCTGCGAGGTAGGCTTCTTGCTGGTACCGTCCGTCGTCGTTCCAGACGACGGACCAGTCGTACCCTTGCCAGCAAGCTTAGCTTGCAGTTTACGCTTTTCCTCAAGCTGACGCGCACGAAGCTCTTTCTCTCTATCTTCCAACTCTTGGCGCTGACGCTCAAGTTCTTGCCGTTTCTTAGTTTTTTCATCGTGGATTTTCTGTGCCTCATCCTGCTTGCGCCTGAATTCATCCAGATCAAACGGCTCTGCTAGCTCGCTCTCGCCACTGGGTATGCTGCCGTTAGTGGCCCCATTCTTGATGCCGTTTACAGCCTTGCCATTTGCTGAAGCTGGCCCAGTCTCACTTTCATCTTTGTGCCAGAACACCTTGACAAAGCGGTTGTCAAATATAACCTTAGGCGAACTCCAAGCTGCGTGTGCTGCATCCCAGTCGCTGAATTTAACAATGGCCAATTGATCAGATTCTTGCATCGAAATTTTGGAGATAGTGCCAAACTGGGAGAAATAGCTTTGGACTTCACTCTCACTGAAGTGCTCGTTGGGGATGTTCTGAATAACTATAGAAGTTTTGCTCTTATCGTGCACTGGTCCATTAGCAGCAAAGGGCGGGCGGCCCTTGGATCGCTTGAGCTTGTTGTGCTCACGACGATTGTTTGGCGGCATAGATGGAAAAGGGGCTGGATCTAGAGGCTTAAATGTTTGAGGTTGGGACTGATTGGCCATAAATGGCATCGGGAAAACTGCATTGTTAGGGTCGTATTCTATGACACTTTGTTAATATATTTGCTGCCTAGTAGTTAAGACTCTGGGGGCCAGGAGATTGACTCACCATCGCCTACTAAGGGGCCAGCCGGATGATGCATTGCCGGAGGTTCGGTGGTATGCTCGAACCTACAGTGCCCCCCTCTAGAGCAATATCCTTTCGCATCGAAATCTCTGCAGCGCTGCTTCTTTCGGCGCGGCGGGGGGATAGACCCAGAATATACCGGCTTGGGGAGATCGGGCAGTTGTGGAATTGGGATGCCCAGTTGTTGTAAGCGCTGTATATTATCGAGGATGCTATTTGGATCAAGGGGCGGCATGGCCTGGCCGTGTTGAGAAGTTTGGAAATGCGGTGGTGGTGGTAGGGACGGTACTGGGGGCTGTCCGTAACGAGCAGAAGTAGATGTCGCATAAGTAGGAGGAAATCCAGGTTGCTCTCTACTTCCATACATTTCGTCATACCTTCCACCGCGCTGCGAAAAACCCCCTCCTCTTCGAGAGTACTTGTATGGTTGGGGGCCTTGAAAAGGGCCCTGGCTTGTCAATATTATGTCCACGTCATTATCATCTCGATCGTGGTAGGACCGTTTACGCGATCCGCCTTGGCTGAAAGTCGGTGCTGTCGGGGGTGCGCCATATGGTAACTGGAGTGGATATTGCGACAACAAAGGGACATTGGTCGAAGCTGCGGGAGGTGGAAAGGCTGGACGTGTGGTAGGAGGCGCAGGATGAGCTCCCGGTAGATAGGAACGATATTGGATGGCTTGAAAGACGTCGTTGGTGAAAGCAGCAGCATCTGTAGATCCATAAGCATTTCTGGATGACATTGCCGAGCTTTATAAAGCCTTTCATCATACCTTCTCTTAGGAAATCAGGAATTTCTTCCTCAAAGATCCTACGAATGGCATCGACATCACCATCGTGTCGCAACAGTGCTAGGACATAGTCGGCAAGAACATCAGCATCTGCATCGGATCTAAAAATGGAAAAGACAAACAGACAAGAGGTTAGCAACAATTACTAGGTCAACCGAGAAAAGAAGCTGGAATGGCTTAGAATTGGTGGAAGGAAGGGAGTAAAACATACGTGTTAGCGAGGCGCTTTATGATCCACGCTCGAAGTAGAGACGCGTCGCTCTCAGGAAACAACATTGTCAATTCGGATCCCGGGAGCCTATTTAGGCATCGGGAATGGTTTGTTGGAGGAAAGAATAGATGTTTCGACGCGACTTTTGTGTACGGTAAATTACAATAAAAATAACGAAGCTCCGAAAGAAGTTGTTGGTAGGTTCGATAGATGGCCGTCGATCGATTGCCGTAGGAAATTCACGTGGCCCACAAAAATTACTGTTGGCTGCTAGAGCTATGTCAAGTCAAAGGTCGTAACAACCTGGTACGGGACTTAAGGAACAAAGTACAAGGCTGAATGAAAAAATTAAATAAAAATGGATCATAGGCTAGTTGTACCAAGCTCATCCATGAATGGTCGTTAAGTTTTGGATGGCCCGAGCTTTTGCTTAACTATTATCTGCTTACATACTACTAGGTACTAGTAATTAGTACGTGACATAAGTGTGAAGGTGGGGGAGGGGCACTAGGTTCAAAATCTTGAATCTACCCAAGTGCCTGCCTTCCCAACGATGCCTTGCTCCCTAAAATCTGGGGAATTCCTATCGGGTAGGTGCATCCATGTCATGTATAACTAAGAGTTAAATCCACTTTCGATGGTTAATAATTCAAAAAAAGTAAATTAATGTGAGATCTTTATCTTTTTATGATTAAAATACTATGACAATGTTATACAAATTCATGAGTGACCAAGGCTCTCTCAATATGAGAAGTGATTGAAGTGAATTATCTAACATAATTTAACCACAAGCCCTGAGATTTGCGATATATATCATATCTCACTTCTCACCAACACGGTGACCTATCGCCGCCATTATTACAAACACCCTACAAGGAAAATCGCAGGGGTGATATACGACATACCTAACCTACCAAGGTAGGCAAGCAGTTCAAGATGGCTTTCACAATGCACTCCCACTCGGGACAATTCTGTCCAGGCCATGCAAAAGATGACCTCGAAGACATCGTCAAGCACGCCATCGGCCTCGGCTATACCACCATGGGACTCACCGAGCACATGCCCCGGACCAGCCTCGAAGACTTATATCCGGAAGAGGTGAGTTCAAACCACCCATCAAAGAAACCTAAAAGCTCACAAACACAATAAAATAAAAACCCTCAAAAACAAAAAGAAACCAAAATCTGTTAACACCCCTTTAACCCAAAGCTCGACGACCCCGAAGGCTCCCTCGCAGTCCTCTTCCCGCGGCACTCGGCCTACCTCCTCGAGGCGCAGCGGCTGCAGACCAAGTACGCCCCGCAGATCCACCTGCTGATCGGGTTCGAGGGCGAGTGGCCGCGGCCGGGCTACGAAGCCGTCGTGACGCAGCTCGCGACATCTTCCGTCGTGGACTACTTCATCGGATCACTACACCACATCGACGCCGTGCCCATCGACTACGACGCCACATACTACGCGCGCGCCGTCGCCTCAGCCGGCGGCACCGAGGAGCGCGCCTACGCGCGGTACTACGACCAGCAGCACGCCATGCTCTCTGCCCTGCGCCCCCGCGTCGTCGGCCACTTCGACCTCGTGCGCCTGCTCTCCTCCGACCCCGGCCGCGACATCCGCGCCTCCTGGCCGGGGGTGTGGGACCGCATCGTGCGGAACCTGCGGCTCGTCGCCGGCTACGGCGGGTGGCTCGAGTGCAACAGCAGCGCGCTGCGCAAGGGGCTCGCGGAGCCGTACCCAAGCCGCCAGATAGCCGAGGAGTGGCTCGGGCTCGGCGGCAGGTTCACGCTGTCCGATGACAGCCACGGCATCGCGCAGCTCGGCACCAACTACGCCCGCGCCCTCGACTTCCTCGCTAGCCTGGGCGTTAAGAGCCTGTGGACGCTACGCAGGGAGCCGCATCCGGATCCGGAGCCAGCTGCCGCCGTCGAGAAAGACAATACGAAAGCTAGGCTGGTTGAGGAAGAAGTCTCGCTGGAAAGCGTGCGTGCTGTTGTTAGTAAATGGTGATATGACGATGTATCGGCCATGGTTCGCAAGCAGCAGCAGCAGCAGCAAAGAGGGATACTTGCTATCTATGCCCCCCCCCCCCCCCCCCCCCTTTGCAGGTACCTACCTAAATAGACGCCGAGGGAAAAAAGTCGGATATGGAACGGACCCCTTAGATCTTACACAAAAACGGCAGAGGAAATATTAGAAAAGAATTAGAAGAATGGAGGCTAGCTCGGGTTGATTGGTTGGTTGGTTAGGTTAGGTTAGAAATATACCCGTGAATATAAAAATAAAAATAGAGACGGACCGGCGCGGTTTTGGTTTGAAAGTTTACACAATGTTCCAAGGCTGCTAAATAGTTAGCATTCTACCTACGATTTATACTTGTAGTATTTAGGTAGTTAGTTACATGGCGTATGAATACTTGACCTTTACATACTCCCTCCCCCTTAAATAAAAGAACACATTATCAACATATTTCAACTCTCCTCTCTCCTTAGGTACTATGGAAGCCATATATCACAGATTCAAAAACATGATCACAATCACAATCACAGCACAATGACAAAAAGGACAAGTAGGTAGGTAGGTATGATGATATAATATCAAATCAGAAACAGATCGCCACGGCCCGATATAGCCATGACTTGTATTACGTCGCGCCTGTCGTTCGTATGGTATTAAGACCATGTATGGTAGGTAGGTAGGTGTAGGTAGGTATCACATCCATCCATCCCTCGAGTCCCTGAGTCCTGCTCTCCCTCACTGCATCTAGACGCCAAAGTGTTGAGCTGCACTCACCTGCACACACCACTTAAAATCCATCTTTGTCAAAAAGGCTACTGTATCCTCGCCTTTGCCCATTTCCCATATTCCGTTCAACACCGAGATATCAATCCACTGATCCACATTGCAGAAAGATCCTCTCGCCACCCTACCCTCCACTCCTCAGATGTCAACGCCACCCACCCTAAAACCCATTCCAAGCTTCGGCAAACTGGGAGAAAAAAAATAGAAAAATAATTGCAAGCAAAACAAAATCCCCTGGGAAGTATGCATGCATGCTTGTTGGGTATCTCCGAATGAATGCAACAGAAATGCATTCTCTCTAATCTCTCGGCGCCTTGGAAACGAGGATTCTTGTGGTAGTACAATGTTTACTTTATTTTCCTCCTGTGCGACTCCTTGCTCTGCTATGCTGTCGACGAGAAAAAAAAAGAACAATTAAATAAATAAAAAACAGGTCATTAGTGTCGTCAAGTCGTTAAAATGTTTCTTCCGGATCACGGAAAATAGAAGAATATCTTCTGGAAAGGCCTTCGGTTGGAGACGTTGAAGGCTAAACGTCACTGAGTTCCACCACGTCGAGCCATGTCCTAACAGCTGCTCGCAACGCGCTTTCTTTTTCGCGGGTAATTTCATGGGGAACTTTTGGTTGAGTGCTTTGGTGTTCTCTCTCGCGTTGATCGACAACCTCTTGCACAATGCCTGATAACGCAGAGAGGACTACCATCTTACACTCTGCCCGAGGTACTTCGTGAAAGTCGATTCTATTCGTCGGTGTTTCTTGTTCTGTCATCTCGGAAACCTCACTGTCCCTTCTTCTTCTCTGTTTACTGGCGGATCGAGAAGACGTCGTGGAACTTCCTTTGCTCGCATCACTACTATGAGAAATGACTCTCTCTACAGCGTCAATAAGAGCTTCGTCGAATGTGAATAAATCCTCTTCCTCAATTTTGTCCTTGATCGGTTGCTCATAGGGGGAGAGGGCCGGTGTCATATATGCGCCGTGCGGTGAGAGATGGTTAGTGCCGTTTCGGTCAAGCGGCATCTTAGGCTTCACCAGTCGACAATATCGAAGACGTTTAATGGTAAAATTTGTTGTATCGGCGACAATGGCGGTACTAACATCAACCCAGTGTTCCGCGGGCCATTCTTCTGGTATCGAGCTAGGATTAACCATAGGGGTAGGTTCGGCAGCGAGAGACTGGCGAACCTCATCTAGAAGCCCTTTCTGTGGTGGGATCGCCTGTATGGTAAAATCAGGGTGGTAATGTTTCAACCATCCCGCGACATTAAAAGGGACATCCCCATCGATAGCCAACCTGGAAAATTGCTCGAATCCATCAAGCCCACTGCCTAAGCCAGGGGTCGAGAGATATCCGCTGCTAGATGGCGAACTAACGGCAGTTTCAAAAGAGGTGAGGTAGTCCGGAAACTGAACGTCTACATCAATTACTCCATCATCGTTGTTGATGGACGTCTTCACGGGGGACTCGTATGCGCCTAATGGGTCCGGGATTCTTGATTGAGACTCAAACTGCCTGCCTTCTAACCTTCGCGGCGTCTCTGATTGTTGAGGAGGGGGATTGCCGCCAGCGACTTGCTGACTTGTCGGTGTGTCCAGGTGCTGAATTTCACTGACCATATCTGTGAGCTTATCCTTTCCACCGGCTATCGACTTCGTTGGCGAAGTAGGCACATCATCACGGTGATTGGGGTTATCGAATGTCTGTGTCGTCGCAGTTGAGTCTCGCCGTCTTGCACTCCATAGGCCACTAATCACACTACCCCATCGTGAGCTTTGGCGTGAGTCGGTACTCGCACTACTAAAGTGGCCAAGACTGTCACCTCTTTGGAGAGACCGTTTCAAATCGTCTGCGGCAACACTACTACAACTACCAGGCCGAGCACTGCGACTTGTGCCATTTCGATGAACCGTGGAGAAATGTGGGACAGCTGAATCGGGAAGAACCGTGTTAGCTGTAGCGGCGCTGCTTTTTCGGGTATTGAGATCGCTTCCAGCCATGGGTAGATTCGAGGGCTTGATCAAATCAGACGATCGACGTTCTACATTAGATGACTCCATGCTAAGATGTGCCAGTTGTGCGGGAATACCAGTCGCCGATCTCGTCGTGGCCTGGGACTGAATACTGAAACTTCGTGTGTGGGACGCTCCTCTAGGTCCTTGCCGGCGATTGATCTTTCGGCGCAGAGATTCCTCCTTGTTGATCGGCACTACGTAAGACGGCGGGGAGTGACCGAAGGCAGCGACTGACGCGGAAGTTGCTGGGCGTTGAGCGCGGACGGTCGGTAACTGCTGGTTTGCGGGTAGAAAAGCCGATAGTAAGAAGATCAGCCTCCGCGCAGCCATCTTATTTTTCGCGACTATGATGGTACGAGACGGTAAAGAGGTGTCCTCTTCGCTCTTGGCCTTCTGCTGTTGGTATCGTCGTCTACGGTACCAGACCGGACCTAATGCCTGAAGCCATTCTGTGTGAGTCGCAAGAAATGCTGTCAGTAGATTAAAAAAGAAGAATCCTTGCTCTTTAGTTCCTGCCCACTTCGCAACCCATCTTGCTTCCTCCCTCCATGGTCCCCAGCGGCCTTGACCAGTAACTACCCTCGAAGCTCGGAGGCCGGACACGATTCGTTTTTTCGCTATATCAATCTCTTGACCTATGCGTTGATCTTGTGCCAGACAACTCGGTGGTAGCACCACCAATTTCGCGTTCGTCTTAAGAGGTTTCATTTGGGAGCCATCTGAACCTCTCCGGCCAATGGCTGATGAATTCCGGGCTATGTGAGCTGAGATGCTGGAGGGATATGGGTCCGGAGCCGACATGTCCGCTTGCTTCAGCATCGGGCTCAACGTGGTAGCCACGACTGACTGAAGATGAGTGAGGGTTCTCATGATGATGTCCCAGTGCTGGGTAATCGCATCCATTCGATCCTCGACATCGTTGCTATATATCGAATCGAACGACTCTGAGCCGAAGCCAGAACCAACCATCGTCCAACCAGATCGACGAGTAGACCCGAAAGAAGAGGAAAAGGGATCCTGCTCATTATATGATCCAGGGCCTCGAAACATAGACTTCGGTGTAGTCATTGTCGTTGCATTTGCCGAGTTCGATGGAAGCTGAAGCACCAGGGCAACGGCATACATTGGCGTCCTCTTCTGCACAGGTTTAGAAGGCTTCTTGTTTGATTTTGATTCGTCCGGGGAATAGGGAAAGGGAAACCCTCCATTATCATCGGTAGGCGAACTGAGGTCATCAGTAGGAAGATTTACTGGGAAAAGACGTGTCACTAGGATCTTGTTGCGCTCCAGTGGCCGGGGAGGAGTGGAAAATGACTGAAACTGCGTGTTGGCAGAATCCGATGTAAATGATTGTGCCAACCTGCTAGACCGCATACTCGACCTCCCCATAGAACCACGGCCGTCTCCAACATACGAGCTAGAGACAACAGGCGGCCGTGACTCGCTTGGGATCACGTGTACCTTGGTGGATGTCCCTTTATAGGACATGACTTCGGAGTTGGCGAAAATACAACTCGAGAAACTAGCGAGCTCTTCCCGATATTCCCTGGCTGCCTTTTGGGACTCGGTTTCCGCAGCATTGTAAGTGCGGGACTGAATAGATCCTCGTCGGTCAAATGCGCCTTGCCGGTGCTGGGGACTGCTTGGTTGAATTACTAGTGGCCTTGAGGTCTGGCCTAAACTACCTTTACGTTGCGATGTGGGGGCTCGTCGAGGGTCCTGGATGAGAGATTGCGAGGATGACGCCGCACTTGGCGGCGGCGGCGGTGGTGGTCGATCACTGGACGAACTAGACGAAGGGACACAATGGCTGTCGAATAATAAGGATGGGCTGATGGAACCTAGGGTATCCTGCATAATAATAACACGAACATCGCGAACATCGATATCAATATCGCCATCGTAGTCGAAGGGATTTGCAGAAGGCCCGGACTGAACGCCAGGCGCTGACGGCAATGGGAACACCTGGTCCTGCCGATAATAAAGAGCTTGCGTATCCGGGAACAAGAGACTGCGTGTATGAATCTCTTCCTGTACTGATTCTGGAGAAGGTTTGGTTGGGAAGATACCGTCTTGAGAAGTTGGTCCCCCAGTGGATCCCGAAGTTAGGTTAAAGAGTTTGCCCAACATATTGGGATTCGGTAGTTAAAAACCCAGTATATTGGTTACCTGGGTAGGTAGGTAAGTAATCAACGACTTGAAGCTCGCAGAAACCACCAGCGTGTTTCTTAACAGGCTCCCATCCGGTGGCGAGGGCCTTCCGTTGCGCTGACCATAGTGTAGAAAGACATTGAAGTGAGCGCGAAGTAAGGGTGTATAAGCAGGGCGAGACAATGCAATGACAAGAGTCAAATGATGCAGGTATGGTAGCGGGCAAGCAGGTGAGTGGCTAGAGCGTAGGGAGAAAAATAGGTTAGTGTTTAGAGGGTATTGCAACGGTTTACTGGTCGAAGGGACCCTTAGGCCAAAACGGAGTCGAAGGTTTTAGAATATCGAAAAGGTGGAAAATGGCGATAGCAGTAGTTGAGGCTGTTCTATGACAGAATGTAATAGTAATAATAATAGTATTATTATGTGTGCAATAGATGCAATGTGTGCAAGCAACGAAGCACGCGTTTGGATCAAGACTCGTGAGAGCAACGTGACAAATATGCGTAATCGGAGATGACTGGATACGACAGACAGGGGGGTAACGTGAAGTTGAGTCTCTTTCAAAGAAACGTCATTAGTCAATGAGACGCTTCTTGGTCAAATTTATGAATTTGATAAGAAGACAAAACAAGACAGGACAGGACAAGACAGGACAAGACAGGACAGGACAGGACAAGACAAGACAGCTTGGAAGGCTAAGGTAGTAAGGTATGTAGCGATTTTGAGAAAATGAAAGGAGGAGGTGCGTCTGTTTCTCTGACTCTCTTCTCTTTGCTGCGAGTAATAATAGAGCAATAGAGCAATAGGTAATAGTAATGTGTAAGGTCCAGGGTCACTGGTATGTATTGTATTGTATTGTATTGTACGGTACGGTGCGGTGCGGTACGGTACTAACTATTACTACTTTAGTAGTAACCTAGGTACCTACCACACTTCAAATGTGTTCTAATAACATTTATGTAGGCGAGAGAGGAGCCGTCCCAAGCTGTCAACGCCTAGCAACGCTTAGGTAGTGTAGGTACGTACATATATGTATGTAAATAGCAGAATATTGACTAAGGTATGTACTAGAATAGGATTGGATATTAGATTAGACCCAATCACAATCCAATAATTATAGATATACAAGTCAAAGAAAGGAAAGAACTGTGAAGCATAGACCGTCGATTATGACGTTTAATCTCACAAGTACGAAGTAGGTAAGTACAAATATAGCATGTACCTATCTGATAGAAAAATTGGGTGAACATCAGCTACGAGTCTGCGACCTGCATATAACTATGTACATTTGTAGTACACAGACATGTTTGTAGATGCCCTTGTGAACTTGGCTGTAGGAAGGTATTATGTAGGTACCTAGTACATAATGCAACTGCCATGTATGCAAATAGGTACTTCCATGGATGTACTAGGTAGACATTCCTCCAGAGTCATTCCACATCCCATACATTCATGTTGATGTAGATAGGTAACTATGCATGTATTCCATATTGATATTCTATAAACGCAAACAGAACGTGAACAGATACTCCGCAAACCCATTGTTCCTCAACGTGCGACTCCAGTCCCTTAGTCCCTCCGGCGTGTGACAATAAAATCCACATAGTGGTTCCCAAGCAGAACTACTGGGTACCTACTAGGTGGTGGGCTAGGTGGGCTACGTACATACGTAGTGGGCAGGCTTGAGATGAAAACTAGTACTTAGTGCTAGGTAGCATATCCATTTGGCGGGTTCCATGGTCTTCTCGAACGTCTAGACTGCCCTTGTATGGATCATCTTACTTTATTTACAGCAGACGCTCGTGTATCGCGATAGTGTAGGCAGTACCTATCAAGGGCGACCCCAGGTTTGAGAGATATCAGAAAACCAGGATTAAAAGATGGCAGATTTCTCTCATACCAGACAGCTGGTTCCGGAGTCGGTCTAAAGGATTCGATGCGATCTGGCGGTGAATGAGAGATTATACCTATTCGACCTTAGGGTTGGTAATCAATCAGCTTTAACTGCTGCGCGGTAGCGGGTAAGGCACAGGGATAGCGATGCTTCCTGTATGTTAAAGCACTTAAAAGGGCATCAATTTCAATGTTTGATGTACTATGTAGTTAAGTGTATGTACGTATTCGCAGACCAGGTTAGGCGCTAGGCAACTCTCTAAGAACCGTTTAAATGGACCTGTCCAGGCTACTGTAGGCCATGATTATCCAATGGATTTGAACCAATACACTAAACTTAGCGGGTGTGGTGGTGGTTGCGCATGCAAGTGCTACATTAGGTAAGATACCTAGGTACTTACATAGTATTGTATGATCACTGATGGAAGTGCATGTGCCTTGAGAGTTAATGTAGTGAGGTGCAGTTACCTCCAGGGCTTCAATGTTGATCATTACATATGTAGCAGCACATGCATTGATGTAAATGAGTAAAATTAGCGACCTAGGAAAATAGAGCAGGTGCTGTGCAGCCTATGCTAGCGATGAAGTACTACATGTAGGTAGTTATAGGTATACAACCCTAGGTAGTGCAGTGAATTCAGCATTGCAGTTGTTCATGATAACTATATCAAACTTACGGGTGTCAATAACATGATAAACATTTCAGCATTTTAATGCCGAATATCAACACCTTATGTAGGTAACGAGATATTCACAAGTAATTTGTACTTGTAGTCATTGTATGTAGGTTAAGTAACGGCGAATACATCGATACTCCTACATGTATGTATCGTGTGCGGGACGGTAAGGCACCAATGCCCGTTCCAACATTTTGTCTGTTTTGTCATTGGGCTTCATCGGATCATCTATGGATTGCAGGATTATGGCTGTGAACGGAATGCGTCTTATTTTAAGGGCTCTTCTTAAAAAGATACATTGGCCCCACACATAAAATCTTATGAATCCAAATGTATCTTCCTTATCCCTTGCAATCAATCTAAACTGAATACGGCTAGCCTAGCCAACAGCTGACGACAGCTGTAAAGACCTGTCACAGCTGTAGTAATTTAAATAAAATGGAAAGAAATAAAATAACAGCTGTAATTATTAAAAGACACTTGTAATAATTGAATGGTAATTGTATTAATATTTGAAAATAGCTAGTTGCGTAGTTGGCCTGCCAGCTGTAATGGCTTGTTTGCCAGCTGCGTGGGGCTTTAAAAGGGCTGTCAGGGCTTGTGCGACGCTGTAAGAGGCTTTTCTGTAAGCAAGACAGGTTGAAATCAACCTGTCTTGCATACAGGAAAATAAGAGCTCTTTTGTGGGGCGCTAAACCCCTTATAGTTTAGCTTTGGACCCGATTTAAACAGTACATTGCATAAAATAAGAGATAGGTCTTACAGCGTAGTACAAGCTAATGACAGGGGTCTTAGAGATTTGTGCAAAAAAAAAAGGTGCTCTTTTAGGTTAAGTTCTTTTTTTAGCGTGTTTTTGAATATTTTGTGCAAGGGATCCACAAGCTGTAAGGACCCCTTCTTAAAATAAGACGCATTCCGTTCAGGGCCTATGGTATCTATCATTTTCATTTATTACAGTTCAACAGCCTTGTACTAGGTACCCACGTACTTACCAGATAGGTAATAGGCATGATAATAAAAATGGCATGCATTTCCCTTTTAAGCCATGAGAATTTGAGAAAACCGGTCACTGCTTTATCCTTAATCGGGATTGGCACATGCGACGGTTTTTCTTGTTTCCTTTCGGGTAAGCCTACATAAACCTTCGGGACCCTTAACTTACTACCCTAGGTAGGTACTAAATACGCTCTAACATACCCTAGTATGCACTAAAATGCCCTACACACATGGACCTGTGGATTCTATCTCACTACGATAACTGCATAGGGCCATAGTAAGGTTATGTAGCCTTGAGATAATTCATCATTTGTCTAACCGTGCCGCATGTAGCACACATTACCTAGTACAACTACAACATACACATCTAAGTGCATAGTAGTATTCCTCTTCGTTGCTTGTTACTACATACATACATCTTTTCTGATCATGCTATATTAAATTTTTCATATTTGTTACTATGATAGTACATTGTACTCTAATCCTCTCCATGGATTTCGCCTCGATTAGAAACATGACCTCTGGTTGATCTTGGCTCGGTGTCCATTTGGGACAATTATATTTGCCAGTGTACGCGCGCACATGGCATTCACATGGTCACGCGTTTACCTTTCCAGGGTACATTACTATATCTAGGCTACATCCCTACAAGTAGTCTAAACTCCCAGAGCTTAGTTACCTTTTAAGTTACCTTCTAGGTATGCAATGCGGGCATGGTGCGTCGACAATCATCCCTCTTCTAACCTACTACATAGCATACGCTAGGTAGATGGAGCAAACATCCCTGAGCAACTTGTTCAAATTCCCGGCGGTGAACAACTGTCAACCTCAATCCCAGATCGTGGGGGAATATCTAGAGGTATGTACGAAGAGGAGGCACTAGGAGGAGGTATCAGCTCAACCAAGGCTTACCAAGCTCTTTTTGCACTACGTTGTAGACAGCCCCGAGCAGCATACCTACATAGTAGATGTCTTGCATCTCATCGACATCCGCTGCTGACGCGGCTGTCATACTTGTGTCACTATAACAAGCATTCCCTAGGCGATCCGATCATGAGGCTCAGCTTGTTCTAAGATCCGAGGCCAAGCCGTGGTGTCGTATCCGAGGACACATTCATTTTTCTAGTTACATCTAATAACGTAATAGGATAATAATAAGTTAGCTGACAGCAGGGCTAGGTCTTTTACTAACATAAGAAATCCCACTGGGCAATTCACATGCAAAGAAAATTGGGCCAGTTCGGAATATTTAGTCATGAAACCTATCTAGATCCTCACGATTTGGATATGCAACGTCGGAACCCAGCGAAATAGTTCACCCAGTAGGCACTTACTATGGACTATGTTACCTTGTCGCCGAAGAAGAAAAAAAAAAGAGAAAAAAAAACAGGCGATAAGGTAAGTTAAAACTTATGATCAAAGATCCTTAACCTACCTAGGAAATATCTTTCTGATTATGATGATAGTGAAGTTGTCAGCTCCGCCCGCCTGCTGGTTACAACAGCAACTCCTAGCCTATAATGATTTCCCGTCGGCAAAAGATCCTGGCCACTACATATGCTGCTGCTAGGTACCTACCTACCTATGTAGTTTATCCAGCACCGAGTGACGTTGAATAACACGTTACCCTACATATCTATCTCATCTCACATCTCCTTGGCACTCGGGTCACTTCTTAATTGTGGAAATCAAACCTTCACATTACAATTTCACATCAACGACTCGACGGATTACATATCACCGAAGAAACTGCCGTAGGCAATATTGTGATTTAGATACCTACTTAAGTAAATACCTACCTAGCTAATATGCCGAACTTGCCGGTTTCCTACTACATAAGGTAGTCTCGGTGATCCACACAAAAGGCCGCCTACAGACATCTAGTGTAGACCCTGCGGCGATTCCGCAGAGACACGGACTCGACCGTTTTTTTCGGCCAGCTTATTACCAGGAACCAAAAAATTCAACTCCGTATGGATTCACCAATGAACGTAAAAACCTTCATCAGTACCCAGCGGGAGCTCCATAAAAGTCATCATAAGCATTGCGCTTCAACTACCGGTTTAACGCTAGCAGTCTAAAGATCTGATGTCCAACACATGGTCAATCAAATGCGCCATTTTCTAGGCGATGGTCAAAAGGAGAAAGCGGAATACCTTAAGAACAAAAGCTTTTTTTCACATCGCTTCTCGGAGAGCTCTGACCAAGGATCCCATCAGACACGCCGCTGCCGGCGATCTCAGATAACCTACCCTTGGAGTTGAGTCAAGACATGTAATCCTTCAAATCAAATTCACATAGCTCTCCTCGTCCAAAGTCTGGATGCCCCTTCAGTTCACAAGCAAAGTGGGCGGCAAGTGCACCAGCTAGAACAGAGTTACCCAGAGCACCGAAACAAGTTGATACTTCATAGCACCATGATTTTCCCCAGTGATCTTGCCTTCAATCTCGATTGGCGGCTTGGACCGAAGATCTAGGGACGAGATCAGCGTCGGCGGCCCAACCTCCCCGGCTCCTGGACATACGCAATGTACCTGTGTGGAGATCTGAGTGACTTCACACAAAGCTACCAAAGCGCACCGTCGACGATCATTGATATCTAGAACATTGCTGAACTAATTTCCGTTGGTAAAATCCAGATATAAGAGTTACCCTCTCCTCCCCTGTCTTTCTGTTAGATTGAGTCCCCAACGTCAGAGTCGGCCTTTGGAAGATGATGATGTCCTACTGTCGTACCCCGCCCACAGATCGTCGAATGGCGCTGGGATAATGACCCAGATATCGCGATCGATGAGACGCGATAGGTGCGGTAAGCGGCATCCAAACGAACGATAACTAGCATATATCATGGTAGGAAGGAGGTCTTGGTCCTGGAATAAAAGTGCTGCTTGCTGACGAGTACCTCTTCAATATTAATTTGACGCCAATGTCGATGTAAAGCTATTGGTCGAGTATCCAGCGAATAGAAGCAGCAATGTCTCGTACTCCTTTATTCGTCCCTCACCAACATCTGTCTTACTCTCTCCTTGGCACCCGGACATAGCAAGAAATCTTCAATCCGTTCGAAAATACGGCTGACATTGCATTCGGGTTGCTTTAGTAAGCTATTTCGTACACGCATACAGTTTCCCTGCCGTTGATATGTTTTCCCTGTGTATAACAAACCGTCATTCGGGATCTAACAAGTTTGCTGAGCATATAATATAAATGGGATTTCTGCTTACATATCTCGGTAAATAAGATCTCCCTGAACGACGCATCTGTCTATGTACGTATGTATGTATGCTTGTCATCTCACACTTCATCATTGCACTGCAACGATGATTCACGAAATGCGATGCTACATACATCTGTTCCGCTGCTTCGGTACCTCCCACGGTCATACGTGATCTGCATCATGTCCATGGCATCATAGTGGGAAGGGGGTGATCATTATTTATGTCTGCGTCCCTTCTCCAACGGCCCAATGATATTCGCACGCACGCTACCCTACGCGAAATGATACCTCCAACGTGTGATAATAGCCGTATTTTACCTACCTATCTAAGTAAGTATCAGCCTCCATACGTGAGATAGATCACCAGCTCCCAACTCCACGAAGAATAATACCAGGGCCTGCTGGCGTTAGATAGGCGAATTCCACCTCTAGACCGTGAACGCTTTGACGCAATCATCGTCCCCTTTCCCCGCCATGATGATACAGATGAGCATACCGCTTTCAGCGTCAGCCGCATGAGAAACCTGATGAGCGAGCTGAGCTCCCACGTCATGTAGGAAAGGCCCGGTAGCTGTTTGGAAACCTGCTTGGCCTACGTACCCGGTAGTAGGCTGTCAGCTCCCCCTCTACATGACCGCACCAGGTTATGGAATGCTCATACCCCTTACATCTGCAGATGATGGTAAGATATGATTAGGTGAACATTCACTACGTCACTGCCTCGGTAGACAGAAGAGAACAACCTCCAATAAGGAGGTGACGTTACGGATTTTGCGCACGCAGCCAGCACCTTTACGGAAACAACGAATGAGGAGTAGTTACCTATCTTCGCCCTCTCAACGTCGTCGATAGCCTGATAGCCTCTCCGTTGTGTTACACAGGGACGGTACCTGGTAGGTATGATATAAGCCCCGTAAAAGTCAATCCACCACGAGAATTACGCGAGCCAGCCAGCCCTTTACGAAGCTGAAAGGAACACTTCAACCCGACGTCAATCTAGCATTTTCCGCCATTGATCATGCTACTATGTAATAATCGGCACATGTATTGTACCTACATATTGTATTGTACAGTGCGACCGGGCTGGGATCTGGCCTGTACTCGAAAGAGTCGTCAGCTCCTCAGCTTATTGTTCATACGGAATCTATTATATATGTTATACTTAGTAGGTTAGGTGGGATAGGATCCGGATGTTCGATTGTACTCGTATCGTACCTAGGCTAGTGTGTAACGACACCCAGATTTCGAGATGGAGGAAAATCTCGGATCCGAATCCTCCAACGTCGTGCTTGATGATGCCATTGCCCACAGGTAACACAGAGAGCAGCTACAATAGCTACGTCGTAACACCGTTGATGTATTTTATATTTTATGTATGTAGGCTGACTTGACCATCTCCGGGCCGAAGTTCGTCCTATGCCCCTTTCTTTTTTCAATTTTATCCAGAATAACTACGTGTGTATGTGTAGGTACCTAGGAACGCTTTCGCTGCTACTGCTGCTGCTACATACTACATACGGGAGCGTGTTTATGGTGCTGTCAAAAAAGCTGCTCGGCTGTCGGCGCCGAAGGTACTAGGTTAGGGATGTAAATAATAGTGTAATATAACTAACTAAACCCCCCTGCGCTGTAATAATACCTATATTTTTTTTGTCATTGTCAAGGGGGTTCATCAGCAGTGCAGTGCAGTGCGCAGATGCAGATGGAATTTAGGAATTTGCCGACCCTAGTGGGACCTACATATTCTACATGCCTACCTAACCTTAGGTTAAAGGCCTACATATACCTAACCCCGTCAACCGTAGCGCTGCATTGCTTGGTCCGCATATGCGCGATGTTACTAGAGTATAATATAGCAGGGCTGAAAAAAAAAGACGTACCTAATGGAATACTACGTCAAAAAAAAAAAAAAAAAGAGAAAGATCGGAGGGGGTTAAGAGGGGTACGAAAACGAAAGAGGCCTCAAGATACTGATACATACCTACAGACGTGAAGAAACAAACATGCTTACTCGAAGGAAAAAGGAAAAAAAGGAAAGAAATGATCTGTGAATAGATTAACCTTGACCTAGTGGATTAAGAGAGTGGAATAATAATACCTGCCTCCTAAGAAAGGAGGGGTGCGGTGCGTATGTACGTGTGGTTACGCAGTCAAGTTCGCAGATACTGTACATACGTACATACATACATACATAACTATGTCTGTCTGTCTGTCGGCTGCACTTACGGAATCCAGTGGCATTTTGCTGCGGCGGCGCCCCTCGGGTTCGCTTCCCGACTTGAGCAGGTGGGAAAACCCAAGAACCTACTTCAACTCGGTGGATTTATTTTCTCCCCTTTTTCACCTTTCACTTTTTTTTTTTTTTTTGGTCTTGTGCTAATATTGTATTGCGTTAATATTGGCATTGGCTTTAAACTATGTGATGTGTGTGTACATACCATGTGCCAGATTGATAAAACTACCTACCTAGGTAGACAGGACAGTAATTAATAAAATATGCATATCGAAGCTGAAAATCAAATCAAAATGTGCTGCTATGTACCTATGTTAGGTACCTACACACGCGTGATATGTCTCGTCGACATGTAAAATAAAAACTCCCAACCGCATCGCATATCACCCACCGCCTCATCTCCGGCGTCGGCAAAGTCAGTTTCCTACATTGAGGATGGAAAAAAAAAAAGGGGGGGGGGATGGATAACAGAGACCTGACTGACATTGAAAAGGGCGCTGTGCTTTTCTCGTGTACCTACCTACCTACCTAACCTACCTACGTAAAGGGTATGCAGGCACATGTCCCCAAGAAGGTCCTGCCTGTCACGATGCGGACGGACGTTGCAATAGGGATACTACCTACCTACCTGCGCAGAAATGATGGTGGTCCCGGGGAAGCAGAGCTGCGCATTCCTGCCGCGGGCTGTTTCTGCAATGCACAAGCCAAAAGGGCCAAGCAAGCTTGATGCGTTCTTTTTTTTTTGTTTTTTGGTTTCCCTACCTGCCTGCCTGCCTGCGTTGCATACATACATACAGACCAGGTATGAATATACATAGATACCCGACTACCTACATAGGCAGGCAAGAGCCGTTAGATGTTAGATGTTGGGCGATGATAGGTGGGATTGAATGATATGACCTAGTAGGTGTAGAACGAACCTCAAGGATCGTTCGGCATCCCATCCCATCCCATCCCATTCCATTTATTCCCTTGGAGGATTTTCTCCCAGCCCTGTCGGAACCCCCCTACGTCACATCCGCATCCGAGCGAACACCCCCTCCCCGCGTTCGATCGTCACGTAGGTAACCCCACGGATAGTGATAGATGATAATAAAGAGGGACGGACTCGAACAGTTTGAAAAAGGGGGTTCATAGCGCATCGTGCGTCAAACTTAGGTTAGGTCGACGAGCTGAGAGTTTGCGGGTTTGCCGCTCAGGAACGGTGGGGGATTGTGGTGGACGTTATATTTTGGGTAAGGGACTGTAGGCTTGGGCTGAGGCAAAGGCATGAGGGCGGATGATTTTAAGAGTAGATGGTTTGATGACAGAGTTCTGCCCCTTAATAGAGGATATGCATGACTTATAGGCCTTTACCAGGTCCGTAGGTAGGTAGATAGATGTTCAACTACAAGGCTACAAAAGCACGCTGAGAGACTATAAGTTAACCCCTGATTTCACTATGCCCGGGTGTCTCATTTCTTGGACTCGAGATAGTTTCACGCTGCTGCGAATTTTTATTATTTAATATCATATCATGAACAGGCCGTGATTTAGGCACTGATTTGAAGCACATTTGTACCTACTTATGCGGCTACTGGACCAATGAAGCCCCTATTCCAGCCGTAAGTTTCGATCCCAACATGCAAGACACAAACCTAGTCCAAACCAACTCCTACTACGAAACCATCACCGATTTCGCCTTCCACCAGAGCCCCCTTAAAGACGCATGGTGTCGGCATTACAGCATGTCAAGCTCTCGCACAAGTTCCCGCACGCAATCTGGCAGGGCGTCGACGACATTTCCGGGCGCCGTCTTCTAATCGACGCACTCGTGGGTAATGCAGCCGTCGCCTGTTGAGCCGCAGTGGCTACCACCATTGGTCTCGCAACTAGGTTCTCCGTGCTACTAACCGAGGGAGACGGGGTGGCGAGCTCGGGCTGCAGTGTCGCGGAGTGAATTCCGTAGGCGTGCAGGCACTCGCCGACAGTGCGGGCTCGGGTCATGAAGTCCGTCATGTTGTTGTTGGACACGACGACGTGGGCGGTTGCGATGGCTTTCTTTTGGTCGAGACGCCAGATGTGCAGCTCGTGGACGGACTCGATTCCGGGGATCTGTTGATCATGGTTTAGTTATCAGTGTCCGTATGCATACGAAATGGCCCCGAGATTTAAAAGAAAAAAACACGGTGGGTTCCCATGAATGAATGAACTTACCTTCTCCAGGTCATGCTTGACGTCTTCAAGATCCACGCCCTTGGGCGCGCTTTGCATGAGGATCTTGCCACTATTTTTCACAAGAGGGAACGAAGAGAGTAGGATCATAATAGCTATACCCATACTCACGCCGGGGTCAGCGTAGAAGCGGTGCTGGGAAGTCGTGAGCCAGATGACCAAAGCGGCGATGATGACACCGACGTTGTTGAATGCGTCGCCGATCACGTGGATGAAGACTCCCATCATGCCGAGATCGCGACCGGCAGATTGCAGGTCCACGATGGTGTGGCGGTGCTCCGCATGAGCGCTGATGGGCTATAATTCTCGTGTTAAAGGCAGAGGATAAATAGAGCATGGAGGGGAGGGGAGTACTGACAGTTAAGGGAACCACATCTCGATCATCACCAGAGGATTCCGTCCCTTGTAAGCCCGACTCGACATTAACGTGGCGATGGCTTTGGTCGTGATCGTGTTCGTGTATATCAGTATGAGAGCTACCATGAGCATGCGAGTGGCCATGTCCACCATGGTCGTGGCCATGATGTTCATGCAACAGAGTTGCGCTGATGATGTTAAGGGTTAATCCAACACATCCCATAATCAGAACAAGCTTGGGGCTCTCGATGCCTATGATTAATTTGTTAGCAGGACTACACACCATGGAACCTAGATGTAATAACCCACGTTCGACGGCAATAAATCTTTCGATGGACTGAAGAAAGATGGAGATGCCGAGGGCAAGGAGGAAAACGCCATTGAAGAAGGCACCGAGTAGCTGAGCGCGTGCCCAGCCAAAAGAAAAATTGGTGGGCGACTCGGCGCGTTCCGAGACCTGTATTTGTTGGTCGTTAGTTAAACTATTCACGTTTATGTTGATGAGGGTTCTTTCAAGCATACAAGGATTGCGCCCAAGGCCACGACGAAGCCGATAAGGTCATTCATCTAGAGTGCTATATTAGCTGCGATGTTTATGAGCACCTATGCATGAACGGCAATATCTGGCATACATAATGAAAGGCATCGGCAAGTAGAGCGAGCGACTTGGTATAGAAGGCCACTATCGGAAAGAGTTAGATTCATCTTCGAAGATGTTATTTCAAGATTGCATAACATACCAACAATCTCCGCTACGAAGAAAGAGAACGATATGCAGATAATAGCACAAAGCTTCTGCTTTGATGAAAGCGTGAACGTTCCCATGGCCGAATAGGTTTTGATCGGATAACGATCCGGGGCCGGGTGGGAACAAGTTCGGGGATTGTTTGTCTTGGCTACCTAAGAACTTCGGCCCCCGAAGGAAAGATGTGTGCAAAGTTGATGAATGAGCCCCGAAAAAAAGGGAAGGAATTTCGATATTTTGCGGGTAAGATTGAAAAGTAAGAAAATCAGGCAATCATTAATGGATCCTTCGCTGTTTAGTAATTCTTTTGTGTACTGTGTAGAACCTGAAAATCGGAGAGAAATCCGTGTCTATTATGCATAGAACTGAATACAATACGCACGGTGTACCTAAGTAGACATAAGTAGGCTCAGACAATGACAGACATAAGTAGGCAAGCACCCAGTGTTTGTGTGTCTGCCGGATCTTGAGTCACAATCGCTTGTTTCTGTCCAGGTGCATACAAGTGTTTCTGAGAAATCGTAGGGAAGAAAACGGGGTAGAAAACGATGGGTATTTCTGTTGAATAAATCTCTGGAACAATTTATCCAGCAAGAAATCGGCGCAACGCTGACGACCCCAGTTATTTTCGAATCAACCGCGAAACACCAGTTGCTCCAGCTCTCCAGGTGATGGGGATCGTTGTTGGCCGATGCACTGGTTGGCCAACCTTGGAACCTTGAAACATCCCCGGTCGTAATAAGACGTACTTACTAAGACACCTTCGTTGGCACCGTTTGCTTCGTCAAGGCTATATCTGACATCTGTAAGCTTCAAGTCATATATACCCATAGCTTCGCACATATACCTGCGCGCTCTATAGATGATATGTTTGTGTGATACATCTATGCATACTAGGCCCTCCCCACTAGGATTACTTGTCAGCTTTGAGGGCGCATGGGAAAGGAGATGTTATTGAATGTTCACAGACCCATCAAAATCGAAAGGACCAGCTCACTGGGTCGCTTACAACGTGGGGGAATTGGATGGTGGATCGATCACTTTTAGCTGCTAGATCCAGCTCAGGTACATCCGAGATCTATTCCCCAACCTTGAATGATTCGTGGGGATGAAATAATAAAGTGTGGTTCGTACCACTCATCTGTGATAGCCTGTATTACTCATTTGCGTAAGAATATGAAGATGTTTTATTGAGCAAATAAAATAAAAACGATAAGTAGTCATGAATTGACACTTGATGCCATGGATTCCAGATCATGTTGTGATCCAGAGAGTAGAAGACCGTTCATATTAAGCACCTTCTTGACTAACTAATTCCTACATGAGTAGAGACTGCTGCACGTGTTCGGGAAATTACACACAAAAAAAAAAAAGAGGTTCAATTGTTGGTAAAAGTGACACTGCATATGTGGGAATCGATGAAGATGATGCCAACATTCCTAGGTGCATACCTAGTATGGACGCGGCTTCCCGAGACAACTAATGGAGTAAATATGAGATCTCTCAGACCTTCTCCATCCCTAGGTAGTACTAAGTATGAACGTGGGATCTGAGATTAGCAAGAACTGACATGATTCATCAAGTTGGACCCCTAAATCACCTAGGTTAGGCAGGTACCTACCTACCCTACGCAGTCATCTGACGTAGACTCAACGCCAACACCCTGTCAGCGCGTCATTGAACGGGATACGATGGATTGATGCTTCGTACAAAATAGGGTTGGCTACTGGTCAACTGCAAGGAAGGTGGAAGGAATTCCCTTGTAATGCCAGCTTGCAATCTCTCAAAAAGCGTGACAAGATGCATACCTTCCCAACATTTCGGGTGACACTTTCTCGAACCTCTCTAGCTCGCCCTGCCAAATATCGTTCCAGTCTGCCTTCCTTGAATGCTATCCCTAGTTTGAACACGTTCTCGACAGCTCATCAGCGACGAGGAGTAGTAGCAGGGACCATGGACACCATAAAGGTACGTATTTCTCAAAACCCCCAAGCCTAATTCCCGATTTGCTGACCCTCAGTAGAATACTATTGCAGAGAACCTGGGTGGCATAGCCCCAAATCTTGCTACCCATCAATTCAGCTTGGATCAGGTTCCCGACCTGACAGGCAAGGTCGCTGTAGTCACAGGCGGAAGCGAGGGAATTGGCTACGGCTGTACCTACACGCTGTTAAAGCACAACATCGCCAAAATATTCATACTTTCTGTGTCCGAGGAGGCTGTAAAGAGCGCCAAAGAGTGTATTGCGAAAGATCTTGGCCAAGAGGCAGCAAACAAGACTATTTGGATGCAGTGTGATCTCTCAGATTGGGTTAAGGCCAAGGATGTCGCCGAAGACATCAAGAAGAAGACTGACAGGCTCGACATCCTAATTAACAATGCAGGAAGGGGGATTATGACTTACCAACTCACCGATTATGGTGTCGACAGACATATGGCTGTTAATCATATGGGCCATGTGATTCTAACATCTCATCTGCTTCCATTATTGAAGAAGACGGCAGAGAAGGGAGATATCGTCCGTATTTCCAACCAGTCGAGTAACTTACACCAAGCAACACCCAGTGACACGAAATTTGAGAGCTTGGAAGAGTTGAATCGAGACCTTGGACCAAATATCCAATACGGTCGTAGCAAGCTTGCAAGTATTCTATACTCTAGGTTCTTTACACGCACGGTAACGAACGCGGGCTATCCTAAGCTACTCATGAATGCAACCCACCCCGGGTTTGTGAGCACCAAGATGAGCAAACAAGATATTTTCGAACCGTACCCGTTGGGCGGGTATGCAATGGCTGCCGGCTTGGAACCGTTCAAGAAGGACCAATTTCAGGGTGCTGTCTCGACCATGTTTGCCGCAACGTACACTCAGGAGTCGGGTCAATACATTTGCCCGTCAGCTGTACCGGAGCCTGGGAGCACGCTCTCACAGGATGAGGCACTGGCGGATAGGTTGATGGAATTGACATGGAAGATTGTGAAGGAGAAGACGAAACATGAGTCGGTTGATAAGGGTTGTCCTTTAGATGATCTCGTTTCTCAATAGATAGAATGTGTTCAGGTTATATGTACTTCAATATCGTTGATGTTCGCTTTTAAAGATTGATTTGGTGAAGAAATTGGGGAATTTGTTGAGTTATGCAGACTGCACGTGCTCAGACCGGGGTATTCAACCTTGACCCCACTTAACTACCCTGCAGGATGCAGCTGATCCATGTCTGCCCCGTCTAAAAGGGAAAGCGGTCGACTTTGTTAATTCTGCCACTTTATCGATTAGTCGAGATCGGGAAGCTTGCCTGCACAACCTAAACCTACAGCTTTGTAGATTTGTCTAACCTTACCATTCTACCAATTACTGCTTCGATGCTTCAATGTTTTCAATACTTTTAGATTCCATCGTCAGAGCTGTTTCCACATCAATGTCAGTAACCCATTCAAAGAATTCTTTAAAAATACTCACTGCCCTCACTGCCCTCTCTGTCGTTTCGTAATCATGCACATAGATATTCTGGACTTGGGATAATAGAGGCACGATGTCTCGGAATAACGCTCTTTCACCTGCGGCACCACGCCGGTCCACACAATGGACCTCGCATTTGCGACATTTCAGCAAGTCTAGTACTGACAAGGCTTCCGTCGACGCACCCCTCTCTGTAGAAACTGTATCTGGCAATTCAACCCCCAAACGAGTGAACGAACGGATATGTACCGTGACCATTAATGAGTCCGTTATTCGTGACGAGGTTCTTCTGAACCTCGATCTATTTGGAGGTACTATCCAGCCTGGAACTTTGATGTCTATCACCCCTTTAAAGCCAGACCAAGACCGACCGCAAGGTTCGCAGTATGGTTCCATGAGACAGGCCTCCTATCACCGAGGCTTTACTCCCGCTACTCCTACCGACGATGGCCTTAAAGCCGACGGTGATGTTAGTCGAAGATATATGTTCGTCGCGAGGGACATGTCTAAGGAGTTGAAGGCCAGACACCCGAATATCGAGGTATACGTCTCCAAACAGATCGCTGTTGCATTTAACATGAAAAAGGGAACCCAGGTAGCGCTGGCTTTAGTTGATCATCTTTCGCCTGCTAACGAAGCTTCCCACGTTGAGCTATCCTTTAAGGATATGTACATGTCCCGCGCTGACATGTGGAGGCTTGCGGTTGCCGATCTAGCTGACCGGACAGTATACAAGGGCCAAGTCGTATACTTCCTGGGCGCAATCAAGGCAACCGTGAGTACTGTTTTTGTTGACGGCCGCAAGGTCCAATCTGCTTTCTTCGGCCGCAATACCCGACCCATCTTCCGAAGCGAATCCGCTAGGTATGTGCTATTCATACAAATGGCGCGCGAGATGTGGGATTTCGACTCGGATGGTTCAGGGGAAATCATGTTTTACAAGGTGGTGAACGGATTCCTGCCCGCCCTGTTTAAGAAATGGGCTATGCTGCAAGTAAAGCACTTGGTCAGTATCGTGCTCTTCGCGAGGGTTGAGTACGACATCGGATTGACAACAGAGTTCGCCAATTCCCCCCTTTATAATGACTACTATACTGGATACCAGACATCTGGAGACAAGCGCCCGTTCAAGGACTTTTATCGTGTCGTTGTAAGTGAGATGTCTAGCGGGGAGTGGACTAGGATATTACATCAGCTCAAGATGGAATACAACGTCTTCCGCCGCGATATTAGTCTCCACCATCGAGAAGCCATGGGCAACGCTACCGATTTATCTGACGATTCTTCCATAAAGGGCACATCAGCCAGTAAGATAAAAGCACAATCTTCTTTGGCTATGCACGGAAATTTTCTCGAGGCTATCAACTTGGCTTCCTCTTTGTATGCGCATGATTATGTAGATAGAGACCTTCTGCGCACTGGTATATCCATTGTCGTAATTAGCCCAGGCTCGGGCGTGTTCGAAGTTGAATACGAATCCTTACGGCGGACAACAGAAGCTCTCGTTGGAAACGGTATCGGCATTGACCTAATCTGTATCCCAAATATACCGCTTCATTCCGTCCCCTTATTCCGGTATCGAAATCCTCACTTCCTAGAGGCTAATCAAAGACTACAGTCTCGGTCAGCTAGGAGCCGTGAGAGCACACCAAAGCAGCCTGCGCCGCTAGCTAGTAGCTATACTACTCTAGGCGAATCAGTTTCACCTACGAAGGCAGCTGACTTGTCTGGCCGAGTTGATCCGGCAAGTTCTGCATTGTATACTGATGAATGGGCCTTCGCCGTGCCGCAGTGGCTACATATTTCCTATTGGACTGGAAAATCAGAGGAATCCTTATCCTTCCAAGGCATCACCTTGTCCGCCTCGAGTCAATCCCCCAACCACTGTCAAGATGACTTCACAATTCGATGCAGGCTTTACGATCTTCAGATGAGGAGCGTACTCGAAACTAATGAGATTGAGACTACCCCGTTACACGCGGATCCTACCTATTCTAGCATTATCAGCAAAGTTGAAAATGAAAGGAAATTGCGAAGCGGTAGCAATGGTCTAGTACGACGGCATCGAAAGGCGTCTGAGACATTGTCCGAACCAGTATACGGCTTTCTGAAATTTATCCCGGACAAAATGATGAAGGTCGGAGATCCAACGCTGTGGAAACAGTTGCAGAAATTCGACGAATCCAGGGCTCGACTGCCAGCGAATAGACCTTTACCAGCAACACATTCCTACAGGGAGCTGGAAGAGAGCCCTGGAAAGCAGTTGATGGAGGATGCTAGCCTTTTTGGTACTTCGGTGGGAGACAACAGAGCAGCTGGCTCATCGACAGCATTATCGTCTAGCATCACTTCGTCAAGAAAAGTCGGCTTAGATGGCTCTACATCTAGAGCTGTTTCTCGGCGCAACTCTACCACCAAGAATTCCCAGTCTAAGCCACTGCCAGTGAAATTGCCTAAGTTCACAAGACAAATCAGCTTGGGCCAGCGCGGGTTCGGTATCGCAGCCCCCGCAGTGGCGACAGCCGAGCTTAGGACCGAAAACGTTACTCGGGCTGAGACAACCGGCCCGGGATCTCACGCTCCTTCAACCCCCAGAACGACGCCGATGACACCTGTTAAAGCTGCAGCTCGTCCAACGTCCTCAAAAGCCGCGAGTACTGGAAATATCGTACAAGTATCGGAACAATCTGATACAGTGACTGATCTCGTTCGAGCAACGCCAAGTCGTCCTATCCAGATCAACCATCCTGTACATATTCTAGATCCAGGTAGCACATTGAGATCCGGTCAGATACCAGCTACGCCTATCGCTAGGAGTGCACGTCCTGATGACCGAGATCTTAAATACTCGAACGCTCTACGAGAAGAGGACCAGAAACGACTATATAACTCAAAGCTGAGGGCCGGGGGCGTGCCAGAACTACCGTCCAAGCTGTCGCCAACTACTGCTATGGCGCCATGGCTGGTGGTTCTCAACCCGTCCAACCCAAATGTTAACAAGGTCGACGATTCGATCCTCTTCAGCCGGTGGCAGCATGTCTTTCCACGCCCATCTGAGATGAGAGTCATGAAGTGGAAATCTCTGTCCTATCCTGCAGCGGTTCCGTTGACCACGGAGTACTTCCCCACCCAAGCTCAGTTCAATGCCGAGTATCAACGCCAGCCATACAATATATCCCAAGAGATAGACGATGAATACACAGAACAGCCCAAGTCACGCGCGGAATTCTTGAGAGAGCTAGTCAGTGCTCGTTTCTCACATGGGTTTCAGGTCGTGATCGGCCCATCCGTGGCTAAAGCATTCGATCAGAAGGCAGTGAGAATTGCAGACGTCTTCTCCATAGACAAGACCGTAGGTGATGGCACAAGCATTTTCATGAGTATTGGCAACACGATTCACCAGCTATCGTGTGTTAACGGCACCGAAGTTGAAGTGAACATTTACGTGCGGAAGCCAACTGAGCCCCTTGCAGAGATGCATCAATCATCACTATACAAGCCGGCAATCCGTACCTTGCTTGACGAGACATATCACACTATCGATGTGGACATTATGACTCCCAAACCCGAACGTAATTGGAACTATATAGACTCTTACCTTGCTGGACACACAGATGAAATGACCGAAAACCTAAGATTTTGGCGGGCTCGCTTCGTGCTCATACCAATGCACGCCCGAACGTCTTCAGTACCACCAGTACGAAACGAGGATGACGAAGAGGAGGTTCGTCTCGAGGGCATCAAACGACTTGCCCAACTATGGCAACGGCATAGGTTTTTATCACCATCCGAACGCCAGTTCCAGAGCGCTGGCGCGAGTAAGCGAGACCCTAATCCCCTCGACATCATCTATAAAACCGAAGACTCGTCCGTAGTAATTGCCGCAGAGATGGAGACCCTTCCCCTATTCGAGAATTATGAGAATACGAATCGGAAAGGCCTGGTGTCGGATAGAGAGCGGTTTTCAAAATCCAATTTCAATGTCGCTGCCCTAGCTGAAGCCATTCAACAACCTGTTGAGCTAGGAGGAATAAGAATGCAGACAAGACGGTGGCATTTTCGAATCCATTACCATTGTTTTATCGGATCAGACATGACAACCTGGTTGTTAGACAACTTCGAAGACCTTGATAGCCGTGAAGAAGCAGTTGAGCTAGGAAATTCACTCATGGTCACTGAAGAAGATAGATCGAGAGATAAGGATAAGGAGCCTAGCAAGGACGCGAAGAAAGATCGTGACCGCGGAATCTTCATACATGTTGAGCGGAGACATCCCTTTCGCGATGGCCAGTTCTTCTACCAGATCGTAAGCGAGTTTGCCAAGCCTCACCCCCTCGGCTGGTTCAACGCGAGGAGAAAAGACATGTCCGTGCCTTCGACGCCACTAGCAGAGAACCCGCCGAAGGACTCGCCTCGGCCGAACTATGCTGCTATGCAGAAGCCATTGTCAATCTACGAGGAAAATTCTCCGATATCAGGTAGTACCACACCAACTGGGAAGAGGCCCAAGGTCGTTCTCAGCAAGATGATGAAGTACGATGTCGACCACCGCAAAAAGTCCTACCGCCCCGAAAGGATCAATTTGCATTACGACCGGCTCCACAATCCTGATAACTGCTACCATATTCGCATCGACTGGATGAACGTGACGGCGAAACTCATTGAAGATGCACTCAAGGCCTGGGCAGCCATAGCGGCGCAGCATGGCCTTCGTCTCGTTGAAGTGCCTATTGCAGAGGCTTGTCGTATCACGGATGTTAATCCATTTCGGAGACCTTATCGCATCAAGCTTGCCCTGCCACCCCCTAGCCAACGACCTGCGACATATTATGATCCAAATTCTTTTGGCCCGCAGACGTACCCAGGGAAGTACTATTACCAAAAGGCTCTACTGAAAAAGTTCGACTACGTCCTTGATGTTGAGGCTGCCTCCAACTTTCCTAGCAACGTCGACGTCAACTACTCATGGGGCAAGCCGGATTTCCAATATTCCCAATATATACATCGTTCAGGGTTGGTTATGGCACAAATAACCGATGATGGCGATTTCCTACTTGTAGCCAACAGGTTGTATAGTAATCGCACAGGCATATACCAGCCCGCACAAGCACGTGCCGAGGCAGCACCCAACGAACGCGTCTCACGACTCATCAATGCCAGTGGGCATGCAGGTTACGGACCCCTTGAACCGACGCCAATCTCATCGCCCATGTTCAGGCCCGTTCTTTTCGCATCTGCTGCCTCACGAGCACCGGTTGAACCATCGCCTAACAGTGGCTCCAAAACATGTATACCAATAGCCAACTCCCCTCTTGGCGAGCCTGAAGCGCTTAAAGAAACCCTAGAAACGTTCTGTAGCGATGCCAAGGCTCTCGAAGCATTCTACAAGATAACGTTAGAAAGGGGCATAACGGGCACGCCTATGGGTGGAGCAACGTCATTGGGGCCTGATGCAGTTCCTGATGCTAGTATTCCAACACTTGTCCTGGGGGGTACCAACATTAGTGCAGAATTAGGTTCTAGTGTTGGTCCTAGAGCGCCGGCACCCAACCTGGCGGGTTCGTTACTGTTCCGGCGTGGTAGTGTTCAGCATTAGGCATTTCCAGCCTAACATACCTAGACACGATCTTGGAAGCTGACATGCTACCCTCCAAGGACTATGACGGAAAAAGCATGGTTAGGTATGGTTGCTTGAAAAGGACCACCTGAGGGTGCGTCTTGGAGGATGTCCAGGGTATGAATGGTTTAGGCCTTCATATTATTATGCTTTTTGTAATCCGGCAGTGTCTTGTCTTAGGCGACATTGAACGCAACGACTGCTTATATGCCTCATGTATTTGTAAATGAAGAAACTTGGCTTGGGCAATGAATTCCCAGGAAAAGCCCTTCTCTTGCCGCAACTGTTGTCCTCGGCGTTGTTCGAGGTCATCTATATTACTACAGCAAGAGTATTTGGTTTTCCCATAGTGCTTTCTGTTTTGGCGTACATAATATGTACTGTACCTACTTACTAGATAATTACCTGATAGGTGTAGAATTATCGGTGAGCGGTGAAGGTCATTTCTGATAGGCCAACCTAGGTATGTAGATGGTCCGTAGGTAGGTTGGGCGCAGGTGCAGTGTTGCGTTGGATGGGTAGTAACCCGGAAGCTCACCTACCTACATATGTAGTAGCTCGGGTGAACTGTCAGATACTCTGCCACGATAAAACGTCATGCGCCACGATGAACGTCTGCCGATTCGTCCCAATTTACCCCCGTCGTCGGGAAAGCTTCATTGCAGGCTTCCCTGCATAGTTGGTATGATAGGGTTGCGGACGTTTCCAGAAAAACATAGCAAAGCCACATACGACTTGACACATGGGCGACACGAGGCCAGTTTTTTCGGGGTTTCCTCCGTCCAGGACAACGGGCTATAATTATGCGTTGAAGACTTGGTAGGCAGAGTCTTTATTAGATAGATTCTAGGCTGTTCACGTTCATGTATGGCGTATCGCTGAAGGACCTTGCAGGTTGCAGGGCTATGGGATGGGATTGGTAGGGGCTGAATCTGGAGTTGAAGGACATCAGATGGTGGAATGGTTGGATTGGATGGATGGCTATGTATGTTAGGCATGCATTCATACAAGTGATGTCTATTGGTTGGTGTAACTCGATAACTATTCACCATCAATTAATGTTGATGATATTAACCTAGATACATGTATGTAGAATTCGCTCACATGCATATGTATACCCCAATACCAACATTGTTCGCCTTGAATTGCATCTTTCCTTCCAATGTTTGAATGCTCTTAGCCTCTTACGTGGGATATGTACTTAGGTAGGTAACTACCCCCTTAATTGGGTTCTCCTAAGAGTCCTAACCCAACTTGATGCAACTAAACTCAATGTAAGCAAGATCCGTGTGGCTACCATGCGTGCGTGGCACTGCCGCTAAATGCTAACCTGCCTAATCAGGGGATTTCTCACGACCTGTTTTCGCCTTTCATCTTTCGCGAACCGAATTATCGGAAATACTAAAATACTATTAATTAACTTAAGAACTTGATGTTCTAAATTCCAACAGCTGCAAGGTCATGCATATGATTGTTGTCGGAACATTTTGTTGTCCGAGTTTCCGATATATAGGTATGTACTAGTAGTATATATTTAGTTGTGATATATTAATTATTACTTACTACACATACCTACGGTGCTTTTATGAGTCAGCTCATCCTGTGTTGCTAAGTGTTTGGTTCTTCAATGACATTCACGTTTGTCGATAATGTTTTAAACTACTTCTAAAAACAACTGGAGAATTGAGGAATTTGAGGGCAATCTTTATCAATGATCAAACAAGCTTCACCCATGCGATCCTTGTCATCCATGTAGCACATTATACAGGTACCTACATCAAGCTCCTTGGTAGAACACAATGAAGCTTCTTAAGTTCGCTTGGCCAAAGCTTCATCCAACCTTTAGTTTCCTGCTTACCCTAGGTAGCGTACAACAATTGGTAGCACATTAGATCATTATGCATGTTATTCTTGCCATCCACCCACGTCAGTATTTCATGTGGGAACAAGGAACCTGGTGAAACAACCAACTTGATTGAAAAGCCATCAATGATGACAACATTTCAATGTTTAAGTCTAACATGAAAGCATCATATGTTGACACGTACATATTATGTGTACCTACTTTCATACCAACATTGGAACCTTGAACGTACATACATCAATAGACCTTATACAGTACTAGGCACTGCCTATCTTAAGCACATGCAGATATGTAACTAAATCCAGGGATATCTACGGTATCATCAGATCATGACCATCAATCATTAACTTGTGAAGAAAAAAAGCGAGCACCTAAGTTACCTACCGAGGTAAGCACTTTGATGTTTTGCATCTTTGTTGACCTTCGCAAATATCCGCTGCGGAAATTTGACAGCCGAAAAAAAAGGGGAGCTTCAATCCGTTGTATGTAGTACCTAGAATTAAGATTTGAAAATAGCTGGCTAGCGCCTTGCCCCCCGGCGCTAGTGACACAAGACCCACAAAGTACCTGTGAGTTCCCATGTACAGTGCATGTACAACATGGCTGCATATACATGAGTACATAAGTGCGTACACCAAGAGTACAGGCACTGGGGTCTTTGACCAACATCGAACTTTAAAGTGTAGATACCGGAGATATCTTAGATGATTTCAAATGTTGGAAATGGTAAATTCAAATACTCAAAACGTTATTCCCTAATAAAGTGATGAGGTAAGAATCTCATGGAGGCCTCCATTTTATATCAGGCCAACTTCAAGCTTCACTGCCTCTCTAGCAGACGCGTCTCAGTAACTAATGAGGTGTGTGGGCAGTGAATAACATATAGTGTATTTGTATTGAAAGGCATGCGTGTACTGAGGCATCCTACAGCATGTATCTTGTGGACCTCGGTACTTAACTGACTTCATACATATACATGTATGTATACATATAGAACCTAATATCCACTGTTGTACTACACAGTTCCAATCGCAATTTCAAGGTATCAAGGTACACTAGGTAGTTCGCTCATCGTACACTCCACAATTGCTTCTAGCTTTCAAGTCAGTTCTCTTTTCTGATAATTAATTCTACCTTTTCTCTCCTCCATTGTCAATTGTCTATTGGCAACTCATCAAAACTTTGGGTATCTTCTGCCCTGCCATCGCTCTGTAGACTCCTCTCCCTACATGACGACTACTTGATCGCTTCTATTTCTTATTCACTCATTTCTTACCACGTCCAGCCATTATCAACATAATTTACCACCACATTCCTAACCGCCAAACCCCCTTTAATTCGATATCCTCTACCAAAAGGGATTCCCTTTGGTTGACTTTACATCAAATTACTGCAGATATTCGAACTGCTACGGTTCAAGGACTGTTCATAGGTCGCGCTCTAGAGTAAGACAGACTAGAGTAGCAACAAGTCCCTATACGATCGACGTCAGGCGATTACCTACATACATATTCCGAATCTAACAATTCAGCCCCCAAATCTACAACGCAATCGATAGATATTGCATTGACCTCACCCCATATTTCTCAAGTAAGGCTGAGGACTAGCCTTCATAGGGCTTTATCAAGATGGGTGACGAATGTAAGTCCATCACTTAAACATCCCAGATCCTCCAATTCCCAGTGGACAAAGAAGAAGGAAGGGCAGAGCAAGGAGGGTAAGGCAGGGCAGTGAAATGGCGCAAAGTCCATTGCGAATCACAAAGCAATTAAGAAGCCTTCAAGGCGGTCTTTCGCATGCTCAATCTCAATGGTAGATGAAGTATGAGTCTAGCCTGCCTACCTGTCCTATCAGCCTGCTTCTTCTAGCATCTTTCACGTTGTCACTCGCATATCCCCTATATCTTCTCTGCTGAGGGTGGGATTCACGAATTTTGCCTTTTGTACCAAAACAGGCGCTTTATATTCTATTATCTTGCCCGCCACTTCTCTATTATGCACATTATTGTTCCACAAGTCATTGTCCTCTACTCCACTACACCGAACCCCGTTACCATTTATTGCGCCCTTTTCTGTTCCCTTTCCCTTTCTTCCTCCATCAAATCAGCTTCCCAAAATCTCAACAACCACCCGTTTTTGGGATTGTGGCAGATTTAGATAACTTACTTATATTATGGATATGGATATAGTGAACATAAGGAAAATCAGGGCCAAGGCCCACGCTATGGGCCGTCGCGATTCGGGTGGTAGTGCTCGATTTAACCCCTTTAGACACATCGCCTATGGAAATCCGAAACGAGCAAGCACGGTGGACGCAGCGGAACGAGGAATGGCGAATGGCGAAGGTGACACGGCACGACTTAATCCGTCTACAAGCGCGCCGGGACGTCTCTTAACCCCGATCCAGCAGTCGTCGAGGAACAGCAAGGAACTTGATGGTGCTCATGGTGATCAAGGCGAGGTATACGAATCCCAAGCGCCCACTGTTGGGAATGATGGCGATGTGAATAGTATCGTTCGACATCGTGGCTCCCAAGAGGAAACTACCACTGGGCCAGAAATTTCCGACGTGGAAGAAAAGCCGAAGAACAGCAACAAGAGAACTGCTAGTGATGGCTTCTTCAAGCACATCGAACCAGCCGAGCCTTTCACGGCCTGGAATCAGATCCAACGCGTCTTCTTCTGTTCGCCCATCAATATCTTATTGTTGGCAGCACCGGCAGGCATTGCTCTTCACTTCCTAAATTTTGATGGCAGGGTTGTATTTGGTGTCAATTTCGTGGCCATCGTTCCGCTCGCTGCGATGCTAAGCAACGCTACTGAAGAGATCGCTATGCGTACTGGAGAGGTTCTTGGTGGTCTCATCAACGCGTCTTTCGGGTAAGTTATTGTCAGTCGGAAAAACTTTATATTAAGTGCTAATTTATCAGAAACGCCGTGGAACTAATCGTAGCCATTATCGCTCTCACCCAAAATCAGATCAAGGTTGTCCAAACATCTTTGGTTGGCAGTATTTTGTCTAATCTGCTTCTTGTTCTTGGATTCTGTTTCTTCTGTGGAGGCATCAACCGACGCGAGCAATTCTTTAACACGACCGTAGCCCAGACAGCCGCCAGTCTTCTGGCTCTAGCAGTTGGAAGTCTTATCGTGCCGACCGTCTTCGCCCACACCGATGACTTGAACTCTGGCGATATTGTTCTCAGCCCCACCGCAGTCCCCAGTCTGTCTCACGGTGTCGCCCTGATCTTGCTGATCGTCTATGCCTCTTATCTATTCTTCCAGATGAAGACGCATGTTACTCTCTTTAATGAAGAGAGTCAGAAAGTCGCAGGCAAGCCGATCTTCAAGAAGAACCTACCAGAGAACGCCATTGCTTCCGGAATTGCTAGGGCAGGCGCCACTCATGCTGGTGTTCGTGACGAGAACGGGAAATTGGGTGAGATGATGATAAATCCTATCGGCAGCGAGGAAGAAGAGGAGGAAGGTCCGCAGCTCAGCTTTGTTGTTGCTTTCGCCACCCTCATTGGTGCTACTGTCATTATTGCACTCTGCGCCGAGGGTATGGTCAGTGGTATCGAAGCCATCACCGCTTCCGGTGCCGTCAGCGAAGAATTCGTTGGTCTCATTCTCCTCCCGATCGTCGGAAACGCTTGCGAACACGCTACTGCTGTCACCGTTGCCATTAAGGATAAGATGGATCTTGCTATTGGAGTTGCCATTGGATCTTCTATGCAGGTTGCCCTTCTTTTGATTCCGTTACTTGTCATCATTGGCTGGGGTATGGGCAACCAAGATATGACTCTCGCTTTCGACACTTTCCAGGTCATTGTACTATTTGTCTCGGTGCTTCTCGTCAACTATTTGATCGGTGACGGAAAGAGTCACTGGCTTGAAGGCCTTATTCTGATCTGTCTATATGCCATTATAGCTACATGCGCGTGGTGTAAGTTGAGAACTTTCACAACCCCCCCCCCCCCTTTTTTTTTTTGGATACTCCAAAAACTAACACAAGAATAGTCTACCCCGTCATCCCCGACGGCTCAACAGGATAGATGTCTTTAAACTGATATCGAAATTGCGAAAAGTTCCGAAATTGCAAAAATAATGCGTTCTCTAATGACAGTCTTACGAACTTGATTTGGCCCCCCTTCTAATGTTGAATGGAGTGGGAGTCTTCCTAATTTTCTTCTAGACCTTCTCGCTGTAGTATATTGCACAAAAGAACGACAAATATTTGTCTATCCCTTCGGATACTGTTCATGACCTACCTTTTTATGAATCTTGTTCAAGTCCCCTATTCATTCATTCTACCAACTCTTTTTTTTCTTTTTTTTTTCATCGCAGACCACGAAAAATCTTCCAGGATTTTTCACGAAGAGATTCGGCGTTGGGCGTTGCTCATTTTCTGAGGAGTAAACAAACGAACAAATCAAATAAAGCAAACGAACAAGGTCGTTATCAACGCTTTCTGAAAGGGGGAAATCTCTTCGGGGGATAGTTCAGATCTAGCAATTGGGGCGGGCCATGAACCGATCGATCACCGATTTCGCAATCTTGAATTCCATTTAACAATGAACAACGGAAACACGAGTTTGTTATTCGAAAGCTACGACTGGGGGAGGAAATCACGCTTTGCCCATTTACGTTGTTTGCGGCCCCTACGACCTATAGAAAAAAAAGAGATGGAAAGAAAATACCACGTTCATGATGTTAATTTGCTTGCTTCCTCGGAAGGATATACCTTGAGAGAGAGAGATGATTAAGGGGGGGTTGGTTTGGACGGAATTGTGTTTATGCTCCGTACAATGTTGGTCTAGATGGTTCTTGCTATACCCAAAATGTTAATGAATTCTTCCTCTTTTTTCTACAAAAAAAATGGAAAATTTTCATGAAATCAAACTGGCATGTTAATAAGTTGTGATTGTTATTGATATGGCAACGGTACCTAATGCCTAACTTACATACTTGTAATTCAAAGTGTCTATTGCAAAACTACCCTTCAGAGAGTCATACAATATATACATAATGTTACTGTCTATAAGCAACCTGAAAGCCCTATATTAACGAGGTTGCTATCCCTTAATCCAAGCCACAGGGGGGTATATTTATATATACTACGCCGTACATATATTGACCAGTCCCCCCGATTCGTCTACATCCACCTCGTAACATCCTATCACAATCCGTAGGTGCCTGCCTGCCCGCCTGCCTACCTTACCTGGGAGTACCTAGCCAGTAATATAAAAGTAAACGCCCCTTGCTTTTCCTTCCCGGGCCCGAACGCGGCTATGTATGTATGTACGTATATATGTATGTATGTATGTATATATGTATGTGTGTATGTGTGTATGTGTGTATTGTACAAATAGACTGGCTAGGTAGGTAGCAAACGGATAGATAAGCCCTGAGCTGCTGATATCGGTGGCTATTTATAAATACATACCTACCTAACCTACATATGTCGTGGCAGCGTTTAGTCTTAGCCCTATCGGGTAGGTGCTTCGCGTCGTCTCGGGCTCCCGGGTGACAGTTGTCAGTTGTTGCGGATTTGAGGTGATATACTGTACGATACTTACATACCTACCCAGGTGCCTGGTCATACATATCATACGGGAATGCAGGCAGGCAGGCAGGCAGACGGATAGGAACTTACAGTAGACAACAATCAAATTCATGAAATGAAAGCCAACACCCGTTTAGCAAGCCCTGGACGGATGAGGGCAGTCAGCAGCGGGTACTGTAGGTAGGCATATCAGGCATGGAGAGGTGACTATTGGTAGTAAGGCGCTGGATCATGGATGACGTGTCTTGACTCTTGCCAGATGCTGTAAAGACATCAGTCCTACTATGCATTGATAGTACCTGGGTACCTGGATGATTAACTACCTACCTAGGTACATATATGTAGATAGTAAAGCGCGTGCGCCACGTTTCTGTGGCTCGAGCTGTGTGGTGTGTTTGTGACGGAAATATAACTTTTTGTGTGACTACCTAGCCGCGTGAGTAGGGAGGTGGACTGTGGACCTAGGCAGGCGGACGCGTGCATTCTATGCGCCGCCATTGTTATTCCGGGGTCCGGAGTACGGCAAGCTTTGTGTGGCAGTAGGGCGTGTAGGTAGGTAGCACACAACTGAGTACGGAATCTACATACCTCGATCTCACCTGATTTGCATGGCACAGATATCATGCCCCTTTACCTAAGACCGTAGCTGAAAGCTCAAGGCTTGGTTGACTTCCTACATAGCGTCCATGGGCATGCTTGGGGTCGTCTTCGGGCTCAGGTGACACATGAGTATCGACCTACAGCGAATGTTGGATCGCCCTTCCATGGAGATGATGTCCGAAGTATGTATGTAGGTCAAAAGATGATTCCTTCCAACGGGGTATCTCTCATCTTTGATCATGCCGAGGATTTGTCATTACCGCAATGTTCGAGCTAGGGATACCTTGTTATGCTTTGAGCCGGTGACTTATTGAGGGTTTCGTTTGAACCTGGCTAGTAAACCTTGAATAACGTGCTCTGTATCATACATGTATGTGTACTTGTACATAGTAGAAACTTTGAATTGATGGATGGTACTGGGTACCCACAGAAAGATTTGAACTGCATGTGGTTTTAGAAGTTAAATTGTTGAGGTCACGTCAATATTTGAACAGACATACATACTTTTCGACTTCTTTACTTGATTTTTGATGTTGTTGTTTCCAAGTAAATTTACTAACCTAGGTTACCTATACATCATAGTGAACGCTCTCCAAAATCTTGCTATCGCTCTCCTGCCACGGATACGTGTCCTCAATTGCCCTGACCAGCTTCTCATGGTGAGCAGACCGAGGCTTGATAGCATTCCTGAACGGCACCGCGTGGCTGACCACGCCCGGCTCGAACCGAGCTTCTGGTGTTATTTCCTTCCCATTCTCTATGAGCTTACTGATATCGAACGCGGCTAGCGTTTTGACCACGTTGAGATAGAGAGCGTTGTCGGCGAGAAGACGGCCGGGGCAGATGCGCCGCCCGAAGCCGAATACGAAGATTCTTGGGTCCGGCTCTGGCTTGTGTCCGTCTGTGTCTAGGAATCGCTCTGGCCGGAATGTCATGGGGTCTTGGTAGACGTCAGGGTCGTGTGTGAAGTGCCTAATAGGTAGGTAACTATTAACATGCCATTCATTATTAATTTAAGGAGCAGGACATCGTGCGTGCTTACCAAACGTTCGTTAAAATCATGCTTCCCTTCGGGATGAAGTACCCCTCGCAGATGTCGTCCTGGGTGCTTGTATGCGGGAGAGCCATCGGCGCGACGGGGTGCCAGCGCAGAACCTCCTTCACAGTGGCCTCAATGTACGGTAAATGCTCGCGATCCTCCATAGTGGGGAGCCGGTCGGGCCCCACGACTCGGTCGATTTCCTCCTGTGCTTTTCGTTGGACTTCCGGGTACAGTGTCATAGCTAAAAAGAAGGTCGCGATTGCAGACACGGTCTACACATATTAGCACATCTGACAAACACTCTGGCACTTTCATTGCCCGCCAACTACATCGAGAAAAAAGAAAAAGAGGGGAGCTTACGGTATCAGCCCCAGCGGTATACAGAGCCATGGCCGACCATTTGTTCGTGAACTGTTCCTCTGGATGCGAGTCACCCGACTCCATCAGCCGGGATAGAAACGATGTCTCATGCTTGCCCTTGGACATCTGATGCTTGACGAATGCGTACGGCTTCTCAATCACCTCATTGAGTTCAGCTCTCCACTGCCGGCCAAGCTTCTGAAACCCAGTTCCTGGGAACCAGCCGGGAAGGTTTCTCACTATATTGGTTACGAGTCAGATGGAAGAGCCTATAAAGGATAGGTACCTGTATTCAATAGGTAAATCGCGCGGATGCTTACAGAAGGGCAAAACGTCAACCACAAAGGCACCAGGGACGGCGGCACGCCCAAACTTATCCATAGCGTCACCGGCCATGTCTACCAAGAGGTCATCCTTATGTGATTCGGCTGTGTAGCCGTAAGCGATCTTCAGTATCACAGCTCCCGCCTCCCTTAACAATTAAATACATTAGCAAAAGGAACAACACAACTCTTATATGCCTATCTCTCCCACCTGAAAGGCCCGTGATAGGCAGAAAACTTACTTTCGAATGTGCGGCACGAGAGTCTCCGGTTTCTCTAGAAGATGAAGCAAGAAGTGGCTTACTTCGGCCTCCTGCAGGGTGTTAAATTGCGAAACCGTCACTTTGGTGCCCATGATGCGACTCATGTTCTTCCGGTATGTTCGGAACCGACTGTTGTACGGGGACAGAGCGAGAGCATTTCCCCAACCCACACTGTTGTACCACTGCCGTTAGTCCACTGAGTATCAAGATCTGAAGCCCACACGCGCGGTAGAGGTATCGGTAGTAGGTGGCACGACATACATATCACCTGCAAAAACTTGCTTGGGCCGTGATGAATGCTTCACCGAGCGCTTCTCTAACAGCTCGAACGTGATTTGCGCATCATTGACTATTACTATAGTTTGTCCTGCTACGTTGATAGAGCTAATGGGACCTGCAGACAAATACGCCATACAACTCATTAGCATCCAGATTCCATGTAGAAGTCAGGATTTCGTGGCAGGTTGGGGAAACGAACCATAGAGCTCTTTATGCTTGAGCCAGTGGTGCGCTTCGAACTCGCCAGGCTTGGGGAGGTCGTTTAGGTTCCCGACAATAGGGAGCCCCTTCGGTCCGGGTGGTAGCGGGGGGTTGCCGCCATTTTTGAAGAATTGTACAACTTTGCTTGCGATGTACACGAAAACTACGCCGATCGCTAGGCTGATGGCGAGCGGTGAAAAGTCCATGATGGTTGAAGAAGGACCGCAAAGCGTGAAAGCTGCTAGACGAAACCCAACAGCGGACAACCAGGGTTTTATGTCTCAGATATCCGATCTTCTCTTGGCATCTTCGATCGAGAGACTAAAATATCACAGGCTAAAAAGCTATAACCCCAGCTACATTTACGTACGAACTACTTTACTTATCTAGGCACATAACTGGGTTCAAGATGGTCAAACATGAAGCTTCTCCTCTGTCCAGTGGCTGGCCTTATAGCTTCCATCACCCCCATGGTAAATATGGAGTTAGCTATAGACTAGTAACAATTTACTATATTCTGTGAAAGCTGAACGGTAGCACTATACGATGACTGCAGAAGACTAGGTAATAGATACCCATTCAACATTCACAACCTACCTCCTCTACTAGAAATTTTCAAGCCGGCCCGTTTTTAAGGAAAAATGGACGGGCTTTATGTAACAACGGGTCTTTTATTTTAAACAGGAAACGCTTCACCGGCATAGAAAGTTATTATTGCAGGTTTTTGACTCTCTTTATATTAGGCAGACATATAGATATACCTAGGGTAGCTATTTGTGAACCCCGCCCACTTGCTAAGGTTAGTTACATACATGTGCGGATGGGCCTATGAACGGCAAGGCTAAGGTCAGCTATAGTTACTGTTAGATAAATAGGGGGGAGGGGAGGGGGGGAGGGTGGGTCTAGTACGTAGTACTACTACTACCTACTGATGTAGGTAACTAGCAGCCAGGGGCTGCACGTGATTTAGAGCAGGTCACCTCGGACTTCGATCCCAATGATCCATCTTGAATAACTAACTAGGACGGAAACGCAACGGGTGGGTGGTGGGTGGGTTGGCCCGTTTTGGGTTCGAATGTTGGTTTAGGTAGGTAGGTAGGTAGGTAGGTAGGTAGGTAGGTAGGTAGGTAGGTCGTTTTGGCCTAGAGACTGCCGTTTTTGGGGGACCCTAAAATTAAATACCTGCCTAACCTACAGTGCCTAGGTACCTAACTAACTAACTAATAACCACTAGCCTGGAGCTTGTGCCGTATGGGGGGGGGGGGGCTTCGAACTTGGAAGCGAAACTAGGTAGTTATGTATATACGAAACCGAATTGGTAGGTAGGTAGGTAGGTAGGTAGGTAGGTAGCTTAGCAAATGTTGTTTGGACCTATCGTGATAGATACCTAGGTAGTATGGAAAAGAGGTGCTCTGTCTATTCAGTTTCCGTTTCATAATGTGATCGGATGAATACCTAGGCAACATAATTGCTGAGCATGATAAACGCTATTGGTAATTCTATAGAGCTTCTAGAACACTCAAGCTCGTTGCAAGCTCACAGGGCATTGGCTAGTAAGTAAGTACTAGCAGAAAAATATGAATTGGTATTGATAAGATCCCTCCTCGATCCCTAGGTATCTAGTCCGCCTAGCAGCAGCGATAAATAGCATCGACTCCCGTCTATCTCGGTCTCTAGCTCTCTCTGTCTCTAAAGACTCTAAAAATAATTCAACGCACTAATAAATGCCGAAGCTGTCTAAATGACTTTGCAGACCATGAAGTGCCGAAAGAGAGTAGAAGGACGAAAATGTCCTCTACCGAAATCTATGATGAAAATACCGGGGATCTCTGCGTTCTAAACTAAGTGAAAATAATGCATAGATCTATAACCTTCCTTTAGCAGCCTCCTTGACGCTAACCTTGCCCGCGACAACATCAGCGACGACTTTGTGGATATCAGAGAAGTCGTTGAAGGTAACGAAGGGCACCTTCTCGTTTTCACAGTACGTGACCAAATCTGACCAATCAGCGCCTTGACCCCTGAATATTTGACGACTAAAGGATGACAGAAATTGGAAAAAGGGGGTGATGACACTTACCTCGGCCAGCCTTTGCGAATAATAAATCGGTCTCTTTCGCTGCAGACAGGTCTGATACACCGTCCCCAGCATAAAACATGATTGGTCGATTGGGAAGCGCAGTGTAGGGCTTAATCTCAAGGGACTTGTCATGTCCGAACACACTACAGTTCCGTATTACATCAGCGATCGAATACTGGCCGAGAGCAACTGGGTACCAATATATTCATTCATATGAATTGGCAGAGAAATTAAACGCAAAATAATTGACCTCGGAAGAAATTGTGCAATAGAAAAAGAAAAGAAAAGGGGTAGAACTTTACCTGTCGTCGTGAAATTTGATATTCCAACCGCCCTCCTCATTGATGCCCTTTCCATCGCGGGGCATCACGTCGTTGCTCACGATCTGCATGTGCTCGACAGCTTCCTCGCCGATGAGATGGGCGAGCAAGGCGCGGATGATGGGCTGCATGCCGCCGCTGAGAACCACGACGGGCACATTGTTCTCGCGGGTCCAGGCAAAGAACTCAGCGAAGTGGGGATCGAGCTGGACATTCTTGAGAAGGATGGAGATGCATTGGTCATAAGGGGTCTTGACGCTGTCCATCATCCACTGAAAGCTGTCGCGGAATGTGAGTCGGCCTTCGAGCACTGCGTGGTTTTCCCTTCGGCGCCGCTCTACGCCGTATCCGAGGTTGTCTGTCAGGTAGTCGTTGCTGTCTTGCAACGTGATGGTTCCATCGAAATCTGTGAAGAAAATGGCCTTAGGCTGTGTGCGCATGGCTGGCAATGTTCCGTTTTGTTGTGCCATCTTGTATTATTGTTTGTTTCTTGTTTCTTGGTTCTTGTCTCTTGTTTCTTGTCTCGGGTTTGTATGTTTGTATGTTACTCAAATCCGTCTATTATAAGGTTTTGGATGAAATTAGAATTTGCCAGGAAAAACAGATGTTATGTTGTAGCGTGAGTGTATTTAGTAGAAGACCAGGCGTTTTATATCTCTTGCTCTCGTTTCACTTGCAATCTCATGAGTGGTCCCTGACAAAGTTCTGAGGCTTGGGGTAACTCACTCCTTCTCTGGATGAGTATAGGGAATGACGTCACACACAGCAAAAACGAAAGAGCTGTAGATAACAAACTCTTCAGAAGGTGAATTGGACTTGAAGTTTGTGACACTGACACGGGATATATCAGGCAAGTGAGACAGACCGAAGATTAGAAAAAACAAAAAAAAGCAAAAGCATGAGTTGTGAGCGAAATAAAGTTTATCAGGGGTCCAATCCAATCAGAAACACCAATCACCCAAATGTACATGTCCGAAAACCATGACCGGTCCGCGGGGCTGCTTGCCCCTCCATCACTAGGAAGGTGCTGCGTAGGTAGGTAATCGAAGCTGATCGTCGATGCGTTTCTGCCAAAACGGAAACACCCCCACTGAGGCTTATTAGTGCATCCTTGGCATTGCTACCGGCAAACTTGGCCTTCAATGCACCAGTTTCGGTACATGCATATGTACATAATGTACATAGCAGTCCCAGCAGGGCGGTGACCGGCTATTCCCCGGCCTCATTCCTCCAAAAAAAAAAAAGCCCAAGCCCTTTGCGGGTCGACAGCAACAGCGTCATTAGTATCCTATCGTCCTTTTTTGAAAACCCGCAACTTGGAGCTACTGGACAACACACGGACACCTCATGCAGCCTTGAGTGTTCACAAATTTTGCTGCAACAAGAGGAAGGGTAACCCAACCCAACCCCAAACCTCCCATTCTCCTCTTCCCGATCCTCCTTCGTCTTTATGTCGACGCCCCGGGCCCTTAAGCCCGTATTCGGGCCTGGCTATCGACTCTTTCTCGACCAATTCGTTACCCAGTTGACAGGAAGGAGATGTGCACCCGGGAAGCTCTTCTCGAGCTGGCCATCCAGCCCAATATGCCCCAGCTGTCGTCGAAATGGGAGTTTTATCAGTCTCAAGCACCAATTTCGGTATTCCTCCAGCTCGACCCCGCCAAAACCTCCGAGCAACGATGAGAAAGACAAGAAAGACGAGAATGATTTTATCGAGCCCATCCAATTTCCTCCTGGATTCCCGCCTTTCCCGCCCCCTCCTCCCGATTCTTCGCCTACCCCGCAATCTTCCTCGTCCGATGCCTCTCCTTCTCCCTCCAGTGAACCAGACCCTACACCCCAGCAACAGCAACAGCAGCCACCACAAGAACCGCCGCCGGATACGAAGTACGAGAATCCCGACCTACCATCCGCCCAGAACTCGCGACGCTCCGCCCTCAATCGCACATTGAGCACCTTCATGGACCGTGCCCAGACCACCCTCTTCGCCGCCTCTCAGCGCATCAACGACCTGACCGGTTACTCGGGCATCGAGTCGCTCAAGACCCAGATCAGCGGGATCGAGTCCGCCCTCGCCGAAGCCCAAATCCGCCTCCACAACGCTCGCGGCTCGTACAAAACTGCTGTATCTTCGCGCTCTTCCACCCAGCGCGAGGTGACCACCCTTCTCGCCCGCCAGAAAACCTGGACCCCCAACGACTTCGAGCGTTTCACGTCCCTGTACCGACAGGACTACGAGCTGGACGCGGCGGTCGCCTCGCGGGCCGCGGAGCTCGAGGAGGCCGAGCGCGAAGCCGAAAGACTGGGGCGAGAGCTCAGCTCCGGCATCCTAGCACGCTACCACGAAGAACAGATTTGGAGCGACAAGATCCGCCGCATGAGTACATGGGGCACGTGGGGGCTCATGGGCGTCAACGTGCTTCTCTTCTTCCTGTTCCAGTTCGGCGCCGAGCCCTGGCGTCGCCAAAGACTCGTCAACGGCTTCGAGGAGAAGGTCCGCGAGGCGCTAGAAGAAGAGCGCCGGCAACGAGAACAATTCGAGGTAGAGCGCAAGAAAGCTGTGGCCGAAGAAGACCGGGCCAGGACCTACATATCCGCCACCGCCGCCGCCGCCGCCGCCGCCGAGGCCGAAGCCGAAACCGCCAGCCGAGCGGCGCAGCCCAGCGCCCCGCCCGTAGTCGAGCTGCCCGAGGTTACATTAGGCGGAGCCCCGACGATACCCTGGCGGGAAGCCTTCTCCAACCTCGACTGGTGGCGAGACACCTACGACGAGCTCTCCAGCGACCGGAAAGTCGTCGTCCGCATGCGGGACGTCACACTAACCGTGCTCGAGGGCGTCGCGACCGGCGCCACCATCGTCACCGCCCTCGCCACGATATACCTTCGATGGAGCAGATAAAATACCTTGGCACTACTCCCATCCAAGGTATCTACTAAACTACAATGTACTATATATGTAGGTACATAGGATAGATAGTAGTAGCGAGTCACGAGTCACTTTTACCCTAGTAGAAGAAAAGAAAAAGAAAAGAAAAGGGGGGGGAGGGGGGCTAACCCGCCCAAAGAAAGAAAAATCAATGAATGGTGGCATCAGATCCCGTGTATATAAATAAAACATGTACTTACAAAAAAGTTGATATATTTATAATGTACAATACAAATAAAAAAAACTACACGATACCCAAAAGTCTTTTCGCTATCGATCGATCGACGCACTAACTACATGTACCTACCTACCTACCTTACCTAGGTACTCGACCAGGTGCCTAATTAATATCTACCCATGGCAGTAGACGGACGCTTAGTGTAGGTGAGTAGGTAGGAAGGAAGGTAGGTAAGTGCAAGTGAAGGCCGGCAAGAAGGAAAAAGAAAGGGGAAGGGTGATTGTTGTATTATCCGCGGGGTCTAATTAAAGGGGCGAACTACTACTGTACGCCGGGGGTAAACTGTACGGTATCATCTGATAGCTACTCCTCGACAGATTCTAAAAAAAAAAAAGGTGTTTCCCTGACTATAGCCTACTTCTGCTTTTTGGAGGATTCGCCCAGCGAATGACTTCTCACGAAACGCCCCCGACGCGTGTCTCCGTGGCTTGGGTGGAACTCGAGCCTCTGGTGAACATTTCTCTCTTTCACCAATGCCTCCTCGAACTGGGATATCAACCTCGTCCAATATCATGGATCCTATAGCTCAGTCAAACGATCGAAATTTTCCCCTTATCTCATAGTGGTTTTGCTAATACTGTGCAGTCAATCTCAACGAGTCCTGGATTCCAATCTTGGCTTCTAGTCAAAATCCGCAGTATAAGAGAAGCCGCGGAACTGCTCTTGCATTCCTTGAGAGAGCACTGTAACTTGGTTAGTATCATAAATATTCTAGTATTTAATGAGGTCTTCTTACCTGATTGTACTGGGGTAAGTACAGGCGTAACGCTTGTGAATTCGGAATCGAAGTTGCTGGTATCCGTTGCACTCTTGATTTGGGGCATGAATGGAGGCTGTACTCTCTTGTTGTAGATATCATCCCACACAATGTTCCTGAAAAAGGGCTGACTCATAACCTCTTGAGCATCAGTTGGCCCGCTTCCTAGTCGTTGATCTGGGTCTCTCGTGAGGAGCTTCTGGAGAATCGAAACCGATTCTCTAGGCATATGGATAGGATAGAGCGGCTCATCCGCAAGAATCGCGTCGTAGATCTCGTCCTCATCTTCACCTCGGAATGGTGATTGCTGCAGAAGCATCTGGTATATCAGAACTCCAAAAGCCCACCAATCTACAGCTCTACCGTATTTTTTGTCTAGTAAAATCTAAGAGTGCATTAGCTACCTAGTTTCAACGTCTTAATCGGGAAGAGTAAGCATACCTCAGGAGCCATGAATTCAGGTGTACCACAGAAGGTGCTCGTTGTCGAGCCATACCACATATCCTCTTTGCATAAACCGTAATCGGCGATTTTGATATGACCGTCCAGAGTGAGGAGGATGTTGTCAAGCTTAAGATCACGGTAGATGACACCATTCTCGTGGAAATATTTAAGCGCTAAGCAGACTTCGGCGGCATAGAATCTATTGGCCTTGTTAGTCAATCATTTACGCAATACTATATGAAAAAAAAACCTACTGTGCGCGTTTCGTGCTGAATTGACTACGTTGAATGTGAAGCATCAAGTCGCCACCACTAACGTACTCCATGACAAAGTACACTCTCGTTTCGGTTTGGAAGCAGGCGTGTAGGTTGGTAAGGAACGGATGGCGTTCCCTATTCGCAATAAGGAACACTCGCTTCTCGGATCGAATGCTTTCGACTTCATCGTTCTCGATGATGAATTCCTTCTTGAGAACCTTAATAGCATAAAGACGCCTGGACTTCTTGGTTTCAGCCAGCATGACTTTACCGAAGTTACCCTTACCAAGGACAGCAAGGAAATTGAAATGGTCCAACCCAATACGTGCCCCTGTTCCGGGGTCGGTTGCAGAAGGCAGCGGCTTTCTTGAGGGGGGTGGTAGAGTAGTGCTAGATGTTAATGAAGGGGTTTCTTGGACTGATGATGGCTTCGAGACCGGCGCAACAGGGGGGTACATTTGCTGTTGCAATTGGGGTGGTGGGGACTGGGATTGCTGCACTGGACGTTGCGGTTGTGCTGCCATTTGTGGCTGGCTTGGAGGGTAGTTGGCAATGTTCGCGTAAGCCGCTGGGTTGTATTTCGGTTGCGAGGGCATATTGTGGCCTTGATTGGCGGCGTAGGGGTCTTCTTGAGCTTCCAAAGGCCCGCCATAGCCACTTACTCTCCCAGACGGGTAGTCCGGACTCTGACCTGGACGACCTGACTGGGAGGCAATAGAACCGCTCATTGCTGCTGTTGCCGCCGCCGCTGCGGCAGCGCTCGAACCGGATGAAGTTCGATCAGGGTGTAGTGGTCTCGATGGGGATGACTGACTAGCATACATCGCTTTAGCAGCTTCGGTAGCCTCTTGAGAAGCGACACTAGGCTGGTAAGAGGATGCCCCATGAGTACTATAGGGTGACATGGGTCCTGACGAAGTACTCGAGGGGCTCATCTTGCCCTGTCTCAGAGTCTTCTCGCTCAATGAAGTTGTCTTCTGTTGACGCTGTTTTGATGACCTGATGCCTTCAAGGATCTGGTTGGCAACAGCCATACTCATACCACAGAAATCTGGCACAAGATGTACGCATTGGGCGTGGGCCGTAAGTCCGCATTCTACAGGAGTGTTAGTTGCATCTAGAAAATCAGGGGGAGCGAGTGACTCAACATACCAGCACATTTCCTGCAATTCTTCTTTCCAAAAGGCAATATGTAACCACAATGGCAACACCAGTTCGCAGTAACGTTTGAAAATGGCGTAAACCTGTGTGGGATCCGGTGGTTGATTTTCTCCTCGTCCGGGTCCGTTTCGGCGTTGCTCTTGCTAATACACTTCGTAACGACACTCGGATAACACTTCGTATGGCAGGTGTATTTGCAGTCCTCGCACTGCATACCTGCGGAATACTTGAGAAAGTCACCGCATAGGGCGCAACGCATGATGTTGTAGAACTGGTGCTGCACGAACTTGTGTCCGTACATCTCGTGCACTTCCTCCTTGCGTTGACGAATAGCACCCTTTCGTCCAAGTCCCAAATCAACAGGTCGTCGATCCTTATTCTGCTTCATAAAGTTCATGGATAAGTGGATTGAGCCAGTAGGCTCTAGATTGAACCACGCATCAATTGGCTGCGATGTAACTTGAGGCACTGCCGAAGGGCCAAATTGCGCGCCTGGGCCGGCGAGACCGGGAGATGTAGGCCCAGCTGCACCAACCGTAGCAACCGGCGCCTGTTGCGGATCCATTGGGAACTGGGGAGGGGGTGCGCCGGGCCCTCCCATCCTATCTGCAGATACCCAGCCGGAGTTATTAACCTCAGCCTCGATTCTCTTTCGCCGCATCTCCTCTACGATATCCGATATTCGCACCCACAGCATCGCGATAGGCAAAGCATGCTCGGCCGGCTTATCATACACCGTGAGCTCTATTTCGTTCGCCTTGTCGACTTCAATCATGTGATACTCCGCTTCCCACCGGTCGGTACGTGAGACTTTTGTCCGTGCAACAACGTTATCTTCTACCTTGACGGCGACGAATGTTTCCGGACCCCGAGAAAATCGACCGGTACTTGCGTGATCGACATCCCTGACTTGGACGACCCGAATCGAAAGCTGTCCAGTTAGCGGTTTGCGCAGATTGGGCATGTTGATGCTGTCATCTAAAGTGTTAAGCTTGTTAGCGCATAGAAATATCGGAGGGGTTCCAAAGCGGGTAACAAACCGTCAGGGGAATCGGCCGTGTCTAGGTCGTCTATATGCAGCTCTTCATATCTCTTGAGTGCCTGCTTCAAGAGATGAATCTTCTGCTTACTCTCAACTCTCCTAGCTGCGGCGTCGGCTTTGCTTTTGCGGTCGCCCTCCATGCTGTAGAGTTGAACCATCTTTTCCACACCCTTGAGATATTGCTCTTCAACGTTGAGTTTGAATTGAATTTGGGACAGCATGAGCTGAATTCGAGGACCGAGGTAAGGAGTGTCGTATTTTATCAGATCTGGAGAATAAATCATGAAAGATCAGCCTCATTGTATTCTAGAGCCATAACAGTAGTGGTGCTTAGTGGTGATAGTGGTGATAGTGGTGTCAACACCAGTGCCATAGCAGGCAAGACTAAAATAGGCAGAGGTAGCTAAAGATGAAAGGTGTGACAAACCTAACTTGGTGAAGTTCGGCCTCATTTTCGGAGCAGACGAGGTTGGTCCCGGAGGTGGAAATGGATGTCGCGGCGGCATCAAGTCACCGTGACCACCAATCTGGCTGTAAGGTAATGAACCATAGGAGCCTCTATCTCCTGAAAAGCCGCCAGTATCCTTGGGTGGGAGTGCTGGTGCTCCCTCGGCAGTATCGCTACGCATGTCCCCACTAGTAGGACGAGCCGAGCTGCTTGAGGGAGAGGCTGGTCCAATACTCATACTGTCAACGCCTTGCCCTAGACGCTTCATCTGTAAATCGCGAAGCTTCTCCTCAAAGAACTGGATGTTACGACGGCCCTCTCGCATCTGGCTATCAAGCCGGGATCTGACATCGTCATTGTTGGTCTGCTGTCGCATAGAATTGGCAGCATTAATTAGAGCTTTCTCGCGCTCAATCTTTTTGTAGATATTGGCCATGGCATCGTCGTTGTCGTTCATCTTGGGCGGTAGGTTGCGCGTCGTCACGCGCGGGGCCGGTGATAAGACTTTTTTGTTGTTGTGGTAGTATAGCTTTGTGAGTGGAGGAAGAAGTGGGAGGAGAGGTCTGGAGAAATGCGGGCGATCCGAGATAAAATCTGGAGCAAGCTATCTCTAAAAGTAGGTACAAGTGCAAGTTGTATGTAGGTAGCAGGTATCAGGGCAGGGTAGTAGATAGATAGAGACCTAGATACCAACTAGTACTGCTACTGCTACTACTTCTTACTGACTGACTACCCAAGGAACAAGACTCACAGCATACACATAGAGTCATAGACACATCTATAGACACATCTATACCCGTGGTATGGTCACTGGTGTAACTAACGTTAACTGGTGGCAGTCAAGTTAGCTACTAGATTGGTAGTAGGTAGCTATAGTACCGAGATAGATGAACCCCGGGTTCAAGCTTGGGTTGGTTTTGGGTGGTTTGAAATGTGGACAGACCAAGGGCAGACGGACGATTTAGCTGGGTGAAAAAAGGATATGGATATGGTAAAGGGGAAAAAATAGTAGTGCGATGTCGTCAGTACTAGGTAGGTATGTATCGAGAAAATGCAGACTGGACTGGTCTGGTACGGGTACAAGTAAGTATGTATGTACGAAGCAACGCTATGTACAAGTTTGTCTTGTCTTCATGGCGGGGTTTTGTGTCTCGTGCGGCGGGCGCAAGTGTGGATTTTCTCAAAGGATTGTTCAAGGTTCATAGTTAAGTTATGTAGTTTAACAGTTTAACTTGCAAGGTCCTGAAGATGACCTGATGGGCGCCCTCATATTACATAACATGGATGTTATGTATGTATTGAAGGTTATGTATGTAACTAGGAGCATTCACGTATGTAGAAAGAAAAAAGATAGATAGGCAAGTACTGCCGAGACTACAGGGATGAAGGTGAATACTACTGAATAGACAAGTACCTTCTTATCAAAGATTTACATAGTTACATAGTAGCACCTCAATGAGTTTTCGATGTACATGTATTCAATGTATTTAATGCATGTGTTTAATGTTCAATGTTCAATGTTGTTTCCCGTTTCCCGTCTGTTGAGGGAAACTGCCTAACCTCTGTTAGTGCAAGTGCAAGTGCAAGTGCAAGTGCAAGTACAACGTTTATGTGTTCGGGCATCTCTAGTAGATTCTCTACCGGTATTTACCGTATTTACCGTGCTTACCGTGCTACTCCTCCTCTTAGTCCTCTACTCACTCAACCTTGAACCCGAGAACATTGAAATGTTCATGTTGTCTCTGCTTTCAATGCTCACCTATTAACTACTTAACTTGCACGTGGAGCCTCAAAGAAGTAACACACCTTGCCTATTAATTTACAGCACTGGTTACAGCACTGATATTCAATGATTCGCTTAAAATCGGTAGGTAGCAGGCAGTGGGAATTTGACGTATCAAAGAAACAGAAACACAAAGCCAGCCACCATAATATTTTACTATATTGGATTATATAGATTATATGGATTATGTGGATTATTTGTCTCATTAACACGCTGACAGCTTGCAGGAGAATGCCGAGGCAGGTGTTCATTGGCTTAGATCAAAATGGTCATAGCAAATAACACATAACATTTCATCGTGTACGGAGTATGGCGAGCAACAATGAATGCAATGCAAATGCAAATCGGTTATCAGATGAGGTACTAGGTACTAGGTAACCTTTGGTCACTCCATTTCAAAATAATATATGTTCCATTTCCATTTTGGTTGTCGCTACCACCGCAACTCTTACCTCAAGCCCATCCAGAGCTACCAACTAACCTAGATTAAGTAGTATCATCAACTTACTTGCCCACCTATATTACAGTAGTTTGGAGCAAGCAGTCCGAGCATCTGCAATGTGAGACAAGTTAGGAAAAGATCGCTCTTCATACCTACTACAAGTATCAAATCTGTCCACGTACCAGAATGTAGGCTGGATTCGCGGCTCACAATAACTATGTGCAACTGGAATTCAAGAGCAAACCATTGAGCATCACGAAAACCAGAACCGTTTACTTGTTTCGCCAACCAAGACTTCAACAACGCGTTTTCGGGAAACTAGACTATACATTCGTACCTACATGCCCTAAAATGCCTTTACCCTCATCCGAGATCATTCTTTTTAAGGGCGGATCAGAGCCTTGGAAGCAATATCGCATTTGACAACAATAAGTATACCCCCACTCATCATCAACCTTTCGGAGCTGCTAAGACACAGAGTTGCATTGCACATATGTGACATGAGATTGTGTCATACGAACGCATGCTCATATCACACGTGGCGTTTCAATTTAAGACCAGACCACATCATCAAATTGATATAGAATAATAAACCTTCGCTTTTAACAAATAACGGTCCTTGATGCCTAGGGCTGTGGCAATAACAATAACCCAACGACAACAATGTAGGTAACATATATTATGTACATATCATGCAGGTAACCAGGGGTATCAACGTACTATGTACCGCCTTAACATTAACAACCTCCCAAATAGCCCGCTACTATATAAAGTAGCCATCACACATACATCGTTCGTCTTATCTCGTCTCTAGCTAAGAGCTGGATATACTACTAGTGGGACATTGCATACCACGCCGGAACGCCCAACACAAAAAATATGCCCAGCCAACTGTTTGTTCCATTACACTGCTTGGCCGGCTGGCGCTGAACCGGAGCCGGAGGCTACAGCCTTTTCATTGCTCGGGCCTGGCGCGGCCATCGGGGTCGAATGTACTCCATGGGCGGGTTCCGGTGCGTAGAACCCTGCGTAGTTCTGGTAGTTCTGCGATGTAGGATTCTGGCCGGTGTTATTCCCCGTGCCGGCCCCAGGCGCATTGGTCGGCGGTACGCCATATGCCTGTTGAGGCGCCATCGGCATGGGGTACGGATAGTACGGAGCGGCGCCGTTCTGGATAGTGGGCGGGAAGTACATGGCTCCTGGAGGTGGTGCCGGGGGCATTACCACACCGGCGGGTCTCATCAAATTCCGTTTGTGTGTCTCGACACAGGCCAGCACGAAGAGGACGAAATGGCTCAGACCGGATAGGCAGAAGAAGGCGGTCACGGCGCGAATAAGCGGGAGATACGTACCGTTCATATATGAAGTATTGCCATAACGATACATGCTGCAGTACCTTCTGCTATAAGAAGAGGTATTGTCGTCATCGTCGGCGCATTCCATGACTGCTGACTCCACGGAAAGGACCATGAAGACCGAAAGGAGAATCCCGAACACACAGACAATCCACAGGCAGAGATGCAGGCCTACATGTGCGCCGGGGTGGATTCCACGTTTTATGCCCCTGCGCCAACGCACACCGAGGGTTATGAGCTCGGCGCCGTTCCAGAGGATCATGGCGATGGAAATCGGTAAGGCGTAGTATGAGATGCCTTCATTTTCCTGTTCCGCAAGGAGCGCGCTGGCCAGGGCGAGGATGATGATGGAAGAGATGGTTGAGGCGATGGTGATGATCAGCTTGCTCATTACCCAAGTTTTGGAATACGCGGGGAGAGCTCGAATAGGTTGCCCATATTGATACGGTTGAGGCGGGTAGGGGTAGCCTCCGTAAGGTTGTTGATACGGCGCATTCTGCTGGTATAGCGCATTGGGTTGTTGCGGCTGAGATTGTTGAGGTGCAGAAGTCGGTAGCTGATTCCTCGATATCGGGTCCTCGTGATTCACCGGCGCCGCATTGCTCACAGGCGAAACAGCCCGCTCATCTCTCGTCTCCGTCTCATTATGTGCCATTGCAGTGTTGGGTGGTGTTCACAACACGCGATGACTTTTTTTTGTTGGTGAAGTATTTTAAATAAGCTGAACGTCTGATAGAATTGGAAATTAATAGTTTGCTGATTATAATATATTAGGTAAATATACCAAGCAAAAACGAATAAGTAGATATTATGTAGGCAGTTAGATGTTTATAACGAATGTATGACGCTGAACCTTACGAGAACAGGACGAGAAATGACCAACAGGAGGGAGAAACAACAATCCCAGGGGAACTTGGAAAACCTGTGATATATGATTTAAAACAAAGCCTAAGCCAAGCCTTTTTAGCCCCTTTCTCCCCGGTCATCGTGATACTTGCCTGACTATGTACTTACCTAGGCATCTGTTAGGTAATTAAAGCCTTTGCCGCTCGCTTGTGCTAGCGCTGACTTATGTTATAATAGCTTCGTTCTCTGCGTACTATCGTGACAACTTCTTACTCAATACGATTAATACGACTAATGCTACCCAAAAACATCCTCTTCTTCTCGTAACCATGCGGTGAGTCACCAGCCATTCTATAACATGACATGTTGGAGAAAATCATCAGAGAATAATAATAATAACATACATATAAGTACATAGGTACTAGAGGTGTGTTTACCTAACTAGTAGTAACTATTGTATATGAGGCGACATCTGGCAAAATTTCAGATGGCTGCCTAGCAAGGACACTAAGGATCTAGATCGTAGGCCGTTTTAGGTCTTGGATGGAACGGTCTAAGCCCCATAGGGTCAGCCCGGCCGAGAAATCTGGACCTAAAAATACATTCTTCTACCTATGTAATGTTAATTCACTAATTCACAAAAGATGCCCAGTAAAGTTGATTACGTACACGAATATACCGAGAATGAATTTCGGATATATGTTGGATAATGCGCAAGAATTATGTTCTATATGCGGGAAAATACTGTTCGCAGAAGAGCCCGGCTAGTGGGGCAAAGACTCATCCTGTCCTTGATCCTGATGATGGCTGGTGTTACAGCTGTCCAAACAAAGTACGAGGTATGAATGAAGATCATCCGGGCACTAATCAGGAGATAATAGAACGGTGAAGGGTATAGGTTTGAGCAGAGATGGCCCTCAAGCAAATGACCAGATACTATCTAATTAAATTTATACTTGCAACATAAGTACATACCTACCTCGAATTGGTAGGTAGTAGGTAACTGAGCCCCTGATCGCCCTTGCAGCATATTCCTATAGGTGGTTCTTGAAAATAGGGGTCTCACCTACCATCCTCTATACTATACACAAATCTTACTAAATGTCATGGTTATAACAACATGGAGTCTTATACATATCAACACATCTAGTGTTTCCTAGCCAACTTCGACCGAGCTCGAATCTGCGCGCCAAAAAAGTATAGGACATAGACCAATCCCACCAGACCGAAGGAGATGAAGCCCAACGTTGCCATCGCCCACCTAGCCCCCATGTTTCTGAACATGACGATTCCTAAATTGCACAAAGTCAGCATAAATCGAGAAAAAAAACACCTCCTCTCATACACAGAAAGCAACCCACCAATATGACAACAACCAGCCGCAATCAAAAAGGAAGGTATCAAAAACGCAGCAATGGCCGAAGCGGCGACGTTGGTGTATGAATCAGCTATGTAATTCAGCATGCCAAGCCACAGCAACGGATCGCAGAAGCCCAGCACGCCACCAGCGATCAGGGGCGACCAAAACGACACGCTCCCGTCACAGGTGAAAGCGAACCACAGGAGGGAGATCGGAAACCCCCAGACGAACACTAAGGAGGTTAAGAACCTCGCTTCTGGACGCCCGACACCGCCGTTTCTCTTGCGGTCACGTGTATAGAACCATGTCTGAACGGGCACAAAGGCAAACATGATGGTTACGCTGACCACGAAGTTGAGGTATGTTAGGTCGGCATCGATATACCTAGTATTCGTTAGGCTGGGTTCTTACCTGGTCGCTTTTCATCACAGGGAAGGGGAGAGGAGAAGCACTTACGCGAGCCCATTGTTGACGACGAACACGTCAAAGACCCCGTCCAGATACAGGAAAAGGAGACCGTAAGCAAACCCGTTATAGATACCCAAAAACGTAACGATAGGTTCCGTCAGCATGATGCGGAATGCCATGGAGGTCACGAAGCGCATCTCTCGGAGGATATCCACCGGCTCTTCCAAGAGCGCAATTTCCGTCGGATCAGATGACTTGCTCTTCCGGGCCTCGCGGCTAATAACCACCCGCGGCAGCGTTTCCGGGACGAAGCACATGATGATCGCAAAGGCGGCGCCAATAATCGTACTGCCTGGGTGTCAGGGGTGTCTCTTTTCGTGGTAGGTTTAGGTAAGCGCTCCCAACTCACTTGATCCAGAAGATCCACGGCAGCCCCAGCCTCTCGTTACTCGCGATGAGCTCCCCGACCGGCGAGCCTATGCTCGGGCCGTAGTTCGCGGACATGACGAACAGCGCCATCGGCTGGCCCGCGCCGTCCATGTCCCCGAAGAGGTCGGCGATGGTGCCGGCCACGTTGGACAGCGCCGTGCTCCCCGCGGCGCCGCACAGGAACTGGAAGATGATCAGCATGGGCAGGTTGCGCGCCAGCGCGTTGCCGATGTTCAGCAGAGCGTAGACGCCGATCGAGGCGACGTAGATCCATTTGCGCCCGCCGATGTCACTAGATTTCGAGAAAGAGGACGGAATTATTCAGCGTTGACTAATCTTCTCGAAAGGGGAAAGACAAAAACCCCCCCCCCCCTAGGCTTCTCCTAGGTAGGCAGGTAGGTAGTTTTCGTAAAAAGCAGGTATTCAGGGGGGGGAACCACATACGACAACGGGCCCAAAAACGCCGGCCCCACGGCCGTGCCCACGATGAACATGCTCTGGCCGAGCGCCACGACCTGCGTGGAACCCCCGTGCTTCTCCTGCACGAGGTACTCGGCGCTGACGTACGTCGTCGACGAGAGCGTGACGAAGATCTGCAGCAGGCAGTACACGGCCACGATCGACCATTTCTTCACGCGGCCCCAGTGGATCGGGTGCGAGGGGCTGCTGAACTCGACGCGCTGGAGTGCCGAGAGCGCTGCGTCCGCGCCCGTTTCCGGGCCGGGGCCGGGGCCGGGGGTCTTGGCGGTGGTTGCTGTTGGTGGCGAAGCCGTCTTCTCTCCCATTGTGTGTATCTGCGTAAGCGAAGGGCTGGCTCTATCTCTTTGAAAAGGGGGGGTAGGGTTGATTCCAAAAACAAGCCTCTTTGACAGAAATCATGAAAATATTTTTGGTAGCTAGTTGAGAGGCTAGCTACACGCCACTACATATTACACTACATACGTATATAGCTCTTCGCTGCTATGCTATGCTACCTTACCTACCTAGTACCCATCTAGCATGCTAGCGTCGGCACCCTCCAAGCAAGTGGCGGGAATAAGCATCCTGCATATCCATATTCTTTAACTGGTCCTTGACTAGTGCTACCTACCTAACTACTTCGTTATAGGTAATTCTTTTAAGGGGGGTTAATGGCGTGTTTTTATTTCCTTCGATCCACAAAGATTTGAGGCCCAATTAAAACAGCGCAGCACACTTATCATCAAAATAAAGATTTCCTGATTATGCTGTGCGTGAATACCTTTATGCAGAGCTCCGTGAGGAAGAGGGGGGGCGGGCGGGCTCGGAGTTCGGGTTGAGGCGTTGTATGACGTTCGTTTCAAGCCTGCTACCTAATGCATAGTTGTTGATAAGCCTCCTCGTGCCGCTGTCTCGTCCCGTGTATAGGGGAGGTTGGTTCGTTGGTATCTAAATACATGTATGTAGGTTGACCGGGAGGCTTGCTTGCTGGTGCTGTTCTTGCTTGAGAATCCATTACTATCAAATTTGTACCAGGTACATACATGTCAATGTTTTCAATTCCTAAACTCTTACATATATCCATAGGTATGTATTTCAGAGGCGTCTCCTAGATGTAGCAATCAAGTGTTAACTGCCACCGGGGCGCATTTCTGTCTTTCTATCATATCCCACTTGCTTAAATGCCACCCTTTACCTCTACTTCCTTAATTTTTGTGCTCTTTCTCAGATACTCCTTCTGAGATTATACCATGACGCTTCCAGGTGAATGATTGATCTTTCGTTATTTGTCTTTAAGTTAGTTTGAGTCGGTATATTCGACACTCCTCACCCTTGTATCATGTCCCCGCGTAGTAGCATTCTTTGAATATCATCCACAAAGCATTTAATCCTCTCCTGCTGGAAAAAATCGGAGCTCGCCAACCTCTTTCCAATTAGGCGTGAAATCTGCATGGAGTGGATGTTCATGATCTTTAGTTATCTTTGATTTCATTTTTACGTGGGTATCCATATTCTCCTTCACAAGATCCGACCCTTGTGGAGTAATGTGAATACAAACGACGACAGCTCTATCAACGAAGTTGGCGAGGCCCATCTGAAGCTTAGCGCATAGATTGAAGTATCCGAACTTTGTGAGAGAAGATCGTCCTGAATACGTTGTCTGGGTATAGGAAAGGATGTTTTGGTCTATGTGGTGACTTTTTTTCCGTAAGAATGCTTTGGGGTCATTGCTGTCCCTCAGACGCGCTTTCAACTGACTCTTTGTCACACAATATCTCACCAAATCTTTCTGATAGTGAAGTAATCCGTGAAAGTCTTTGTCAGCGTTGTCTTCACGTAGGATGGGCACAAAACTTGCCCAATATACATCATCGCAGCCTAGAACGAGGGCAAATGGCAATATTCCCCGTTTCTTGAGAACGTAGTAGTCGACATTAAACTCGGAATCTCGCTTGAGGGCTGTCTCAAGATCGGCGCTTGGGTTGAAGAATAGCACTGCATGGGGTCCTTTTTGGTCGGCCTGGAAGGTTATTTGTCTAGTAGTTCGACTATATTTGGCGCCATCTAGACAGTAGACTTCATCGAGTCCGAAATAATCATATTCTTCCTTCGGATCTCGGACGATAGTATAAGAAATGGGTTGTAATAGCGATTCACATATCGAGACGGGTGCTTTGATTAGTAGAGTCTCGACTCGTTTTACTGGCCCATGCTTGTCATGGATAGCAGGAATGAGAATTAAAGGGCCACACCGAGCAGTGAACCTGTTTTCCCAATGAAATAAAGGAACACCCAGGTACTCGAAATTTCGACCACGGATGAAACAAGATATAACTGCAATCTTGTGATCACCCCTTGTGTAAGTAGGCAATTCGATACGGAGACCGTTACTGAATATGATCGGGGGCATATCTGACTGTATATCTGACAATGGCGCAACATCATGGGTTGTTATGAACTCCGAAGGTGACTCTGCAAGCATCCCCCTCAGTTGCTTGGTATTAGACATGGGATTCTTACAGTCCCAATTTAAGAAGTGTTCAAAGTTTTGCGGTAACCCCCAGGCGAAGAGCGTTTGATCATCTGAAGTTTTTATAATTTCCTCCTGCAGGCGAATGAAGGACCTTTTACCTTCTCCATAAAGTAGAGGCATATTCACATTGAATATACCCAGAAGAGAATAAGCAACATCTTCCATTCTTGTTGTCTGTCGCTTTGCCGCCCATGACATTCTTTTCGCAACGCATATACTATCGAAGTTGCCAGTAGAGAGAATTATTCGATCTATGCCTGTAATCTCCTCCAGCTGATTTTGTAGGTCCAGCTTCGATCCCAAGTCGCTCCAGTCCGCAGCATAAAACCGCATAAGCCTGGGAGCAATGAGCTCTTGCAACGTCCATCCTCTGGTAAACCATCGGCTTTTGTCGAGTTTATTTGCACCAGCCACATCATCTAGGTATGCATAACATATCGCAGCGCCTCTGTACCAGCGAAACATGGAGTTGATTACCTCTGAAAGTTCCGCAGTACTAGTTTTGTCGATGAAGCAGCTATATGTATGCCCGGGTTATATTAGCCACATCACAAACATGCTACGACTTGTTATACCGAAAACTTACGTATCTACCCAGGCCCATTCTAACCCATCTCTTACGGCTTGGTCGCAACAATATTTAATCTTCTTATACCCCTTCCGTTTTGAGACGCTTGGTGTTGACATATGTTGTAGCGTGCATTCCTCATCGCCCCATGTGTGGGACAAAATGGCATAACGTCGATACTCGTCATCATTTAGAAATTCTTGGACCTCATGGGTTCTGGTATTCAGGAGACGCATGGTGTCTCAATATTCAGGTGAGAAGTGTATGGATGCTTTATGGGGAGATAGTGTAAAGGTTCATTCTTCATACAATGACAGACTCGGGGGTTCTAGTGTTCTAAAAGGGTTTGCAGTGTGCAAGAAGAGCACTGCCCGAGACAGCTCAGCCTGCCTCAAGTATTACCTTTTCAGCGGTTACACCGTTGATCAATGCCGCATGAACATGCGTACCTACCTGTAGATATTGACTTTATCTACTAGATACCTGTGCATCCATGGCGTTCAGCCACCTGATTGTCAAACACTTGGCCTCCAAGAATTTATAAAGTACATATGCTTAGCCGAGGCCTATGTTCCATTGTTCCCAGAATCAAAGATACCAGTATACATATTAATGACCTAGGCAAGCTGTTGTATATACCTATCCAGCCAGAGATAGCTCTCTACATAAATTAGGTACTCTTAATTCCACATCTATGTACCTATATGTAGCTAAGGGGGTTTAAGCACTAAGCACCTCCAGGGCTACACGAGGTATATACCTACCCTAGGTAGGGCCTTTCCCCCTGAAGAGCAAATTTGTCCAACATGTTAAAAGATGGTGTCCACTTCTGGATAGGCAAGTGCCTACTACGTCGTATGCCAGGGGTCCAGGTAGACTTACCAATATGCCTACTCCTAGGTATACATATGGGCTGAGGACTCACCTGTGACTACCTAGGGTGTTATCTTAAACTTGCTCTAGTTTCAAAATATCCTCTATATCCTATTCTCTGGTTCTTGCACCTTGTCTTTTGTAACCAAATTTTTTTTTTGGTCTATATGGGACAATGGGTGTTTTGGGGGGGAGTCTGATGAGTACTCGTCAACCCTATCGGTGTTGTCAAATAGTGAACTATTCATGAAATGTGTGACGATTGATGTGAATCACCGCTCAAAATCAGAAGTAGGTTTCCATAGAAATGGATTGCCACAAGAAAGAGGAGACAAAAGACAAGCAGGTCACTGCCTGCCTAGTAGGTAGTTAGGTACCTACACAACGATTCGATGGACATATCGAAAGGAGGTCACCCCTGAGCAAACCTAAAATCATCACTACTAGGTCTTAACCCTGGAGGTATTTGAAAGACCAGAGCTGTAGAGGCCCTGATGAGGTACATGTACTTACTAGGTTAGATACCTAGGTGATCGAGTAAAACCCCTCCTTCATCTTCTTCCCCTTCTTAACCCACCTGTTTATTTTCAATTCCCTCTCTCCAACCTTAACCTCACCTTTCCACCCTCCTCATCTTCTCCATCTCCTTCATCATACTCAGCCTACCTGCCCTCTAGTCACCTCGACCATGATTCATTAATACCTATATTGTCCTTATTTGTCCCCTGCCCACAATACTCCTACTACTTGCATTATATTGCACCATAGCAGTAGAGATGGATGTACTCCAGGGCTATCTACCGCACCACCACACCAGATTTGCAAGTTGTTGGTGATACTCATCTATATAAATATCAACAACTCTACACTTCATTTTCCCGTATTACTAGCACCCCGTTCATACTTACTAATATGATGTTGAGATGCCAGAAGCCATCATGGTCTCGTTCAATACGGTAACTCTTGACGGCAATCATGCCACCATCTTATCCCACTAGGAAAGTTCTAGGTATGTTTATATTCCAATTGACCTTACCAGAAGCCGAGGCTAATCAAACTTCATTCAGTTTCTGCTGGGTGCGTATTGGCGGTGCCAAAAGCCGTCCGTCATGCTACGCCATAGCCACCCTCTAGGAAATCAACTGTACTCGGCCACTGCCTTTGGCTACACCCCTTATCTACCAACTAGGTATGGGAGAAGCTATGATTACATAGTCCCATGACTGCCCACCCCCTAGGCTGTGAGGATGTGACCAGAATGAACATCTCAAACCCATAAGCTAACGACCGGCAAATGGGCGCGTCAGACGAGTCATATGCTGCACAAATAGGCGATAATGTCTGTTTCAATTGCAACCGAAAAGGCCGTTGGGCCAAAGATTGTAGACAAAAGCCGAAGCAGCCAGGCAGAGAGCGAAACCGACGACCGCCCGGACGGCCCCAGAATGGAAAGGTTGACAACGCCACAACAAAGGGTACGTTATACAAGAACGAGAAAACCAACTTCATCAACAAGTATCGCAATCACTTCTCGAGAAAAAAGGATCCCCAGACAGTGATAAGCCGATCCGAGAGGGCTTCGGCGAAGGACACAACCTATGGAGTTCCACAATACTACTTACCCAAGTCCTGCTGCCCTAGGCTGCCGGGCTCTGGTTGTGGAATCCGACCACATCTCTTCATGTTTTCGATGCCATACTACGTTAGTTGTACATACGGCGTTCCCAAACTCCGCGAGGAATCGCGGAGTTGAAACCACTCTTCGCGCTCATTGCCGCAGACCTTACCTACACAACTTCACCGCATGCTAACTGCCTGAATCCCCTTCTGGATAATGGTCTGCATGAATTTTCTGGGCGCACCTTTCTCGTGAATATACCTACTCGCTGTTCTATCAGCACTCCACCCCTAGCACCGCCTCCACTCCTTGGTCGAGGGCTGAAGACTCGTATCGACAGGGTGGAGAATGAATTCCGAGACGGCAACGATTGCTGTTCGCTTCTACAAGGATAACCCGGAGCAAGAAGTCGGTTTGACACTATACACTTCAATTAAGATATCCGCGGGTGGCTGGCTCATAGGAGGTCCAAGAAACAGCTTGAGAGTCTTGGAAATAGACCACGCTGCTCCTATAGGTGTCTGTCTACATCTTCCAACGCCGCAACATGGGGTCTGGACCGTGCACAAGGCACAATCTACGAGGATAATGAGGCCGGAAGGCTCGAAGGATAATAACTCATTTACCTTACTCTAGCGACGCTCGACGTTGGGTGGCGAGCGGTGGCTAAATTTTGGGAAGAAAGATTATCCCCTGTATTCGGTTATCCAACAGAGATATACTGCGACAACACGTTTCGGGCATCCATACCCAAGGTTCTGTTTGAGGGTGTTGGCACTCGGTTTAAGCACGGGCTAGTAGTTATATGCACCGTGGTCTCACGGCCTCATAGATCAAACTGTAAAGTTACTTCGGACGCAACTGCGCAAGTGGGCGGCGTCGGTTGGCTTTGAAGGCCTGCGTAGGTGGCCTGATGAGCTTCCTAAAGCTTTGACGAGGATGATTGCGCGGAAGTTGGCCAGACACGGCATGACTCCTGCCAAGGTTATGCTCGGGTGGAAAACCCGCTGCGCGGGCAATGTGCTTGAGTGGGAGGAGGTGTTGCGATCGATGGCGGCAACAGTGAGCTGATGACAGCTCATCTTCAAGCGTCCAAAGACCTTCTCGGAGAACGGAGGAATTACATCCGCGAGACGATTTTAACCTTGGGCGGCCAACGGGACGACCCCAAACTTCGAGAGAACGGCTATAAGGTCGGGCAGTGGGTGTGGGAACATCTCGATCCCAAGATTTTGTCGATGTCCACTATGCGTGGTTATATGCCGCAAGCTCATCGCCATTCTTCCCCAAGACCATGCCACTACGGGTGTTCCACGCCCGAAATTCGGAACTAGTACCCATTGACGTCTCTGTTGGCCTCCAACTTATCTTCGTATAAAAGGATACAGATCCTGTAATGGCAATGTCTACGAACCAGAACGGACATTGCGGTAAGATTATCAAGATTAACTATGTGCCGACGGTGGCAAGACTGCCGCGGCTACATTTGTCGATAAGTGTCCAGGATGCAGTGGAGACAGCATTGATGTCTCGATAACAGTTTTCACCCAGTTGGCCCCGTTAGCAACTGGAGCTGTTGTAACAATTCACAGCCATCGTTCGCGGAGATTCTTTCCTACAGTCGATTGGATATGAACACTTTGCTGCAACAATTCACCGTCGATGGCACTGATATCAAGATCAACTGCATGCAGGAGTTGATCAAATGGGGTACACTCAGGACTTATCAGGCCTAGTTTGGTTGGCTCATAGCATACAGCCGTGTTCTGATATAGTGTGTACGCAACTCCGTGTCTATGGCTCCGATGGCGCTCCTGGATGAAATGATGGATCTCATGCTGTCCACATCCCTCCCCGTGTACCTACACACCCCCTAGCACCGTACGTCTTCGGATTTGATCTTCCTCGAGCTCCCCGTAAACCAAGCACTCCCCAGGGACATTCACAGCAACTTGAAGCTCAAAATCGGCACCGATAACCGGATCTAGATGGATATGAATTCACCCCAGACATCGCCGTCGTGATCGAGGAGTTCCGCCTCCTCCATTCATTTCCGCCCGGAGGCGCCACTCTACATATGTCCAAGTATAGCAGTGTCCTCTTCACTGCCGCATCCATAATCCCACGGCCCATTGTCTTACCAGCATCGTTAATCGTGCCGCTTACTTTCAAGAGCCTTCGGCTGATGTACCGTGAGAGCGTACCTATGCACACTTCCAAAAGATTGATAAAAACGACGGCAACAAGGATAAGAATGGATTGCCTATATTCCCACTTATTTCACTGACGAAACTACTCAGTAAGACAATATCCTCATTAGTGCCGACGGTACTCACAGCTCTGTCCGAACTTGCCGCGATACTAGCTCCCGGCAGACCGAGCCCGAAACGCTGCCGGCGGCCTAACCGAACTGCCAGATGACAGAGATGAACATTAGGCATGTCACTAGATTTATAATAGCACGGTATCTACCCAAGACACCGAAATCGATATAAAGGTACCTACAACTACATCCCCTTTGCCTAACGGCCATCACCCGCTCCAGATAGGTCGCGGGATCTACCCTTCTCTGAGCTCCCTTCCAATTCGCAGCATCTCAAGCACGTATCCACGAGACAACCGATCGCCATGACCGTTCTGGAAATGCATCCGAAAAACTGGGAGTACAATTTCTAAACGGGTATATTGAAGACACGAAATGGAAACCAACCATAGAAGTGATTGAGCGGAACACATCCCTGCCTATGGAAGATAGAGCGAAGTTACCCCTCTACTTTCTTGACGGCCTTCCTTGGAACGAAGTGATGAGGACCCTGCGTCCTCGCCCAGCAACACGGGTAGGTAACTCGTTATGATCCTTCGACCGTATACAGAAACCTAGGCTATTATTGGCATAGGACTCGGGGGGTCTAAAGATGGCCAGGAATATTCGTGGGTGGGAATGGGTAGCTGCACGAGACACAGCCTACTCAGCAACAGCCAGCTAGTAGAGCTTGTCGTCGCTCCAAGAAGAAGAGCCATCTGATCGCTGGCGTAGATCCGTTCGTATGGATGAAGCCAAGAGCCTTTCCCAGGGATGGCCGCCGTATCTCGAGCAAGCTATAAACGAGGCATAAAAATCTTGTTCCATTTTTATTCCACCATACCGATCGCTTGAACTGAAAACATGAGCCAGAGGCTTTGCTGTCATAAACATATGTTATGTAATCATCCACATCACTTAAATGGTACAGAACCTTTAGCCGGTTCCTACTCTAGCTTTTAGACAATTGATCCAAGGTTACAGCGAACGATCTCGTGGGGGAGGCAGTCATGAGGGCCGACTGGATAACTCACCAGGCGGTAGAGGACAGGATTGAAGAGACACCGCAGACTCAAGTGTACCTACAAGGGCAGACAGGCTTAGAAGCAAAGGGATGAGGCACGCCGCTATGGACTTGGGGATTTCGTTATGAATATTGACATCGAAAAGCATCGCGAGGAAGCTATGAAGCTGATGGACGCTGCGATTATAAGAAATGCCTACTACTACAATGGGTTGGACCAAGCTACTATATTTAGGGTGTGGGAGAAGTTCAACGACCGAAGGAAGTTGAAGCAGCTATACCTAGGCTTTGCTGCGGCCGACGCCAAGGCCAGGCATGACACCAAACACTGGCGCGTTGATTTCAACATCGGCGACGCCGTATATCTTCGACTGCGTAAAGGATGTACATTTCCAGGCAAAGACCTGTACAACCGGCGTCGGCCACAAACCGGTCGGATACTCGTCCACGGCGATGATGACGAGAGGAATTCATTTGAGATCAGCCAGCTCATCAAGAGAAGAGTCAACAAGGCCGGGGAGCGACCGACATTGGAATACCACGAGTCACCTGGTCGCTTGTAGGGGGGGGGAGTGGTGGGCGACGCTGATGCTATTGTTGTGGCCAACACGCGCCTACTATATAAATATATCATGTTTTTATGTATTTTTACTTTTGATGCTATCTTCTGCCTTGGTGCCATTGTCTGTAGAAGCTGACTGGGGAGGGAATATCAGAGAAGGAATCGAGGTATTTCTCAATTTACCGTACCCAATAGACAGATGCTGTTCGCTATGTAGAGAAATCATATCAATCGTCCCACTGGCACAGCCGTGATTCATTCCGCACTGAGTAAGAAACGACAAGAAAACCCCTAGCTCCACACAATATACCGAGGAAATGCCCAATCAGTATGGAGATGCGACCATTCTCATCAATTATCGTCCCTCTTCTTTTCCCCTTATTCTTCATTTTATTTAATCAACGCCAAAGATGGCATAATTGGTTCAATGCATTATTCCAGCATATCTTCAAAACTTCCCAGACGATATTCTCAGCGCATGAGCCGTTGCCTCCCCAGCGGCTGCTTCGCCATGGGCGGCCAGATCGTGGGGGTTCGGGAAGTAGAAGGCGGCGACGGCGATGGCGATGTAGATGATGACGCACAAGAACCCTTCCAGGTAGTCGCTCTTCTGGTCCCTGAGGAAATTGCCGACGGCGATGATGGCCAGGATCAGCATGGTGACGTCGAAGATCTGGAAGTTCAAGTCCATCGGGAGGTGAGAGCCCCAGCCGACGACGATGACGAGCGGGGCGTTGAGCATGGCCGTTTGGATCGTGGCGCCGATGCAGTGGGATAGAGCGAAGTTGATCTGGTTGTCCCAAGCCTCGTCGATGGCCGTCAGGTGCTCGGCCGCCTTTTCCACGAGCGGCACCAGGATCAGGCCCATGAAGGGGTCGGAGATGCCCTGCTGCTCGACGATCTCGGGGATTTCCTCGACCAGCGCGATGGCGATGAAGGTCACGAGGGCGACGGAGATGACCAGTGCGACGACGCACTCGGTCAGGGTCAGCTTGGCCTTGGCGCGGTCCTTGTGGCCGTCGGCGTCGCGGGCCTCGTCGTGCTCGAAGGCGGCGTCGTAGATGCCTTGGTGCGAGTGCATCTGGAAGTAGAGGAAGACGGCGTAGGAGATGAGGAGCAGCACGGCGACGATGCGCGAGATGTCGAGGACCCTGGAGTCGATCTCCGCCGTGGTCAGGTTGAACCCCGTGCCTATGACCGAGCGCTCGAAGACGGTGGGAATCGCTAGGCCCAGTCCACTGTAATTAAGTTAGTGGCGCGGAATTCTCCAGTTTAGCTACCAAGTAACTATGTAAGACTTACGCGATGAGCAGCAGATTCGATCCAACCTCACTGACAGCTGCATGGAACGTAGCCTGTTCTCGCCGTAAGCCAGCCGCAAAGAAACATAAGCCCAGACAGAGCAGCATGGTGGCCAAGATGGAGCCAAGAATGGCGGCTTGGATGACATAGTATTCGTGCCTGACTAGTAAAACCATGAACAAGATGATCTCGACGATGGAGCCGATGGTGGTTTCGGTGAGGACGCCAATCATGTGGGGCATTTTCCTCGCCAACTCTTGGCCAGCGAAGCCGATGAGGTTGGCGCATGGCACCATGGCGATGTAGGCTAAGCTGAACTTGAGCACGTGGCGATCTGCGAGGGAGGTGGTGTAGTGGACGGCAATGGCCGCGGGTACAAAGGGCCACAGGATGTTCACGATCCTCGAGATCCAACTGCTGGATCGCCAGATGATGGCCATGAATTGGAGAGGATGCAGGCCATTTCGTCCAGATTCTCCAGCGCTCTTGACTGGAATAAGGCCGTGGCCATGACCATGGCCTCGTCGCTTTGATCTCGTTGCTTTCTCGCGGTCGTCGCGTCCACCGAGAATACCGCCTTCACGTGTCGCCATATTTCGAAGTTTTTGACTCGAGTCGAACTTTTTTTTTCTTTTTTTATCTTGGCCTCGGTATCATCAAACAAGGGAGAACGGCAGTGACAAGAAATCGAGGAGGAAAAAAAAGAAAGAAAAAGAAAACGAAAGGTGAGACCACGCTTGGCGGTCAGAAGGGTATTAGTTGCCAAATCAACAAGCAAACGCCAAGAATATGTAGCTGTTCTTCAATGCATCGGCCCCAGAAGCTAGAGTGCCTAAGAAAGTAGTAGGGAGATAGAAGAAAGGAGCAAATGGAAGCTAGATATGTAGACTAATAAAGAAGCAGCACGATTTTTTGCAATTGGGGGAAGGAAAACCTGATTATATTATTAGCCCGCCTCGCCTTAATACATATGGCATATGTAACTTGGAGGGTCTCTTTTCTTTGCTGTCACCGCCAAGAGACGATGCTTATTGCTCCCTCAAATAGAACCAGCCAATGGTAATCAAATACACGGCATGATGGCCACGATTTATGGGTTAATCATTGTTTCACTGAGCCAGCCATAGAATTGCCATGAACGGTTTAACATGGATGATGTTAGACCATTGGGAAAAGTAATATCTTTAACAATAGTTAAACGACAGGTATGTATTACTTTTCAAGTTGTGAGCTCGCGAATGAATAATATAGACAGACAAAGCAGACCTCGGTAGGTAAGGTGTACATAAAATTATTGCATTACATTAACGTCGATCACGATAATACATGTTAGCATGCTACCTAGTAGGGAGGCAGTACGTCACCCTGCATACATATTGCAAACTCCCCGTCCCTAATAAACCCCTTACTACACTGGGAAGTCCCCCGTGGGGGCAGGCGGCCTCAACATTGAGCTGATGTCCCTACATGTATGTACGGCATAGTAGGGTAGTTACATAATACCTATCTACCTAGGTACAGTACATATTTCAGGACCGTTCTAGACTTCAGTGGTCTCAGCAATACGATGCCAGGGTCTCATCTTTGAATGATCGACGTGGGCCAATTATTCGGTAGCGCTAACTGACGAAGGATTGTCTTACGGGTTCGGCCGAGAAAGCTTGTTGACTTTTAGTCAACATACTACGCCGTACAGTCGCATCGCTTATTTGTTAGCGAGTTCACTGGGTAGACGCCGGCTAGGCATGCCAAGTGAGAAAATAGATTTCTCGTTTTTATAACCGCCAGCATCCTCTTCTGGTGTAAGTACAGTAGTACGTGAGAATAGAGCACAGACATAACTATATATATCTAGCACGTCCTCTCTGATCCGCTCCCGACATCCCAACCCCCCATGATCTTCCAGCCCTCTAGGTTGAGGTCCACGCTGCTCCACAGCAGTCAGTTACTGAAGCGCTCAACCCATCCCATAACTGGATCTCCAGTTGCTTATCCACCAAGCCCATCAGCGTCTAACATTTATCGGGGGGTTTTGACTATATGTATCACATCACTGTTGCCGCGCGCTCGTAAGCGCTGCGTCTGACAGGGCGGACCCTTATGTAATGCCAACAAGGGATTCGGGTTCCATCAACTGCATTGATCGTGAATAACAGGACGGAAGCTGTTGAGGCGCGTTTGCATCTTCGTTGCCATGGTCCAAACGCTCTTGAATTTTAGTCGAGGAGACTACCTTACTGGACAAGGCGTTCGTTCTTATGAGCTTTCCCATGTCGTGAACGAACGAACTGCGCGGTATTCCTAATAGTAATAAGTACCATCATATCTAGGTATGCTTTGATCAGCTTATTCACTTGTTGTTTCTAGCAGCTATGTAGCCTATCTATCCATCTATAAAAACAAAGAATACCATAATGCATCCAAGGCTATGTCGAATTTCAGTCCGCCGAAATTGCAGTCAGTTAGACTAAATAAAAACAATATTCAGTATCTGGTCATTACTCTGGTTTCAATGTCTTTCAGGGGGTCGTTGGAAGGCTTGGAGATGTCTCGCAGATCCAGACCCAACACAAATACAGAGGTGGCCTTCGCAATAACCCGGACGTTGGTAACACTCAGATCTTTCTTCGGGCTATGAATTTTCATGGAGTTGGGATTTGGGTGTTGGAAATGGGAATTAAACCCTCTCCTTAGGCTATGATCCATCTTCTTGATAAAGTCCAGACTCTTAAAAGAAGTTTTCGGAGATAAATAGAGGCAGTTACCGACGGCTGTCCTTTTTAACATATGTGATGATAACGACTGCGGCACCGCCGAGCTCTCGGTATGTGCAAAGGAGACATATATCGGATTCGCTCTCGATGTCCATAGCACAGGGCTGTACTCGATCTGTGTTGGATGGCTGGGGTGCTAGGTGACTGCTGTGTTGGCTGCCCGCTGTGTTGTGTAGTAGAGATACAATATCATTACCATTGCCGCATCTCCCCATGGGAAAACACTTTCTTGCCTCCTGGTATAAGAAGAAGTAGGATAGGATAGCCCGCTCTTATTTTCTTTTTTCTCCTTTTCTTTGCAAATAGCACCAAGTGTACAGGGCGAACTAGACTCCAACCCCCCTTTCATAAAAAGCTGTCCAGTAAGCCCTGTATCCTCGTATTGGCATTTGCAGAGACAAGAAGAAAGCCAACTGAGTCCAAAGCACGACTACACGAAGGGTCGAGGTTCTCGGGGATTGGTTTCAAGGAAGTCAATTCAGCAACCAAACTTCTTCTTCTCTTAGGATTCATTCAGCCTCTCATATTGAGTATCCTGCTTTAATACGATCCGGCAGCATCATGGAAGTCAATCTCGAGAGCCAGCGTATGAATCCAACTATCCAAGAAGACAGCGTCAACCAGTCCATAGAAACTAATATCACTGCCACCGACGCGACCACTCCCGCAACCAGTTTCGGCCATCCCGGCCCGCAAGGTCCTGGCTCTGAAGCAAATATGGATGTAAGCAACCCCCTCCCTCACCCTACAGCACCTTGTTCCATACCTACATATTCAACCAGACATTTTTGACCCGTCGAGCCTTTCGCCGGCGCGTTTTCGCAGCCGCTTCTATTCCCACGCCTCCAAGTTTCTACAAAACATCAAAACTAGTACCTAGTTGCCTACCTACCTGCGTATTTTGCAAGCTAACATCTATCCACCACAGCGGAACCCCAGGAACCCCCACGAGGTACCGCCTAGCCCTCGCGGCCTAACCCAGGCCCTCGAGGACAACCCCGAGGCCACATTTGAAGGTCTCGGCGCCGACACCCTCAAAGCCGTCATGTCAGCCGTCATGAGCTCCACAAACGGCGTCCTGCGCCTCTGGACGGAGAAGCTTGGTGCCCCAACCGGCACCCGGAGAGCGCCGCCTCCCGCGCATCCTCGCCGCCAACAACAGCCTTGCGTCTCCGCGCCAGCCAGGGCCGGCGGCACATTCGTGCCCGCTGGCTCCCTGAACCTCGCGGGCGCACGCTAAACCACCACATGCATGCCGTCTGCGCGCTACACCGCGACGTGTGCACGCTGCAAGGAGCTGTGCGAGGCGCTGCAGCAGCCGGGCCAGGTGTTCGCCGCGCGCATGGCCCGGGTCGTCGTGATGCTCGGGTTGACGGTGGGGGTGCTGCGCGTCCGCAAGGCGCGGTTGCTCGCTAGTCTTTATGTGTGGGACGGGGTGGTGGAGGAGGAGGTGGAGGAGGTGCGGTGCCGCGAGGTGGAGACGCGCGGGCTGCTGAGGGCCTCGCTGATGTATGGGCGCTAGCGCCGGGGCTGCGTGGCGCAGATGCTGGAGGCGGTGGTGGATGTGTTGGAGGCTGTGGTCGTGGAGGGAGAGAGGGGGGAGGGTGATGGGCGTGTGGTATGCGTGGAAGGGCGTTCTGCGGTGGTTTGGGTAAATGGGCATGTGCTAAATAACTAAATAACTCCCCCGGTACCTTACCTAACCTGCCGACTCCCGAATAGGCCGTGGTTTATAGATACAGAGACTAACTAGGTAATAGTATCGTAGGCATGAGACGACGAGAAATTTCGAGGCTACCTGATTGGAGGTCGACTTTCGAGGTTCTACGGGCGTCTTGAGGAAGAGGAAGGCTTTCATGTATCAGTGAAGGAGTAAAGAAGAATAAATCATGTAAGTAGGGGGTGAGGATGGGACGGGCTGTACAGGACAAGACTCTTACGTGGGAAGATCTGCGGATGGTTTTCAAACTCGAAATGGCTACCCACCTACGTATCTATTTAGGGAAGTTCGAATAGGTCATGGACTAGTTTTATATTCGACGGGCAATAAGTAGGTAAACACTAGGTAACTGTTCCTATGTTAAAAGACGATGGCGAGTTCCGCATGTAAAATGATGAGGTAATTCTTTAGTACCCTACATCAAGATCTATTTATCTGTGTGATATGCTAATATTGGCTTGACTGGGTATCTGGCAGGCCACCTTTCTGTGTTTCCTATTCCTACGTGTTTCCTACTCGCCTTGCTACTTGTTGCTGGGCCTGTATAGTAACCTAGGTCATATACCAAAATAGGCCTTGGCTGCCTTCTTCATTAAAAGCCGTATCAGCCAAAGAACGTATCGCGAGCAACCTCATTATTGCTCTACCCCCTGCTCCTCCAGCTGTGCCGCCGCCTCATCCATTCGTCGCATCAGAGCCGCCTCTTCATCCTCTTCCTCCTCCACCATTGCATCACCGCCCGAAACAGCAGCAGCAGCAGCACTCCCATTTCCGATTCTCAATCCCCTCTTCCTCATCTCCCCCTCGATGAACCGTCTCGTAATCATGCCTTGGCTCAGCTCCTCATACTTCCCCTTCTGCTCTTGCACCCAGCCCTGCAAACTACGCATGCCCACAACCAAGAACCCCAACTCCTCGCGGTCGACGTCGAAGACCTCCCACCACGCGCATCCGGGCATCTTGGCGCCGACGTCGCGCGCCGCGGCGTAGATAGCGGCGACGGCCAGGGCGTTGGGCTGGTGCGTCAGGTACAGCAGCTGCGGGGACAGCAGGGCGGTGTTGAGGTACGCGACGGCGCGGCCGGCGACTTGGTTCTTGGGCAGGCCGAGGAAGTCGAGCGCCTGCAGGTAAGTGATGGCGAGCGGGTGCGGCAGCGCGACGTGGGTGTCGAAGGACAGCGCGTAAAGGATGCGGCCCTCGAGCAGGAGGATGCGCGAGCGGAAGGCGGTATACGCGCTCTCGGGGAGGTAGTACGAGGACGGGTCTCCCTTGTCTTTTTCGTTGTTTTCCGCCGTTTTCTCCTCCCCTTTTCCTGCCGACGAGAAGAATGAGGAGCTCGAGGATAGAAGGTACGCGTAAACATTGCACACGTCCCGGGGCCGGCAGGGATGCGCGCTGAGCTTGGCGACGAGGAATAGCGACGCGGCGGAGACGTCGCTGAACTCATAGGTGAGGGGGTACTCAATGAGCCAGTACCGCGCCAGCACGACGTTGGCTTGTGCGGTGACGGACTGGGGGAGCCGGAGCAGGACGCCGGCGGCTTGGGTCAGGCATTGGGTGGTGAAGAAGATGATGTCTTGCAGGTCGGAGGGTAAGGCGCTGAAAGAGGTCCGCTGGTATAGCTGGTCGACTGTTGCGAGGGGATTTGTCATATGCGCCATGGTTTTGATTTTGATTTTGATTTTGATTTCGCGTTTATGCGCTTCTTCTTTTTTTTTTTTCTTTTCTTTTCTTTTCTTTTTTTTTTTTTTTTGGTTTCGAGTGTCGAGTTTTGTTAATGTTCAAGAGTTCATAATTTGAAATTCAGGACGTCATTGCGAGGCTGTGAGAATTCACTGTGCAAGTTGCAAACATTGAAAATCAAATTGAGGCTGAGCTGAATTTGCCTGGCTGATGCAAGGATCCTTATCTTAGGTTGGGGGCTACGGGATTGGTGCAACCACCAGTCGGGAACAGGGGTCAAACAGGGGTCAAACAGATCTAAACCTTGAAGGAACAAGGCCAAGGAGCTCACGCCACAGCTGTCATCAAGCTCCAAGCCTCAACAGCAAGAGCAACCTCAACTCGTTTACTGCTCCAACCATTTCCCCTTTCAACTTTCAACTTTCCCCTTTCAACTTTCAACTTTCAACTTCATCGCAACGAAAACTTTCTTGGTTCCTTTTTCTCTTTTTCAAGTTTTCTTTCCGTTCATCCTCTGTTCCGCTCCGTTTTCACTATTTTTTACTATCTGACTTCCTGCATACTATCAAGGGTCATGTAGCATTTATAACGACCGTGAGATGTCAAATCCTGGCTACCTTGCCACCTGGTACCCTTGTCATTTCTCGCATCAATCTTGCCTGCCCTACTGCTGCATATCAGTGGGTAGGTCTATCGACATGTTCCTCGAAATATCGCCCAAGTAGCGGTACAAGCTCATCTTCACGGCTGATAGTAAAGGGTGACAGCCTCTATGGACCCCGGCATATTCGCTAATCTGTGGGTACGCATGGTGACAGTTCACCCCGGGGTCTAGGGATATACCAATAATACGCCCCAGCACTCACTTACAGCCGGCATGGTTGTCTATGAGATGCATATTGTATGCATATTAGCTCGAGGAACTCATATTGGGATGTGGAAATCTTGCCTCGAAACCGGTTCATCACAAAGTAGTGCATATTCGGCCCTTGCCACCATTCACTACCGGTACAAGAAATCAACGGAACAAATATGGAAGAATGTCAACAGATGGCGAGAACGCCTGTCAACTATCGAGGCGTGTCTCCTCTCCTCAGCGTGGGGGTCATTATCCTTGCCGCACTGACTTCTGCTCATCTGACGATAAGATTCATCTCCGTCTCCCCGGAACATCGAGTACATCCCCCGGTTGCCGACTTCAGTGCGGAAAGAGATATGTAACTTGTCTCATGTAGTGCCTGCAAACCTCTGACCAGAAAGTTGGTCGGGAGCCCCAATTACCGTTTGAGCCTTTGGACACGTCATTCTTCCAAGAGCTCGTAATATTCCGGGATTATATAGGACATCAACCCAAGTACCTACTACGGATATTACCGCGAGCTTGGCAGATATGGAAGATCCCTTGATGGCTATGTGATTCGACGCCGAAGTCGGGATACTGATACTATCAGTCACATATCGTGACCCAATTTGCCGGCAAGATGTTACCCTTGCCCTCCTCCGTCCCTCCTTCTATTTAATGTCACATTTCTGAGTCTATCCAGGCCCTGCGACGTAACCAAACGTCTGTTTCTATGGTTGAACTCACTAGGAAGAATTTGATATCTCACCCCTTTAGCACTTGAAAAGATCGGACCACACACGGCTTAGTCGTGCCGCTATACCGTACTGCTTCTATTGCCTCAAGATTGATTACCAAGACCAGACTAAACATGCCCAAACTTTTGGCTGATCAATAAGCAGCTATTTTTATCCAGACATAAGTACACGCTATCCTATCGCCGATGCTTCCTGTTTTAACACCCTCTCCGGTATGATTGCTACTATTCTTTAGGGCTTTAGAGTGCCACTCTATTTTCCCGGCTCCTAATCCAACACTCGACAAATGTTGAAGCACGTTTATGAAACGAATAATGGCATGCAATATGATACCACTACGATTCCAAATCTGACGGATAGGTCCTGTACTGGCAATATTCCGTATACGATTAGGTATAGCATATTGCTGAATTCTTGATACCAGATCCTCCGTTTCCCGTTGCCTTAGCTTGTGCGGAATCGAGGCTGGTGGATTTATGGATTACTACATCTGCAATGCTCCTTTAGAACGCTTTTAGTCATATGCCTGCCTACCCACAAGCTGATAATGTGCTAAAGCTCGGCAGCCGCTTAGTACCTATTCGAGGAGTTAAGCTGTGTGGGTAAGTCTTTCAAGCCACAGTGAGTCTTTATCGCATTGTCTTACTATTTACATAGGTAATGGAAAGAACCTCTTGATCTCCTTTTGAAATTAATTCACACATAATCTTTAGTGATTTAGCAATGTAGCGGCTTTATAATATAGCTGCCCAGGTGTACAGCAGCTCTTTCAACTCTTTCAACTCTTTCCCCCGCCCCCTAAATCTCTTACATATAAGCAGACTCTTATTCTAAGGTACCTAGGTATCTACATAGTTTACAACGTTGAAGTAGGCGTATAGGAACAAAAGAGCACCTGGCCTTTGTATCAGGCGATCTATATGTATAATCAAGTCTTTGTATTGTCCGTTTCGAAAACTTCTTTTGACAATATAGTTGTGAGCTAAGTATCGAGATAAAGGCATTGAAAACCATTGTCTTTTGCTGTTCCTTCAACTCCCAAATCCGATAAATAGACACCTTGTCCCATTCCGCTATCGTAGACATTTTTGGGGGGATGGAGTATTACACATTCATTCAACGAACTTCTTCAAGGTAAAACAGAAATTGTTAAGTCGGATTTTATGGTGTGGTGGCCCTTGGGAAGCTTTCGTTTTTTTATTATTTGGCAGATAATCTGGATTCCATACCATACGTTACAGTACCGTACATACACGCCCCCTATCCCTACAGCTTTACTGGGCCAAAAGAACTTGAAACCGCCTAAAGAAATATCACATCTACGTCGAAAAACCGATACCAAAAGCCAAGCAATGTGCCGAGGCAACGAAGTCGAGATGGCATGCGGCCACATGCTGCGGCACTACACGCGGAAGTGCGCCGTGGGGCGGCAGACGCGGCCGTGCACGCGGCCGGACAACTTCCACCTCGAAGACGGCTCGGAGCGGACGTATCTGGCGGACACGTGCGCGACGTGCGACCCGGGGTACCGAATGACGCGGGTGCGGCAGGCGCGCGACAAGGAGCAGACGGCGCTGATGCGGGAGCTGCACGAGGCGCAGGAGGCGAAGGACATCGCGGAACAGCAGAGCATCATGCGGGAGATGGATCTGCTGGCGCTCGAGGCGAACAACCGCATCGGCGAGATCACCGCGAGCCGAGGCCGCGGCCGCGGCCGCAACGTGTTGGCTGATGTTAGCAGTGTCTTGTTTCCCGCGCCCAAGACTAACGTTAGGCTGGTCGGTGATTGTAAGTGGGTTAAGGGGAGGTGCGTGTGGGAAGTCGTCAAAGATGATGATGATGACGACGACTACGACTCCGTGGCGAGGCAAAGGGGGGAGAGGAAAGGGGGTAGACGATATGAGGATCCGCGGGTGGCTAAGGGACCGATTATTGTGGGGACGACCGAAAAGCGCCGGGTGCGGCCGGAGCAGGAGCATGAATATTCTCCGCCCGCCCCGAAGTCGCCCCGCCGGAACACAAATGATCATCCACACTCGCGCAACAGAGTGTCAGAGGTTGTGAACGAGGAAAGGCCATCGACAGCACGGCGCCACAGTCTTCGGCGGGTGAAGAACCAGCCCCTTAAGAGGGATGGGAGACACTACACCGTTCTTCCTGACTATGACTTTGATGCTCCTAGCCCAGGGCAGGAACCTCTCTTGTCTGAGATGCAAGTGAGTAGCTTCGACCTAGCCGAGCCAGCTAATCCAGCTACTACACAAAGAAGCGAGGTATCAGAGGAATCAGACATGTGGTTGAAACTAGCCGATAGTCCTGAGGAAGGTAATAATATGTCTTCGGGTAGAATTAGATACCGGGGGTAACTGGAATAGAGGGACAGAACACGTAGATATTGAAATACATACCAGGTAGGTAGGTAATAGAAACTCATAGGTACTCTTCTAAGCATACAACTTTGTGATATCCACAATGAAAGTCATTTCTAGTACATTCGTCAGAACTAACCTCCAGGATTAAATCCATCAGGGAAGTCCACCTGGCCCATGTGATTAGCAATCTCCGCTGGTGTTACCACCATTTCTTCTTTAGGATCTGAGATGTTTTGACTACTGGTATCTAGGATTGCTTTCTTCGCCCTTGTGTACTCTTTGACTCGTGTAGTGGCAAGCCTCCCTGCTCTTCGCCTATCAGTAGGACATCGCAGGAGCGGGACCTGGATGATGGCTGCAAAAACGTCAAAAACTTTCTCAACCGGAACGTTGTGTCTCTTGGCAACTTCCTCGAAAGGGAACCTTTCTTGGCATGTCTCTGCCACGTCTACTATTAGGTTCGGTGAGGTCTTGCGATACGTGGGCTGGATGAGAGTTGCAGGTGGCTTCACCGAATTTGAGGTCGTAGGTGGCCCATTAGCTTCTGCTATTGGAGGTGATGAGGGTCGAGGTTGATCGTCAGGCTTTTCAGGGGCTTTTGGAGAGTTTGTTGTCTCTTTGCTTTGTTGACTAACGTGCACTGGGCTATGCACTGGACTGGGCGTAGGGGATGGGTAGGCAAGAAAGTTGCTACTATTGAGTGGCATCATCATTGGTGAAAAGCCAGAGCTAAGGGGATGCATGCTATTAGGACCCATAGCCATCACCTGAGGAGGAAATTGTTGCCCGTATGGTTGGTGACATGTCATCTGCGGGATCATGTGATGTGGCATATTATGATGCAGCATTGAAAGCCCCTGAGTCTTGGCAATATTCGCTTGGTGTCGTATTCTAGTACATACTTGACATGGGTGTTTCGCTGTACCTGTTCGAGCGGTATCATGAGGGACGGCCTTGGATGGAGTAAAATCAGCCTTTGTAGTGGTTCTAGAGGCTGCTAGCAATTCTGGTCTTGGTATTGGAGGAGGCGGCATTGCTGAAGGTTTCGAAGCTGCATTTTTGAGAGAACTAGGTAGTGGCGGGCACTCGGTGTTTGCGTGTTTGACCGAAGCATTGAGAACTGGAGGTTTGTCGATAACTGAACTAGGAGTCGATAGAACATGGGTAGGGGTTTTCGGTTCAGGGGAACCCTCACTAGGTGTCATACATGCCACAGGCGCTGTCTGGGTACTAGAGACTCCAGGACTACTATGGCCAGTGTTAATGCTTAGCATTGCCGGCGCGATTGTGCATGGTAATTGCTTAGGCGAAAGTTCAGGCGGGCTCAAAGGTCTCGGTTTGCGAAGAGGTTGGTTGAGCGCAAATTTCTCTAATACAGGGAGCGATACACCTCTTAGGGCACAACTGAGCTCTAATGCATGAAAGTCAGAGGGAAGACCGACCATTCCTGTACTAATGCGTCTATCATTATCTCTAATCTCAACAGGCGGCATGGCAGAAAGGGGCAGCGTTTGAGTCATGGGCACCGAGGGAATATTATGTTGCCAAACACCTGGGTCTTGGTTGGGATGACTATGCTGGCCATTTTGGCTCATCCGCTGCCTTTTCACAGGGTTTGATGAAATGAACTGAATATCGTCATCTTCTGATCGTTTGGATGGTATAATGGGCTTGGGAACTGGAGGGAGTGAAGGACATCCATTCGTAAATCCCCGAGAGTTGGGAGTTTGCGCCTGGGGCCGAGGAGTTGTTGACATTGTTGGTGACTTGGAATGTAATGATATCTTCTCGTAATCATGCAGTTTATCAAGGTGACAAAACGCTTAAATATTCATGACAAGTGGAAGAACTCGAACCAATGAGAGAGATGACGAAGTAGAAACTCTCATATTTGTATGGAAAGGAATTTACCCAAATCAGTGCTGGAAATCAGTGCAACTAAGACAAGAAGAGCTCGTTAAAGTCTCAAAGATGTAGAGCACTTGGACTGCGTTGAACCTCATCCTGTCTCTTTCAATGGCTAGAGTTTGAAAAGACCACAAGAGACCAAAGCTTGACATGTATAAAAGCAAATTCATGGATAGCTGCCATGTGAAGATAAAGTAGACAATGATAACTCCAATGACTTCAATGTTTGCACTAGCCTTTCACAGGACATGTTAAAAAATGAAGCTTGATAGTAAATGAGAACGTGCTCGAAAGAGCTTCAAGTAACTCAACTGATCTAAGATGGGCGATATCCTGCTTTGAGAACTTACTGACTTGCCCAGTCATTGTAGATAATTAGTGAGATGTGAACTAATTAGATAATGCTTAATTCTTGCAATGCATTCTCCATAAGACAATCTTAAACTTAGAAAAATGACTGGGTGAGACTAAATGATTAAGAACATAGAATATGTTGGTGTTGAAGGGAGTGAAGGGTGAAGTTGAAGTTGGAGAATTGAAGAGAAGAATCCGGAGGCTTGAAGTTGAAGTACATACATAAGTACCTAGGTACCTACTATCCTTGCCAGGTGATGACCCAAGCGGCAGCCCCACGTGCATAATAGCGGACATCGACCCTGTCCCATAAAATGTGGGACGGATGCCACAATGCACCGCCACCGCGGGGCAAGGCACCCACTATCGTGCACACTAAATTCCACTAAAAGAGCTATCATTCATACCTGTTACAGCTGTAGCCTGTAGGTTAGTTAGATAGGTGCAGCCTCATTGCCATTAACATTTCAACCCTTCAACAAACCAAATCTCCAACTTCTTACCTCAAACAATACCCGGACTTCACGTTCGGTGATCTTCTTTCTTGACTTTATCTCACACCATTTCCTCTTCACTATCAATAATATGGGTTCGAAAGATAAGAATACACTACTTTCATCACAGAAGTCTTCTGACTCTGGACTACAAGTCGTTTTGCATCCTCTAGTCCTTCTTACCATCTCTGATTACATCACACGACACACCCTAAGAGAACAAGCTGGGCCCGTGGTTGGTGCTCTATTAGGACAGCAAAATGGAAGAGAGATTACTATAGAGCATGCTTTTGAGTGCGCTACCTTGGAAGATCCGAAGCTTAATAACTTCATTCTAGACGAGATGTGGTTTGCGCAGCGATTAGAGCAGAGTAAGTTAAGCCCCTTTTCCTATGCTTGACATCCCATCATAGCATGCCTATTAATATCCAAATTATAGTGAAAACGATCCACAACTCTCCCCAACTCGATCTTGTTGGCTGGTATACAGTACTTCCTCAGACCGGTCCGACCTTGGGCATACTTCCCATTCACGAATCAATCCTTCTTAAGCAAAATGAATATGCTCTTCTGCTCGCATTCCACCCCGAAGAGGCCGTCCAGCATTCGGCCGGCAGCAAACTGCCGCTGACTATCTATGAATCAAATTATGAGGCCACGGACGAACCAAGGGTGGATCAAGATGATGACGAGGACAAAGAGATGCGAGACGGTGATCCACCTCTTCGGTTGAAGTTCAGAGAGTTACCTTACTCAGTGGAGACAGGCGAAGCGGAGATGATCAGCATGGATTTTGTGGCTCGTGGGGCTGGCAATGCGACAATGGTTGAGCCTAAAGAACAGAAGAAGCAGATTACCAAGTCTGCCACTGAGACGGATCCGAAAGGAAAGAAAGTCGCGTCGGCACCAGAAACTCAAGACAGCAGCCATGTTGCCGTGGTCAATATACTATCCCGCGAAGATGAAGAGATGATTGCAGCTATTACCGCCAAAGCCAATGCAGTCAAGATGTTGCAGTCACGGGTCAACCTCCTAACAACCTACCTCGAACGATTACCCCCCTCATACCTTTCTCCCAACAATACCACTAACCTTTCTGATGGCCAATATACAATACCATCCCACCCAATCCTTCGATCGATACAAGCTCTAGTTAGTCGGCTCCCGCTACTAGTGCCATCCGACAAGGAAGCCTATGAGCTAGAGATGCTCCGCGAAACCAACGACGTGCACCTGATGGAGCTCCTCAATGACGTAATGCAGAGCCTCAACGAGACCCGGGACATTGGCAAGAAATACACAATTGTCGAGACAGCCAAGAGCCATAGCAAGAAAATCACAGACAACCCAAGAGGAGGCATTCCCGGTGGCTATGACTACGCCGGTCCTGGCGATCTCGCTGTATAATGCTGAGGACCTGGAACGGAATTAAAGTCAAGACCCCGAGCTAAATCGTGCCTATCACCAAGAGTGCCTAGGTAGGTAGTTGGTTCACTGCATTTGCAAAGGCGAAGGAGGCGTTTTAGAGGAACTGTGCTCTACCAGCACTAGACGATACCTGTGTAACCTCAAAACAGAAGTTTTATGATGATGATGAGGATGGATGGGCAGGCATGGAAGGGATGGAAGGGTAGGAAAGGATTATGATATCAATGATGATATGCGGACCAGGCCTGAGAAAGCTTTTTACGAAGCCTTACGAAGCCTCACGATAGACTCAAGACTAGGTACCTAGCATGGACTTCGGTGATAATAAATACCCAAGTATTAGTACCTATGTAGGTGTGTATACTTCAAGTTGTGTGACGATGGGTTTCACACCTCGTACTGCCTACCTACCAGGGGGGCATAATACACTCCTAAGAAATAACCGAAGAGCCAAATCGCCCTAGTTATATCGTAGGACCACGATCGTAAGATACCTAGGTATCTAACGAATATGATTGTTTTCACTGTATGTGTGCGGCAACTACTAAGACATGCCAAAAAAGCATATAGGTAAAGGATAGAATTCAGGTACCCTAGGTAGGTTACCTACCTGTACTAGATGAGAAATAGAAGGAAGGTATTAGACCTCCACATTGAGATTACTCCTCATCTACCAATCACAAGATAAACCGCTTCAGTCTTCCCCAATGTTTTATATTTTTATGGTATAGGTATATAGGTTAAAAAAAGTATTTTGGTTTCCCTGTGAACATTCTAATGCCGTCGTTGGTATATTGGTAGTAAGAGGTAGGCAAGTAGGTATATGAAGTAGGTATTATTTTCGAGATGAAATAACATGAAAAATAATGAAAAAGGGGGTATCCAAGGTGATCCTCATGCTTAGTAGTTAATGTGGCCATGGCCAAAACAAGAAACGTGCAATACCAGGAAAATGCCTATCAGGCATCTAAGCCTCGATGACAACCTTCAACACGAGATTGCCGTTTTCGTCAACGGTTCTGCCAGCAAGTTCAAAGGCGTGCTTGGCAGCACCAAGGCCTTTGAATCGATGCGTTACCATGTCGTCGAGACTTGGTAATGTAAAGCCAGCTCGACCAGAACCCTGCGCAGAGAGTATTCTTATACCGGTAGCGTATGTATTCGCATACCGAAAAATCCCCAAGATATCTACTTCTCGTAGATGCGCCGCAGATATCGGAAGCGTTTGGATTGGGGTGCCCATCCCAACCATAATAACCTTGCCGCCTGGCTTCGTTGCATAGAGGCTCGTATGCATGCAAGCCTCCTTGCCAGTGCACTCAAACGTCACATCAACGCCCTCGTCTTCATCATCGATTTGCAGGTCCGGGGCCAATTTTGTCAATGAGAGTATATCGGCAGCTAAGCTTCTAGCACTCTCAAGTTGGTCATGAATAGAATTGGAAAACAAACTCGCCGGTGTCATTACACCAGGCTCGAGGGGTGTGGAGGTTCCAGAGTCTGTGAGAATGGATGAACTACTAGATGAAATATGTAAAGGACGAGGCACAACGAAACCATGAGTAGCAAAGCCTTTCTTCAGTGCATAGTCAACGCGACCCGCATCTACATCAGTTATAGTAACTGATGTGCAGCCAGATTGGCGCGCCATCGCAGCGGTCAAAAGGCCAACAGTCCCAGCTCCGATGACCAGAGCTGTAGAGCCAGGTGTTGGACTAGCGCGGTTTACGGCATGAATTGCCACGGATAATGGCTCGAGCAGAGCAGCAGCGTCGAAGGAGACATGATCAGGGAGTCTAAAGATATATAGGTTAGTAGGTGAGAAGTGAGTAGAATAGACGCAGAATAGGAAGCATACTTGTGACACCATATTGCCGGATGATTTATCCTCTCTTGAAGCGTTCCTTGGAAGTGAGGCACACTCTTGGCGCTGCTTCTAAATCTCATCTTCTTACACAGGTTATACCTCCCTCTTCGGCATATACCACATTGTCCGCAAGGGACTCCAACCTCAAGAGCGACCCGGTCACCAAGTCTGAATCCGCTAACTTGGGGCCCTATGGCTACGACTGTTCCAGACGACTCGTGTCCGAGAGATAGCGGGGCACAAGCGCATAGGTCCCCATTCGCGAATTTCTTGTAGTAGGACACGTCTGAGCCACATATTCCTGTAGATTTGACAGCAATTTGTAGCTCACCAAGACCAGGCTCATCAAGGATTCTACTTTCCTGTTGATTTATGGTTAGCTAGATTCCCAAGCCACCATCCAAATGAGGTCGGTAGAATATGTGCGAAATTCACCAATGAATAGGGGCCAAGCCTACCAGTCGCAAGTCTCGAGGCCCATGCAACACAGAGGCATTAACCTTGTTTGGATGTTTCGAGTAGACAGAAAGCTGCATGGGTGTGGTATCAGACATCGCAGAGGGCGCCATTGTCAAGCGGTTGCTAATAGCGTGGGGTAGAGTGGGATATGAACTGAAGTTAGAAACCCTATACTCTTTAAGACTATATTGAATCGTGGATAGTAACAGAGCTTGGGGGTAGTAAGACAGGGGAGCTTGAGCCTTGACTGGTTGATACTCTGAGTAGTGTATGGGATGATATGAGTAAATGGAAAGGGTATATCAAGCTAAGTCAGCTAACAAGAGATAATTCCTAATCAATCACCAAAGGCCAAGATTTGCAGTCAAGGTGTAAGTAAGTGTAAGAGGGCATAACGTTCAACATTGACGAGAACCCCCACTCCCTTATGTATTGAAGTGTGATGAAACGCCATAAAAAGCAATTTGTGCCAAATAATGCTAAATATTATCAAGGTGGATTCTAGGATCGGAGTAGAAGCAAGGGTTCGCAAGCTCACGAAGTACACCGTAGTAGGTATTGTTCGAATTTTTCCAGACCCAGTCAAACACCAACGAGTTATCTTGAGTACTATAGAGGGTATTTCACAATCTCGGGAAATCATATGTAAGAGGCTAGTAGCGATGCGACTATGTCAAGTTCGGTAACGAGACCCTTGATGGTGCGTTTGGTGCTTTTGGTGTGGGTGTGGTGTAGCTGTAGACGTTTAGACTTGCATATCCTGTACCTATACATTGTCGTAACGGTACTTCAGGACGAGGCTGGCGAATTATGGCATGGCGTCATTTATAGAATAGTAATATACGTTCCCATGTTGTGTTTCCCTCTAGTTCCACAGGGCGTGCTTCTCCTGGCTCCCCAACCCATATGAGGTTGTAGCCGGGTGATTTCCGCTAACAAGGTAATATATCACTGTGACATCTTGATTCTCCGTTAAGAAATGGGTCATGTACTGGTATTTTAAATCCTTTCGTCGAGAGGATGAGCGGCGCAAATTCTGATACCATCAAGCATCCATTTGAAGTGATGAAAGGCGGCTCACCATGCCACAACTCCGATGGTGCCTCTTAGGCACAGCACTAGATGAGACATAAGTACTAAAGGCCTTGGATTTAGAATACGAAGATTCCCTGGGGAGGACTCGAAGGGGGTTAGTGATGTCGATTACGACTCCACCGGCGCTGTGCCAGAAGATTTCCAGAAGGTCAGACCATCTAGGGCTAGACTTGTCCAAATGCATAAGACAGCCGAAAGAAACGGGAGATATTTCGCCGTAATCCAGATATGAATCTTCGTGAAAATAGTTACTAGGTATTACCTAGCTTAGGCCCTATATATGCAGGCAGATTAAAAAGATCGGGGCACGACCCTGAAATACTACAAAAGCAAGCTGAGTCAATATTGAATGTAAAGATGGTGAGATTCCAGACATATGGGACTGCTACTTGAGTCGTGTAACGGGCCGGGGTTGATAGCCTTTAGTTATCTATTTTGTATAGGATCTGTCACAGACAAATAAGAACATTGAATGAACATTGAAGTGTTGGAGGAATTTGGAGTTTCGAAATGGAAATGGAAATCAAAATGGAAATCAGAAGGCGGAGAATGCTGGATTGCCTGATCGGGAGATTCCATATTAATAACTTCGATGTTGAAGTAGGAGACAAGGGCATCCATCATTATTCAAGGTTGTATTGCTCAAGTACCTTATTGAACTTGGGGTACCTAACTGTCGCGTATCTTGGATTATCAACGTCCTAAGTTCTAACGCAACAATAGGTTTGTGTCACCTATGTAAAACGGCGCATGGGTACGACAGCTTCTAGTACCTGCCTCCACCATTCATACATCAAGTGCCTGGTCGAGACTAAGATCCATGTAGGTGGAAGGAACATGGTGGCGTCCCCCAAACCCAAATAAACTTAAAATCATCCACGACCACGGTTTCCTCAACCTTACATAGGTACCTTAGGTACCTAACCTAGTAGAACATTGAATAAACTTGCTCAGTTATTTTCCTGTCCGTTCCTATCTCGTCTATTGCTACAACCCACTACAACCTAAGTAGGAATGGCTGCCAATTGCCTTGGAAGCTGGCACCATTTCGCCGCATTATGATCCTGAGGAGCAAGAGCCTAGCTCTTGTAGACTATTAGCCTAGAAACAGGCTGCCATGCTACACACTCGTCTATGCAACATATTTCTAGGATGAAATTTACCGCCGCCCCAGTCTTGTAGCGGTACTCTTTCACATGGCGACAGGGACGGCAGCGAAGTGCAGATAATAAATATATGTACTTCGTACTGACCTAGGTAGCAAGTCATCGTGAACTTTCAGCCTGTCGAAACGATCGATCTGACTAGGTACCTAAGAAGCAGATTGAAGGTTCTATAGACTTTCCTATATCCCCCCCCACGTCGGCCAATACCAATACTACTAGGTAGGTAGCATCCTACCTATCGGGAGTCACAGCGTCAAACCGTGTGCTTGAGTATCATCGACCTGTTTTCGGCACTGGTACAACATGAATAGATTATGCTCCTCAGCCACACATTGCAACAGGTCGTACGACAGGCTCCACGACATCATCTTTCACATGCCTCCTTGAGGGCTCTTCTGCTACGACATGCCGAAGAGTATTTGGAACCCTCAAGCATCTTACTGTGACTCGAGTCTACTTCTACGTCTATCACAGCCGGCTATGAACGTCGTTCGGAGCCGTGGCCGGTCTTCCAAGTTCAAGCAATGATCAACTGCTGAGGCAATGTCATGTTACTACGAGTCGGTAGCTGAGGTTCGCGCCGATCTGCCTATCCATGGACAGCATTCTACCCGTGCCCCCAGGTCTCAACCAAGTTCAATTGGTTGAAGCTCATTAACGGAAGTCGGAATCATTCTCCCCTTACTACATACACGATATGGAGACTATGTGCGTGCAGTGCATAGATTTATCGTGACAACATCTCCATGTCTACAATGTTAGAAGAGATATGCAGAGCAGACCTAGTAGGTATGTAAGGCCTTTGCCCCAATTCAGCGTCTTGAGGGGTTCCGTCCCGCTGGACAGAATTGGAGAAATTGGAGATCACCACCTCAATCCCTTTACACAGGGTAAAGTATACTCTATTACGGTCTAGGCCCAATAACTCACCGTCTTTTGTTACTTTCTTTACCCTGTTTTTCGACGAGCCTGGTATCTCTTATAAACTGTATTATTGCTCCGTTTATGGTTGATTCAAAGTAGCTACGAAACTTTGCACATGCAACGCGACGGAGTTCTCGGGAGCAATTTCGGCGATCGACTTGAATAAGCTCCTCGGCGCCAGGTTCAATGCTGGTAACACTGCTGGGCTCTAATCCACATTGTACGCACGAAGTAAAGGTGTACTTCATTGTCTAACATAATGTTAGCAATGTCGTGAAACTGCTGCATGTCACATCGTTGGACCGATCTCGCAGAGATTATGATAGGTCATCACGCAATCAACACTTGCACTCAGCCCAATTTTTGAGATGGTGGTGAGGTTGGTCGTCCTAGTTCTACTGATAATGGTCAGCTAGAAACTTGAACTTCCCTGCTTTGGGCCATGATGAGTCAAGATTGATAGACATACATATATGCCTCGATAGCTCCCTATGGAAATTTACCTACCTAGGTAAGTAACTACCTAGATGCATCATACGCAGAGTAGCAATCATACCCACAAGATCGGAGTGGTTCGTCTAACTCCCCGTCCTAACCTCCTTAATCATACTACCTATTATATGAGAATATCGAACTACCGAGGTCGAAGTTCGACAGGTCACTAAGCACAACAAGCTCCCATTAGATATCTCCCATCCCTTCGGACCATTCGCTAGCTCTTTTGTCAGTGTTGACATATCTAGGGCTATTTTTAATTCTAAATATTTCGCCGGTCTCGCCATAAATCTACATGTCATATTACACCAACCACATGCGTGTCATACTACGTGGTTTCAACCTACATATGCGGACCTGGGCCAAAAGTACGTGAACATGATAAGTTTCGCCCCCCGGCTAAAAACACCAACATAGGAATACAATTCAGAGGCGGCACTGAACTGAGACACCACTACTCAATAAGGTCTCCATGAGAGACAATAAGCTAATAGATAAAGCAAGCAATATAGGTGCTTAGCACTACCGAGTAGCATGGCTGTGCATACCTATGTATGTGCCATCGACCCGAGCTTGCATTACATACAGCTTTGCTCTTTAAGTGCCTACCTACACACTAGGTAGGTGGGCAACCATCTCATAGGTACCCAGTAGCTAGTTATATGAGATGAACATTTGAAGCTTCTTCACACCTCATCAAAATGGGAGATCCGGACATATGTGCCTTCGCATACACCTCATCGCCACCCACATACTTCTGGATACGGAAACTGTCATCGATCCTTCTTTGCTACCTTACTCCCTAGTCTCTCAGATCAACTGCACGATCGATACGTCAAAAGTGTAGGCCGCCTAGAGGAATCGTGATCGGCCCAATTCCTTCCCAAGATTTGATTTCAATGACATCTATCACTATGAGCGCCTAGAGGAAATTCGAAGCAGTGAAAGTTGAATACGAAATCTTGGAACTTATTCATGGAGACCGCATGGCTTGGCATCCACGAATTCAATGGACCACCTATACATGGTACACGTGTGGCTGCTATTTGATATACCTACATCAGTATGCGCCTTATGTACCTAGTAGACACTACATACATATCAGACATATAAGACATTGGGGTATATGTACCTACCTGCTAAGTCTATATAGATATGATCCGATAGAGCATCCATTGAAGTGCGACTACGACACTGCGCATATATTGCATGCCCAAGCAGTTACCTAGTGACGCCATATGCCCTATAACTGTATCCCGAGCCGAAGAAAAAGGGAAACGAAGGACAAACGCCATCAATGCCGGTACGTGGTTCCCCGATTCAACCGCATCCGAAGTCATTTGCAGTACCGATCCGATTGATCGGTGGTGAAACAACGGGAATGTTGCCGTTTTATTTTGTTTTGGGGTTTTTTCGCCACTCTCATGTTCGGGATATACATACATCATGGTATATATGTATGATAATTCATGTATTCGTAATATAATTAGCACATATAGCAGTGATATGTAGGTACATACTAGGTAAGCACATACATATGTGGTGTTCTTTCAACTCGGCGATATTAGATGGGTGTTTGCATGAAATCGGCCGCAGGAAACACTTGAATAAAAGCCAAGAAGCAGGGCTGCTATACATGAGCTGGTGTCTTGCATGATTTGCTACATACCCAGGGCCTTCAATGTTCCTACTTACATACAAACCTACCTGCATACAATGCCATACATTCGTGGATGCCTATCTTGGTACATATTATGTACCTCTAGGGCTACTTACCTACAGTAGCGCGGCTAGGCACCGCAAAGCTAACTACGTATATGTAGCTTGGTAGTACAGGCCTACCCGGCACATACATACATACGTATCGTATTAAAATGTTTCTGCTTCATACTTACATATGTATTCTACTATGTATGTTCCAAGGTTGATATCTATCTATTATCGTTGCACCATGGGGTAGGCAGGTAAATACGTAGACATGTAAGTAAGTTAGCCGAACACCCAAGCCGAAAAAAAAAAGGGGGGGGGCCTGTAGGTTCCTCGGAACACAGTCCCGTAGCTAAATATGTAGGTAATGAGAGAGAAGAAAAAAAAGAAGGGGAAAGGGAAAAAAAAAAGGAAAGGAAAGGTTCCTGCAAGGTTCCGGATCCCTCGCCACGAACATGGAAAACTTCTGGCCCGGAAGCATCGCCGACGAAAGCGGCCAGTAGAGGGAGTATATGTACCTAATGTAGGTAGGTATATGCCTACACAAGCGTAAGGACAAGGAGAAGATATCTACCTAGTAGGTAAGCTACCTACGTATCGTAACGTACCTGTATGGGTAGGTAGACAGACAAGTTAGTTATGGATGCAAGTTTCGATATGCGCCGAAGAAAAGCCCGCCCAGGTCCCAGGTACTAGGCATGTAGAACAATGGTCATTGACAGTTTGTCTACAGATCCACGTACATACCTGCCTCCTATATACCTACACTACTGTAGATACAATTATACTAGCTTCCAGGTACCTAGGTAGGTATCTGGCAGACAGGAAGGTAGGTAGGTATATTCTCATCGTTGCGGCGAATCAGGATGGAAACGAGGCTTTTATTACCCGGAGACATCCCATTCTTTAACAAGTTTGGGTTTGGTTTACGATACTAAAAACACAAGATACATCCTCATCCTCATCCATCCATCCATCCATCCATCATGATCATAACCCTCATCAGAACGTGCTCGTCGCCAGTCGGCTCGCCGCGTTTCTTGCATCCACGCGATCCTCGTCGTCTTCTTCCGCCAGGCCCGGCAAGCCCCCGCCGCTGCCGCTGAGCGCCCTGGATCCTGGGCGCTGCTGCTGCTGTTGCTGCTGCTGCGGGCTCCCGTTCTCGGCATCGTCCTCCTCGCCCATGTTCGACATGAAGCTCCCCGACATGCTCCTATCGGTACGGCGAGGCACACCACTCCAGGAGTCGCCCTTGGGCCCCTGGCTCGCAGCCATGCTCGCACGCCGGACTGTCGGGTGGGCCTCGCGCCCCAGCCGGCTTAGACCCCCGGAGGCGTCTATGGCTCTGATATCGGGCCGAACGTTCTCTAGCAGGGCGAGGGTGCGTCTCTCGGCCTCGATCTCGCGGGTGACGAACTCGCGGATGCTTAGGCGCAAGTCCGCGGTAGTTCTAGCGAACCACTTACGTCGCTCTTGAACCAAGTTTTGCGTTACCCTAGTCGTCTTTCTCGCCAACTCTAACTCGGTGCGGCTGGCCTCATCCAGGGAGGAGATGGCTTCGTCAACTTTGTCGGGCCGTACGGTGGAACTAGCCCTCACCCTATCCGCCGCGTTCCGCTTGCTCCGTGTATTCTCCTGGGCTTGCAAAAATTCGCGAATTAGGAGTTGCCTGTTAGTCAAAGTTTCCTTGACAATAAATGCATCCTGCGAGTGATACTGGAACGGGTCGCCGAGAGTGGTCGCTTCGGCAGTAGCTTGAGCTGCATGGTAGTCACCCACCGTCTGCACAATCTTGCCGAGTTTCCGGTATGCGTTTGATAGGCCTTGATGCGGCTCTTGGGTGTGCATGCCGCCCAGCTTGACGCCGAAATCGGACTCTGATAGCCCCAACCCTACTCCTGTGTCAGCTATTGGAAAGCTCTTCGTAGATTGTGAGTGTGAGGGAATGAAAAAATAGCGTACCTCTGCGAGACTTGACAAGTCGATCGACTTTATGCCCCGCGTCCATCGAACCCAGGTAAAACAGCTTCACTATAGGCCGTGCTTCCGCAAGCTCTGGGGTGTCATCTGGCGGGGGAGCGAATTGCTTCAACAATTTTCTCCGCACACCAGTTGCCGGTTGCTTCTTCTTGACCATTGGACTGTACCCAAAGTCACTCTCAACGAATAAAACCATTTCGTCATCTCTCATAAGCACCTCATTGCTACACACGTAGTTCAACCATCTCTGCAATAGTGCCTTGACCCTCGTCTCGTCTTCGTCGGTTCCAGCGCCTGCAGATGTCACTGATGGGGGTACAGCGGGAACCATGGCGTCGGGGTTGGCGGATATCAAATGCTCAGCTAACTTAACGAATTCGGAATGTAAGCGGCGGACGTCACGGAACTGGGTGGTCCGGAATTTAGGTATATTTGTCTACGAATGTAAGTATCGCACACATAAGTCCGTCTTCCAGTTGAGACCTACATGCACATCAAATCTCAAGATTGGATCTTTGCGACCCGTTCGCTCCAACCCCGTAATTTTTGCTTGCAATTTATAATGAGGACCCCGAGGTCGTTGTGGTTGTTGCTCACGCTCTGGTGATGGGCCGGTTCCAGGGGAGTTGTCGTGTGTCTGCGACTGCTGCTGCGGTGTACCCGGAAGCTGTTCTTCTGCCTCAGCTCCGGCGTCGTGGGGTTGCGAGGGCTCGGATTGTTCTGCAGAATCGTATGCCTTCGTAGAGGCAGTGCTGCTGGCTGTGCCTGGACGTTTGAAAGCATTGAGGCCGGGATCTTCTTGCGCAAATCCATTATTCGAGTCTTGGGTTGGGTATGGATACGGAGGCTGTTCGTTGCCTAGGGAGTTGAAGGTGGACTCATTACGTCGCGGAGAGGCAGGCGGCGATGAGCCCCAAGGGGAGGCGCCGACCGGGTGCTCGTCATCAGCTATGGAAGAGTGGTAGTCCATGGCGTGCCTTGAGAAAGCAGCAGCGGAGAGGGAGATGTTTTAGTATGTAAGATGTAGTATGTAGTATGTAGATGTTGACGGGATTAGTGGAATGGTGGAGTGGGTGGATGTAGAGCAAGCGTTAGGGGTTGCATGCTAGGATTAAAATCAAAATCACTTGCAGCAACCAATAATTGCTCACTGGATAGAAGAAATGAGCACCTTAGGTAGGTTATGTAGGATTCGCCGCCTCGCCTCGGTTGTAAGACTCAAGTTGTATTGAAGAAAACTGCTTCAAAGCCTTGCTTATTAAAGTTGACGTAGGTATGTAGGTAAGGTAGTTTACCTAGCACAAAATAAACTTGAAATGCATAACTTCAAGTTGAATCCCAACTGCCTTGAATGTTCTTTCTTCTTAAGAACATTGAATGGTTAGAAAAGTTGCGAGCATGCGACTAACCTAGTACCTAGTACTAGGTACCATAGCTATGTAGTACGTACCACCCAACTACCTACTAGGTACTAACCTTAGGTACCTAGGTATGTATCATCAGACTCAGACTCCAGAGTGTAACCTTGGTAATGGCCCGTGCGTTTATAGATCTGTGCATTTCACCAAAAATGGATCTTTTTTTTTTTTTTTTTTTTTTTAACTGAATTCCACTTATTGGATAAGATCAACATCAAATTATGTACAGTTGAGAGTTCAAGTTGTTAGTTCTCCAAATCAAAGTCATTCATTCATGTTTGTATTAACATTAATTCATAAAAGTTGTTGGAAAGTCTATATTTTAAGATTATACAGTTCAAGTTATATCTTGCAGGAATTCATTTCATATCTCAAACTCCCACTCCCACTCCCTCAGTTATGAAATGGTCGTAGTTCGCGGGTATGATCTTATTCGCACTTACATGTCGACCCCCCCTCAGACCCAGTCCACCTCGACTTCTCAGGCTGTTATCACTGCGCTTGAAGCATTATGAAAACGAATATCGCAATGTTAGGCGATCCTCAACTCACACTAGTTCCCATAGTGTGGGAATCGAACATGTCCGCAATATAGGTATCATTGCCCATGTCGATGCAGTACGTCTCATATAAGCACTTTCATCAACTACACTATAGAGCCTAGTGCTTATACAATCATCCAGGGGAAAACGACAACCACGGAGCAGATGCTTTACAATTCTGGGGCTTTGAAACGTGCAGGAAGTAAGTTACTATCACTTCCCATAAATTTTCGACTTGCTAGAATTCCCATACTTAATTAATACTTATCTTTTGAATAAGGACACATGAGATGGCCAGATCTGCTCGTACATTTAGCTAACGATTGTTCTAGATGTTGACGTAGGAGATACCGTGACTGATTTTTTACCTATGGAGAGACAGAGAGGAATTACAATCCAATCTGCCGCAATCACATTCACTTGGCCATTAAAGGAGCGTCTGGCCCCGGGCAAAAATCAGTATATCATCAACCTTATCGATACACCTGGTCATGTGGATTTCAGGTTCGAGGTAGAACGCTGTATCCCCGTGCTTGATGGCGCTGTCTGCGTTATCGACGGAGTAGAGGGTGTTGAGGCACACACTGAGAGAGTGTGGTCTTCTGCCCAAGAGTTCAAAGTTCCTCGTGTCGTCTTCGTCAACAAACTTGATCGGGATGGCGCCTCCTTCAAGAAGTCCGTACAGGACATTGGGCTAAAACTTAATGGGATGCCATTGGTTTGTCAGATACCTTGGTGGGGCAAGGATAGCATACGGGGTGTAGTTGATGTCATATCTCGTTCTGTCGTTAGTTGGATGGGAACAAAAGATCACCCTGAGGAGCTATCGGGGATCTCTCTTGAGGGTACCATAAAGGACGAGACTGAACGCGCACGTGAGAGGCTGATTGAACAGCTCTGCGAGAAGGACGACGAACTCCTAGAATTATGGACTGCCCATGGAAGCAACCTATCCGAAATGAATATCAAACAGAGCATTCGTCGTGTGGTTAATTATGGAGACGGGTCTTTAATACCCGTCTTTGCAGGATCTAGCTTGAAGAACATCGGTGTTGCCGCTTTGCTGGACGCAGTCACAGATTATTTACCCAATCCCCAAGATCGTCCCGAGCTTGAGGTCCGGGTTAGACAGACACAGCAACCTCTAAGCCAGGTTCTTCAAGCATTGGAGTCTTCCAAAAAGTCTCAACTCCGCTTCGAGGCTCTTGCTTCAGTTTTTAAGGTGGTCAATGATCCCCGCCGAGGAATGCTAGCTTTCGTCCGAGTCTATACGGGAAACCTAAGAAAGAACGCGCCTATGTGGAATGCTAACCTGCAAGAATTTGAGAGGCCTCTCAGCATGATGCAAATATCCGCAGAACAGACTCTTGAGATTCCCTACTTATCTCCTGGCCAGATAGGTGCAATCGCTGGCCTGAAAGCTGCACGGACTGGAGACACATTGCTAACCTTTGGCGCCAACAAAAAACCGCAAACAGAACTTGCGACAATACAAGTACGGCCCCCCAAAATTCCACCTGCTGTAGCCTTTCTTGTTTTGGATGCATATAGTCCGACTGGTGCTAAGGCACTCGAGGAAGCTCTAGAAAACCTTTCGAGAGAAGATCCCAGTTTGCGCTGGTTTCAGGATGAGAAAACAGAACAGTATACCCTTTCTGGGATGGGTACGCTCCACCTAGAAGTTGCCCGCGATCGTCTCCAGAATCATTACAAGGTCGAGGCATATTGGGGTTCGATCTCGGTTGATTACAAAGAATATTTAATGGAGCCGACAGCCTCGCACCGAGCGGTCTTTGACAGGGTAATAGCAGGAAAGTCTGGTAAGGCTGCCTGCTCGGTGGTCATCGAACCTCTCGAAGACCACCATCGTGAGACATTATCAGGACCCTTCATCGAGCGAGACGGCAATATAATCCAAGTCGTATTCTCACATGAGAGCCAAATACCCGACGTTGATGGCACAAGACAACATCTCTCGAATGGTGTAATAGCAGCACTGACGAGAGGTCCCCGTCGAAACTCGCCGATGCACCACTGTCTTGTCACCGTCTCATACAATCCCACAACGGACTCGTTCGGATCAGCTCCAAGTTCCCATCTCATCAGCGCAGCGAACAAGGCGGTACGGGCCGCCCTTCAGGAAGCTTATCAACAAAAAATGATCGGCATACTTGAGCCTGTAATGAGGGTCACGATCGTCTGTCCCGAAGTCTCAGCGGGCGCAGTTCAACATGACATACACACCGTCCGTGGGGGGCACGTCCTCGAAGTCAAGGACATACAAGAAAGCCACACAGAAGAAGGCGACATCACTGACGTGGCCAAGATCTATGCTCCTCCCGATCCCTACGAGTTTCAAACGACGATACGGGAAACACAAACGGGCCGCTTACGAAAACTCGAGATTACGGCTCTTGTGCCGTTTGTGGAGATGCTAGATTACGATACCCTACTCCGGGGGAAAACACAGGGAAGACATACTTTGACCATGGCTCTGGACACCTTCGAGAGGGTCACGGGGCCCAGGGAGAAGGGGCTTTGATCTACATAGGTAGGTAGTTTCCATTGGTATTCGGTTGGGAGGTTAAGGCACTGAGATGGCGCATCATCGTGGTATGCCTCATGCCCATTTGCATGCATACTCCCTACGTACATACTATATAGGTATTTACATATGTACGTGGCATGGGAGTTTTTATGCCAAGTGGTATATCTCTGTATGTATATACTATACTCTATGACTGTTCAGATCAAATTCATCAAAGTGATCAAAGTGATCAAAGTAATTATTTCATCTTCATATCATTTACTACCTCCCGTGGACACGTGGATCAAAGCGATATTGGCTTGAACTGCGGTGTAACAGAGAGCTACCAGAGGAATAGCAGAGTAATATGCTGCCCGCATGATGACGGTGAAGCTCGTCTGTGGCAATGCTACCTACATATGCAAGTACCAACAATGGACATCCAGATACATATCTTTATCTTGAAGTGTTTAAATTTTATAGTCTAAGGGGGTAGGTCGCGAATGCGTGTTGGTAGAAATGCATGACTACATGTACTGCCTGATATGTGGTTGTAGCCCAAAAAGGAGGCAAGGCTCGAGGCTTGTTACATTCAATGCTACCTTCTACTACATATGAATGCACTCTTCTCGTGTAGGTAGGCACCCTTCTTATCAAGTTTGCAACTGCGGCTGCGATCTAAAACCCTTCGTTAACTTTCAATGTTGTTTACTACCTACCTACATACCTAAATTTTAGATTCTTCAATTCGACAATGTCACACGAATCTTTCATCTATACATACATCCATGGATACATGTACATATATATCCCAAGGCTGATTGACTACCTGGGTACGTAGTAGTCAGATTGTTGTTGGTTCTTTTAAAACGTGGCTTGGCTTCTGTTCAGCGGCTACCCCCTACTAGGTAGGTATTTGCCCCTGTAGGCTGATCATAAACTCATGCACACAGTTGACAGAGCCTCGACCTAAGCGCTTCAAAGAGGACTCCAGACCTCCATGTACATAGCCATGTGTGGAGCGAGTATCTACCTACATGTAGGTGCCAAATCTTGTACGTATGAAGATTCAATGTTCTTGTAGGGGCTAGAGTGCCTTCCGAGGCTGTCTTGTCACATTGCAAACGAAGCTGCCCTGTACTACCTGAGGTATGTATGTACCTACCCTAGACAGCGAGGCTCACCACAGGGTTGCTTGCCGCCTCCGACCATGGAGTGGTACAGCAGGTGACCTTCATCGCCTCGTCAACCTCGATATGGTCAAACCGTCGCGTTTGCTTGGCCGCCAATGGGATGCCCGGCCTAATCGCAGGCCAGCACGTTGCAGGGTTGCCGCCATCTCTCTACGGTTTACCTTGGCAGTTGTGTCTTGGAGGGCCTATTGATGGGTTTCGGGGGGCATTCGACATTGGCGTCCATGTATGTACATACCTAGGTAGGGAGGTATCTGCATGTCTCATGCATACGATGGAGGTATACAAGTATATACTTCCACGGTCTTCGTTCAGTGGCATCCCTTCGGCTTATATAACTCATGTCTTTGACTTTGAAAAATAATTGACACTCGTCCAACTACTGTACTAGATAACTAGGCATTGTATGCAGTCAAGCTTATGGTTAAAATAATCAGATTCAAAATGGGCAGTACAGCGCCGCCAGACCAAGGCAACCTCGCTATCTTAACCAAGGTTGACAAGCTCCGCGAGCTCATTGGATCAAAGGTCGCACTTCCTCAGGTATGTCGCTCAATGTTTTGATCACTGGGTACCTGGTTGTTTAGTAATATCTTATATCTTATGCGTTATTATTGATGTACTAATAAAGCATAGCTGGTCGTTGTCGGAGATCAATCATCAGGGAAGAGCTCTGTACTTGAAGGGCTCACAGGTTTTGGGTTCCCTCGAGATGCAGAACTCTGCACACGCTATGCTACCCAGATTACATGTCGTCGCGAAACTGAGAAAAGCATCAGCGTGTCCATCATTCCCAGTGATGAAGCATCCAGCCATGACCTGGAACGGATCAAAAATTTCCACTGTACCCTTAAGGAGATGACTCCAGAGAGTCTCGCTAGAGTGTTTAAAGAGGTCTGACATCACATCCCATATTTACACAGTTTGAAACTATTTGGTGCAAGAACCTTATCTAATATCCATTATAGGCAAACAAGGCAATGGGAATCAGAGCCTCCACGACGTCAACGTCTTCGGAGAGCCTTCCGGCATTTAGCGAACATATTCTGAAGATTGAGAAGCTTGGGCCAAAGGTAACGCCTACACTTATAATGTGATATGATTCACAGAGAATGCAGTACTGACCTGGCGCATTAGGAGGAACACTTTACGGTTATTGACGTGCCAGGCATCTTCCGAAAGGAAACTGAAGGTAAGGGATCATAACAACTCATTTCTTCAATCACGTGGTATGAATACAGTACTAACGGCGAGATTGTATTTAGGTGTTACTACAGGAGATGACATAGAACTTGTGAGAAACATGGTACAGAAATATAGTACGTAGAAGAAATCATAGCCAAGCTCCTGGATTCTTTAATCCGAGGTTTATCACTAACATAGTATTACAGTGAAGGATAGCAGAACCATGTAAGTCACACCCTCCTCCGCGATGATAGATCTGATCTAACATAAGTCTCTCTTCAGTATACTCGCAATTATGCCCAGCAATGTCGATCCGGCGACGCAAGAGATCCTGAAACTGGCTAAGGAGGCAGACCGGAACATGACAAGAACTATGGCTGTCCTGACAAAGCCAGATCTAGCGATTGAGCGAACACAACAGAGAATTGTCATGAACCTTGTTGAGGGAAATAGAAGTGATCTAACCTTGGGTTACTACATCGTCAAGAACCGTGGGCCTGACGATGTTGACAAGACCTTGGAGCAGGGTCAGGCAGACGAGACAAAGTTTTTCTCCCAGCCTGAATGGACTAACGTTCGAAGATTGGGGAAGGCTGGTATAGCTGCATTGAAATCTCGTGTTCGTGGGCTCCTGACCGATCTAATCAAGAAGGAGTTTCCAAAGCTCAAAGCGGAAATCGCGAAGGAGCTGTTATCGTTGAGAGCCCAGCGTGATAAGATGGGCCCCTCGAGGAGCACCCAGGACACCCAACGAGCGTATCTCAACAAGATGAGCGAAGAGTTCCAGACAATAGCTCGAGATGCAGTCAATGCGTACTATACTGGGAACGAGATCTTCGATACAAACTATGATCTCAGACTCATCACTCGGATAGTTGAGGCGCATGAGAAATACGCAGATTCTATGTGGAAAACCGGCCATACACGGCCATTTGCGGATGACTCGAAGTCTGAAGCAGACGAATCAATCCCGGGTACCCCGTCAAACGAGTCAGAGTTCTCCGACCTTGATTTTTGCCCCGAGCTGGACGAGATTCTCGACCCCGTTGACCTGATAATTCCCGAAACGAGTGGCCCGGAAGATATCATGAAGTATATTGGAGAAGTGTACCGAGCCAGTCGCGGACAAGAGTTAGGAACGGTAAGTTCAATATTATGTACTATTTGAGTGATATCAGTTAACTCATGTGAGAAACAGTTCAACCCCGCCATGGTATCGACAATGTTCAAGGAACAGACCAAGAAATGGAAGCCGATAACACTCTCCTATATGAACAACGTCATTAGGACAGTCCATCGATTTATCGTTAAGGTCATTGGGGAGGTTTGCCCCGATAGCCGTGTGCGCGATGAGCTTTGGAACGGGTTCATTCTCGAAGAACTTCAAAAATCATACCGCGAAGCTATGAAGGAGGCAAAGTTTCTCCTCGCCTTGGAGAGTAATAGTACCCCACTTACGCTCAACCATTATTTCAACAGCAACCTCCAAAAGGCTCAGAGTGAGCGATTAGTATCAGCAATAGAGAAGGTTGGAAATGAAAGAGGTCTCCGTAACCACTATGGTACTCAGGAATCGGGACTCATCTTGACCAAGGAAAAGCTGGAGACCCTCTCGTTGAACATGGGGAACTCGGAGTATAATCAATCATACATACACGATATTTTGAAGTCGTATTACAAAGTATCCCAAAAGAAGTTTGTCGATGTTGTCTGCCAACGGGCGGTCCAGTACCATCTACTACAAAGCGAGCAAGGCCCTCTCAAGATATTCAGTACACAGATGGTGTTGGGTCTCAATGAAGAACAGCTGGACATGATTGCTGCCGAGGATTCTCCAGTGAAAATTCGCAGAGAGAAGCTAGGGAGAGACATTGAGTACTTTGAAAAGGCTCTGAAAGTCCTAAAAGGCTCTACTTGAAATGGAACGGGAGGGTATTGGTCGATGTTTTGTGTTTTGTGTTTGGGTAGATGGTGTTGTTATGTACTGAATAGGGGAGATGATAGTTTATGCTTAGATGCATACTATACTCTCAATGCACTGATAATGCAACAAAACAAATGATAACTAACTAGGGGAACCTTGAAGCTTTGGTGGGGAACAATGTGGTGGGGCAGTAGATAAGCAAGCTAAAGGATAAGGATAAGAACTTTTGAGCTTTGAAAACTTCAAGGTTCCCTGACCTTAGTCCTCTTCTTTGCTACTACACACTTATAATTACATGCGCCTCTACTTTACAACTCCCATATCACAATTCGAATACATTTTTTTTCCAATAATTAATAATGGCTCGATCTAAACGCAAGGTATGCTTACATACTATATTATAAAGATAAAGTAAACCTAACAATTTAATTTAGGGATTTCGCAAAGGCGGGGGAAATCGTGCCCCTCGCGACGGTCCTCCGCAGTATCGATCCTTCAGCGAGATCATCAAGGAAAACCAAAATCTCGAAAAGTTTTACAATTCAGTTCTCCCATTAGATGATGACGAAAGAACCGAGTTCTGGGATGCTTTAAAGAGGGAACTTCCCAATTCCTTCCGTTTCTGCGGATCCAAAGGCCATGCGCTTGCCGTCAAGCGATTATTAGAAACGAGATATGCGCCCAACATCGTCACCATTGAACGCCATGATGGTGAGCCCGTTGAGGCTCCTCAGCCAGTACCTTGGTACCCCGACCAACTAGCATACTCTATGAACACCCCGAAACATGTTATTCGCAAGTTCCCTCCCTTTGCTGCTTTTCAGAAGTTCCTAGTTTCTGAAACGAGCGTTGGCAACATTAGCCGACAGGAGGTTGTCAGCATGATCCCGCCACTCCTCATGGATGTCGAGCCCGGGATGACGGTGTTAGATCTATGCGCAGCACCCGGCAGCAAAGCCGCTCAACTACTTGAGATGGTCCATCGCGGAGAGGAGACAAGAATCCGCAAGTTTATGCAGTCCTTCGGCGAGACTAAACCGCAAGATGGCGGTGACGAAGAAGTTGATCTTTCGGTAGATACCGGCGATGATGGTCGCGCCACGGGCTTGCTCGTTGCTAACGACGCAGATTATAAGAGGAGTCACATGCTTGTTCACCAACTTAAGCGACTATCTTCCCCGAACCTTCTCGTCACAAATCACGATGCAACTCTCTACCCGGCCATAAAACTGCCTCAGAATCCCGATCAGCCTAATAGAGGCCAATACCTACGATTTGATAGGATACTGGCAGATGTTCCATGCTCCGGAGATGGGACATTGAGGAAGAATATCAACCTCTGGAAAGACTGGCAACCGGGAAACGCGCTGGGATTACATGCTACCCAAGTTCGAATCCTAGTTCGCGCTCTACAAATGTTGAAAGTTGGTGGCAGAGTTGTCTACTCGACTTGTAGTATGAACCCGGTTGAAAATGAAGCCGTGGTTGTGTCCGCAATCGAACGGTGTGGAGGTCCCGATAAGATTGAGATCATTGACTGCAAGGATAGACTTCCACTGTTGAAGAGAAAACCAGGAATGCATCAATGGCAAATCATGGACAAGTCAGGTCGCGTCTGGAATAATTGGGAGGAAGTTCAGCAATATTTCTTGACGACTGAGGGACATACGCCTGGCAAGCTCTCTGAAACTATGTTTCCCAGACCAGATACTAGCGACTGCTCATCGCTTCCCTTGGACCGATGCATGCGAGTGTATGCTCACCAGCAAGATACTGGAGGATTTTTCATTACCGTGTTAGAGAAGAAGAATGACTTCAAAGCTAAGCCTGAATCGAGATCGCGGCCTCCTGCCAACACCACCGGCCCCAAGGACACCGAAACGGCAGAGCTAGAGGTTAAAATGGATATAGAAGAAGAGAAAGCCGCTCTGGGTGAGCCGACTGATGTTCTTCCCACCGTGGGAGCTAAGCGGAGCCTGGATGACCAAGAGGCTGAGACGAAGCGAGACACCAAAAAACAGAAAACTGAATCACCTAGAGACACACCCGAGGCTCAACCTGGAGTTTTTGCCGAAACTGTCAATGAAACCGAAAAGGTCACTGAGGAACCTAAAGCAGAGGAAACCCAGCCAGTGGCCGAAAGTACTCCCAAGAACAATTCTCAATCTGACCGAAAAGTCAAATCAGACGGTAACCACGAAGAACCTTTCAAGTACTTACCGCTAGAACACCCTGTTATTGAAAACATCAAAAAGTTCTATAAAATATCGGACCGCTTCCCTTCGGACCGATACATGGTACGAAATGCGACAGGTGAGCCAGCGAAGGCTATTTACTACACTAGCGCACTCCTCAGGGATATTCTGGTTGAGAATGAAGGCCGTGGCGTCAAGTTTGTCCACGGAGGCGTGAAAATGTTTATGAAACAAGACGCGCCATCCGCGGAGGTCTGTAGATGGAGAATACAGTCAGAAGGCATGCCTATTATCGCAGGATACGTCGGGCCGGAACGAGTCATCCGCCTCACACAGAAGGAAACTTTCCATAAACTTCTCAAGGAGATGTTCCCCAAGTTCATTGATGAAGACTGGAGAAAACTCAACGAAATTGGTGAACGGGCTAAGGACATTGGCATGGGCTGCTGTCTACTCGTCATCGAACCAGACGGAAGCGACCCAGACTTTGCAGAGCGTATGGTGCTTCCGCTGTGGAAGAGCTTCCACTCGTTGAACCTGATGCTGCCGAAGGAGGATCGATCCGCAATGTTGCTACGTGTCTTCAACGATACTTCGCCGGTGATCAACCAGACTCTCAAGGAGACGGCCAAGAAGGCAGCCGAAGCGGCAGCTGAAGCTGAGGCTGAGGCTGAAACCGAAGCCAAGGATGAGGTTTTGGAAGATGCCGCCGCGATCGAGGAGCCGGATGCGGAAAACGGCACAGCTGAGAAGCCTATCGAGGTCATGGACACGGACGACGTAGAGGAATGAAGTAATGAATCAAATTCCAGAGAGGCTGTTTAGGCTGGATGAGAGGTATCTACCTAGGTACCTAGCTACCGAATGTAGCCAGCCTGTTCAAAGGGAAGCATAATTGGTTGGTTTATCGTGCCTTGCCCAAAAGGAGAGGAAGAAGAATATTTAACAGAATGTTGACCACGGTCCGGGACTTTTAAAAGGCTACCTACCTACCTACCTACCTACCTACCTACCTACTTAGTACATATTTAGTTATATAGGTACATATCAAAGAAACGACAAGATGGCTTGGGATTTTTATTTTTATTTTTTACCAAAAAAGAAAGAAATAAGGGGGATTCGGTAGCGTCTATAAAATTTGTTTAATAGGTAGGTAGTATAGGTAAAATTCAATGCTTAAATGTATATTATTATATATGTATAACTATCTAACCTAGCTATATTATGCCTTCTTTTTTTTCTTCCTCCCTTTTTTTTTTTCCAATGCCCCCCTTCCCGTATTTACTTATCTCTCTGGCCCATGTTAGTCTATCTATTTACCTACCTACCTACCTACCCATCCAACAACCCAACAGTCCAATGCAGAATGCGATCGACGCCGTGCTTGTTGATGGCACTGACGGGCACAGCAGCACAGTCAGCGACCCAGGCGCCCTCGACGCCGCTCGGGTGCGGCTCCTGGCCGTCGGTGACGGCGTCGAGGTAGGCCTGCAGCCGGGCGTAGTTGTCCTGGGTGTTGGGCAGGTCGCCCTTGGTGGCGACGACGAACCACGGCTTCGCGGCGATGTGCAGGCCCCCCTGGTGCTGGCCGTCGACATTGTCGTAGTTGTCTGCGAGCATCATTTGCGTGCCGCCGTAGCCCCTGCGGCTGGCGCCGTCGCCCTCCCAGTCGATGCGGCTCTCGATTTCGCGCTCCTTCTCCTCGTCCTCGCGCATGCGGGCGTAGAGGCCGACTTCGGTCCAGAGGGCTTTGAGGGCGGTGACGGCTTCGCCGGCGCTGAGGTCGACGACGAAGGCGAGGACGCCGGCGCGCTCGACGTGGCGCAGGAAGGCGATGCCCAAGCCGCGGTCGAGGTGCGCGCCCTCGATTAGGCCGGGGATGTCGGCGACGGTGAAGCGCGTGCGCGGCTCGGGGCCTCCTGATCCTGCGATCTGCTCGGGCTGCGCGATCACGACGGAGCCGTACGCGGCGTCGCGGATCACGGCGTGGGGGGCGGGGCGCGCGGGCTTGGGCGTGGGGATGGGGCGGCCCTTGTGGTTGTCGAGCACGACGGTGCCGATGTTGGGCTGTAGTGTTGTGAAGGCCCAGTTGCCGACGCGCGCGCGGCTGTTCGTCAGCGCGCGGAGGAGGGTGCTTTTTCCGGCGTTCGGTAGGCCGACGAGTCCGACGTCCGCGAGGAGCTTGAGCTCGAGCTCGAAGCGCAGGCTGATTGCTTCTTCGCCTTTGGTCGCGAATAGCGGGCGTGGTCGGTCTATGGACACGAAGTGCGGGTTTCCGAGCCCCCCGACGCCGCCGGTGGCGAGGAGAATGGGCCGCGGTGTTGGTGAGGATAGGTCTAGCTGGATTGGGGCCTCGGGCTGCACGTACAGGCGCTCGCGCCGCGGTAAGCGGGGCAGCGTGACCGAGCGGCGCTCCATGCTCGATATGCCCGGGTACAGCAGGAACTTGTGCAGATGCGGGTTGTCGGGCTCCTCGGGCAGCTTGGCGCGGATTGCCTCTTCCACGCCCTCGTCTGCCCCTTCGCCTCCTTCTCCTCCGCCCGCCTCCTCGATGGCCGCCTCAGCTTCCCGTGCCAACCGCTTGTACTCCCGTTCCTGCTCGCGCGCCTCGCGGAACCGCTGGTTTTCGGCGACGACAGGATCCACGCGCTCGAGCTCGCGGATCACGGTCCCAACGGGCACCTGGATGATGACGTCCTCGCCGCGAGCGCCGCCGCGGTTGCCGCCCTGGCCGGATTTCCCTCTGCCGGCGCGGAAGACGCGACGGCGCGCGAGCTTGTGTAAAGAGGTCTCGCCGTGCACGGCCTGGATGTACACGTTGCCGCCGTGGCCACCGTCTCCGCCATTTGCGGGGCCGTCGGGCTGGTAGGCCTCACGCAGGAAGGAGATACAGCCGTGGCCACCGCCGCCGGCGTGCACGGTTATGCGGGCCTTGTCGGCGAAGGCTGTAAGGGCATAGTCGTCGGGGGCGGGGTTCAGGCGGGAGTGGGGGATGGTGTCGCTCGAGGAGGAGAGGTCGGTGGCATTTTGGATGGTGGTGGAGGGAGAAGAGGAGGGATTATGTATGGTAGTGGTGGTAGTAGTGGTGCTGGTGGTGGTGGTTGTGATGGTTGCTCGATGTATTGTTGTTATTATGCGGCGGGATGACGAGACGGTTCGGAAGAGCGAGGGGTAGAGGAATGGGAGGAATAGCCCTGAACTTGGTGAGCACCTTGGAGGCATTTTTTGGATTTTGGAGGATTAATGGATTTGATCTGCAGTTTATCGTCGATTCATCATCATAAATATCAATTGAGTCAGCTGTCGAACCATGATCACATCACGGACCTTTCTGTCGCCCCTCTAAGAAAAATTGAATGGTTCGGATTCTAATTGCTCAATTAATTTTCTGTCGATAAGAGAAAATACTCGATAAGATAAAGACCAGCCCCACAATTCTGAAGCTTTGATGATCCTAGCCCTGCTAGCGTCCTCGCTTCACCTGCCGGGGGTGCCGGCTTCGGCTAAAATGGTGGTCACATGAGCATCGGGACATCTTTTCCGGAATAGGGTAGGGGGGTACGGGATTGGACGGGGACTGGCAAACGGGTTAGAGTGGATTCCAACCTCACACGACGTAACTAGCACACGAAAAAAAAAAAAAAAAAAAAAAAAAAAAAAGAAAAGGATAAGGAAGAAAAAGAAGAGAAATGAAAACCCACTTATTAAAGATTGAGTGGTGCTACAACATTGAAGGTTGTGTACCTGGGTAGCTGCCTGGGTAGGTGCATACCTACATGGTAATTGGTAAATATTCAATCTTTAAATTCAAACGACGACAAAAACAAAACATCATCAATCAAACAATAACTAACCATCATCACCACTACCTAGGTACTCCTACTACTCGTACCACAACACATACATACAATAACATCCCAATCGACATTTGGATGTGATTGCCATACCCTTAATATATACTATTGTCCGAAAATGTGGTAAATGCTTCACCGTCAACCAAATTGGCCATGACAAAACCCTTGAGCATGGTATCCCAAATGGATTCTAAACGCCATTGGACCGGCACATCCTGAAGTCTCATGAACCGCTGGATGCGCCGAAAGGCGGTGAGGATACGAATGGGGGGGTTAGCCATCAAATAACCCAGTACCCAGTACCTACTACATGCCTAGTATGGCTGGGACATACGCCATCTATCGCACAACTTGGGGTGTCCCTTGCAAGATGCGGGCGCTCAGGCTTGGCAACGTGAAGCTAAAACGAATCGAAATCGAATAGACAAGTGGGACATCCAAGTGGACATCTTCTCTCGGAGCCTCAAAAAAATTAAATGTGTGCGTGTTGTTTGAGATGCGGGCTGGGCAGACCCCCTCTCTTTCTCTCTACTAGGCAATTATTAGTATGCCTACCGTATACCTACCTACATAATGTAGCCATTGTGTAGGTACTCATACTGTACTACATGGTATATTGTATGTACATACTTGAGACTTGAGTCGATGAATCAGTATTGCTGTCACAGTTGGAGCCGGATCCCAACCTTGCCAACGAAACGAGCAGCAAGTAAGCATTTCATTTCCGTTCTCCTATAATTTTTCCAGTCATTTATTTATTTCTATTTTTTTGGCCTTATAAGCTGCATACTTCGTACATATTATACATATCATACATATCATACCTACATACCTATCTGGGTACTACTCCCTTACCAACCAGGTCCTACCTACATACGGTTAAGAGGTTTGTCTTTTTGTGTCTCGTACATATCTCTCACCTCACCTCATCCTATCCTTTTTCTTCTCTCTACTCTATCCTATTCCATACTATCCTATCTCATACATACTACTACTACTGCTACTGCTACTACTACTAGATATCACACCTAGTAGTATCCCACCTCGTACGATCCTCTATCCCCTCTTCAATATCAAGAGGGGAAGAACACATCAATATCATTCTCCTCCTCTCTTACATATTAGTATCGTTCGTATTCTCCAATACAAATACATAGCAATACTTTTTCTTTTTTCTTTTTTAACTTGCCATCACTCCAACGTTGTCCTCTTACGATTACTGGCTCGTGGAAGCAACACCAGACCGGCCGGATTATGCAAACTCTCGATTGGGTTACCCTCATGCACACTGCATGCTACTAGTAATCCTGCCGCCCATTCGAGCCACGACAGCTAAATATCGCTCTTGTGGCCAAACGTGGACATAACTCTCACTAACCCCTCTCAAACCTCTTACCTCCTTGCTCGCTAGACTTGTCTTTGGGCTCCGCTGGGCAGTGGCACTTGTAACCTTCTCGTCCCTTGTCGTCTTTGCTGTCCGTCCCTGTCCCTGCCCGGGCCCTTGTTAGTTGTTCACCTTTTCTGTTCCCATCGTTCCTCTCTCACTCTAATTCCGTCCCTCGTCAGCAATTGGCCTTTTTTGTGGATTCTCGGTTCTGCATAGCACTGCAAGTCGAACGCCCATTCTCCCCCAGCCTCTCAACCTCAACCCCTTCCCGCATACGGACTCCGTTGATCCACTCGACTGGTCTCTTCTTGCCTCTCCCGTCGCGCATTTCTCACAATTTCTCTCGCTCTCCGCGTTCCCCACGCTCCATCCTAAGCGGTATCTTGCACGCCTAGATACCGGTGCCGTCGGGACGCAAACTCACTATCTTTCCCCTTATTTGCTGCCCTCGGTTGACTATCGCCGCATAATCAGATAGGGCGGTCAGCCTTTGGCTCCTGCAGGTAGATTTTCTGAGCTAGCCATTGACTGCGTTGAACCGACATCCAATTCCCCCCTCCTGCGCCCACGTTGTCTGCTGCGACTCTATCTAACCATTGCCCAAACCTGCCGTGCTGTGTTGTTTCCTTGCTATTGTTCTGTTCATAATACAGGTCAGTCACTCTCCGTGCGCCTTACCCTCCTACCCGCTCTTCTTTCCTCTTACTTCCTCTCCCCTTCTGGCATGGACCCTTCTCGGGTCATTAAGTGAACAGAGCGTTGTACATTATTGAACTCTCCTCCATTACCTCCGCCCATGTTCACCACTTCCCACATCCCGGCTCTCCTGCCCGCCAATTTCGGCTTCACGCCGCTAAAATGTATACCAGGGAACATAAACAACGCAAGTCCATCATCAGAATGGACCCGGATTGTGCTATCTGCCATGCTCCTGCTAGCCGGGCTTGCGACTGTGAGGCCAAAGGTCTCGAGATCGCCATCGAACAAGCCGAAACCAGGATGATGCAGTCTGTCTTTACTGAGATACGGTAAGAGCTTCGCGCCATCCCACTCCCCGGTGAACCTAGGCTCACTACCTCTGCCCCCCATTATGACCATATGCTCATCATTGACTTAGATCTTGGGTCCGAGCACACGCTCAAGACTACATACTCGAGTATTTTCGCCTACTCACCGACCGACGCAAAGCTGCACATACGTCTCATTTGGAACGTCTAACAGCACACGCGTGGCATTATTACAATGCGCCCCCGCATCCAAACGAGGTTGCTGCCGCACAAGCGACTCTAAAGCGAGGAATCGACGAAGATTGGCAATCTAGCGTTCAGCGGTACCCTGAGGTGCTCGAATACTTTTACAGCCTAGTCGAACTAACACTTCCTCCCGACGACGAGCCTGCCGTCAAGGATCCTCCGTTGAGTGCCTTGAGCGGGTCACGGAAGGGCGGAAGGCGAGGTGGCACATCGACGGCCACGATAGCGGGCGAAGCATTCCACGAGAGAGTGGAACGTAACCCTCTCGCAAGAAGAACGCCGCCGCCGCCGCCTCCACCCATGGATCGAAGAACGCCAGGACCGGTTGGCAATCCATTGGCCCCGCCCTCACGGCGGCATAGCTACCGGCCTCCGACTGCACCGCCGCCGAGTACTTATTTCCAATACTAAAAGTTGGATGACATAGTCAGAGGAATGGTCATATTATCGTTGAAAAAACGACGACCACGACAGCTTTACGCCCTGGCCATTGACTCGAGCTCCTTTGTTCTACCTGTACAATTGGATCACAGCACCTCAAACATCTACACCACAATCTTCTATTTCTAATCCGATGAAACTAAGCACGACCCTATTCACGAGACCACGAAGGCGCACGATTATCACCATATCTGCTGCATAAGTGGGAGGAAAAACGTCTCCGATACCATTTACTTTTTTTCTGCATAGCGGGCGAAATACAGCTCTTTTTTCGACGAGCTGTTCAGTTCACGATATCTTTTTTTTCTTCTCATTCGATATCCTACCGTTTCCGTGAGGGACTTGGATCTATCTCGAGCTTGGAGTCATCTAAGACGGGTGGCGAATTTTCATTGGGGGGGTTTATTTTTACCTAAGTTTGGGCGTACGGAGTGATATGGATTATGGTTGGACGAGAAGGGCATTTGGTTCTCGGCATATTGTTTTCGTTGGTTCCAACTGTCTATTTTTATCCTCCCTTGATCTCCTCTTCATGGTTTTTTTTATTTTTTTTTATTTTTTTATTGTTGGTTGGATGTGTTGTCCATGTCTATCTACTATCCCTACTGGAATACGTAGGGCAGAAAGATAGACAGTTAGGGAAGAATCGTTGCGAGGATTGGGAGTTGGGTTTACGAGGAATCGAATACCTACATGGGCTGGGCAGAGAGGGGCAAAGCTGGGCAGAATAGGAGAAGGCAGAACGAGTTTTAGTCAAATCAACAATTACCAACAACGACGACATCTTCAAAAATGAAACCTCGTTCCTGATTTATGATTGCTTTAATTGATTGATAAATTGCGAGTATGCAATGGACTGGCCTATGGGGAATATTGGCATATGGCATATGGGGGCAGCTCAGGAGCACTTTGGGTATCTTTATGCTACTGCTGCTGCTTATGGGTAGATGGATGGATAGGTTGTTATTTACGTGAGCATGGATGTAAAACGTGTTCGTTCATCACCCGGCCGAATAAAGTACCAAACCACGAAAACTGTAGACGTGGTACGGCACATACCTGTGCTAACCTAGGTTAGGTACCTATATATGGATGGAAGGATTTATAGGTATACAATACATATATACCATGCCTATTTACCTAACCACTTCCCTAGCTACCTCCCGCAACACAACAACGCATATATAATATGATTTAAACATGAAAAGGGATTTAATTAAAAGGACGAGAAAGCCCAAAAGAAAAGCCAAAACCCCACCCCACCCCCTTTCCCTTAAGTTTGAGTTGGATATAAATCACGCGGGCAGAGCCTGACTGAACATGTCCCTATGATAATGCGGCTGACACGTAGGTAGGTATGTCTCGCTCACGTATAGGTATAGTAGGGTATATAATATAGGTACCTACCACTTACCTACTGTGAAACGCCACTGGGAGGTTCGGGACTTTTCTTTTCTCTGGGAATGAAGGACGAATGGGCAGGTGGGCAAGTACCTAGGTAGGTGGGCAAGTAGAAAGGTAGAGATGTAGGGAGCTATGGGAGGTGGGAAGGGAAAGAAAGGAACGAAGGAACGAAGGAGGCGGTAATGATGGATGGATGGATGGATGGATGGTAGGCTAAGGGTTAATTGAGCGACGGGGATTTGTGTGTTTCTTGGTGTAGGGAATATATAGGTATCAACCTACTTAGGTCGATACGATACCCAAGGTATGGAGAGGATTGGTATGGTAAGTTGGTAGGGAACACGTCTAAACGTGGGTTTCGAGGTCAGGTATATCTACCTACTTAGTACCTACCTCTTACCTACCTACGGATATGGATGTATAGTATTGGTGGAAGCAGGTAACCTACCTAGGTAGAGGTAGGCTTGGTATGTAAGAGGGATCAAGTACTAGGTAAGTGAGCGAAGTATGATGTATGTATCTTAGAAAGCCTCTTACGCGGCTGCTGCTATACACGCCCTGCTAGATAGAAGGTAGGCACTCTCACATATCTACCTACCTACCTACCTACCTACCTACCTAGGTAGCTTAACCAATCTATCGATATATATCTCCATATTCCCACCTACCTACCTGCGCACATATACATGCACGAATCGTACTATACCAAAGCACGCAATACGTACCTAAGTGAGCAGAAACTAGGTCGACATGTAGGTAGTGTATCCAGGCTATCTCTACTAGTTCATGTATGTATGTATGTATGTACGTCCCTCTCTCTCCATCCACCAACCCATCCACCTACCTGTAGTCTCCATATCCACATCTCCATCCCCTCCTCCTCCTTACATCCTCTCCAACGTCCAAGAGATGGAAATGGTATACCTAAGATGAGAATATGAGAGGGGAATCGGTTGGATCTACACATACCAGAAATCCCAAGAGCAGCAATGGCAATAACAGTAGCACCCCCCTTCCTCAAAACGCCCAATCGGGCCCAAAGAATTTGAGACATGCTGCCCCAATGCATGGCTTGGTCATATACACCTACCTATCTATCTATATATCTATGTATGTATTCTACTTCTATACCTAGACACAGGCAAAGACAGACAGATACAAATCGATATACGCACGTACCTATCTGCCTACCTACCTACCTATACGCACGCACGTACGCACGCGCATAGTGTATTGCACATACAGCCCAAAACCACAAATCCCCCATCTCCGGAAATCGTGATCGATGCCGTACATAACAGAGCATAATACTTACTATATGACATGTTCTAATATACTTCCCTACTACTACTACTACTTGCCTACCTACCTACCATCGCAGCATTGACGTGCCTACAAACTACCTCTGTACATATGTATGTACGTATGTATGTAAGTGTGGTCTGTGTCTGTATATGTATGTATGTATATGCGTCAGCCCCTCCCCCTCCCCCTCCTCCTTAAAAAAAAATCCGCTTTATAAAAAAAAGAACCAAACCAAAACCAAACGAGCGAATCAACATCCCCTTCCCTACCGAAAATGGGAGTGGGTTTTTTTTTCTCTGTTACAAATGACAGATACCTACCTACCCTACTCACATACATACATGTAGATAAACAAGAGCAACACACGCCCAGAGAAAAAAAAAAGGGTGATAGACAAGACACGAGGAGATGATGAGCACAGGGTAACCGTAGATCACGTAAGAGAGAGAGAGAGAGAGAGAGAGACAAACAGAGAGGGATTGTGGAGGCCACAGACACACAGACAATCCACGAATCCACACAGACACACGTCACATAGTTATGTACATCCATACTAAACTACATACATAGCTCCTAAGTAGGTAAGTACCTAGTACGCACGCAACACACGGACGGGGAAACCGGCCGAATGGAAAATAGGGTACTGGAGATACATAGGTAGTAGAAGGCTACTGGGTATGTAAGTAGTAAGTAGGGGATAAGAAAAACAACAACGAACCCAAAGGGTCGGCCCATACCGCACGACGCTTGCACGAAGCTTACTTATTATATCGAGGTATGAGATAGGTTTACTTTTGATGGTTAGCTAGTGTTAGCCTGTTTTCCGTGTAAGTAGGCGTGCCTATTATATTTCTTTGGGAGGATACATTGATGATGTAGATCACGATAGTACATGCCGATACCTACATATGTAGTAGTATGGTAGGTACCTACCTGGTACCTACAAATACATATCTCTACCTCTCATATCCGATACACATTGCAAAATCGAGTAATGATAGATGGAAGAATGAGGATTGATGAGGCCGAGAAAGATTTCCGGCGTGCAGGAAACAAAGATACCTAATGCGGACATGGTGATACTACATAGGTACACGTGATGTGGGAATATAACCTCCATTTTCCCTTCCCCCCCTCATCACCTTGTCCCCATCCAGTCGTTCCCGCTCAAGAGAAAAAAAAACCAAAAGCCCGACCTCATTTAGTATGTAGTGAACCAGACCCATTTATATGTGGTGATCAAGGGTCCTTTGATGTTATAATAACAGGCACTCCGTTATGTGACGGATAAGACCTTATTCAGGCTCGAGCCGTGACGTTTCGCGGGTCGTTGGCATTTCTATGCCGTCTGTTCCTCTAGCGATGTCTCCTTTAGCTCCGAAGTGACGGCTTCCACTTTGTCATCAGTCTTTTTATCTCCGTTGACGCCGTTAGGGGTTGCAGTGCCCGAAGCATCCGCTGCTTCCTCAGCCTCCAACTTCTCGATCTCCTTCTTGGCCTTCTCAACGTTCTGACTATAGTTAGCAACAAAGTACAAACGAAGATGACAGCTTTAAGATTCGACTTACTCGTTGCGTTTGGGCCTGTTGATCGGACTTCCAGGTCTCCAGCTTGGCCTTGACCTTCTCAGCAACGCCGGGGACATCATCGGCGCTCATGGGAGGGTCAATGCCCAAGAATACGCAGTCGTCGATAACAGAAGGTGGGCACTTGTAACCCTTCTCAGTAGCGACGCTCTTCTTACCCTTCTTACCCTTCTTCACGGCAGGCAAATAATCTTCTTCGCGATCTTCCTTTCGTAGCAATCTGGTGCCCTTGAGTCCGGCATCATCAACCTTGCGCGAAGCTTGAGCACCGAGACCGCTATCAGCTAGAAGGGGTGCCTTCTCTGTGGGGGCCGAGGATGGGTCCAGATAATGGAGCAGGCTGTTGGCTCGCTGAATCTCCTCGAGGTAGGCAGGGTCGCTTGCCTCTTGGAGCAGTTTCTGGGCGCGCTCCTTCTTGCGCTCCTTCTCGATGCGGTCGCGCTCGGCTCTCTGCCGCTCACGGGCTCGCTGGCGAGCCTCACGCTCGTACTCGCCAAAGGCCTTCTTTGCGCCATAGTAGTCGTCCTTGAGCTTACGCACGGCCTGGAACTTTTCTTGTTGTTCGGCCTGTAGTTTGCTTCGCTCGTCGCGCAGGACATTCACGTTCTTGAATGCTTCGTCTTGCTCAGCTTTGATAGCGTCAAGCTCGGTTTGGATCTTGGTATATTGATCGCTAAGCGCACGTGCTTCCGGATCTTCCATGCTGTCCTTGATCTCCTTGATCTTGGCCTTCAGCTCATCGATGCCCTTTTGTGAAGTATCGAATTGAGCAAAGTTCTTGCGCTGCTTTCGGAGGTTCGAAATCTCGGTAAGGGCCTTCTTCTCATCGACGAGTTTCATCAAGCCGCTATTAACCTGCTTGTCAAGACTTTCGATTTGTCGGTCGAGGTCCTCGACGCTCTTGTAGGCAACCTTGTTGCGCGCATTCTTCTGTTCGGCGATTCGAGAGCGAAGCTGTTCGTCAAGGCGCTTGATTTGATCAAGCTTGCTAGTACGGGCATTCTTGCCAGCACCCTGCTTGTTGCGGATTTCATTGGCTTGAGCGATAAGTTCCTGGCGACGTTTTTGGGTGGGAGATTGGTTGTCCTTATTCTTGCCTCCTACGGCGAGCTCGACCTTCTGTTTGACGGCGTTCTTGAGTTGTCATTAGTATACTGGAAGGGTGTCTCGGTTGTGGAATGCGCAACCATACATATTTAGCAAAAGAATCCTTGTATTCCTTCTCGGCCTTAGCCAATTGCTCATTGAAGAGATCGGCGTCGGGCTTCTCAGGCTTCTTCTTCTCAACAGCGGGCGCAGCAGCAGGCACAGAAGTTACTTCAGCCATGGTGGATGACTAGGTAGTTCAAGTACCTAGAATGCCTAGCTAGGTATGTTCCTATGTTCCTAAAGTTTTAGGTGTAGGGAATGAATGAAACCAGGTAGTCAATATGGTATGACGATAGATGGAGAAGACCGACTTTGACTTCAAGTCATCAACTGAAAGAAAGTGAGAATTTAGGATACCGTGCCTATGTGATATGGGATGGTATATATAAGAGAGGTAAGAGAGGTAGGAGAGGTCTAGAAGGTATGTAAGGTAGGTAGTAATAGGGAATTAAGAATCAAAACTAAAAGAGGCGATCGGCAAAGCCTGTAGGGGAAGGAGGCCAGATCTCAGGGTCCTTTTGGCCTGCCAGGTTTAGCAAAAGGTAAAATTTGAGTGTAGAAAAAAAAATTAAAATATTAGTGACTTGAATTCAATTCAACAATTTCTCTGTTCAATTCACCCCAATTCGCATATTCGCTAGTGAATTTCTACATGGCCTGTGCACTGTGTGCAATTTTTGGTGCAATTTTTGTACCTACCCTGCCATGTAACATTCAGTGCTGTGAACTTACCTTAACCCAAGCCGAATATCTACCGTAAAGTAAGCAGCAGCCACCCACGGTGACCCACCATTGTAGCAGAGCAACATTGAGCCTTATTGAAGGTTTTTTAGTGGACCTGACAGGTTCGTGCTTACATACTTATCTAGCAGGGGCTAAAGAGTACCTAGTACTAGTAATGTATGAGCAGGGGTCCCTCAGGTACGTACCGTGTTTTTTTTTTCTTTCTTGATCCTTCCTACCAGTAAATCACACATGCAAGGCTGAACTTTCGACTTCCAATCTTCTTTTGCATTGTTTCTCTCTTTGACCTTTTACTCGTCAATTCCTAATCCCACCCACGTCCTCACTTCGACTTTCCTACAACGTCACTTCGATCTCCAGCCATTCCTTACGCACCAAATCTTAATCTTGAACCATAAATAGGCATATTGAGTACACGCCCAACTTTGGCGCATAAGCTCCCAACATGTCGGACGATAACCCTGCCAATGCAGTCAATGAGAAGACCGCAGTCAAGACCTGGCGAGCCTGGCGAACCGTTCACGAAATGGTTCAGGATAGAGTAAGAAGGCAACCTTTCATACATCTAATATTCACAATTCCTGTCAAGTTCTGCTATTCTTTTACACGCGAACAACTTGAATGGAATCGAACCGAGTATCATGAAAAGATTATGATTTCATCACGCGAAGATGTTGCTCGTCATACTAATGTGCTTACAGGGCTATGAGCTTTCCGACGTCGAAGTGAAGGTCTCCCTTGAGCAATTCAAGTCTATCTACTGTGGTGTCGATGGCTCTGTCACGTATGTTTCCTGTCCGCTTAGCAATAGACCTATTCTAGGACAACCTAGCTGACGTAGGAGCGGTAACACAGACGATCAAAACTCAAGTTCTCTGCACGACCGAGTCCCGAAATGATCAAGAAATACTCCCCTCCAGCAACCCCAGCGAACCCCGACCCTAAGGCCGACGTTGGAACTATCTGGATAGAGTTCCTAGACGAGGACTCGCTAGGTGCGGAGCAAATGCGAAAGTTTGGACGCTTCTGCGCCACTGAGAACTACCACACCGGAATCCTCGTATCCCACGTAGCCGTGTCCGCGTCCGCGAAGAAGGAGATCGCCAAGTTCTCCCAGTGGACTTCGATTGAGTGGTTCCTGGAAGAGGATTTGTTGATCAACATCACCCATCACGAGCTTGTACCGCGCCATGTCATCCTTAGTAGGGAAGAGAAGGCCGCACTGCTCAAGCGCTACCGTCTCAAGGAGACTCAGCTCCCTCGTATTCTTCAGAAGGATCCCGTCGCCAAATATTTCGGCATGAAACGTGGTCAAGTCGTCAAGATTATCCGTGCCAGTGAAACGGCCGGCCGCTATGCCAGTTATCGGTTATGTGTGTAGGTCTTTCTACATCGAAGCCATAATCATTGTCGACACCATCGAAAACCCAAACGATTCATAAAGCCTAGGACTAGAAAGACTGAGGAAGAAGAATGAAGAAAGAATTGAAGAAGAGATGTGGATATACAATACTTTACGCACAACAATAATCGGCGTCTATGAGCATGAAACCTTGATTGATTTGGTAGGGGATGGCGTTCTACGGATCTCACATGCAAAAAAAGAAAACAGACTGGAAATTCCGAACAGAGAGGATATATTCCGAGTTTGAGAGATGTACTTGTTCTCCAGATTAATTCATCCTTAATAAGGGCAGAGTCGGAGACACGGGCAGATACCAGTATTGTGTTTACCAGCACCTTAGGTGTGGTATCTAATGGATGGATAAAAGGCATTTTTTGACTCTACCTTGGAGGGTATGTAGGGTACCCTAGGAGGTAGGTAGTCAATGAGGTTTTACATATAACATCGTGCTTGTTCTGCATACACGCTTATGTGTCTACGTTCGTAGGTATCTAATTACGTGCAAATACCTAACTTGGTACTATGTACCAACCAACCAACCAACCAACCTACCTACCTACTATCCGCCTGCCTACTTTCATAGTCAAGTACTAGCATGAGTAAACAAGATGAATTCTGCTGAACAACCAGTAGTAGTATCATATGTCTACCTAGCTAGAGTCAGTTCAAGCTTCCTTTCCCAAGACACGTATTTGTTTACTTATACCTAGTAGTATTCAGTGTTTACTTACATACGTACCTAGGTATCTACATGAATGATGACCTAGGTTACCTGCCTACTAAGGTTCTCACCTACCTAGAGTACTAGGTAGCCTACCTAGTAGTAGGTAGGTACTTAGGGAGGTACATACCTAGGTAGGACCTGGTAGGTAAGCAGTAACGTAAATAAACCAGTGCGGCGTCTCGACTCTCCGAGGCAACCTATGCATGCATGCATGCATGTATGTATGTACTGTATATATACATATTACAGCCATGAAATCCAACACTACACCCATCTCAAGGAAGAATAATAAGCAATCATCATGGATAGGATCTGGTAGATGCCTACCTAACTACTTACCTTAGGTACGCACTAATATAACATCACTTAGGGGCACTTACTCCGTACCAAGGCAAACCAACAAACATCCCATCACTAGACAAGCTACGAAGAGATAAGCAACAAACAACAAACACTATATCATAAGCTATGTATGATATGATATGAGTATTTGCATTATTCTAGCATCTATAGGTACTAGATCTAAATATCTCTACTATTCATCATCATCTTCTGTATCGAAGACGCCTAGGGGGTATATGGTCAAACATGTACAGAATCCGTGAAAACCATAAAATACAAAGGAGATAAGAAGAAGAAAATGCAAAGCGCCAAAGGGGGCATCGAGCAGTATTACCGAGGTTCGAAGAGGATCGATCAGGCACTTGCTAGCTATTTCGATAGCGATCGCTGGTCGTCTTTCCTTCCGAGCCTCAATGTGGTGTATATCCATTCAGAACTCCATGCTTAAACCCCTTCTGTGCCTTTAGGACGATGAAGCCTCCCATCGTGATCTGTAAAACGCCATGACCCCCCAGACTATGCCAGTCCCCTATCACCCCGTGTAGGATGGTCGATTACACACCCCTCCGGTTGTATGTCCTGTTGATTCGTTGTGTATATGGTTATATTGGTACAAGGCATGAAATTTTGGGCATCGACATCGTAAATTTCGTAATGTAGAAGTTGGTGAAAAGGTAAGAAAATTGTTGTTTCAACTCGCCACTCGTGTCGAAGGGTTATATTGCGCCCTTGCAGTCAAGGGAGCCGCAAAGGTTTCGAGGGGCTTCTCTTTCCCAGTGCTTATTTCGAAGTTCAATCATTAACGTTGGGGCTTCTGGAAGGGAGCCTCCAAGTCTTTCAGGTCGAACTCCGTGTCAGCCGAGTTGCCATGGCTAGTAGAAGAATCGCCGGTTATATGTTCCGGTTGTTGTGGTATTGGTACTAATTCAGTTCTATTTCTCGAACTCGATCGGGGTTGCCTCGAATTAAAGGGGCTAAGGAGCCCACTAAGATCTTGTAGTAGGACTTGAGATCCGCGTCGAAAGCCACTGGGAGCTGCTTGGATAGCAGTTGAAGGTGGAGATGGCGGTTCGAGGATAGAACCGTACGTATCCAGTGCACTTCGAGATCGGTCGCTGTCAAGTAGTCCACCAGCGTCGATGAAACTAACTCGGCGAGCCATTAGCGTTGAGCTGCTTCGCGACCCTGAAACCAAAATAGAAGCATCGCTACGTGTGGCATCGCTGGGATTCCGACGAGGTACATCCCACTTATCCATATTCGCAAATGGTCTGGCAGGCTTTTCGGCTTGCTTTTGCTGTTCCACGGCATCGCGGAGCTCGCGGTCAACACCAAGACCCAAGTCTCTCACAAGGTCTTCGTCGCTGCCCCAATGTCGGTGGAGGGTAGGTCGACGGTCGGATGCACGGTCCATGGAATCAGCAGCGATTGAAGTATGCCTGTATCTTGTCTTCTTCAATCCGCGATCCCGAACGAATGACCCAAGTACTAACATATTAGCAACAGCCGTGGCAAGAAGTAGTTCGACTGAGGCAAGCAATGAACGGATTTGTTGGTTTCCGTCCTGGCCGATGATTCGAGGAATTCGATATCCAGTCGCCCCCACGACGATCAGGCTTGACGAGAACAACACTGTTAGTTGTATCTTTTTCTTAGTACCCATGTAGCTTGTGAGGATAATCGGAACTGGGTATAAGACGAGTAGGAGGTCAGTCAAAATGTTGCAAGTCGCCATGGTAATAAGTTGGGCGTAACCTTGGCGGCATTGACCTCCAGGATCGGGCAACACCTGCCAATAATGGTTAAATGGTTGGCACTCTGCGAGATCCGCTATCACGACAGCCACGAAAGTTGCTACCAAAGTAGCTCGTATAACCATCACGACAATTTCGTGCGAACGGTTCCAGGTAATGCTCGTCAAGCGGGTGAAGAATTCAAGAATGGCGCCCTTCAGAATCCAAAGCCTATGGGAAAATTAGCATTTAAAAGTTAAACTTGGAATAGAAAGGGGGCCACGGAATACAACTACCAATTCTCGGCACATCGGGAAAATGTCAAGAACAACAAGGTAGTTTAGGAGTAAATATACGTACGTTGCCGCATAAAAGAACCGGCTAGCAAGAACCAGCCCACTAGCAATTGTCTTTTTACGCAAGTCTTCGTCCGTTAGTTCGGTATAATAGGCATTATTGGTCCCATAGATGAGTATAACATGAACGCATCCCATGCGCAAAAACAACGGAATGATAGCCAACGCAGCTATCTTATCTTCTCTATAAAGTTTTTCGGAGCGAACGAAACGGCCAACGATGCGTAGCAAGATAACCGTGGTACAAAATAGGGTAATCCACCAGCAGACCAAGAGCGTGGGCTTGTTCTCATCGGCGGTACGAAACGGTGGCGGTGGTGTATACAGGGACATCTTGCCCCTGCTGTAACTATGGCCACGCTCGTCAACCTCCGGAGAGGGGACGAGCGGGGAGTGAGATGTCTTCGTCAGAGGACGAGGACGGTGGCCGGAGTGAAATTGGCGGAGTTCACGGAGGGGGTTTTATGGTGATAATATAAATGAGTTTGCCCGCCGGAACATATATTGGCCACCAACGCTCTTTTGCCCCTTTGCTATTTTTTCCCTTTTCCTCCTCCTGGTCAAAATCCAGAAAAAAGCTGCCGTGTGTGAATTGTTTAGTGTATTTGGAGTTGATGTCCAATTTACGAAGAACCAGCTCGGACGTATTTTTGTGATCCTATCCCAATTCCAATTATGACGTCGAACCAGTGGTATGTGATCCTCTACTGACGACACCAACGTTGAGTCTAGCCGATGAAGCATTGATATTGCAATCGCAACGATGTCGATGATAAAAGGCGCCTGACACCAAGGGCCTGAGACTGCGCATCGTTGTGAGGACTATCGCGGTTGTGCTGTTAATAATGGATAGGAGACGAAGGTAAGGGAGAGAGATGAGAAAGAGTGTGACCCTAGTGGGAAGAGAACGAGAAGTTGTAGTAGTTCATGGGTAACAAGGATAGCATGGATAACATGGATAACATGGATACATACATGGATTTATTGGAGGAAAGGAAAGGACATGGGGATTGTTAAGTACCTACCTTAGACTGTAGTAGGGCAGCCAGGGTAGCTACTACCTCACAGTCCCGAGTCATACCCACAACTTGAACTTACATCGTACTACCTACTAGGTGCTACATAGTGTGTATTAACCTAACCTAGTAGGTTAAGTAGCTATCTTTCTACATAGTACCTACCTAGTAGGTTATATATGTAGCTAACGAGGAGTCGATGTCCGTTTAATGACAGAACGATAAAGAAACACTGACGAAAGTACTTTGCCTATGCTAACATACGATGGATATCTCTGTTCACGATGTTACAGCGGTCCCGAGCGAGGCCCATAACAGATTGCAAGGGGACAAGTTAACTATATCATACTTATATGATATATACTAGTACATAGAAATGTAGTGTATGTAGGTACCGGGTGATTTATGACTTGGGTCCCAGTGGGATGGGTCCGACAACCTGACATGCTAAAGTTCCCATCCAGATGTTGTTGGTCCGACTTGGTCGATATTATAGATATATACAGTATGTGTATACTGCATCTGGGTAGGTACTTACTTAGTACCGCACTTAATTTAATAACTTGCAGTTGACGCATGATGAATCCGGGATAGGTGAGAGTTGTTACCTCCGATGGTGTATGTAAGCTCTACTTCCCGTGCATATACATACATATGCTGTGCGAGCACATCATTTCCCTCGGTTGCACACATATACTGTAAGTAGGTAGGTAGGCAAGATGAAGTCGATAAGGTGCATACATATTGGGTTTACGTACATACTAATGTAGGTCCATAGGAAAGCGCCCATGTTATTTATGTATGTGTGTATGAAATTTCCACTTCGCCTGATACAAGGGATGCATAGAATAGTTTAACAACGCCTCTTCCGTCTTTCCTTCATGATTAATATCCTTCCATCCTATCAGTCATGAACGGGGACTCAACACAACGCCACTACCGCCTCAGCATTAAAAAAAATTTTGAATAGAGAGAGAATGGGCCGAGTAATTCCAAGTTATGTACATGTATGTACAATACTAGTAAGTAGGTATGTATCTAAGCCCTTGTAAAAAGCATTGAAGCAGATAGCGATGTGGGGCATGCCATTAGAACCTACATGTAATATGCCGTCCCCCCATGTCTGCAGTCTACTAGGTTAGACTTTATCTACATATATCTACTACTGTCTCTAGGCGCACACTTACAATATACACCTACCTACATCGTACCTAGTGCCATCACCGTCATTAATATGTCTTTCTTCCGTGATTGGTTAAAAATAGTTTTGTTAAGCGAATTCAACCACCAGTCCACCAGTCAGTCGTGTGGCTCAAGATCTCTCGGCCGGGACTTACGACAACACGGGGGCTCCGGGGTTTGGCTCGTCAAGAACTACTCCTCCTTATAGGCGTCACGCGAGTCGCTTGACCAGTGGTGAGTTTCACACTCATTAAGCCGAACAAACAAATAGACAAAACAGGAAATAAGGAGGCACAGCTGATATATCTCATGACAATCTCAATTATTGCTACCTACGGCTTCAGCGTAGATAAGGACAACATTGAAGAGACCAGGTAATTCCTTGTGAGATCTATGAAGAAAAAAAAAGTTGGCTAACCGAGACCGAGAACCAAGACCAAGATATAAACTTGAAGGAATTATACCACGTCCATAGTATGCATGTGTATGTGTGTAGCCGTGGATGTTTACTTCACCATTCCCAATTGGTATCCTAGCCTTGCAATTCTTTGATAGCGTTTGTGCTTTGACTTACATACATATGATAATTGATCTTATATATAAGACTATGTATCATCATATGTATGCACTTATATGTAGGAAGGCGCTGAACAGCGGTGGGTAGGTATGTAACTCTTTCATCTTGCAGATGTTGAAAGTTGAAGCTACCTATCTGTCTGTCTTCTGTATAATGTTATAGAGGCATAGTGATAGCTTACTCATCATTGTCGCATACGTCTCTCAGTAGGCAACTCAATCGCCGTTAGTTGTTGTAAGTTGTAACGAAACCCTGGTAACAAGCTGAAGAACCACTGTTACTACTACCTACCTCGGCACTGATCACATGCATTATGCACTGATATCGTATAACATTGTGCGTAGCATTGGTCACGAACGCAAGTTACAGCTAAGCAGACTTAGCGATAGTAATATCTATTAAGTCTAACATACCAACATGTCCAAGACTCGTTTATCTATTTCGGGGTTTTTTTATATTAGGTGCTATGCATTTATGTATGTTGCCTGGAGGAGTCCAAAATTTCGTATCTTTCGTATTGCAACATCGCTAGCTCTATCAAGCAGTCGGGCGAACTACCATACGGGTTAGGTTGGCCCGGGTCCGTCGGTGGCTTGCCGCCAATGGTGTTGACGGGATTGTATTTTGAGAGAGGATTTGCAAAGATTACGAGTTTATCTATCGTGTTCTCCCCATGATGAAAGCGGCATAGAGTGTGGCGTCAAGCCCTAAATTCTACATTGAAGAAAATATTGAACTGCTTAGCTACTATTGTAGTAGTTAATATATACATGTATCACAGCCAAGGGGCAGGCGAGCAGACGGGCAATCAAGCTACATAATTTACATGCACATATCCCCTATAGTGTACTCACTTACCCTTGCCTTCGCCGCAAAAGATCGTTGAATGTACAATAACTACTTGACACATGCATGTATTCATCACAGCGGGACGCACCCAACCAAGCAACCCGACCGTTTGGGGCGACTCACCTCATGAGCAATGCTAGTTGCTGGGGTTGGCTTTTTTCATTATTTTTTTTTTAGTTGATTATCACGGGGATCGTCATTGGATATCCTCGGTTTCGTTATTCGAGGCTTGTGGCGAAATGAGGATAAGATTGAAACTTCCTCTTTATTACCTAGTACAGTTTGATACTGATGCTACATACGACGTAAATAAGATAATTAGATTATACATCCCTATGGATTCTTATAGCGATGAGCAATGAGCATAGCATCGTCAAAGTTGAGGCTGCCACGACAAGAATACCTAGTTTGAGAGTTGGGAAGCGTATTGCACACATGTGGCTGCAAGCGAGCAAAAGATGAATGGGAAAAGACGACACAGACTGAAGTGAGAGGTTGGAAGGCATTGGACATGCGACCGGTGATAACCCTGGTTTTGAAAATGGGGGTCCACATTGGGACGACGATATCTTTTTAAGAGCTTCCCGTTGTAGAGTGAATGGGTTAGAATGTAGTTAGAATGGGTCAAGGTGGTTGGATCAAGGAGGGATGGTGAGGGGAAGCTTGCAGATTGATGTGCACATCGCGAGACAAGGGTCCATTTTAGCGGGGAAAAGAGAGACAGGGGTATTCCAAGTTCAAACCATTTGAAGCTCTTCAAAAAAGTTCAAGCAGTTGGATCCGCTCAATGTCATGTCAATTGTTTATTACACTATTCACCTTACATACATTTGTTCAAGTTAGTACGTACAAGTCCACCGAAACCCCAACTGGGTCATATCCCGTGGACTTGGATGCATGTGGAACCTTGTCTCTCTCGGCTAACATTCACCGACTAGTGCCAGCCTTTCCTTTCCTTTCCTCTTTCTTTTCATCTTTCTTGTCAATCAAGTCAATCAAGTCAATCAATTCTTTTTCGTCGGTCTTATAGCGGCGACAACATCTCTCTCATCACAGGATACATACATTAAGATACATACATTAAATCACTGCAACAAAAGATAAAAAAAGATAACCAAAAAAAGGGTCGATTGCGAATCCCAACCGCAAGACGAAACACCATGGGTCCAGGTTAATGCATGATGTCCATCCTCGTAATAACGACAAGGTTTCCCCAGAGTAATCAATCTATCGATCCTTTATAATTACGTGTCTTATACCATCTAACACCTACATACATCCTATGGGTAAAATACATTCTATGGGTACATATGTATATGTATGTGAAATGTAATGTCAATGTCTCACTGATCACCAGCATACAGACTTTGTTTCCATCCACTTAACGAAAAGTTTTAGGCAATCTTAAGACAGATTTGTTAAAGAGGCTAATAACATCTTACTAAAGGTGCGTCATTGTATCCAGACTCTGCTTATCGATCTATTATATATCTGAGTCTTGGACTTGCAGATTTGTCCCCTGATACTTATGATGAATGGATACTACGAACCAGTCTAACGAGCTGAAAACTACCTAGGTATTCTACCCAGACTTGATAACATCATCAAATACCTATTTCACTTATCTACTATTAGGCACTCACATACAGACGAACTTGTCGCGGATACGTTCCCAAGACAAGTCCCACGTCACAAAGTATCAGCCAAGGCTCAAGGTCGTGCAACCCGATATGTCTCACTGTTTCACGCATGGCCAACGTACGAGCATCCCGCTTCTTCCGGGAATCACCGTTTATCTTTACCTCTCTTCTTAAAAAGATATCGTCGGCGTTCCGGCTGATCTAAGTACACATATTTCCGAGCTGACCGCCGAATAACCCCTTAACTCTTCCTCTTCTAAACGCCCTTATGCAATCCATCAAAGAGGCGTCCTCTTAGCTCCAGAGTTTTCCTGTATTAGGTGACCTATATAATTACATGAATGTTCTCGCCATGGCCATTGTTATCCTCCATGAATCCTATCTACTTAAGCTCACCGACACGATTATCTAACCGTGCAGTAGGTAATATGAGCTAGACCGATATTACATTATATATGTTGCATGCCGGGCGGCTGGGCTGACGATAGACTTGATATTGATATTAACAGATATGACATCAAGCCCCTCAAAGCTAGGCAGACGATATACCTACATACCTGCCTACTAGGTACTAGATATGTACCTACTGTACCTAGCCTACGTGTAGAATCATACACTACGCCTGCGGCTCCCGAACTAGTGTCTAGGGGTCTCCGACTCCGATCTTTGCCCGCTTTCAATCTCCATGCCTGCCTACCGCTTTTCTCCGACCACCAACTCGAATAGCTTTCATGACTCTCGTGTGTTATTAGAAACACTAGGTAGACGAAAGCATACTTGGGTTGAACCCGGTTTCTGAATCTTTCGGGGTTGGCATTTTTTGTCGACGGCGAGGTAAGGGTAGATAGATATTTGTTGCTAGGACCTATGTAGATGTGATCGCGAACGTGAAACTTACTTGCGTCTACCTACCTAGGTAATAGTGATAGTCCAGCATCAAGATTTAAGGTAGGTAGGTAGGTAGGTGCCTGACCTAATCACCCCCCCTATATTGTTTGTCAAGTCAATATCAGTCCTTGTCTACTTCGAAAGCCAATAATCCGTAGTGATATCTATCAAAACATCCTGATCTTCACAATTGCGCCTAGGCACTTAGATATTTTCCCTTTCTACTAGGCAATGTCTTTTTCCTTGTGTTGATACTACTAGGTACATACATACCCCCTATATCAACGCCTTCACCTACCTACTCATGCTCAAACTTCACTCAAGCCCCAGCTCAACCACCACCTTCTTCACGGCAGACTTCTCAGCCTTCCCCCAATCCACGCCCAGAAGCTTCGTCTGCTTCTCCTTCTCCTTCTCCTTCTCCTTCTCCCAACCGCCATCCACCAGACCCCAAAGCTCATCCACGACGAGACTCCGCACCCTAGGCCACGGATGCACCATTAGGCCCGCCAATCTCTTCTTCGCCTCTATAACCCCCTCGCGTCGCTTCACCACCCCTTCTATATCCGACGAGACAGTAGTAGTAATAGTAGTAGTAGTAGTAGTTTCCTCGGCGGGGCTCGGCAACCCCGCAATAGCGCCGTAGACCTTGATAGCGGCCTCGAGCTTGCGGATATTCCCCGTCTTGTACGCGGCCTTCTGGACGAGGAGGCAGAGGCCGCGGAGGCTGATGATGTCGGGGCAGCGGCGCAGCAGGCCGACGTGGAAGAGGTACGCGGTGACCTCGAGGGTGGGCACGACGACGCGGTCCTGGCCCTGGTACGCCTTGAGGTTCCGCAGCAGCGCCGCGCAGGCTCGCGTTAGGTTCTGGGAGGACTCGGCGCAGAAGTCGGCGAGCGCGGCGCGGCTGACGATGACTAGGTCTTCGTTTCCCGTGTCGGCGGACGTTACGAGGCCGGCGAGGAGCGTGGAGATGCAGTCGTCTGCGCTGAGGGTCCAGGACTGGGCTATGGTTGGGTCTAATCGCTGCGTGTCGCAGAGATGGAAGAGAAAGGAGAAGTGTTCTTTGGAGGAGAACGATAGTCCGCGGAAAGTATCGGCGTGTCTGTCGAGTAGATTAGCAATCAAGCACCACGAAGTTATACCGGAATTTTGTAGCATTCTTACTCAGAGTTTAGAAACATGGCCAGCGCAGACTGCGCCTCCGTACGAACTCGATCCAGCTTCTCCGCGGCAAGTCGTAGTATGCGAGGGAAGAGGGCGGATATAACCTGTCCATCGTCCCTTTTGACGTCCCATAAAGTCTTGGTAGCCTTGATCGCCTCTAACCGGACAAAAGAACCAATGTCGCCACGCGCGTTCGTCGTATAGTCATCCAGACCTTCTGATATAATGTTGAGAAAGTACAAGGCCTTGTCTTGAAGGATGGTTCTGCCGATGAGACTACGCAGCAGCGCCACCCGAGTCTCAATATCGCTATCACTTGTCCATCTCTCTCCGAGTACCTCGCTCACCGAAACACCAGTAGATTGGTCGTGCTTGTCCTTCTGGGCCTGGTACGCACGAGCCAGAGCGTGAAAGAAGCCGTCTCCATGCTTGTTGCGTGACGCCTGCGCCTGCGGGCGGCGCACTTTGTTAGACCACTCTTCAACAACTTGTGTTCGACATTCCTGGTTGGCGAAGATGACGAGAACTAGAGCTGCCATGGATGAGGTCCGTAGGACTTCGCTCTCATTTCTGTCAAGCCAAGCATTCAAGATGTCTCGCAAAGCCGCAAACAATCCCTCGAATTGCTTGAGACAGTCCGTTTGTGTTGAATCTACTAAGTTTCCAATTGTCCTCAATAAGTCGAGTTTGGACTCGTCGTCAAGGTTGATACCGGGTTGCAGGGTCGTGGTGTGAAGGTCTGGTATATCATCCTTAGCAGCCACCAGCAAGAGGGCCGGAATTGCGGCCACGACAAGTGCGCCGGCGGCCTCGGCTATCAGCTCCGGTTTCCTGTACTTGGTAGTCTTTGCGTCCAGTAAAATTTCCTCCAGGGAAGCGACAAGCTCAGCTACCGGTACCTTGTCAGAGGATCCAGTCTGTTTTTCTTTGAGAAGTGACGGAAGCAGGTCAAAGACAGCCGCAAGACTCAACAAGAGGCCGTGCCGTTCCTCCACCTGCCTTACCTGGAGAGCTTTAAGTCGGGGCATGAGCTGTTCAACTGAATCGTTAAAACGCTTCAGGGTACCAGAGGTTTCGGCACCGATGAATTCTGCAGTTAGACTTCCAAATGAAGTAGCGGCTACTCTCCGAGCTCCTGCGTCCATATCACCGATGCCTCTCCACCCAAGAGTTGCCTCTAGCAGTGAACGACCGTAATGCGGGGATAGTCTAGTCGCTTGCAGGGCAACTTCATGTATGGCTCTTGAGCGTAGAGCTACGGCATGATAATCGACTATCTGCACGACAGCAATACCTTGTTCCACTGTGTCGGGGTGCCGACCGATGAGCTCCTGAAGGGCAGCGGACGCACCACGCCTTATGTTTCCTGCCGGATCAAGCGAGGCAGTTACCACCAATTCAGTTGCGATTACTTGCAGGATCGACGCAGCAGAGTCGTGGCCCCTGGCAACAAGCACAGATTGTGTTTGCACTTGGAGCAACTCAGCAGTGCTGTATCGACGAGCAAGAGCCCAGATACCGAAGCAAGACGCATCTCTGACGTTCGTACCAATCGAAACTCCGGATGGGCTTCGTTTCTCGAAGGAAAGTCCCATCAACAGGGCATGTATGATGTCAGACAAGTTTTCAGGGGGTGGCGACCTCCGGTATAGGAGATGTGAGAGCGTAAGCATCAGGCCGTGCCATTCTAGCGGATCCACGGCTGCCAGGTTTCGGGTGGGGGGAGCAGACGGGTTCGATTTATCCTTTGACCAAAGAACATTCCGATTCAGCGATTCAAGAACTGCCTCAATGACTTGGGAGGCCATATCGGGCTCTAACTTGAGTGTGATGATACTGAGAGCTTTGCTGGCAGCTAAACGTACTGGCGTATCGTTATCTGCCACCCTTTCAAGAAGATACCCGATCGATGCTTCTACCGTTTCCGTATCTTGATCAGTTTGCTGCAGCTTCCGCAAGATTAAAGTGACTACCGAACGGGTGACCTTGATCAACATTTTTCGAGCAAGTGCAGAACCATTGATGACGCCAAAAGCGGGATTTTCTTGACCACCTATGGCTTGTACAGCCTCAAAAATAGTAGATAAATATGAATCCATGATAGATGTATCTGCGGCGGAACCCAGTATCCCTGCTAAAAAGGAGAGGGTACCGATATAGTAGTAAGGGGACTGAGCTGGGTCATCATCCTTTGATGGCTTTAGAGTGGACAACGCCCAGTGGATCAGTGCATTTAGAATACCTAATTCTTGCATGTCTTTTCGCATCGCCACGCGGACCAAGAGAGCCTTGGCTCCATCCCTCTCTTTCCCGGGTACGGCAAGGTATTTTATTGCCAGTGGAATCACTCTCAAGGTGATACCCGGAATTCGGTCTGGCCACTCAAACCCAGGAATGGTGAAACGATCGAGATCGTCGGCGTCGCCAGATGATATAGTTGAAAGATCGAAAGGGGCGAAGAAGAGCTGAGATAGCCAAAGCAATACTATATACCTCTCATGCCAGGTCCATGAAGTGTTGGGATCAGCCTGGCGCTCGGATTCTTCGATAGCATATAATAGAAGCTCTAGGTATCTGGTCTCTACGTTCAAGAACCTAACGATAACCTTTTCTCCTCGAACCTTGCAGAACGTATAGATTATTTTGCAGACCGCATCATGGAGCGGGAGTAAAAGCTGAGACCTCATAGACAGTGACCTGGACTTTCGACGGTCCTGCAAGCACTCCAAATATGCTTCTGCTAAAGCTGGCAACCACTTGGATAGATAAGGATCGATTAACTGCGGTAGCTCTTGAAATGGCTCAAGGTCCTAGAAATACCTCGTGAGCTTTCATATTATTCTGTCTTATTGCAGTCTTGTGAGATAATGCTCACATGGGATATCAATCTATCTGTTTCCCTCATACGCACTCGTCTCCGTAGTTGGCCATTTGGCGTTCTTAGAAAAGGCACGAGAGAGCGGTCAAAGTTGGTAACCAGATCTCCCGAAACTCTCTGAAGATGTGCATCTCGGTCATACTCTGGGGCGTCCATTTTCAAAGAGAAGGTATTGATGTGGGCTATATGACGAGCTTCAGGATAGTATTCTATTTGCTTTATATTCGGGTTTCATTCAAAGATGGAGAGTCTCAGTTCGTCGACTTAAAACAGATCAACAATGAGCAAACACAAATGGGAATAGCACTCGTGTATCTATTAAGATGCTATTAACACCGTTTCTCATTGAAAATTAAAGAAAGTAAAAAGTATACATGCAATGAGCCCACATTGGACTTTCTTCTAAGAGATGGAAGTGAGAAAGCACGAGGAAATCGGGTGCCTAATGAGAATATCAGAATATCGGAATATTAACTGGCTTAGTCGCATAGCCAGCTCTGACTAATCAAATGCCTACTATATATGTACCTAACAGAAACCCGTATCGCAGAATGTGCATATTCGCTGTCGCATACAGTTAAAGACAGCACGGTATAATAAGACTCCAGAAAATGATGTAGACTAGCTCAAGTACGAGTAATCTGCTATCTTGAAATACTGGAATAGTTTCAAATGTAAAATGTATCAATTCCACCAAAAGCTAACGCTAAAGCTTACACTCAGACCTCGAACGTAATGCCACCACCCAATGGGAATGTAAAGGGCATCACCAGGCTCTAGAATGCAATCTAGAAATGGTATCTCACTAAAGGCTGCAATATCTCCCTTGCTAGGTTGATCCTCATCATCCTCATCACCATATATTGCATCCCAGCCTTCAACTACCCCAACATCCATTAAACTAGTATTTCCCATCTCCACCCCATTCTCTTTTCCTCGGGCTTGCATACGTTGCGTGACCAAGGGGGAATAGAGACGTACATACTTACGCCCAACCACTTGCGTCAAGATGTTGTGATATGGGTCAGTGTGTAATGGCGTGATTGTACCTGGTGGTCCGAACCAGGCATTTAAAAGGGGCTCCTCAAGCTCTGGCTGGTCCATGGTGGACTCCGTTGGATGTGGAGGTGGTGCCGTGTAACAATAATCCGGTATGAGTATGTCATTTCGCAGAGCAGGAAGTTGGGTAAATAATGGATGCTGGGCTAAATACGCGATAGACCCATCTTGCGTAGATGAGGCCTTCTCGCCATCACGTTCGTCTTGTGCCCCAGAGAGGGACGGGTCAATATACTGGCGCAAAAGTTCATCAAAAGTGATAATCTTTTGGCCCCAACCTTCGTCCACATAGCTGCGGCCAATTTCGATTGGCACAAGCCTGCGGCCATCAAAGGTCTGAGAGAGCAGGTAAGAAGGCTTCTTCCAAGGATTCGTAGTCAAAGCTGGCCAACTCTGAATAGCACCGTGTATAATGAGAGGCTCTGGTCCCAATGTCGAGTCCCGAGGACTGTCCATGTATATTTGGAATGATTCCATGGGAAGAGTATCAACACTTTTGACGGGATGTTTTATAGGAGGCGTGAATAGCTCAGCAGTAGAGAATGTGGTTCGAGTTCCGATTTCACTGAACTTCTGTCTCTTGGTGGGCCGCTCGACAGCCAGAGCACCCGCTATGGAGCTTGAGCTCACCCAAAATTCGCGAAGCAACTCGAGAGCTTTTTCAATCCATCCCCTACCTCGCTGCTCTCCAGCAGCCCCTGCCAGAATTAATGCGAGATCGAGAGTTTTTATGAGCTCATTCAACTCAACACTCAACCGACCTAGTTTCTCATGTTGAGCCTTGCTACTCTCCTTACTATGGCTGTATATATGAGGAGATGAGATGATATTAAGACAGAATTTCAATATGCTTGCGTCAGTATAAAGTTGTCGCCAACATGTAGGCAGGTCTTTAAAGAGGTAAGCGTAGAACTTGGAGTAAGAAATAGAGATTATATCATCTAATCTTTTCACTACAAGCGAGTGCCTATCAAATGTAACTATATCCGTACGCCTATTTTCGGGCTGTAGAGCTTGATAGTATGTGCTGATCTGACTGGCTTGTCGAGAAAGTAGATTAACCAAAGCAAGGCCACATCCTGCTAATAAGGAGTTTCTCGACTCATCGGTTGAGGAGAGTATCGAATTGCATTCGTCGCAGACGCCAGAGACTGCCACGGTGCAAAAGTCCAAAAGGCGTTGCGTAGGTGGCAGCAATGCCATACTGTCGACGACAGGGGACAGTAGAAATGGGATACTGGAAATGGATATTCTACGGCAGTACCAGGTAGTTAGCTAATGACAAGGTGGATAAGATGCTTTTTATGCAATAAATCGTTGTTTCTTACATAGTACTATGTACCTACATAAGGCTGAGAAGTTGCAGGGGTTATGTGGCTGAAAACCCCCCAATGATCGACCAAAGTGGGCAAGTAAGATCGACAATTGCCCTAGTGGACCACGTACAGTGCGGTACGTACTTGATACTAGGTATGCATACTTCAATGGTTAAACGCCATTAAGTTGTACACGCCCGCGACTTAGGTACTCTTGTACTCAAATTCGCGTCTTGCTTGATTTGGCAGCGCGTCCCCTGTCATCAACACTTTAAACCGCATCCACACTTAAACTTGATTACCCTCTACCAATTTACATTTACATGAACATGAACATTAACATAATCACTTCCACCACTTCCACCACGTCGATATACCATACATACCCATAACATTCATATTTTTCCCCAAAATAATCACTCAATTCTTTATGAAGTATCTCCTTCTAGAAGAATTTCTAGTATTCGAATCCGTTAATCAATTGGCTACCCTATTCCAATTCGCGTTCCTCGGCCCGTTTTCCTCGGTTGAAGCAGCGCTTCGAATATACTACTTACAATACATTTTACTACCGACTCCATGAATCCGCCGTAGACTTAATCCAAGACGCCCACAGGTACCTTTTAAACTATGTATCTGCCACGCGAACTTATATCGAAACTCTATACTCACTTACAGAACACTCGACATCCACTATCCCCTCCGGTCCTTATTCTTGTCGCCCTTGAACCTGACGCCCTATGTGCCTGTCGCATCCTCACTCGACTCCTTAAGCATGACTATATACCACACAAGATCCACCCTGTCGCAGGGTATGGAGATCTTGAACGCGCAGGACAGGACCTTGTCAGCCCCATGATGGACACGCGTGGAGGGAGCGGAGGAGTTGTCGTGTGCCTCGGTGTGGGAGGTATGGTGGATATGGGTACCATCCTGGGACTAGAGGGCGAGGGCGAGGAACCAAGCTACAATGGTGTTGAGGTATGGGTAATTGATTCACATCGACCATGGAATCTTGGCAACGTTTTCGGTGGATTCCCCTTAGAACCATCTTCCGAGCCAAGTGCAAGTTACCAAACACGTGCCCCCGATGGCATAACTTCTGGTCGAATCGATCGCTCCTACAAACCCGGAAAAGGTGGAATCATAGTATTCGATGACGGTGACATCGAAGAGGGTCTAGATACTGAACGAAAGGCGTACCTATCGCTAATCGACATGCCTGAAATAGAAGACAATGGTGAAACATATGGGGATAGCGAGTCCGAGAGTGAGGACGAGGTGGAGGAGGAGACTCCACGTCCTGGTAAAAAAAGAAAGTCTTGGTCGGATCGGGACGAGAGTAGTGATGAAGAAGATGACCGGCCACGTCAGAGGAGAAGGAGTAATTCGGTCAGACAACCCCTCATTGGCATAAAAACGTCTTGCTAATCGTGATCTAGTCAACTCGAATCTCGGACTCACCACAACGCCCGCCACAAAGGGGACTATTATCCATACGAGATCCCGATGTTGCTAGGTCAGACGACGTGGAAGAGCCGCCTTCCGCCGCTCAACCGCCAAAAGGGCCATCAGCTCGTACCCTTCGGAGGAGGCTAGTAAAGATGCGTAATGAGAACGAAGGCATACTTCGGAAATATTATAGGATGGGATCTTCATATTCTGAACCCATTAGCGCCATGGTCTATTCTCTCGCGTCAGAGCTCGGTCGAGAAGATAATGATCTGCTTTGGCTGACGATCGTCGGAGTCACGTCTTTAGAACTATATGGCCGGTCTTCAGCCGGGCTCGCTGTGACAGTCCGAGGATCAGACTCTAGACCGACAAATGGCTGGATGGGTATCCGCGGTGCCCGGATGAGGCAGCTCCTAAGGGACGAAGTAAGACGACTTAACCCGCCAGACATCGCTACAAGACTACCATCAGATGGTGCTGGAATTATCCCTACTACAGCTCGGAGTCCCGAGGACACAAGTATTCGACTATCACCTGAACCCAGATTCTTGCTCATCAGGCATTGGAGTCTCTACGAAAGTATGCTACACTCGCCTTATCTATTCTCTAGGCTACGCATTTGGAACGAGGGTGGCATCAAGCGCTTACACAAGTTGCTCGCCAAGATGGGTGTCAGCCTTGTTCAATGCAAGCAGAGCTACACACACATGGATATGATGCTGAAGAAGGAGCTCCGTACAAAGCTTCTCAAATATGCTTCTTTATATAATCTTGACGATATGGTACCTGCCGTAGAAACGGATGGGAGAGATCGGGGCGGCGCCAAAGATGGATGGGGATTTGTCCGAAGTTGGGGCTGGCGTGCGACACTGAGTGCGCAAGATGTAGGGGTGATCATCGGCGCTATACTCGAAGTCGGCAAGCACATCACTATAGTAGATGACGACGGTAGGCTTCGGGCAAGTCAGATACAGGAAGCTGAGGATGACGGCGGGATGGCCGAAATGCAAGAATGGGTCACCCGGTTCTGGGAAGCATACGATGCACTTGAAAAGTAAGTCTCGAACCAAGCCGAAGTTGTACTAAAAGAAACTAATAATATCCTACAGTGTCGATGCTCTCAAAGCTGGCCTACCTACAGCAAAAATTCTTCATCAAGCCATTTTCCGGACTGGCTCTGCACTCATCAAAAAGAAGCAGATTAAACATTTACATGCTTTCCGCCTTTGCGTCATTAAGGAAGGCTCGGACGTCCATCTCTTCAGCCATCCCGCTGCGCTTACGAAACTTGCTCTTTGGATCGGCGAAGCTCTTGCCGAGCAGGAGAAAGATGACAAGGGAAAACTATCACACGGTGGACGTGGCACGCCTCTTGTTACGGCTAGCTTGAATGAGAAGCGAGGCGTCTACGTAGTAGTCGGCACTGGCGGTGGCGGCGGGCCTGACCTAGCATTCCTGGATAAGGAAGCAACTAAAGAAAAGCGAGCGGCCAAAGAAGCCAAGGCCAAGGAACGAGAGCAGAAACGGCAGGCACGAGAGATGATAAAGGAACAAAAACGAGCCGCGAAGGCCGCTGCAGGCGATGAGGACGAGGAAGACGAAGAGACAGAATCTGAAGGCAGCGACGCGTCGGACTCAGACTCGGAGGACGAGGCTGAAGAACGAAGAGAGCGTGGCTATGGATTAAACAAATTTGGCAGCGCATTCCAAGACGTTGTCAATGAAACGAATGCCCGGGTGCGGATCGACAGCTTCGAACACTGCGTTGTCGAGGTTCGGAAGGACGACCTCGGCGGTTTCCTAGAAAGCTTAAGTCAAAAGACCGTCGTAGGTTAACCAACTTAATTTGATTTTACGCCTACCTCGACGAAGCTGCTACGGAGCCTTACTATGTGATCCCAACTCTTGAGCTACATGGCTACGAGAACCCCTTTCCGCCCCCTTCCCTTACCCCCTACCCCTTACCCCCTACTCACTCTCCCCTTGCCTCTCCCCCTTACACCCCCCTTTTTTTTAATTTTCTAAGAAACTTAACGAAAAACGAAATGAGAGTCTACTGCATTGCGTGGAGCTTGGACGATGCATGAACGACGACGGACACACATACACTATGGGTTAGGTTTTTTGGGCTCACAACACAACAACAACAACAATGTCTGTAAATAATTGCTTGAGCTAAATTTTGGCTCGGTTGCCTTGAAACTATCACCACCACTACCCCATGGGAATATAAAAACACACATAGGTATATACCTAGGTACATACAATCATTGTAGCTTCGTAATCAAATAATGTTGCTTGCTGGTGTCATACAACTCTTTTTGTACTTTGTAATGATTCTCGATAGGATGGAAGAGTCAGGACACGCGTAGGTCAGATCGATTCTTCGCATTGATGCGTACGTGTGTACGTACGTAGTTGTGTATTCCGTACACCTACATATCAACTAAACTAGGTAGGTACGGATTAACCCACCAGCTACATAGGTTAGGTAGGATTTCCATACCCGCCCCTGTCCTTAGATGACGACCTTTTTAGCTTCACTAAGCATTTGACTACCTACACAAATCATGCTTGGATGCCTACCTACGTACCTACATGCGTATATCCTGTGATATTTGCCACGCGTTTCGTTCATAGATCCCAATGAGTGAGTAGGTGAGTAGGTAGGCACATAATCAAGGACAACTAACCTATAGTTGACTGCCGACTTACGTGATCATACCGGCGAGAAAAAGGAAAAGGGGAAAAGGGGGAAAGGGGGGCCATCAGTCAGCTTTGACTGATTAAAGGAAGATGCTAATAAAAGAAAAAGGGCCCTATATAGATATAAGTATTGTGTTGGACGTTTGGCTCTTCCTTTTAACAAATAACATGACATATCGCCAACATAGGATCATCCGAGTCATTACTCTCCTTGTGAGGCAGGTTATAAGATGATATCCTGTAGGTAGACTAGGTACCTAGCAAACATCAGGTCGAGCAACGAGACATGGGAAGATACATAGGCCATGGAAGACAATCAGCGGAGTGGGCGCACGTGATTCACAATCACCACCTCGCCCGAGGAGACGGACATATTCCCGGGAATTAAGCAGCTAGCCGGCGAGCAAGGGTTTCGTGGAGCACAGCATCGAACAGCATTACGCACTTTTGTCCGGTCTCCAGCGCTTTATCCAGCAACATCCAGGAGTTTTAAAGATGGAATGACACAGTACGATGGACGGGTTCATGCCAGCTACCTATGTATGGGCACTTGCTCGATGAAATAGGTACCGACGCTGGTGTCCCTGAAGAAAGTATGAGGACAAGGTCGACTGGGATGGGTACTGGAGGAAGAAGTCGACTGAGATCATGGAGGAGGACAAGGGCGATCCGAGCCTCATGGTATGCCAAGTGTATTTTCGGATGGCATCCCGCCCCATTTCCGATAGTACTAACTTGCGACCCGTTGAGTGTTCTTGCCATCCTTTCTCGGCAGCCATGACGGAACGTTCGACAGGTGAGTCTTTCAGTGGCGGCCGATACCGTGGCCGATGAGGATGGTGTTCTGGTGTTGGTTCCATCCAATCCACAAAGGACTGGTGGAGGTTCGCCCCATACGACGCGGGGTCTAGACCCCAGGTACTGCCGTTCGCGTACGTTGGGTGGGCACATATATGCCTAACTAGGTAGATATATATGGGATGATATAGAGTTATGAGTTCAATGAAAAGTGCCTACCTGCCTAGGTGTCTACTGGATTAGGTGTATATGTATGTATGTAGGGGACACACGGGACGGACCGTCTCCGAACATGATTTAGGCAGTAGTAAGTAGGTGCCTATACTTGGCCCGTGATAGAGAAGATCATCAATGGATGGCTTATTATATCAACACAGAATGATATGGAAAGAGCACATGCTTCGTTTTTTCTCTTTGTTTTGGGATGGGCTGGGGGTTAAGTTGAGTGAATTATTATTATTTTTATATGGCCTTGGCCTTGGCCTTATGATAAGCAAGTATGGTAAGACAGCTAATAGGTAGTTTCTGGAGGCATCGATTTATGGAGATTTGAAAATGTAGACAAAGTTGTGGTGAATATGTGAAGTTATATTCAGTGTTTATCATATTTTTAGGTAGCTTTATCTTTGTAAGGAGTACATCGTTCTAAATTACGTCAGGTACAGGCTTACAGTGGTAGGTACTTACCCCGCCACATTCTAAGTTCTATCATTGTACTTGTACATATTGTACAATCCATCTGGAAGTAACAAGCCGTTGAGGGCTTTTAATGATCAAGGTTTATCAGGTTATCAGCGCAGGTGGTGACGTTCAAGCATTTCTCATCAACAAATTTAAAGGACAAAAACAAGAATTAGGTGTTACGAAATGATTGCATCCACTTCTTGTCCTCCCTTCCACCTCACAGTCTGCCTACCTATACTACATACCAACATACCTACTACTTACATACCTACATTATTCATCCAGTCTTTCAAAACCACTTGACCTACCTAGGGTACTTAGGATTAACTGGCACTTCTATTTTTCCACTTTGTTTAAGCCTGGTCTGTTCACATTAGTGATACATATTTTGTGGCAGAACGGCGTTTACTCTCAAGTGCTATTAGTAGCATTGAACCTACCTACATACCTAGGTTAGGTAGATAGGTAGATCTCGGCCTGCATAACACCGTCGCAGCTGTTCCTAGTAGTTCCTAGCTGTTCCTTGCGGTTCCTAGGTGATCAGCAACCAAACTCCATCGATACCGGCGCATCCCTGGAAGAGATTCATGTAAGTGATTGATCCCAGGCCCACCCTTTTCTTAGTCGTACGTATAACTACATTACGTACAGTCGTAACAGTCGAGTCGTAAAAGAGATAACTATATCTAATAGGCAATTAGCAACGGTCGTCTCGCTTGTAGGAATCCAAGCAAAAGCAATTTAGAAGCTGTCAAATAGAACAAGCGATCCATTCCAGGCTCACCTGATATCCTTTGGAAGTACTTAGCTTAGGTATGTAACATTTGCATCATTCAGTCTGACTCCCATTCTTTCAAATATTCGGTGGCCTCATTGTGACACCGGGGGAGCAACAAAGCCCAGTCCAGCCTCGATTTCGGTCCAAACCAACCAAATCTAGTGTACCACCTTTTCTTTCTAGAACCATTACGGAGATCGGTGCGGCGGTAGTTATTGGGCCCTTGTTCTCGTCCTATCTACCTACTACCTACTAGGTAGGCATATACCTACACACCCCTAAACATCACTGAGGTTCGCCAGAAGATACAGAAGACACAGACGACCCCTAGGTTCAAGTCAATTCCAAGTCGGATAGTTATCCAGAGCCTGTCTAAGGTCTCAGCGTCCAACAAAAAATTAAATAACACACAACCCAAACTTTCCCATTGCGGTCACTGCACGTATAAGCCACTCGCATTTATATTAAGGAGAACATTGAAGGCAAAACTTGTCGTCATCCCAACCTTTTATTTTTATTTTTTATGATTCTCTCCATCGTTACTTCATCATACTTTCATACGATACGATACAGTACGATACAATACAATACATACAACACAATACATACAACACAGACCTCCAGCTACACTTCTTCTTTACATACTAACCTACGTAGGTAATCACTGCCACCTATCGCTACTTAGATAAATCTGCCAGTCCCTCTCTGTCGTCTCCCTCTTTCCGTTACAGCCACACAAAAGACCAGGCCTTCCTAAGGGACCCCTCCCCCTTTAAGGCTAGGCTAGGCAGTCGGACTTAATTGATCTTCACCGTTGCGACGACCCCACCTTGCCGTCATTCGTCTACCTCTGTAACTTGTCGCATAATCAACACATCCCCCCTCGCTCGCTCCTCGCCCTTGCGAAACTTGAACGACGAAACGCCTAATTTAATCAACAATTTCTAGCCACGAAGAGAGAACACGAACGAGAATTACACGTCAATTAATTCATTTCCACAACCCCGCAGATTCGAGATTCCAACATGGGAAAATCGTGAGTTCAATGTCTCTTAAGATTTATTGTCATTGTATATTGCTTGATCATATGCAAGCTGCGCGAACGCGGCGACATTCCCACTCTTCTCGACAGTCGTGTCTCGCGGGACATCGAGGACATATATTTCTTGACTTGAAATTGTTCGTCTAAATGACAGGATACATTGGCTAATATGGACTATATAGTCAATCAAAACTTTCACAGGAGCAGCTAGCCGAACTCCAGAAATCCACGCATTTCGACAAGAAGGAATTACAACAATGGTATAAGGGTTTGTCTCCCTCTCTCTCCCAACACGTCTTCCTTTTCCCACACCGTTATCTAGTTATGTCACGGCAGACGAAAACATACTCATTATTATTTCACAGGCTTCCTGAAAGACTGCCCGTCGGGCATGCTCACGAAGGAAGAGTTCCAGAAAATATACCGACAATTCTTCCCATTCGGCGACCCGTCTTCATTTGCAGATTATGTATTCAATGTTTTTGATTCAGACAAATCTGGGTCTATTGACTTCAAAGAATTCATCTGCGCTTTGAGCGTCACGAGTCGCGGTAAAATGGAAGACAAACTTGATTGGGCCTTTCAACTATATGACATCGATGGCGACGGCAAGATAAGCTACGATGAGATGCTCAAGATCGTAGAGGCGATCTACAAAATGGTGCGCTTATGCTATTCTACAATTCCACAATTATAGTGCGCCAATTGTTGCTAACAACCCTGTCCGAAACAGGTCGGCTCGATGGTGAAGCTCCCCGAAGACGAAGATACCCCCGAGAAACGCGTCAGGAAAATCTTCAGCATGATGGATAAGGACGAGAACGGTAGTCTAGATATGGAGGAGTTCAAGGAAGGCAGCAAACGCGACGAAACCATCGTCTCGGCATTGTCCCTGTACGATGGATTGGTGTAAACCCCCATTCCTTGCTTAGTAGGGGATGGATCGAGACGAGGTGCTCCAGAGCAAAATAAAAATCAGAAAGAGACAGGGCTTGATCAGGGACATGGGAGCAAGGTCGGGCAGAAGACTAAAAACAGAAAAAGATGGGCAACGACGTCGTATCAAGAGTTCCGTTTTAGAGGACTGGGCCATCGCCAAATGTGTTACTTCCCTTTTCCACAGCTCTCCTACGCGGAATGTCTATCTGCCAAGGAGAAAGGATAAACGCGGTGTATGTTCGACCAGGTTCCCGATTTTATTTTATTGGTGGTATTCTGGATAGGAATAGTCTAATGCGATGATCAAGCATCCGATCATGGCCCATGGCCCAACCCGTTTTCGCGGCTCCTAACTCGGCCGTATACCGGATCTTTCAGGTCCTAGGGAGGCGCAGCAGCAGCAGTAGGCGGTGGCGGCAGCGGCTTTGTCATCGCCATCTAGACGTCTAGATAAGGCATTTCTAGAGTACTTTTTCTAGAAGACCTCAACCATTGTTACTATTACTGCATACCTACGTTTAATGGATGCTGAGACTTGGAAGCTTTTCTCTCTTTTAGTGCTCATTTATTTATGATTACCTGACTACCTATACACCTAACCTACACTTGTATACCTATCTATAGAGAGGCTGGAGTGGTTGTGCGTAAGATGTGTAATCCAGATGCTTCCGCAGTCTCCCTACTTAGGGACGTACGTACTAAGTATGGTAGACAGGCTAGGTATGTAGGTATCGTATGAGAAAAGTGAGCGGTCTATACCTAGTAAATTAGCCTTCCAAGACTTTGTATAGGTAGTAGGTACTCGTATATCTTAAGTATGTAGGTATGTATGTACTGTAAATACTTAGTGCATATGTAGTACTAGGTAGTAAGTTAGGGGATAACCCTGCATTTCCTCTTAGTCTACTACTGTAGGTATGTAGACTTTGCGTGATCGTATGTGCATTGTGCATATCAATCTTCAATATGCAAAGAGCCAAGGATGGTTGGGAAGACTTCATGGTATAAGATAGGTAGGTAGGTGGGTAGGTACAGAATAGTAGAAGGCAAATACATCCATAATAGAATTACTTAAAGTCAATACAACTGTGTACAAAACACGCTCAAACAACAACTGTCTTACCGCAAGGAGAAGCCCGCGGATAAGTCCCTTTCATGCCGTCAGCTCTATTCCCAATCTCGGCTCTCGTGCCATCATGTACACTGTATGCCTGTCCAAACTAGATAACCCCAACCGCCTCATATCCACGGGGTTAGATCCTCATACATTACTACAACATACGCTTATCCTGAAGAGCTGTATGCCTCCTTCACCTCCTTTTCGTACTTGCTCAGAATGCCCTTGCGATTGAGTTTCTGCGCTGCTGTTACGAGGCCCTACATAGAATCAGTTAGTCAATAATGTCAGTCGACGAAGAATGTCTCCTAACTTACGTTTTGCGGCGTCCACTCCTCATCTGACAACGCCACTCCCTCGATGATTTCAATGCCGGACAAACCACCATTTCGTCCCACATTCTGAAGCTCCTTCAATACAAGGCCATTCAGCTTCTTGTTGTGTACGAGCTCCTCGAGACTTCCCCCTGGTATCCCGTTGTCTGCGGCGATCTGCTTCAGTGTCGGTTCTAACGGTACGATAATCGCGATAGGCTTGGCTTTGTTCTGGTCTGCGTATACGCAGATGTTGCCAACGACATGGGATGATCGGTAAATTGACTCAAGCTTCTCTAACGCGATGTACTCGCCGTTTAGGGTTTTGACGAGATTCTTCTTGCGGTCAATGATCTTGAGGTGGCCATTTGAGTCCCATTCACCGATATCGCCAGTCTTAAACCAACCACCAGGGGCGATGTTCTCCAGGGTCTCCTTCTCATTCTCGTAGTATTCTTCCAAAACACTGACACCTCGGATCCAGATCTCGCCTTGTGGGTTAGGCTTGTTGGTCGCAAAATAGCCTGCGTCGGCGAAGTCGACGAGCTTGACTTCGATGGAAGCGGGCATGGCACCAATTGTTTCGGATGACCACTCTTGAGGACTCATAAGAGCACCCATAGCGGTCGTCTCGGTAAGGCCATACCCGATAATCATGGGTGCGATGGCCATGGATATAAACCGTTGCGTCTCCTTGGATACGGGACCGCCGCCGTTGAGACATATTCGAAGGCGACCACCAGTGGCTTCCTTGATCTTCTTGAAGACGACGGAATCAAGTATGCCGGTTCCAGGTAGACCAGTGGCCAACATTCTACTCTTCAATGCCAATGCGCCCCAGAACATGTTCTGGACTATGGGGCCGCCAGCATGAACCTTGGCAGCGATTCCTTTCTTCACAGACTCCCAGACAGCCGGCACTCCGACTAAGACAGTGGGCTTAAACTCGCGAATATCGCCAGCGCAGTTGCGAACTGAGGTATCAGATAAGGTTTTCGGATTTCCATATCCCATGGTACAACCCCAATACAGGGACGCGTTTTCGAAGACAAGCTCGAGAATATGGGCCAGGGGAAGATAGGTCAAAAGACCGTCACCAGGGCCGATAAATGGTTGAACGACGACACTTACACCAGTAACTGGTGAAAATATTAATTTATGTCACCTTCAAGATGAAAATTGGGACTTACCAGCAGCGATGAGAGCTTTGTGCTTCAGAGGCACGCCTTTAGGAGTACCAGTAGATCCTGATGTATACATGATACAGCAAAGATCCTCAGGGGTAGGAGGTACTGCGTCGAAGGGGTTCTCCCTGCCGAGTTTCTCTAATTCCTTAAAACTCACGACCGTGATGTGGGGATAGGCGCTCTTTAAGTTGTTGATGTGCTCCTGTCGAACCTGGTGCTGGTTATTCCAGATGACGTAGCGCACCTCAGTAGCGTCCTTGAGCACGTTGCCCAGCGTAGGCAGTAGATGAGGGTCCAAGAAGATTGCCTTGGCAGCTGTCGCAACCATGGAATGTCTCAGGCCCTCCTCGCCGAGAGTGTCGTAGGCGGTTACGACGGGCATCGACTGAGAGGTAGCAGCATGGAAAGTGGCCAACCAGTTGGCGCTTGTAGCAGCGAATATGTGTACTCTATCCCCTTTGTTCATGCTCAGTTTCCTTAAACCGGAACCAATGTTCGAGGCTAACTTGTCGAATTCATTATAGGTGAGGTATTCGTAGGGGCCGAGTTCGAAAAACGTCCAAGCCTTGTCCACCTCCTGTTCTTGACCGTCTACTATCTTCTTGATCTTCTTGGTCTCCTGGTGGGTTCGCACAAGGCGTCGAGAGCCTAGGGCCTTTGCATTGCCAAATTTGGCAACACTCGCACGTAGAAGCTCATAGGCGGTAGTTATGTCGTCAGATGGGGTTGTGATGAGCCCATTCACAGCTAGAGGATGTCGGCGTGGCTTCGTCTCTCCCTGGACGGCTTCAGCTCCAGGTACCTCGACGGAAAACGGGGGTTTCGCGGTGGTCCTAGGTTGAAAGTGTAAATGCCGTAGGGTGGCTTCCCGCCAATCGGCCGTCATGATTGCAGATTCAACAGTCTACAAAGATGGGTTTGTTGGGGAATATGGAGATGGAAGAGTACCTAAATAGATAGGTAGGTACTAGGTAGGTGGGTAAGTAATGTGATGACGATCGAGATATTAGATGGAAGGATATTGGTATGTATATGTGAGGTAATACGCGACAACTTATAATCAAGAAGTCAAGATGGGTAAAGAGAGCAAGCTGTCAGTTATTTATTCGTAGATGCATCTAAGCCACATTGTTGGGCGATGTGTAGACCAAAAGTTGCTATGGATGTATGTAAGTATGAAGAAGTACTAGGTAGAAGAGTTGTAAGGTTGTAAAAGTCTTGGAGTTGCTTGGAGGTTTCTTGGTTCAAAGGTGTTGAGCGGTCATTTCTGGGGCATTGCTACTGCATACCCTTGTAGCACACCCTGTAAATTACTAGGGTGCTCAGGACATGTAAGCTCTGAGCTGTATGTATGGCTCAATGTTCTACCTACATACATTGTAACTTCAACTTCTCCAGGGCTACATCCATGTAAGCTTCATCAATCTTTCCAGCTTACTGCTCAGGTGCTTGCCTCCTGAGTTGCTACGTATGTAGGCAGTACATACCTAAGGTACAGCTGTTATTTAGTTAGTACTTAGTACTTCTCAGGATTGCCTCATGACGACACTAGCGTCACATCTCTCCAATAAAATCATACCAATTGCCATTTTTGTCCATTTGAGAGTGCCGAGACTCGATTTACTAAACCCTAAATGGACTAGCGTCTTCTCCTTAGATGCTATTCAATTGACATCAACTGTGTTCATGTTGCTTTGATACTTGATACATGCAGGTACCTTCTACTATACCTAGTAGGTATTGCTCTAGACTGAGTAGTAGACTCTGCCTAGCAGTAGGTTACTGTACATACCTACATAATAGAATTTACGTACTGAACAGGAAAAACTAAAACTTGAATGTTGTCTCCTTTCATGCATTTTTTTCATCTTTTTTCATCTTTTTTCATCTTTTTTCATCTTTTTTGGTCCAACAAATCCATCAGAAAAACTTCGCCTTCAGTTCAGGTCGTGTAACCCCCCCTGTTGGCCAGTCGCCTAGTACCTACATGTAGTTACTAGTGACAGTAACATTACACCTGGGCCGTTGCAATATCTACCTAATACCTATACATACCTAGCCTGCCTTGTACAATACAATACAATAGTATCTACCACTACCAATACCACTCGGAGTTCGGGTTAGATGGTGGTATCGAATTACGAAGAAGAAACAAAAATAACAGGAACAGAAAAAAGGAATGCTCAAGATAAGCCGCAATTCTTGCAGCCAAGTTTCAGATGATCTATACACACCACTCATTTTCAAGTTCCGTCCACGTAATTATTGTGAGTGAATTATATCTTGATTGCCGACATATGCCGTGCAGCAAACCACAATGCTGTTTGCCTAACCCGTGGTTTTACCATCGTCAGGGGTCTTGTCTTGACATAATACATTTATACGGCTAAAACCAACATGGATCTATTATCATCCCTATTCGATCGGCTAGGGCCAGAAATATTAGACCCTGAAGAAGGTAAGATCAGATCAAGGGGAAAGAAAAAAAAAGAAACTTCTATTCTTCCTATGCCTATGTCTATGCCTATGCCTACTTCCAATCTCATTCACTAATATGTAGTCTCGTCAGAAACTTTTTTACAATTTTCTCAAGATATCCCGTCTCAAAACCTAGGGTTTGTGGATCCCCGGTCAACCACGTTGAATCTGGATATTGCTGGCAAAGACTACGTGATTCATCAATCTCCAACCATATTAAACCGCCCAGGAAGTACCACGGGTGCTGTCGTGTGGAAAATTACGCCGCTCGTAGCTGATTGGTTGGCATCCTCCGACAATCCTCTCTGGAAGTCTGCTGTCCTATCCTCCTCCTCCAGCGTGTTGGAACTAGGATGTGGAATCTCCGGCCTCGTTGGATTGATGCTTGCGCCCCTAGTTGCGAGATACACTCTAACAGACCAGTCCTATGTCGCAAAACTCGTGGAGAAGAACATTACTGAAAATACTCCCTCGGGGAATTCTAAGCCACCAGGAACGAATTCTCAAAGACGCAAAGGAAAGCCATCGCTTGCTCGTTCCAAACCTGACTTACAATTCCTTCCCCTTGACTGGGAACTAGATGAGGTAACACCATCGCTTACGAGGAATGATAATGTTAAGAGCTTCGATGTCGTCATTGCCTGTGATTGTATCTACAATGATACCCTAATTCAGCCTCTAGTTCAGACTTGTGCTGACGCATGCAAGTTAAGGTCGACAAATGAAGTTGTTGCTGACAAACCAACTGTCTGTTTAGTTGCGCAACAGCTCAGAGATCCGGAGATTTTCGAAGCCTGGATTAAAGAGTTCAGTAGGCATTTTCACGTATGGCGTGTACCGGATAACGCTTTATCTCCAGGACTCCGATCGAACGTTGGCTTTGTAGTGCACTTGGGTATCTTGCAGGATGCCGAAGCGACGCGCAATCGATCATAATCCGTTTATTCCGTGCCCCAACTAGGATCTAGATATGTACATATCATGTTCAAATTCTCGGGGCGTAAACGAAGATTTCGATTAGCTTCATGTGTGTCAATCTATCATGCAGCTTTGTGCACACTTGAGACTGAAAATGTATAGCTGCAACTATGTACATATGTAACCACGCCGGGTTCAAGCAGTGGAACCTCCATATACACACTTATATGACCTTACGTACCTACTTGTATGCGTAGGGCTACAGCATATAGCACCCATGGTCACATCAATCTCGGCTGTTATGTCCGTTAGACAAAACACCTATTACGCGGTTGAAACAGTTCTCACTATCAAAATTTGCAGCTCCTGAATCATACATATATGATCTCAATACCGCTGACGTGAGACATGCCGAAATCTACTGGGTACGGGATCGGCCCGTACATTTCTGCAGCTGGTTTATTTAAAAGGGACGTCCACGCCTGATCGTCAGCCTGTGAGCACGGTAGTTGTCACTTTTTCATGAACCAGTGTAAAATACAGGCGTCTATCACTTTATTCAAGACTAACACTATGCAAAACATAATATCCCATATGAACGTAGGTAAACATCGTCTATACCTCGAACTCACACCGGCAGTTGAGGATATTGCCTAATTTGACATTGGCTCCTCTGAGCCCGTAAGATACATACAACCATTACTACCCCCGAGTGAGCATTGGCATCGTGATAATAAACGCTTTACGTAAACAGCCGATGCAGGTACATACCTACCGACATACATAATTCTTAGCCTCGAGCAACAATCTCATCACAGCCTTACTTGGCCTGCATATTTCATCTGCCTATCTATCTAGATTGGGTACCTTAGATCGAACAACAAACCCCCTAAAAAGAACCCCGTGGTCCGATTCTATGTTGCTTACTAGTTACACCTCTCTTCTTTTCTTAGGCCCCTTTCTGCCTTCGAAAGCTGGGGGCATTGCCGAATCGCGCTCTGCTGTGCCGCCACCGCCGCCTGCTTCCTATGCTAAGGTAAGCTGAGCGGCGCGGATGCGCTTAACGCGACTAGTATATACCTATGCCCAAGCGCTTGGGGACCGTGTTTCTTTTTATATAGCTACGTACATACCCAGATGGGTGGAAGATGTGGCAGAACTATAGCCTAAGCCAAGGGGTCCCATTTGCGCTGTCTACTGACACAGCCTTAATATATGTCTGTACAAACGTGGTCTATAGCAATCGGTTGTCACGGCCGATATGCGGCTCATATGTTTGTTGCTGTTGCTGTTGCTGCTGGGTGTGTATTACATGACGGGGCTATAGTCGTGGGTTCTATAGATAGTTGGTTACCTAAGATATTTGTCGTTAAATCCTCGCCGCCACCCTACCTATTCATATAGCACGTGCGACATCGCTCACGTCGGTATGGAACATCGATACCTATCTAACTTATGCTGGTAGGTAGGTATGTTTGAGTTAGACATTCTATTATTATCGACGTGTTCCATGTGATCTCTGCTAGAGTAGGTACCTACCTACCCAAGAGATATAGATCCCGTGATAGCTCTTGGCTGGTACAAGCTTATGCCCACCTAGGCAGGTACCTATATACTTACTACCTTTCCCTGCCGCTCACCTGAGGTCCAGTAGGCGCCTAGCACCCTGCTGGGTAGGTACGTTGGGCACGTGAAAAAACTGATCACGAAGAGGGAAAAGGTAAGACATAAAGGTGTGATCTATGTAACCTCTATTGTCGAGGAATTCGAACAAGAGCCTACCTGCCTACCTAACCTACGTAGTACATGCCTACATATCCAGCTACTTACATACGTAGGTAGGTAGGTATAATAGTACATACAATACCATAACCCCTTAACCACCAACCCCTTAACTCATACCACCTATAAAAACCAAAACTCGCCTCCCAATTCCTCCCCTAAAGCTTACTTATATAAAAGCAAACTCTCAAACTAGCATCACTCTATGAATACATACAATACATGCATAGGTACCTAGGCTCGGTAGTCAAACTACATATATCATCAACGGACATTCAACATTGGTGAGGGAAACTCTGGTATGTATGTGTAGGTTACCTATCAACCTACCAACATCAATTCTCGACATTTCACAACCCAACGAAACAGACCAGCATCGCATCGTATTGCGCTGGTCCCCCCTACCTACCTACTTACATACCTAGGCACCTACCTACTTACTTATCCTACGTTACCTACCCTATCCTATCCTACTTAAAACACCTACCTACCTAGGTATGTACCTTCCTTACATACAAGCCCTTGGATATCTGGAACACAGAGAAGAGAAAAGAAGAAAAAAAAAACCCCTAAACTTTCCCCCCTCCTTAACAATTAACAAAACCATTACCTGAGCGAAATTTTCCCCAGTTCTAAACCCACCATTGATGGTGATCCTTTTACCACGGATAAGAAAGAGATAGAGAGGGGAGAAGAGGGAGGGAGAGAAGGGGAAAAGAAAACAGAGCATGACGCTTTCCATTAAGCCTAATGAGCCGCTAACGCCTTTCACGGGGAGGGGAAATGAACCCGTCCCAACCCGGTTTCCCGGTTTATTAATCCTTTCCCTCCGCTCCCCTATTCCCATTCGTGACTATCGTACTTCCCATCTCTCTATCCTCATCACCCTATTTCTCATCTACATAGACTACCCCTGAGGGTGCCTGCCTGCTCATAGACATATCCCTATAATTCAGCTATCTGCTGCAGAAACTCATACGATGAATCCGACAAGGAGGGGATGTGGGATGATTCTCCAAATGGCAGTTCCGTGACGGCGTGCTTGGAGACCCCGCTCGAGAAGAGGCCGAGGTCGCCTATCGCCCCGATACGGCGGCCTTCTTCCTTTTTGAACGAGGGCCAGAAACCGCCTTCGAGAGTTAGGGTACCGAGGTACCCCGGGTCGGCAGCTAGCTTTTCTGCCAGGAATTGTTCTTTAGTAGGAGACAGTGGTATCTTTTGCTCTTCCACTTTCTGACGTGGGGGTTGGGGTTGAGGTTGAGGATGGGTTTGGGGTCGAGGTTGGAGTTGAGGCTGAGGCTGCAGCTGGGGTTGAAGCTGGGGTTGAAGCTGGGGTTGAAGCTGGGGTTGCAGCTGGGGTTGGAGCTGAGGTTGGAGCTGAGGTTGGAGCTGAGACTGTGGTTGGGGTTGACTAAGAGGTAGGTTACCGTGATACCGTCGTTTATCCGCATATTGGATCTCGGGCTGTGGTGGTGTTGGATAGCCCTCCCCGTCGTCGGAGGGACGTTTGAGACCCGACGCTGGCATAATCGGGATGTGATTGATGGCAGTAAAGGAGCCAGATGGAGTAATCCTCGGCGACTTCTTGAATTTTGGCTTGATCAGGTCCACCCCTGATGCTGGTAACTTATCCACCACACTTGGCGATAACCGACCCGAGCTATCTACATGATTAGCCTCTTCTGGTTGAACAGCTCCAAAATCTTTGAGGGTTGAGGACAGTGGCTTGTATTCTTCCAACGCGCCTCCTTTCCCTCCGTGTCGAAGCCACAACGATGGATTTCCTGCCACCTCTTTGTTATTGGCGGCAAAACGATAGTAGTCCTCCTTGATGGTCTCGAAGAATTTGTCCATTTGCCCGAGGATAAGCACGTAAGTGGATGCCATCTGCTGCCACGTGGCCATTTTACGGAGGGCTTCGAGAGTGAATGCCACCGACCCGCGCCTAAATACTTCAATTGCAGTTTCAGGCTCGTGGATATTCTCATAGTCATATTCCAACATGTGCTTTTGTGTGTCCATTAGGGGGAAGTGCTCAGCGTAGAGCCCTACAAAGGAAGCGGTCCAGATCGCAAACAGGACAATGGTTGACTGTGGCAATTTGTTTTTCCTCTGACATATTTCTAAAAGATCAACAATACCTCGTGCTGCCTTGAATACAAGCTCTGCACTTGCTGTCCAGAAACCATCCGGCGGCGAGCCATATGTTTCTGGGGGAAATGTTGGCTGGTCAACTGGTCCAACAGGCTTTTCGCAGCTGATGGGTACAAAAGGTATATACTCCCGGTGCAACATGATGAGGCAAATGCATCTAAGCATGTGTAATAACACATATACACTAGAAGCCTGGTGGTTCTCGTGTTTGAAGTAGTTCGATTGTGAGAAAGTAAAGGTATCTGGAAGTTCCTTGTCAAACTCAGCGAGCCTTTTCGTTAACTGGAAGAACGTGCTTTCGGGGTACCAAGGTGGCGTCTCTCTCTCCTTCTTATTAAGACGACCACCTGATGAACTAAACTTAGCAACGTCACCCCATAAGTCAACCAGTTGGATAAACCGACTGAGCACACTGTCGTCTAAGCCATGTCGCCTTTTGTCCTTGATGAAACCAGTGGGCGCTTCCATCGCAAGATCGAATTTGTCCTCGGAACACGGGAGCTGAATTTGGAGCTCGTCTGATTGTATGATGGACACTCGTTCCCTACCACAGGAGAGCATGCGGTCTAGGATGAGACAGCTAAACATGGTCCGCCTCCTGACTTCCTTTTCCAATGCCATCCGCGACTGCTCGCCCGAGCTTTTATGGTCGTACTCGATGACCTTGGGATCTGCTGGGTCGGGAACATCGCCAAAACCAAGGCGAAGATACTGTGCCATTCTGATGGCAACGCCGACGTACATCCAAGCGCCAAGCCCCCCAGTCTTGGGCTTCGTTTGACTCCACTCAAATAGACCCAGCATGAGAAAAGCCGCTACCCGCTCGACACTTGCGACATTCATGGCGGTTCGTAGTGGGCCGAGAGCCATAGTGAGAACATCAGCATAGTATTCAGACGCCAAAACAGGGTCCAGCTGCGTGTGAACTGGCCGAGACCTGGCGTTGCCCGACTGGTTATTGCAAATATGGGCAAGATATCTGACAAGATCGGGATGAAAACGAGCGGTTAGGGTTAGGATACCTAGCAGCACTAAGTTGAAATCTGAACCATTGTCCGATTGAGAGCCCCTGAATTTTCGTCCCAGTTTCTCCTTCATGGTAGGAAGATGAAGGAACGGAAGCTCAGGGGCAAAGTGCAGCTTATAGAGGTCCAGTAGTTGCTCCCATAAGTCCTCAGTTAAGAAAGGCGCCGAGAGCACATCCTCGGTAAAAATAGTCGCCCGGTGATTATCTAGTTTAGATATGTCTTCTATCTTTTTGAGCTTCTTCCTGTCCGAACCTCCGTCCCGTTCCTGTTTTACCCCCACAGGCGGCTCGGCTCTCTTCGGGGCGTTAGTTTCGGGGGGCGTGTACGAACAATGCTTTCCTGTCTTGACACAGCTATCACAAGCACTTATGCCACCATCGTTCTCACCTATCATGTTCGTGTTAGCTGTCAACATACAAAGCGAACCACATAAGCCATCATTTTTGGTGGTGACATACATTTTATTTTACTCCTCCGACAATGGACGCAGGCAATGCTTGACCGCATCGGGGGTCGCATCTTCGGAGGCTTCTTTCCCTCGAGACTGCCTGCTAGCATTGCCTTTGGCTCGTCATCCCCTAGCCCCCGACTGGCAACCCTCCCACCTACTGCTGGCAGTTCGGTGTTCAAATGTTGATCGCGAAATGAGGATCGGCTTGAAGGTCTTGGGGACGTATCGGTGGAGGAGAAAGTTTCCTCGAATCTCCTCTTTGGCACAGCCTGGTATTGAGGTATATTTGCGTTTTCATCGGTGTCCGACCGATCGGGCGGGGAAAGTATCGACTGAATGCGAATTGGAGTAGAAATCGTGACGGTTGGGTCTAGGGTAGACCCGGATGATCTGGAAAAAGTACAAATGACTTTGAGAGCCCCCTCGAGACGAGTCGTTGAGCGAACGACACCGGCGCGCTATCGAACACGTTATTTTGGCAAAGAGTTAGGATGACTGGTTGCGAGTGCATTCGATTTTCCCTAGCAAAAGCCAATATCTGAGTGGGTAACAATGAACCCAGATGCTGTGCTCCAGTGACCCCTCCAGACTTCCGAGTCGTCCTTTGGCGGCGTTGAACGGCTACCTAGGTTAGACGTGATTCCCGGTACTACCTATATTGGTAGGCAGGTATTGTGCTACAGCGTGGAGAGACTGCAACTTTCCGTTTATGACGCGATTTATCGACTACCTAGGTAGACACAGATGCGCGTTTGCAGTTAGAAGATCGTAAAAAGGTATAATGTCAAGCTGCGATGCCTTTTAGCGTGATTACCTACACAACAACAGTGGTAGGACAGCGACAGGGTTACGGAATGCAATGTAGAGAGGGTTTCAGTGATACGGATTGACAACATCAGGTAAAATAGATCAAATAGATCAAATAGATCAAATAGATCGAGCAAGATGCGGTGGTACGGATAACTGGAATGTGGTTGAATATTTAGTATTATGGGCAGCGATCATAACTCCAGCCAGGGTGTAATACAAGACCTCGCAACCCTGAAGCCGGTGGAGAAATATAGGTAGATAGGATTGGGGATGGGTTACAGTATCTACTACAAGGTGGGCACTGGGGAAAAGGAAGAAGCTCCCCGTTGGCGGGCAAAGGCAGTCTAGAAGGCCACTCAAGGAGCCAGTCAAGCCACCTAGGACAGTCAGGGTTCAGTTCCCCGGACGCGGACGGGTCGGGTAGGGACCAATCTACCCAAGCTAACAAGTTAGTTGGACAGCGGACGAGGATCGGCTTTTCGAAGCGACATCCAATGAATATGCGGCATGGGTTTGATCGAAAGCGCCCAATCTAGCGCACAGGCCGCGGTTGTTGGCCCCCGACAGGCTCGTCCTGCACCTTGCAGCGGGGGAGGAATGGAATCTAGGGCTGGTGATTGATTGAGTAACTGCAGACATGAAAATGATGATGGCAAATCTACGAGACATACGAGACATACCGTAGACGAGATGGAGGCTGCGAACGGCATGGCGGCGTGAGCGGCTACGCCATCTACGACAGCATACGACGCTGCAGAATGACCCCCCTCCCAAACGCCATCATGGATGTGTATGTACCTAATCGTGTATGGACCCATGCCATAGATCGTAGAACCCAGTACAGACAAGTACATACAGTGTAACTCCTCCAGTGCTATTTTGGAAAAGGGACTCGGTGGGAGGTCGTATTAACGTTTTTGACATGGCTGCGGGCCGACGGATGGCTTGAATACCACTCACTCATCTGCGAAGCATGTGCATCTTGGACGGCACGGAACATTGAGCATAAATCTCCTGCTGATGCAATCAGAACCCCCAATATTAAACCCACAGCTACTCGGGAACGTTAGAGGGTCATGACAAGTTCAATGTTGGTTGTCGATGTCAAGTCATGGTGGCCCTATAGTCCTATAGACCCATGGTCCCATGGTCCTATACGCGTCCAACATAAAAGTATCGGTCTACTTTTGTGACTTGCGAGTCGTAACTCGGTGTAGGCTGCTGTAACGTATCCCGGCCTAATTTTTAGCACTTGCATTCGCGAGCCGTGGGGGCTTAGTGTTGATTCAATGCTGTTGGGCGACATACAGCCATCCTTCCCCTTATCAAACCGAGAAGTTGCAATTACCTACCTAGGTACCTTTTATTTGTCTTCCTTGTCTTCTTCTGTTGCTTTCTTTCTTTTTTTTTCTTTTTTTTTGGATTCACTTGAGCTGATATGATTAATTAGATGGCTGATGAAGAAACAAAATGGTATATGATTCAGCCTCATAGGGATCTTCACGATCGTAACGAAGAGCACTTGGGATGCATGTACCTACCTAGGTTAGGTTAGTAGGTTAGGTACATAGTCGATATGTATACGAAGCTGTCGAGGGATGAGGCGACCCCTATACATACCTACATACCTAGATTACAGATGTAGGTACATATCTTTTGCAGCATTACAATCTCTGACCGGTCTGTTTTCTCCGCCGAGTCTGCCCGGATCGGCATGTTTACCGCACCAGGCTGGTTTAGCTGATGATATGATGGAAATCTTATTCTGCATCTTAGTTCCAAATGCCATTAAGACAGATCCTGCAAGTTTTGTGTGATTTTTCGAGAAGCGGAGAAGAAGCTGACATATATGCCTACTATATATTGGCGAGTATGCTGTACCTATAGAAAAGGTATGGTGTTGCGGTGGCGTTGCGTTGACAGTGAACTTGATTGAATCTTGCATTATTGTCGTTATTAGTCAGCCATTGGCAAGTGTTTCTATCACCATCTGACCTGTTACTTTTTGTTGGCTGTATTCAATTGAATTACCTGCCCTGAGCTGATGTGTCGGCGGGAAGGGATTAAGATGCTAAGATGGTGAAGATTGCCCATCTTTAGAATACCTAGGGTAGATAAGTAGGTACTTAACTACCTAGTACCAAAGGTTTGACACTAAAAGTTTAGGGGACGTCAAATGTTCAATGTCCAAGCACCGTGAACTGACTATGCCCTCCCCTCTACACTACCCCTCACTATATATCCCACTACGGGACCCATTGTATGCTTATGTAACCTTGGGACCCACTTTATAAACATATATATTTTAAATCTTTTAGGACATTATCTTAGTTTACTTTTAATAGATTATGTTCTTAAATGCTATCGATTTATATAAATTTTATAATTTTAAAATATAAAGTTTTAAGTTTTAATATAAGGAATTAAAAAAGCATAAATAATTATTTATAACGATAAAACGTTAATAATTATTAAATCTAATTAATTAATTATATTTATATATATAGATTTGCAAATTATAAATTACTTTAATTATTACATACCACATTATTTCACACATATATAATTTATTTTATTAATTTATTTTATTTTATTAATTTTATTTAATTTGTTTTATTATTAATTAAACCTTATATCGTCCTTATTTATTATTTTTATTATAGTTAATTTTTTAGCCTTTACGGCTTAAAGCTAACCCTTATTAAGTGATAAAAGTAACTTAAAAAAAAAGTTTAAAAAATTAACTAACCTTTAATTTAATAAAAAAATAACCGACGTTAATAATCGTATCGATTATATAAGTTAATAAGTTATATGCCAATTTAATAAAATTTAAAAAACTTTTATATTATTAATTAGTTTTAATTAATAAGTGGTAAAAGTTAAGGGTTAATTAAGTTAAATTTTTAACATTTTAACCCGTTTTAATTTTAACGGTAAATAAAAAAGCAAACCTCGCCCACCACCCTTAAGCTAAAGAGGTAAACCCCGCCCACCCCAACCACAACCATAACCACAACCACAACTACAGCTATAACCACAACCTTTAACCTTTATTCCTTAGCTATAATATTTATTCTTTTTTTCCACTTTTACCATATGTGAAAATAATAAACGCCTTTTTAATGGTAAAATAAACTTACAACGAATTTAAATATTAAAAACCGCTTTTATTTCATAAGAAAAAAAAGTTTAAAATATATGGTTAAAAGCAACTTTTTTATAAAAAATAACCGGCTTTAATTATTACGAGGTAAAAAATAAAATCGTTATATTATCGATTTTTAAAATACTTTAAGTAGATTATATCGTATTTAATAAGCTTTTAAACATCTAAAATCGTTTAAAAATTATTCTCGTTTTATATAACTTATAAATAATAAAAATATCGATTAAAATCGGTAAAAATTTCCAAGCAATCGCCGTATACCTACGCATTAACCCGATTATATAAGTTATATTCCTTAAATATATTATTTAAATTTTAAATAAAAATTATATTATTTATAATTTAATAATTATATTTATAACTTTATTACCTTTTTAAAATAAAAGTATATTTAATTTTATATAAAAATTAAAAAAAATATTTTATAAACTCTCGTAATACATTTAAAACGGATATAATTATAAAAAGATTTTAATTAACGTATTAAAAATAAATATATTAAATATTTAAATCTTATTTAAATTTTATATTTTAAATTTTAATATAACTTAAATTATAAAAAAAATAATACGATTAACAGGAAATATCACGTATTAAATAATTAAATTAAAAATTTATAAAAGCTTTACGGTAATAATTTAATTATAAAATTAAACGGCTTTATTTTATTATATAAAAATAATAAAAATAACTTTAATAACGTTAAAAGTTGTAAAAATATTTTAATAAAATACGATTAATATTATTCTTAATAACGCTTATAAGTTAATAATTTTTAACTTAAAGATTAATAACTAAAGGATTAAAACGATTTTAAAAAAAGTTATACGATAAAAAAAAAGATATTATTTGTTTTAATTATAAGAAAAAAAGTTATTAAATAAAAGATTATAAATAAAAAAAAGGTTATTAAAATAAAAATATTAAACCTACCTTTAATTAAAAAAGGTAATTAAATTAATTAAATTAAATAAGTTAATCGATAACTTTTAAAAAAACGTTATATTAAAAGGTTATCCGTAAAATAAATAAGATAAAATTTAACGTAAAATAATTTTTTAAAAAATCCTTTTTTATAAATAACATAAA